AGATTTTAGTGAGGGAATTTTCAAACTCAACTTCTGTCCTGATATATAAGTTTTCAAATTTTAACATTAAAAAAAGGTGACTTTTTCCCCCTTTTTCAAACTTTTAGGTGTTTGTATAAAAAAGTAGGGCTGGTATCAAGATTCCGTCACTAAAATTTGTCGACAAGTCATCAATGAATAGAGTCCATGCAAGACGACTCATGTAGGTGTCAACCAGGAATGCAGGAAGTCTTTCTCCGACAAAATTTTTTTGTCGACTGAGCAAAGCTGTGAAGTTGAGCGTATCAGCCGACGACGACTGATCTCAATGTTATTTCTTTCCAAATGATAGAGGAACTACCCACATAGTTTAAAGGTGTGCTACCCGTTGAATCTGAAAGCTTCTATGCACATTTTTATCTATAAAACTTTGAAAATACTATTTTTTCCAGACTAAAAAAACCATGGTCGTCATGGTGAATTTCCATGACCATAGGGCTGTCCCCCATGGTGGAAGTTGTCATCCCCATGGTCAAACGGGCTTCCCCATGGTGGAGGTCGGACCGTGGGGAGAACCACCATGGTGCGGCGGTCTCGACCATGGTGGAGGTCTTCCCATAGTGCTGGTCACCATGGTGGCGCTCGCACCATGGTGAATGTTGCCCTCCTCGTGCGTTGAAGTCTCTAGAGTTTATTCAGATATTATCCGTAACTTTTAAATATTTTGAGATAGAGAAACACCGACAGCACCATCGTGCGTAGCGTTGAATTTTCATCGGGGTCCGAAGTGTCTGTTGCTCGTCAGTTATTCGCTAGACACGTCCTTCATTCACCATGAGGCACTTCGCGATGGTGCTGGCCGCCATGGAGCTAATCGCCATGGTGCACGCCGCCATGGTGCACGACCCCATGGGTTGGGAGTGACCATAGGTTGAATCACCTTGGGCATTTCTCCATGGTTACGACCTCCTGACCATGGCGAACTATGAGTCCCTATGGTTCGTCTGCCCCATGGAGCGGCTCATGGTTTTTTTAGTCTGGGTGGCAGTTTTGGTCATTTTTTCACGAGGGTTCCCCCTTAAATTCAATTCGACTGTTCTTTCACCTGATTGGGATTTGACTTGATCCATGATTCGTTTTGGAATCCTTTCGAAAGAAATGTTCTTCATTTGCAAAGCCCTTATAGATCAAGAACGTGGAAGAAGGGGAAGACTCCGAGATGGCGTCATTGTGTCAACCAAAAAAGCGTCTACCATTAAAATATTAATATTTTAAATAAACATGCTGTTTTGAAAAAAGCGACTACCGAGATTGAATATAAATATTCAATAAAAATATTGAATAAAAATATTGAATAAAAATATTGAATAAAAATATTGAATAAAAATATTGAATAAAAATATTGAATAAAAATATTGAATAAAAATATTGAATAAAAATATTGATCGGTGCTGCGCCGTCCGCCAGGCCGCGAGCCAGGGCTGCAAGCGGCCACCACGCGTCCGCCCGATAACGCTGTCGCGGCCCGCAAGGTTGTCATCCAGGAGAGCGTCTTCGGCGACCTCCAAACGGCCGCCGGGCGACATCCCGCCCCAACCTTAGTGGAGGTGGCCAGGGCCGAGTTCGAGATCTCCGTCTCCCGTGCCCTAGGGGAGGCAATGTCGGCTGGTCTTCCCCTCCAAGCCCGGACGCCTAGGCGGCCGCAGTGCCGGGAACCAGCATTCCACGTGCGTGGAGGCGTGCGCGCCCTGAGGATCAGCGTCGTTGCGCTCCTCGCCGCTGGGACTTATTGTGACCTTCCGCCCACGCCACGTTTTGAGGTGCTTTATGAGCTGACCAAAGCCGTTGTCCAGGAGGACGCACAGGTTAGGTTAGGAGTGGTGGTCCGCGAGTCCCTGAGCTAGGAGGGCGTGTTCGGCGTGTTCGGCGGCCTGCAGGTGGCTGCCGCGCCTCGCCTCACGGCGCTCCAGGACCTGAACAAAGCCGTTGTCCAGGAGGGCGCACAGGTTAGGTTAGGAGCGGTGGCCCGCAAGGCCGTGAGCTAGGACGGCGTGTTCGGCGGCCTGCAGGTGGCTGCCGCGCCTCGCCTCACGGCGCTCCAGGACCTGAACAAAGCCGTTGTCCAGGAGGGCGCACAGGTTAGGTTAGGAGCGGTGGCCCGCAAGGCCGTGAGCTAGGGCGGCGTGTTCGGCGGCCTGCAGGTGGCTGCCGCGCCTCGCCTCACGGCGCTCCAGGACCTGAACAAAGCCGTTGTCCAGGAGGGCGCACAGGTTAGGTTAGGAGCGGTGGCCCGCAAGGCCGTGAGCTAGGACGGCGTGTTCGGCGGCCTGCAGGTGGCTGCCGCACCTCGCCTCACGGCGCTCCAGGACCTGAACAAAGCCGTTGTCCAGGAGGGCGCACAGGTTAGGTTAGGAGCGGTGGCCCGCAAGGCCGTGAGCTAGGGCGGCGTGTTCGGCGGCCTGCAGGTGGCTGCCGCGCCTCGCCTCACGGCGCTCCAGGACCTGAACAAAGCCGTTGTCCAGGAGGGCGCACAGGTTAGGTTAGGAGCGGTGGCCCGCAAGGCCGTGAGCTAGGACGGCGTGTTCGGCGGCCTGCAGGTGGCTGCCGCACCTCGCCTCACGGCGCTCCAGGACCTGAACAAAGCCGTTGTCCAGGAGGGGCCTCGTCGTAGCCCGCTGCAGGGAGCCACGGCGTTGCTGCAGAGCGGTGCAAGGCGCTCTGCGCGGCAGCGCTGAGCTCCCTAAGGCCTCTGAGTCGGCCAAGGAACGTGGTCCCGACCAGAGGCCATGTCGTCTTCGGCGTCGTTGCAGCAGGGAACCAACGCGAATGCGACACGCTCCCGGACGCGCGCCGGTAGTAGTGGCAGTGGCGATTCGGCCGCCGCGGTCGCGGCCGCAGCCAGGCGGTGGGTGGCCGTCGCGGATTCAGAGGGAAGTCCCTCGACCAACAGACGTGACACGCACTCCGCCTCCGTCATTCGCTAATGCAAAGCACGCAGTAAACGACGGTCTAGAGTAAACTCCTTTGCCGAGGCCACGGTCGACGTGCTGTGGCCCCGCTGCCCGAAGGCACCGACGCCTGCAAGCCGAAGTGGCCGTTCAGGCCGTGCTAGAGTAGACTCGGCCGTCGGTCGACGCCACGGCCGGAGCCACCTACTTGCTTGCGCGGGTTGCGGCGCGCCGACGTGGCCGTGCAGACCGCGCCAGAGGAGGGCAGACGATTGCGTGCTGCGCCACGCGCAATCCTCGGCACCAGGTGCCCTGCGTCGTGGTCACCTCGCCGACTCCGGTCGTGCAACCGATAGTGTTGTTAATACAGCTCACCTCTTCCCATGTGTATCTTCGTATCAATGAAGCAGTAGCAGGTGAGAGCGATGCGCTCAATGCTGCTCATGCACTGCAAGTAAAACAAAAACTGTACAAAAAAGTACAACGGAGATTGTAGAAAGTACAACGAGAATTGTACGAACCACGAGGCCTGGACTGCACAGCACTCGTCATGCCGGTTCCATTGTACTTTGTACAACAATTGCTGTACTTTGAAAGTACAATAAATTCCTGTTAAATAATTTGGCAGGAATTTGTGTACTTTTGTTGCGGTCTTTTTCTTGCAGTGTGTGCAGGATGGGCTCCCTTCAGAGTAGTGGTTCGTCCGCATGGTCTCGTAATCGCGGTTGGGTACTGGTACGGGTACTCCTCTCCAGGGTTGTTAAAGTTAATTTAACGATTAACGACGATAATCGATTTTCGATAAGTTCATTTAACGGTTAACGTTAACTCGATAACATCTTGCAGACCAGTTATCGTTATCGAGTTATCGTTAACACAATCCCGGTTAACTTATCGATTAACTAAAGTAACTAATTCCTCCAAAACGTAGAAATACACGCAAAATTCTTCAGCAAAAGCGTTTCTGACGTTCGTACTTTTGCGCCGCTGGCACTCCGCCGTGCCCAACTGCCGGCCCCAACGGTAGTGGTAGTCAAGTCAGTACTGGGAGTAAGTCGTCGCTTGTCACTAGTAACGCGCTAGTCAGTCAGTATAAGTTTGAAAATTTTCAATTTTAATCTTTTGAACTCCCTTTTCCTCATTGTACTCATTTTATCATTTAATAAAGATAGGTAATGCACACGGTCAAAACGAAACCTTGGGATTCCCAGGAGCCCTATGTGATAAGGTATAGGAGTTTCCAGGAGATTCCTGGGATTCCCAGGAAGTTTTTTTACCGTGCATACATAATAGTCCAATTAGGCATTACTTTTGGGCATTTAAAGTTGTGTTTTATTATCCTTCATTACGCCATTTAAAAAAAGTTAGTTACTTTTAACGATTTTCGTTAAAAGTAACTTATTGATAACTCGATAACGTGGCCGAGAGGTGTTAACGTTAACTAGTTATCGTTAACAGGGGTCGGAAATTAACTTAACGATAACTCGATAACCAAAAAAATTAACTTTAACAACCCTGCTCCTCTCCCCGCGCATCCGCGTTCAAGCCCCTGGGCCGCAAGACAGCCTTCTGATGCACCGGAGGGCTGCTTGTGCCTCGGGGGCTCGCGGTGCGTCAGTGAGAGCAGGAGTGCAGGTGAGTTCCGCCCTGGCAAAACAACTGTTTGAGTTCGCACGCATTCGACCCACCCCTGCAGCCGCCAAGGTAAACCGCATCCGATGTGCCCACTATGCTTTTTGCGCTATTCACCTTTCGTGGTGCTGAACACAGGACGTTCAACCTTACGTCGGGTCTGCATGTGGCATGCACCCTCAATGCACCGTGTGCATTAGGTGCACTGCTGCTGTGGGCCCGAGAGGGAAGCCTGGGAATGGGGTACACCGCTACTCTCTAAGGACGGTCTCTGAACCGCGGACTGCAGAATGGACGTAACTTACTCTGCAGTCCGCGGCTCGAATCCCGTGCAAAGAGAAATTGGGTTTATTACCCTGCCTGCATGCAGCCCCGCTGAGGCTTTGCACCGTTGTTTCTTTTTCGCACTGCTTCTTCGCACTCGATGTTTTACTGCGATGCTTTCAGAACCCTGTACACTGTTTCAGAGGACGGCGCGCGAACTGCCCGGTACTTGCCACCAGCTTGTCAGTGTGAGCGCCGGAAGGGAGGTCTCTGGAGCGGCTTCGGATTTCGAGCCAGTCGCAGTCTTGGTCTGATCCCCAGAGCGTGGCCAGTCCAGCGACCGCACCAGCAACTCGTAGGTATCGGCGTTCAACGTTCGTTCCGTTGCCTCCCCTACGAAATCAGACTGCGCGCCCGAAAACGCCCGAGAGGTAGGCAATCTTCGCTGCGCGCTCGGTAGCGCCAACGAGGTACGCAACCATTCCGACTCGATCGTGTCAGAAAGCGTCACCAAACTTATCGGCTTACACTCTCGCCACTTTTCTCGCTTTCGACTGCACTCGACTACACTTTTTGGAGCGCATGCCATCTGACAGAAACGCACCTGTTGGCCCTGTCTGCGTCGTACACGCTCAATGCACTCGCGCGCGGGCTGAGGCGTAGTTGGCCCAGGGAATTCCGGGGAGGAAATTACTGTTTCTCTCTGCTGACGGCCTTTGAACCGCGGACTCCACGTTGCGGGCTCGAAAACCGCATAACTAGCAAAGAGAAACGTATTTACTCCTCTCCCCCACAACCACTCATGCCGTTTCAGTTCGTATTCGCGCCCCCCTATCGTGACATTTCTGCGATGCTTTTCACAACCACTCTGTTGCAGGTGACATTTTTACTGAGCTCTGGCGGCACTACATGAACGGACGACACGCCATCCCGAGATATTCGTCGTCAGTTCACCAGCTTACTCCCCAATGCGTGCCCAGGCGCCAGAGCTGCGGGAAAGCCTCCAGCGCCCTACAGGTAGGCAACCCTTCGCACTCGTCGTAGGTAGCGTCCGCTGCGCGCTCTATCTTTGTGTGGTGGCCGCTGGTAGAACTACGTCGGCGGCCGGAACGCGCTCAGCGCGCCCTACTTTATGTGGCGGACACTTGTGCAATCTCTTCGGTCGGCACACCAAAAACTAAAACTATACTCGTCCCAGCGTAACCTTTCCATATCACTCCGCCAGCCGCCGCCAGCAGCAGCCGACGCAGCCGACCAGCATAATTTCTCATAGAGGGCCGTTGACACCAGGGTTCTGTCGCTTCACAAAATAGTGCAACAGTAATGCTATGGTTTTTAATTAGAACAGCACCCAATATTATTGAGGTGACCTGAAATCGCAAGCGCACACAATTTTGAAAGCATTGAAATCATCCTCAAATGACATCATAAAGCTAAAGACTGTTTTGTGTGGAAAAGAGAGAGTTGTTGGCGGTAATTTTTGAATATTACAAAAAGGCTAATCAATCAGTTCTTTGACATGAGCCTGAATCTTTTCTTGTTTTTTTTTTTTTTTCATAATATTGATGTTGCGTGAGTCACAACTTTATGATCAGGAGATTCTTTTAAGGGCAACTCATGAAAAGAGTGGAATAGGTCTTGAGGGTAATAATCAGCCCACATTGGGTTTGATTTGGTTGAAAGAGTTGTTTTATTCACAGTATCAGTATAAATTTACAATGAACATTACAAAATACTAGAAGTGATAAAAAACCTAACAATAAACAATAAATAAAATATATAAGCAACAAAAACAATAATTACTACGGTATTGAAAGGCAAACAAATAACAGACAAAACAATAAATAAAACTAATGAAAGGGGACAAATGAAAGACAGTAAATAATGTGTAAAATCAAATTGAAACAGTAAATAATACTATAATGCGAGGCAACAAATAAAACTTATTTCTTTATAATAATCTTTATAACTTTAATATTTTTCAGACTAGTGTTTTTGAGATCAGCTACAGTTGTGGCCATTGATTTTGTCGGCAGCTCTGCAACCCCCAAGTCCTCCTTCTGTGTTCTTTTTCTTGTCCTTTTCGGCATTGGAATCAAGGGCGGCCAGTGGGTCCTTGCATTCAGATGATTCACTGATGGAGTCAATGGCCAGGGGAAAACAACACCCGTGATAATGTCATGGGCCATTAAATCCCTATACAGTGAAGCATCTTCTTTGGCAAAAGTAAATGGAGAGTTTCTGCTCACACACTCCAAGTACTGGCAAACAAAGACACCGCAATCTCCACCAGGACCTTGTTGTGGTGCATCCTACATGGGACCAAAGAGAATAGAATTTGATTAACTGTGAAGTACTGACAAGGCACTGTCATGCATGAGGAACCGCTTTAACTTCTTCTTTCAAACATACCTCAGCAATGTATTGTTTCCATTCCTTTTCAGGGAAGGTAAATTTCCTCCTTGAATAGCACTCACTAGAAAAATAACTGAGGAGCTGTCCCAAAGCATCTCTGTGGTATGTCCTATCAACTGCAGGAAGCAGGCTGTCGTACAAGATTAATGTCTTGTTTCTCATGTCTAACACAGCCAGGACCCAGTGCATGTTCCTAATATTTATAGGTACACCCACCAGGTCATACTGAAATATGTCAATTTTCTAAAAATAAAAAAAAGAAGTTAGAACAAAGATGCAATTGAGGGGGTAAATCAAGGTGTCTATCAGATGAGACCTACCTTTGTCCAAGATAGCACACCAGAGTGAGTCCTTGACACAAGTGTGGAATAAAACAATGTATCAAATACATACAGAGAGGGGTAACCCTCTTTGGAGCTCCTCTTCACCAGCAGCTGCATGTACACGTTTATGATCTTTAAAAGAAAAGAGACACATGCAGAATTGTTCAGATAATCCAACAAACAAGAGGAAAATTTTTAACTGATAACTTACTTTGTCATTGAGCCAAGAGCCATTAACAAGCAACTTAAGGTCACTTCCAAAGATATCATGCTTGCTGACCTGCACCATAAGCCGAGCCTCATTGCAGCTCATCACCAGCTATGAAAATAATATTTCCAAATAATGAAATTGTATTGAGAGTGGAGGACATTATCACTAGCACTAGATAGGAAACAAACCTGGTGGGCACGTGATGCACTCACAACAAAATTACTGGAGTAACTGTGATCATGGTACATGGAATGAAGTGCAGGAACACATGACAGTTCTTTGCATTCATCCCACACACTCATAAGCACATCTTGGCGGCTCTGAACAATGTCAAGAGCAGTGAGTTCATCATCAGACAACTCAATAGGTTCCTCTTCAGTATAATGTAGGGCTCTCTTTCGAGGCCTCCTGACAGGGATCTTTGGTGTGGATGATGCAGAGACTACAGAGGAGGTGGGGAGTGAGGTGGAGAGTGGTTGAGGGTCATCAGCCCTCATATCCTCCTCATCTTCCTCTCCAAAGTCGTCCTCGTCCAATAAAATTTTAAACTGAGAATAATCAGTGCAGTCAGGTGGTGCCACTTTACATTCCTTTTCAAAGAGTTCATCAATTAGTCGATTGGCTCTATTGACACAATTCTCCCACATAGTTGTAGTGTGTTGTGCTAGAGCAACCTCCCACAGGGCAAGCATCTCTTCTTCACTTGAACATCCCCTTACATGGTCTTCGAAATATCGTTTCGCTGTGCTCCAACCATTTTCTATGGGGCTCAAGTGACAGTGATAGGGAGGCAACCACAAGATCTGGACGTCATAGGGGCAGTGTGCCTTTAGAATTTGTTCCACATTCATACTGCAAGGAAAAGAAAAATAATTAACAACATTAGCAACACTGAAGGCCTTCAGAGGTGAAAATCAGCCATGTTACGCACCTGTGGTCCTCAACATTCCTGAAAGCAATTTCTCTGAGTTGTGGTACGGTCATCTTCACATCGAAAGGAATGCCTCTTGCTGTCAACCATGCAATGACATCATCCCTCTTGATGTTTTTCTTTGGAGCATCATCCTGAAAAATTCAACAACCCAGTAAAAATACAGGGAGCCAGCTGGCAACGACTGATCTGCTGCAATCTGCACTCCGTCCAGCTCCTGAAAACATTGCATGTCATGACACAAAATTACACAACCAAAGAGTCTACTGAGTCTACTAAGAAGTAGTGAAACCTGAAACAAAAAAAAAAGAAAATTGATGTTAATAATAAGGTTCAAAATTCTTAAAATTCATAAGGGAAAATACTTACTGGGGAGCGCGCCGCTGAAACAGAAAGAAAATAGAGGTTAGCACCGGCAAATTGGAGATGCAAAACCAATTTTCAAATCAAATACCTGCGACACAGGGATTTCTCTTCAAAAACTCACTATCTTGTGACGTGACAGCAGCAGCTCTTGGTCCTTGGAGATGAGCGATGCACTTCCCACCACTGGTTGTATTTCACCCACCTATTCCCTCCTATTCTCCAACTGAATGTTGGAAATACAAAACCACTTTTGAAATCAAGTACCTTTAACTCTGGGATTTCTCTTCAAAAACTCACTATCTTGTGACTTTGCTGTGGTCCACTGCATCGGCGGCTCCTGGTCCTTGCAGATGATGAAGATTGCAGCTTATGCTTGCAGATGATGGTGAGTGCAGCTTATGCTTGCGGATGATAATTGCAGCTTATGCTTGCAGATGATATTTCCCACTACTGATTGTTTTTAACCCTCATTCTAGTGTTCCCTGAAACCCTCTCCATTGTCCCTGCCCTGCTACTAACTGCAACTGTGTTGCAGTTAGTAGCTCTCTCCTCTCTCTCTCTCTTTTTTTGGAGGTCCATCGGTGAGCCTGGTTATTTTGGCTATTGTTGGAGTACTCCTCCGCCAGAGTTGGCGGCTATTTTTTTCCCCCCAGCCTGTATTGAAGGCTGGAGTGGGGGTCCATCGGTGAGCCTGGTTATTTCGGCTATTGTTGGAATCCCACTCCACCTGAGTGATGGCAGCTACTTTGTTTTCCCCCAGCCTGTATAGGAGGCTGTTTATTGGGGTAGGGGTCCATCGGTGAGCCTGGTTATTTCGGCTATTGTTGGAGTCCCACTACGCCTGAGGCAGCTGCTTCACTCTGTTAATTTTCCTTTCTTTTTTTGGGGGAGAGAGAGATGAAAGAAATTATGCATAACAAAATACCCCTGATCAAAAATCTAAAGCCTGAGTCTAAGAACTAAGTGGCTCCGTCCTCGTGCAGCTGTCATAAACAAAAAACAAGCAGAACACAGCATTAACAAAGATCCCAACAATTCAATAGATACACTTCAATATTATCACTACCTAGGGGAACAAACTGTCTGTTTGTTTCGTTTCAATGTCTGAAATTTAGTAATTAGTCAGAAAGTAATGATTATAATAAATAGGAAGGTTACTGTTAAGTGAAAAAATGTGAAATAAGGTATTCTAAAATAAATTTGTGGTAGCAGTCATGTTTTTACATTTATAAATATATGAATAAGATAGCATAGACTCTTCAAAATATTTCTGGTAATTATTCTGCAGAAAAAGATCTTTAGAACCTTTGCTAAAAAATATTAAGATGTTGTTCTAATTTATAATTGAATATTAACAGCCATGGACATACAGCAAAAAGCCTGTGTCATTTAATTTCTATGGCCCTTTTTATGACCTTGAGACTTCGAAAGAATTGACTTTAGACCTAAAAACAAAACTGCTCATACAAATATTCTAGAGAGTAAGATTTGCACTTAACAGAAACCTCAGATGCAGCATCTACGCTTGGGTACTCACCATTTTCTTGTGATACCGGGCATTATCCATGATGATGATGGTATCCCCAGTAATGAACGGTGCAAGTTGGGTTCTCACCCACTTTTCAAAGTTTGCACCGTTCATTGAGCCATGGTAATCACCGTCATTGGTCTTCGATTTGAAGATGTTGGAGGCTCCTGCGACCCAACCCTCTTTTCCTCCGCAGTGCTGTACAATGAACCTCTGTCCATTGTTTCCAGCTCTCACCGAGCAGCTCCGAACATCTTCATTCCTCCACTCCTTGCCACGAAATGAGCCATATCGGAAGATCCAAGTCTCATCAAGCCACAGGAATTTGTACTTTCCCGTGCTTTGAAGCTCCTTGTATTTTTGGACAAATTTTATACGCTGCATTACAATATTCGGCTGCTCCATCAAATACCACCGGTTGTTTTTTGCCTTGTATTTGAAGCCTATTTGTCTCAAAACAAGTCGAAGAGACTCAGTCTTTCCATTAAACGGTATATCTCTATCTCTGTGAAGAAAATTTGTCATGAGGAAACACACATATCAGAACACTTTTCTTTGTGGTGTGGAATGCACAGATACATACTTAATTTCACGGAGTAAAGTTCTCAAGTTAAAATGTTTGTCTGAAAGTGTGCAAAGCAATTAGTAAAAGAAAAAATGGGTTCCTACCGCATAGCCATAGCATGATTATGACAACACACAGATTTCACTTACGAGTCTTCCGGAGATCATATATCATATTTGTAATAGCGTTCTTAGTGAATGAATCACATGTTGTCACTGGAGACGCCTTCATTCGCTTCTTGCCAGGAGTCTCAAAGGGCAAGCCCTCTTTGAATCTGTGGACATAGTGGTCCACAGATTTGGCACTAATGCCCAAGAGCTTTGCTGTGAGCTCTCTACAGATAGAAATGAAGTACAAATAAACAAAATTAGAAAATAAATAAAATAGAAAAGTGAGAAACTGCAATTAAAAGAAAAATGAGCAGCCATGTAATTTACCTGGTACTCATTGGACCCGGAGTAAACAGGTTCATGTCCTTCAGGAAATTTAAATTCTTGTATACAGAACAAATCGCACTCTGCATCTGGCTTGTAAATGGTCTGCCCGAGCGGATAGCACTGTCATCTCTGATGGAATTTGAATTGTTATTGGGGGTAGAATTAAGGTTTGTTACAGATTTACATGTTGTCAAAGGTTGAGGTTTGATATCATAAATTAAAATGTAGGCAGATGACCCAAATTCATGAGACTCCAATACTGAGGAGGGCAATACAGTGACCTGTAAAGTCAAACAAATAGTAAGTCAAAGTGGATGAATCTGTTAGCAGATCTATTGGTAAATATGAGAGCGGCTCAGACAAGTACCTGGCTGTCATCAAACTTGCACCATTTGGTTCTCCCAGCGACCTGCACTCTGATGACAGCAGTGTAGTGCCCTTCCTCTGTGGTCTCCCCTTCATGTAGAATGACAGAGCGCAGTCTGTACTGCCTGCCCTTCAATTCTAATGTTGGGTTGATCACCACAGTACTATTATCCTTGCCATGTACAGAAAATCTATTCAGTTGAATCATCAAATTCGGTGGATATGAAACCAAGTCAATCCACTTTTCCTTGGGGACCTGCCTGTTCTGGCACTGCTCACAGTCTGCCAAGACCTTCACCTTTGACAGCTCATCGTCAAGGGACTTCTGTATTGAACTATGGGGGTATATCAACAATTGTGATTCTTCATAAGGTTCATTTAGCCAATGATGTTTACTAAAACAGCAACCTGTAATTTGAAAATAAGACATTTGTGACAGGTGGTGATATTAATAAAAATGCTGTATACTGCACAAATAACAGGTACTCCACGTACTTTGAGCTTGCACGTAGAAACCAAATGTGGTTGCCATCAGTCCACAAAGGTCTTCCGGCACTTCCTGCATTTCAATGTACTCCTTATGTAATTGTTTAAAGATGGCTGTGAGAACCTCATGAGTGTCATGCTGTTTTTCAAGTTCCCCTACAAAGGGTGCAAACTCTGCAAGGAATCAAATGGTTGTTGTAAAAAATAATTAAATTATAGACCACAACACTAAGAGGACAAGTGAGGCAAATACCTTTTAATGTCTTCACAAAATCTTCAATGTGGACAACTTTAGACTTCTTATGCTCCTCATTCAGCTTAATGAGAGCGCAGATCAGACATGGTGATTTGCACTCTGGCGAATGATTGCAATCAGCAAGCCACTTCACAAAATTGTTGCATAGGAGCAATACCTAGAATGTGAGCAGTTCATAAGAAACTTTAAGACTTGCTGATCATAAACAGAGATGTTACGTTTCAAAAAAATCACCATACCTGCAAAGCTGCTCCAAGATAGCAAGTTTTGCCCATGTTTGCAAAGCCAGCAGGAATTTTGTTGAAAGCTACTTCTTTCTGTGGGTGAAAAAAAATCATAAGTAACAAACCAAAGACCTGCACAGCATTTCACTAATGTAAAAGATGCCGCAAGGTAACATGTATTGCCCATGTTTGCTATGCCAGCAGGATATTCCTTCAGAACCAGCCCATTCTATGAAAATGAAATGCTGTACAACATATCAAACCAACATATAGTATTTGAATTAAATAACAATGCACAGACCTGAGCTTGGGCTGAGGGTCGAACAGGAAAGTGAGACTCTGGTGCTGTCCTGGGGCAATTCTCTTTGTCTTCCAATGGTTGTGCGCTTTCATCGCACAGCGAAATTTTCTCTGTAGCCTCTTCAGACTTGTCTCCACTACTTCCTTTCGTGCATTTATAGCAGTAAACTGAAGAAGGTCATACATAAGATTATTTCTTTCAACAGTGGGCATATTTCAATGAACAAGAGGCTGAATATTCGCACTAACCTTGCTTTTTGTGTTGATTTTTGGAGACCTTCAGGCATGGTCTTTTTCTGCGTCTACTCACAACAGGCCTTTCATGGCACTTGGCACACAGTGTGCTAATGCGCTCTGCTTGATTTCCTGGAGTGATAATAAAGACACATTTTTATACAAAATAGAGAAATTTTGATGTTCAGCTTAAGAAGGTTCAATATCAGGTGAAGTTCTCAGTGCAGTGCCAAGCAAATGAGACCTCCACTGAAGCTACTTACTAGAAGTTCCTGAGATTTTAGAAGAATTGTCATCCATTGTAGGCTACAAATTTTCAAAAAAAACTGTATCGCGGCTGAAATGAACAGCTAAAATATGACGCTGAGGTCTTCCGACTGGCTTGATTGGCGACACCGCGCGTGAGTCACCCACGCCAAAAGATAACGGTACACCTGCATTCCAGGATTTGCATTGCCGCGGGCAGACAGGCAAGATGAGAAAGCGAGCATAGCGCTGCTCCTCCCACTTCAAAACAAGAGTCTCTCGGACCCTCTTTTTGCACTCAGATTGAGTGACTGAAAGAGATATCATAATGACAGCTTGCATTAGTCTAAACCTAAGACGTATTTGTATGCCCAGCTGGCTCTTATCTTTCGAAATTATGCCTTATTATTCAGAAATTTTGATTTGAGTGCACACGGCTGGCTTCTCCTCTAGACCGAGCTCCAACCTTTTTAGATTATCTTTGAGTAACTGAAAGAGATTCAGTAATACCAGCCTGTATCAGTGTAAGCCCTACACATTTTTGTCTGCCGGAATCACCTTTATTTTGCTATATTTTGCCTTCTTTTTTAGATATCCCGAATTGTGTGTGCGAGGACGGCTTCTCCTCCCGACCGAGCTCATGACTTTTTAGATTATCTTTGAGCAACTGAAAGAGATTCAATAATAATTGCTTATATCAATGAAAGCCCCGCACATTTTTGTCTGCCGGAATCGTCTTTATTTCAAGAATCAATACTTATTTCCTGAGGAATGTGAAATAAACTGCGCCAATTTGGGGAAAAGACGGGCGAGGGACTACTTTCGGAAAGGTTACGCTGGGACGAGTATAACAACAACAACGCCGAGCAGCCGAAGTGAAGGAAGAAAGGTTTTAATAATTGGTAACGAAAATGCAGTTTGAACGAGTCGCCGGCAGCTACTTTGCCACTACGCATTGTTGAGTTCGTGTTGCTAGTTCTGCCGTTCTACCGTTCTGCCCTTCAATCGTTCAGCTTAATAGTCTGATACTTCATTGAAACAAATATCCATCTTAGGTTAGGTTCGTTCATGGTGAATTTTTCACTGTTCTGGCAATGTAGAAATAGTTAGGTTTTCTTTATTTTCCCCTGCATGCAATATCATACGCATGATCATTCAATATGTATTCATAAAGATATTATGTGGCAAGTCAGAAGCTGCTATATTTGCTTCACATTCATTCGAAGCGTACAATTTCTGTTTTCAAGTATAAACAATCGAATGGATTCATGCTGTTTCTTATTGCAGGTGGCTGCAAGGGGAGTGCTGAATCTGTTCGCTTGAGTGTTGTGATTCCACCAAGTCTACTCCAACTCGTCACATCAATAACCCTGACAACTTTGCCATAAGGTTTGTTTCATTGTGTCCATAATATTATTCTTTTTCGATTTTAGGTAATATTTTTATTTGTAACTGTTTCTTCTCTCAGGGTTCTTCAAAGACTATCGAACCATTCTGGAGCTGGATCGTGTAGTCTGGATCATGTTCAAAAAGAGATGGCAACACTTCGGGACTGCTTCAGGCTTCTTCGCCTCCAACAGCTTTGCTTGGACTGCTTTCACAGTGACATTTTCCCCGCATAATGTGTTTCCGTGAAGTCCATATCTAAATATTCAAACAAACCATGTTCCTTTGTTTGAATGCAAGTGCTAGTGGCTTTTGATTACAGTGATCACAACTATTTACTTGAGATATAACAGGGCAAAGTATAAAATTTATTGGTTTATATCAGTGTATCGAGGCGTATCATATTGTTTTGATGTGGCCAGAGATAGTCGTAAAGATGGTTTCTCTCCATTGGCTGGGTGAGTGCCCATGTCACATTGTCAATTTTTTTTGTCTCTCTGTCTTATCTTGCTGCCCAAGACCTCCTGACTCTGTTGAACTTGGGGCAGATAAAGATTTAGTAATAAGCTCTTTTATTTTAATTTTTCAAGGGGAGTTGACAATTTTTCCTGGTAAAGACACTCAATTTCAGATAAAATTGTTTATACTGAACAATGGTTCGTTTATTTAGCAACTGTAGTCCTTACTTAGTTGGAAGCTTCTTGCTTGGTATTTTTTAATCAGATGACAAGACTATTCATGGGAAACTTGAATTTCAAACTGGTAATGCTACCATTTTGGAGATTTGTTTGTGAAAGTTTGCACTGAGAGTTTGAGCAACAGCAGCAACTTCACAGGAATAGGCATTGGTTTATTTGGTTTATTTCCCAGGAGGGCTACATTCTGACTCAGGATTATTTTGAAATGTTTGTAAGATAGCATTTTTAGAACAAACTTTGTCAGTTACTTATGGCATCACAAGGGGAGCAGGAAGTTTGGGTGGAGAGTGCAAGTGAAATGTATACTACTAGTGTCCTAGTTTCTGTACATCACTCTGCATTATGTTTGTTCCTTCTTTTACTTTAAAAGCTATCTTTAGAATGTTTGGTTTAGTTTGTTCATTCACCCACCGTCACCACTCGAAGACTGGGATCATTATGCCTTTGACCGCCCTGAATTGGCCACCTCCAAATATGTAGCAGATCCTCCAAGGTAAAGTGTCTGTACAGCGTCAATCAGGTTGTGGGTTGAATCTGATTGTTCTGTATTGGAGAGTACATTCCCCTGTTTCTCTTTTTTCTGCTACCTATTGTTTATGTCTGTTAGTTGTCATGACTTTGTGGATAGTGTTGCTTGATATCCAATCTTCTTTGGGGTACGTTCTTCCGTTCAGAGAACTTGTTGATTGGTATATTTTCTCAGCATTTTGCCACGGACATGCCTGTGGGGAGAGATATTGCTTTACATTTTATCCTAACTTGGTTCAACTTCAGTTTCCTTTTTTTCAATGCATATCTGTCTTATGTCCCTGTATCGCCAGCCACCACATCTTTTTATTTTCTGTTGCTTATTGTTGGGCCTGTGCATTTATTTTCATCCAGTTGCTAATCCCGCGATGTGCCTTTTGACAAATCTGAAGCTCATTTGTACCGCTTTTGCTTTGAATTTTTGTTTGCAATTGGGAACTGACAAATTCATTTATTCCTTTTCATTAGGTGGAGATGGAGAATTCCAAACCTGTTTCAGCAAATGGATTTACTTACACCGTCTCCTCCATCATCTTGTGACTATATTGCAACATTTTTATCCTTTATTCTTTTATCAGCTTCTTACAAGATGGTATGTTAAATTTTTCTAAATCTCTATTGTAATATTTTGTATACATCTAGTTGTTTTAATACTGGTTTTGTCTTTTAGGTTCTGTCAATGCAATGTGAATTACAATTACACCTCTGATGGTGTGGAGAAAAAGAACAAGGAAAGCATTCAGTTTGCTAGTTGGTACTTTTTTTTTTTTCTATTTTACACTCAGTGTTGTTAAGTGGTACCTACTAAGTATGTAATTTCATCTCTTGCAGTTCTGGTCGCACCCAAAGAAATATCAACGGTAAGAAGTAGAAGCTTCACAACATCAAGGGAACAACTCAACGTCCCATTAGAACTTCCCTTGTTCGAAGACTGGAGCCATATGCTCGAGCAGTTTCTTGCCTGTGAGATTACTTTCTTCTGCATTATTTGGTTTAACCTGAGTTAAATTAATTGAAGTAGTGCTCAAATATTTTCTCCCAGTTTATCTCATTTCGTATTGAAACATTTTATTCATTAAATTAAATTTTCAAGCAAACACTTCGGCTGGCCTTGTTTTGATTCTGCAAAATCTAATCATATGCTCATTGTATTTTATAAGGCACGTTGGAATGGATTCAATTGCTAAGAGCAAAAGGAATTGCACCTTTGGGCATTTATTTCCCTGTCACTCATGTCTGGCTCAAGGGCTGATTTTATCTTGCTTATAGTTTCTTACTGTTTCAATCAGCAATGCTTTTATTGCTTTAATGAGCCTTAGAAGGCCCTTGGCAGTTTTTATTGAATGGTGTGGTATGTGTGTTTGTGTGTATACATCTTTACACATATACATCTATACTGGGCTGCCCTATTTTCATTATGCAAATCTATTGTTACTATTTTATTTACCTAGGTTCTTTTGGACTGTGTTAAATTTGAATGTTAATGATGGTCACATATATTGGATGAATTTGATGCTCAATTTTATTTTCTTGGAGCGACAATGATGTGGCCTTGGGTCCCTTCCTTTTTATGGTATGTATTTTGATGAAAGTGCATTTTGTATGTGGTTTTCAATTTGTGATTTTCATTAATGAAAGAATGGACTCCAGTTAGTTGATGTTACTGAATTTTAGAAACAATTCTAGACCCAATACAACTACTGTAATAAATTTTGGTTCTCGTAATAGAGCAACTGGAGTTTCTGGAAAATAGGTTCTTCCACTAAAAGAGTAGATGGTACACACACAATCTAATTTTCTTGCTTTGGGGAATGAGTTAGTCAGACGTTATTAATACTTTTCCCTGCTTGTAATTTCTAATGAATTTCTATGAGTGGAATGTTCAGTATCTGTTGATTGCCAATTTCTTTTTCTTATCTCCTTTCAAAACAAGCTTCAGAATGCTCATTTTGGTTTGTTCTCACAAATGACCTTGGATACATTTAGTCATGACTCACTCTGAACCTGTATTGATTTATCTTCCAGTTCCTTATGGTTTCAACTAGTAGATGTTGCATTGTTTGAATGTTACAGCTCATTGCAAGTGTAAATTTCAATGATATGGTATTATCACATGAAAATGCATGGTGTGTATGTACATATTAATGAATGAAAATCTTAGGCAAAAACTATGGGCTGCCCTGTTTCTTAAGCCCTTTAGAATTCCTATCCTATAAATTATGTATTCAGGAGCGTTAACTTAATATTTTAATTATGGTTGGATCACTTATGGAAATGCCATGGTTCTTTCTACAAATGTGGATTTTTTATTGCTTTGCATTCAATCAAAAAGTGAATGTTTTGCCAGCAATTTTTCAGCATTATTACCTCAGGAAATGCATTTTAAGTCTGGTCTTGCTGCAAGTCTCAAGCTATTTTTCAGATGGAATGTTTCGACTTGTAATGGTTGATTTGATTCTATGTGGGATGGCCAGTACATCTTGACTATTCCTATGTATTGAAATAAGTCATTTCCATTTCTGAGAAGTTAGAATGTTTAAGCAACAAAGGCTGTTTCCCAGTTGGTTCGTTTGCATTGATGAGGCCACACTGTTTGTTTTAACTAGTGAATTGCATGGCTTTATGGATTTTATCAGTGACTAACTTCTCGAGTAAGTTTTGTTTCTAGAGATATTAAAACTAAAGCAGGTTTATTGTAAATGTGTGTCCTTGGTCCATAAATAGAATGTTCAAAAAAAGGAAATTTTGACAAGGAAAATAAGCAAAGAGGTTTTAAATGTGACTGAAGTGGATGTTTTCGTTGTTGTTTTCCCATTCTTTTCATATGTAACTGACCTGAAATTCTTATACCTGTTAAAGTAATTGAGACTAGCAAAATCTAGTTCCCCACACTTTGAATTCCGCACGTTGGAGTCAATTTCTGAGTTCCTTGATAATTATTGGCATTTTCTGTGTGTTCAGGTACCTCACTTCTTTTTGTATCCTCCATTTCTCTTAAGCGTTCAGTGAACAATTTTCCCAACATTGATTTATTAGTGGCTGTGAGTTGTAAGTGTGGGAAAATAAAAGTTTGGATGCATCAACTTGTCTTTTGTGTACTCACTCCCTAACAAAGTTATGCATCAATCAAGGAAAAATTAAAGTTGAATGCTGTCAAAATATTGTGTATTTTGTACACTGAGGCGCAGAATTACAATTGATATCAGAGTGAACACTTGAGTGAGAGCTTCAAGCTGCACAGCCATATACATGAAAACAATAAGAAAAAGGCAGCAAGGATCAAAGTTATGAGCGTCTAAACATCAGAAATTCACTTTTCTTTTGGACCTTTTCCTCTTAAGCACCTCATATAGCTGATTAATAAAAACTTTCTTACAATATTGCACTTAGGAAATGATATAATAATGGCAGCTTCGGAAAGAACACCACCTGAACATGAACTGAAATGTCATGCAGGCAGCGAGAAAAGATTGAAACCACACAGTTCACAACTCATCTCAAGGAATAAACCTCTTATTTACTTCTAACTTCTCAAAGATAGCTAAACTTCTTGAACTGCTCTGTCATAGGCGTTGTCGAATGTATGGGCAGCAGCTCGCAAGAAACGGAGGATAGCTGCATCTAGATCTCCAGGAGGGTTTCTGATAGATCTGTACAAAGTCCTGAGTCGCTGATCCAGGGCAATAGCTGATAGCTTACGTCCTCGGTTTGGCTTCTCTCCAATTGCCAGGGCCATTGCATCAGCGTAAGCATTGGCCTCCATGGAGCCCAATGCATCTGAAACACCAAGGGATGTTGTTGGAATTAATGCCACACTTCACTTGCACCAAAATAATAACTTTTCAAACGGGACTGAAAAATGCCTGTGGTCTAACAGGAAGGCTTACCAATGAAGTTGTAAGTATTAGGGTGATGCACACCAATAAAGTTTGCCAGCATTTTGTTGTGGCTCTCTGTAAGTTCAAAAATTTGTAAGAATGTCACGACAGAAACTTTGGGCAAGTTCTGACAAACCTTGTCTCAGGACATCGTATTCATTCATATAACTCACCTGAAGTGTTATTGGTGCGGTGGAACGATCCATACACACACATCCAATGCTTTCGAATGGGATGAGCAACCCATCGCCGTCTGATGTAATCAATTAACATTCTCATATTCCTATAGATCCTCACTCCCTGATCCCTGGTTAGTCTCAGAAGAATTAGGAAGCCTCTTCTCATAAATCGAACTGGCAGCAGTGCCAAACAACAGAAGCACTTAATCAGCTCACTGTATGGCCAAAGTCTCAAGAGTCTAGTCATGAGTAACACATCCTTAGCATATTTGATGATGGCCTATCAAATAAACGATATGACAAATTAAAATGAAAGAATGTTACATTGTATAGCATTGAAAATAAATTTAGTAAAAGGAAAATAGACATACACGAACTAGATGAAAGAAACATCCTTGACGCCGCAAATGAGGAAAAATGTTTGCAAATGCTCTCCGTGTTGCTGACTCAAAGTCAGTGATTACTGTTCGGAAGTTGTCACCTCCTCGCAAAAGAATGCGTAAGGTTCGGAAAACGGCTTCATAGGCTGATGTTGTCCGCCTTTGCATTAAAACCCATCCCAGTGGTATCACTGTACGGTCCCAGTTTCCAACTAGAGCAAAAACCTATGGAAGCAGGGTTCAACAAATGGTAAATCATCAACACACTACTTGCATACACAATAACAGCTCAACAAATAATACTGCACCTGAGATGCTTCATCTAGTTCATCAATAGCTGGCTTCACCTTAAATGTCCCATCCGCAAATAGAAGATCTAGTGAGCGAGCTACTCGGGCCATACGCCTTGACATGAATATTATGTGGTGGGACTGATCATCAGCTGTCACGCTTGCGGCATAGAGGCTATCACGAGCGTCATGAGTTGCTGAGATAATCCGATATCTCGGATCCTGCAGAATACGAGTCAACTCCCTAAGAGTATCTGGGGCAGGTGGAAACATCTTGGCTCGAGCACGCTGCATTGCACTACGGATTTTGGCAAGCCTTAATCTGACTTGCACTCGGATGGGATACCTAAATACAATGCAAATTACAAAAGGTCATTCCTGACAGATATAATCAAAATAAAAACACTTATAATTTCACGCAATAAAGCAGAGCTTGGCCTCACTTTCTAAACCCAACAAGCATGTCTTACCTTCGACTTTCTTGCACCAAAATGCGACGAAAGGAAATAAATTCCAAACTCCTACATCGGTTCAAAATTCTTCTACGCAACTGTAATACCATAGGATACAATCTGTCTCTTCTGTGAGTGTGTGCCTTCGTGTGTAAAAAACCTCTCGGCCTGTCACAGAGAGCAGAACCAGGGCAGTCTTTTTTCACACACTTGAGGTACATAGTACCCCTTTTATACACGTTCCTTCGGTATTGCCATCCGTCATTAACATGATAGATCCAGGATTGAGGTTGAGTGCCCCTGCACTTCCTCACACGGTTCAAAGCCACCATATCTCCGTGGAAAGAACTGCAATTAAAATGGGACATACATGAAGCAAACGTTGAAAAGAACAATGGGAAAATAAAAGAAAACGGCATTACTTAAGAGTGCTGAGGATGAAAAGTAGGCAGAAGGCACTCAGTAACCAAACACAGCATTTCATACGAAAAACACGACGGAAACAATGCATAACTACGCGTTCGCACAGAGACATAAAACAGGCAAAGGTTTCACATTTACAAGTAGGCCGAAGTGGGGCCGGCAAGGCGACTATTATGAATGTGATTGTTTAATCTTGGCCGTGACACACAGGACACACTGGAAAAGGCGGAGCAGAATGCCGCTCCGTGCAGGAAAACTTCGTCAACGACAGTTGACAGTGGGGCAGCAGCCAAGTACCCCCACCACCACTGCAAGTATTCCCTGCCGGCTTCCTCACCTCCGCGCGGTTGGGATGACTTTCGGCGCGCCCAGGGCTCAGGGCTAGCTAGAGACCCTGGGCTAGCCCAGGGTCCGTAGCAGCGCGCCCCTGGAGGTGCTACTGCTGCATCCTGCACATCCTAGTCGCGCGGGGGGGGGGGGGGATTGACATATTTTCAGATTTCACTGTGATTATCTTCTTGGACCCTCCCATGCTTTGTGCTTCAGCTATTGGTGGTAAGCAGGCCTCAACTTTTCTACAAGAGGTCCATAAGACGTGTCTCCCTTTCTCTCTCTCGTCAGTTGCTGGATTTAATCGGTGTCACAAGTATGATTGAGGAAAGGAGGCCACCGCTCTACGACTGGTGCCGAGAGCCTGTGCGGGGCGGCTTCGGTTCCCGTCGAGGCTATGCGTCCGGCGCGTCCGGCCGCTCGGTGGTGGACATTTCCCATCGCTGCAGCGAGGCGTCGACAGCCAACCAGGAGCAGACAACGGACGTCCTGTGCCAGCTCGTCTCGCAGTCCCGCACCCCGGCGCCGCGGCCCGCACCCGACCTGAAGGTTTGACGGCACCATGCCGTGGGCCATCGGGCCATCTCTGACGCGCTGTTCCGAGACGCGGCGCGGGAGTTATTGGCTGGACCGACGGCGAGAAGGGCCGCCGCCTTTTCCGCGCCATCCACGGACCCGCAGCGGCGCTGCTGCATCCCTGCCGCCCGCACGGTACACCGACTTCGCGACGCTGGAGAGGTACGCGCCGGCCGCCCGTGCCCGCGTTCCCGAGGCGTCCTTGGAGCACCGCCAACAGAAGTGAATGGAGGGCATCCGCGAGTACGCCGACAGTGCTGGGGTTGGTGCGCGAGGCGTAACCCTCCTGGGGAAGGACCCGCTGCAGTCAACCGCGCGCCGTGCCTTCATCGCCGGCCTTGCCGACCCCGAGGGGCGCCGGGAAATCCATCGCCGGGACCCGGACACCTTCGCCGAGGCCGAGACCGTCGCCAGTCCTGCGGCTGGAGGCCGCTGACCAAGCGGAGCGGCCTGCCGCCCAAGAGATCGGTCTGCCAGGTAGCCTTCCACCTCTGCGGCAGGTGCGCGTGGCCGCCGTCGCCGTCCGTCTGCCCGCCAACGAGGACCGGTCGCTGGTGGCCGGCCTCCGCGATCTGCTGCGATGCCTGGCGTGGCCAACGCGGGGCCTCCAGGAGACCGCTATGACGCCGCCGGCGAGCGAACCGCCGAGATGACCGCCCGCGGAGGCCGCGCACGCTGCTTCCTTTGCCACGGCCTCCGCCACTCCACCGCCACTGTCAACGTGTCGGTCAGTAGTCGTGACTCGTGACTTGCTTGAAGGCCGTGTTGTTTGAGCCCGTGGGAATATCGAGGGACACTGCGTGTGAACCCGTGGGCGCAACGAGGAAAGCCAACGTTGTTTGAACGCGTGGGGTCATTGTAGGAGCGTGGCTCCTGTTGGGGCGCCCCCGAGCGCGTGCTCCGCACGCGGGGCGTGTCGTTCCCCGCCGATCTGCCCCCAGGCCTCACGGTGAACAGCACGCTGCTTGCCGACGGCGACGGCAGTGCCTTGGCTTGGCGGTGACCGTGCACAACGACTTAGACCGGCCGCTGAATCTGCGCTGCGGCGCCCACCTCGGCGACCTGCGCGTACCCGGCCCACGTCGACGCGACAGTGGCCGAGGACGCCGGCGCTACCCCGGCTGTGGAGCTCTCCGCTCCCTTGTCGGTCCTCGATCCTAGACTCCTGCAGCGCCGCCCTCTCCGAGCTCGAGGTGAACCAAGTCCGGCAGTTGCTCCTCTAGTTCCAGGACGTGTTCTCGTGTGGCGTTGAGATCGGGCACTGCACTCTCGTCGAGCATTACATCGACACCCGTGACTCGGCGCCCATGAAGCGAGCACCGAGGTGCTTGGCTTCCATCAGCAGCAGAGGGCGGACAACTGCATCCGGGCAATGGTCGAGCAGGACGTTACGAGCAGTCGGACTCACCCTGGGCCTCGCCGATCGTCATCCTGGTCAAGAAGGACGGCAAGCCCCGATTCGCCATTGACCTCCGCCGGCTCAACGAGGTGACGTGAAAGGACGGCTACCCGCTGTCGCAGATCGACAATACACTGGACTTCCCTCCAGGGCGCCCAGTGGTTCTCGTCCTTGGACTTGAGATGGGGCTACGGGAACATTCCCCTGGCGCCGCGGGCACGCCCCAAGTCGCCTACCTGGACGATATCGTCATCCCGGGGGCTACCTTTCAGCGAGGCGCAGTCCAGGCTGCGCGGGGTACTTGTCCGCGTGAGCGCGGCCAACTTCCTGCTGAACCCAAAGAAGTGCAGCCTCGAGTATCTATGCCACGTCATCGCCGCCAATGGAGTGTCGTCGGCTCCGGACAAGGCCATTAAAATCCGGCACTGTCCCACTCCGCGGGACAAGACGCAGCTGCGGAGCGTTGTCTGCCTCGCCCAGTGCTACGCCTGGTTTGTGCCCACTCAACGCGATGCTCTCGCAGGACGTGCCCTTCGCCTGAACGGCCCAGGCGCAGGCGGCGTTCGACAAGCATCCCGCCGCCCTCACCGAGGCCCTGATCCTACCCAACCCGGATGCCATCGGAGGCCCCTTCATGCTGGACTGCGCCGTCGGCTGCGTTCTGCGGCATGGCCATGACGGGGTGGAGCGCGTGATCACGTACCACAGCCACACTCTGACCCGGCCACAGCGCTACTACTGCGTGACGCGCCGCGACCTTCTCGCCGTGGTCCTCGCATCTACCGCTTCCACCACTTGGTCGGCCGAGTGGCCTGGCCCGGTCTGACCACGCGGCGCTGCAGTGCACTGACAACTTAAGTGTGTACTGGGTACACACGAGCACTTATGTGTGTATTGAGTACAAACATAGATTTTCAGTGTGGCTGCGCTCCCTGCGCGACACGGCTGACGGGCAGCTGGCCCGCTGGCTGAAGTCCCTGGCGGCCTACGACTTCACCATCGAGCACCGTCGCGGCCAGGACCACGGCAACGTCGACGCCCTGTCCCGCCGCCCCTGCGACCCGGAGTGCCGGCACTGCTCCCGCCGAGACCTGCCCCTTCTGCCGGCTGAGGTCGCCGTCAGGCGCACGCGCCTGGTGGACGCTGACTCGCCGACTCCCTTGGACTTCCCCGTGCGGCCCAGGCCACGGACCCGGACATCGGCCCCATCATGCGCGCCGTGAAGGACGGCGTCCGACCCAGCAAGGAGTCGGTCAGTGACGCCGGTGCACCCACGAAGGCCCTGTAGTTGCAATGGCAGTCTCTCGACATCCGTGACAACCTGCTGTGCCGCCGCTTCGTGGACGACCGGGACCGCGCCACGCAAGCAGCTGATCCTGGCGCGGGTCTACGTCCGCGCCGTGCTCCGCACGCTGCACGACGCCCCGGGCACCGGCGGCCACCTGGGCCACAACAAGACGATCGCCAAGGTGCGGGTCCACTGGCCGGGACTCTGCCAGCATGGAGACGCCAGGTCAAGGGTGCCTGTCCTGGGCCGTGCCACTACGGCGGGAGGTTCCCCTCGTCACCGGCTATGGCCTGGTGGCCACCCTACAGTGTTAGCACGTTGCACCGGGCGCCCCTACAACCACCAACAACCGCTACTTGTAAGCTAGTTAATCGGCAATTAACCTCATAATAAATCCTCGAACTGTGCAGACGTGTCTCCCCTCTCCTCTCTCGTCACTCCCTGACAATGTTTTGGATTCTATTAATCGCAACATTGATTTTGTGGTTACAATGAATGCTTACGGGCTGTAAATTTAGATTCATGAACATGCCATCAGATTTGATGTGCGTACTTTAACCTCGACCAGTAATCACTTCATCTTATAATATGTGCAATTGTGGTCTTGTCAACAGAGTTGGGGCACAAGGCGCAGGGCAGGCATACTTAAGACAGATAGAAATGTAAGTGAGAAATGAGTTTTATTTCAATGATTATCAAGGAAGGGCATGGCCATTCATATTATTTTAGCAACCATCTTAATTGAAGAAAGTGGTCATGCAAACACCATACAAGTAACCTTCATTACACATAGAGAAGGACAGAATGATAACTTCCTCAAAAATCTATTAACATCTTTGTCAAAAGACCAGAAAGTCAAAATTAAAAAGAAGTAGTAGAAATGAACAAAAGTAAGCTTAAAAAACAATTGTAACATAATTTCCAAAATCAGCACTTCTCGAAGAGAGTGCAACTTACAAATGATTCCCATTAAACAAACGAATCACAGAGTTAAAAATAAAGTGAACCACCACAGAAACACATGGAGAATGACAGAACTTCCTCTGTGTTCAAACATCTCTAAAATTCTTTATCAAAAGACCAGAAAGTCAAAACTAAAAAGAAGTAATAGAAATGAACAAAAGTAAGCTTAAAAAACAATTGGAACATAATTTCCAAAATCAGCACTTCTCGAAGAGAAAGCAACTTACAAATGATCCCCATTAAACAAACGAATCACAGAGTTAAAAATAAAGTGACCAACCACGGAGGACAGAACTTCCTCTGTGTTCAAAAATCTCCAAAATTCTTTATCAAAAACCAGAAAGTCAAAACTAAAAAGGAGAAAATAGACATGATCAAAAGCAAGCTTAAAAACCAAATTCCCAAAAACTGCACTTCCCTAAGAGAGTGCAACTTACAAAAGATTCCCATTAAACAAACAAATCACACAGTTAAAAACAAAGTGAACAACCACAGAAAATGAGAAGTTACTTTAAAAAGGAAGCCTTAGCCTTTTGGTACAATTTCTTGATCTTACTACGCAGCCAATGTGGCAAATTGTCAAGCAAACTAAAAAAATGTGACTCATCCTCCACAGGCTGCAACTGTGGCAGGTCGGAGAGGGTTTTTGACTCAGGTTTGAAACAGGAGAAGTAGGCCAAAATGCATTGTCTGCTCATGCCATCTACAGTGTCAAGAGCACTTGGACGGTTCAGTAGATCTTCTACTTCTTTTAAAACCGGAAAATCTGGAAACATCAATTTAAGGTTTATTTAGAGGTGAAATATTTCAAGCTAATGAACATCAATAAGACGACTAAGGTGCAGCATTTTAAAGCATGATTTGAGATTAGAATCTATAGAAATTTGGCACTGCTTCACAATTTGTACACTTGGTGCGGCATTGATAGCAGGTGTTTTTAGCAGCTACCCAAATACTGGCATGTCCAATACATGCTGCTAAACAGCCGCAAGGGTAGCAGCGTAACACCTCAGAACTGCAGTCCAACTTTTCCAAGCCGATACAGCACTTGTCAACTTTAATTCTTCGTCCCTCACCTTGAATGTCACTGTCACTGGATTCGTCAATCTGAAAAGAATAAAATTGAACATAACAATAAGTTTTGATGAAGAACGATAGACCTCCTACTTGACCTGGACAAAGCTTCCTACCATTTCAACATTATGTTGATCATCTTTGTTTCCAGGCACTGGATAAATTGAATAAGAAAACAAATAATTAAAAAAAAAAAACCAAAAGCACACTACCCAATAACCTCAAGAAATAAACCCATAAGAGGTGGTGCTCAGTAATGTTCAAAATAAGAAGTTAATTGGGAGTAACGCCTCAAATGTGAACGGCAGGAAAATTCAACCTGCATATGGTGACAAAGTTAAGCCTTTACTGTGCAAAATGCAAGGGATGCCAATTTTCAGTCAGCAATATTGGTGGGGAAAATGACATATACAAATAATGAATAAAATGAAATCTTACTCACTTGTTGGCTTGGCATCATCGTCACTGGATGAATCAATTGTAACAGCCTAGAAACACAAAAATAGTATTTAATACACACAAAGACATAAGTAGACTGTTCAAATACACTCATGACCATGCTTATGTAATATTTACTTCAGACTGAAATCAAGTCTCAAATATTACCTGTTTCACAACCTTCTTGGTCCCTTTAAGGGACAGTTTTGAGGACTTGCCTCTCTTGGGGAGTCCAACATCTGAATCATCATCGGACGAAGAAAATGTATATACATTTTTACTTGGTCCTGCCACATCAACATTTCTCTGCAAAATAACCAAAGGTTACTTAAAATGTTTAACTAGTGTTGTGGTATGAGTTAAACATTGAATATATTATATTGTATTCCATCTGTTAAAGAAGAGAAGAGATTCAGAAAAAAAAGAACATACCGAAGTTGTTGCCTTAGCATTAATCATCTGGCTTCTCAAATTGTACTTTCGGATTTCCGGTTTGGACTGCAAGAAGAAAAAGTATGACTAAAATGCAGCAATTCGAAACAGAGACAGTGTTATATTCGTGTAAGGTCCTTACAGAAGATGGTTGTGTTGGCAGACATTGTGGCTGGTTCATAACTACATTCTGTGCGTTGCCCTCTGCAGCATCATTAAGTTGACACTGGAAAAACAAAAATTTTGTTAAGAATTACTGTAGGGTACCAGAGCATCTATTTTCACTTCATAGCCAGATACATTTTTAAGCTACTTACTTGTACTGGCGCATCACTTGGACGCCACTGGAAAAATAAAACATAAGAATGAAAAACAAACTAGAATTAGATTCAAAATTAAAATTCAGCAATTCTACACAAAAACAGATTTATATTATACAAGGTGCTTACAGAAGATGGTTGTTGGGGTAGGTGTAGTGGCTGGTTCGAAATTGGATTCTGGGTGTTGCACTCTGCAGCATTACTAGGTTGCCACTAGAAAATAAAACAATTTTTGCAAATGCCATAATTCTCATAAAAAAACACCTCTACATACTGTTCACATGACATTCTTGAAAGGAACATACTGGGTTCTGTTGCCGGGTCCCAAGATTGAGCGACAGGTCTGTCTTGGCTACAGCACGTGCATCAGCATTAGGTACGGAGTGGGATGCTTTCATCTGTGGCACATGGAATGTTCCTGCCTCTTCAGATTGCATAATCACATTCTGGGCATTGCCCACTGCAGCATTACTAGGTTGCCACTAGAAAAATAAAACAATTGTTGCAAATGCCATAATTCTCAAACAAAAAAAACCACCTCTACATACTGTTCACATGACATTCTTGAAAGGAACATACTGGGTTCTGTTGCCGGGTCCCAAGATTGAGCGACAGGCCTGTCTTGGCTACAGCACGTACATCAGCATTAGGTACGGAGTGGGATGCTTTCATCTGTGGCACATGGAATGTTCCTGCCTCTTCAGATTGCATTCTCACATTCTGGCCATTGCCCACTGCAGCAAAATTAGGATGCCACTGGAAGAGGAAAAATGTTGTTGACAATTTCTGCATAGCAACAAAGTACCTATCTTTACTTCATAGCTGCTACATTTTTAAGCTACTCACTTGTACTGGCGCATCACTTGGACGCCACTGGAAAAAATAACACATTAGAATGAAGAACAAACGAGTATTTGATTAAAAATTAAAATTCAGCAATTCTACACAAAAACAGATTTATATTATACAAGGTGCTTACAGAAGATGGTTGTTGGGGTAGGTGTAGTGGCTGGTTCACAATTGGATTCTGGGTGTTGCACTCTGCAGCATTACTAGGTTGCCACTAGAAAAATAAAACAATTGTTGCAAATGCCATAATTCTAAAAAAAAACCTCTACATACTGTTCACATGACATTCTTGAAAGGAACATACTGGGTTCTGTTGCTGGGTCCGAAGATTGAGCGGCAGGTCTGTCTTGGCCACAGCACGTACATCAGCATCAGGTACGGAGTGGGATGCTTTCATCTGTGGCACATGGAATGTTCCTGCCTCTTCAGATGCATTCTCACATTCTGTCCATTGCCCACTGCAGCAAAATTAGGTTGCCACTGGAAGAGCAAAATATGTTGTTGACAATTTCTGTAGGGTAACAGAGCATCTATTTTCACTTCATAGCCAGATACATTTTTAAGCTACTCACTTGTACTGGCGCATCACTTGGACGCCACTGGAAAAAATAACACATTAGAATGAAAAACAAACTAGAATTTGATTAGAAATTAAAATTCAGCAATTCCACACAAAAACAGTTTTATATCATACAAGGTCCTTACAGAAGATGGTTGTTGTGGCAGGTATAGTGGCTGGTTCACAATTAGATTCGGAGTGTTGCACTCTGCAGCATTATTAGGTTGCCACTGGAAAAACAAAAAATTGTTGGAAATGCCATTATTCTCAGAAAAAAAAACACCTTTACATATTGTTCACATGACACTCTTGAAAGGAACATACTGGGTTCTGTTGCCGGGTCACAAGATTGAGCGGCTGGTCTGTCTTGGCTGCACTACCAGCGTTAGGTACGGAGTGGGATGCTTTAATCTGTGGCACATGGAATGTCGCTGCCTCTTCAGATTGCATTCTCACATTCTGTCCATTGCCCACTGCAGCAAAATTAGGTTGCCACTAGAAGAGCAAAAATATTGTTGACAATTTCTGCATAGCAACAAATCAACTATCTTTAAGCCTGCTACATTACTTACTTGTAGGGCTTGTAGATTAGGAAATGTTGCTGAAGAGTGGGGATTCACAATTTCCGACCCCATATTCAAAGGCTCTTCAGCACGGGCAATGCTTTGTGGTCCACTTACCACTTGAGGATTGTTCAGACTATCACTTGAACGGCACTGGAAAAATAACAAATGATAATAATGAAGCCGACGCCTCCTAAATAGAATAATCTTAACTGTCTGTGCTGAACCAAGACAACCCTAACTGCTCAGAGGTAGAGGAGGCTAAAACTGCTCATTAGCTCTCTTCAGTCCAAACCAGCGAGTCATAATATCACTGAAATACAGCTTCCACGTTTATATGCAAGGTTTATACTTTTTAACAAATCCATTGCCAAGAAATTTGATGCAGCATGTTGGCGTTACAGAATTTTATAAGAAATAGCTTTTTACGACGTACAATCTGCGCTGACGGTTAAGATTGTCTTAGATTAGTACTGACAGTTAGGATTATTCTATTAGGAGGCGTCGCAGTTATTTCAGAAAACTGTCCACACTGAACAATAAACACATACAAGCATTGGTTGTTGTTGAGAAATTGGAGCCATGAATCTGCGACTACGCATAACTGTCACCTCCTCAACTAGCTGCGGGTTTGGCTGTTAAAAGGGAAAAGACAAATGAATTAAAACCAAGTGCGAGTTCATAAAATTTCTACTTAATTACAATCCTATGGAAATCTAATGTTTTGAGTGAAAAATTAAGGTGATTGCAAGGAAGGCTTTCGAATTGAAATTGTTAGAAAGAGCCCATGAAGAGACCCGAATCACTCTGAAACTTGACCTTTATTTGAGTCTGTAGCTATTGCAACTTGCTCATCACAATCCCACGAAACCTAATGAAATCCTAGCCTCACGAGAAAAATAAGATGCTTTGACCATTAGGGTATAAAGCTCTCAATGAACCTTTGAATGAACTTGATGAACAAATCTTAGAATCAGAAGTACTATTGTACGACATCGCCTTAAGCATTGCAACTTTTACAGGCAGAAAGAGACGGGAACAAACAACACAGTTCAGATCCCATCCCAGTAATTGGTCACCACGTTCTTTTTGAAACGCGGACAAATAAACCTTTTGGTTTGGGCGAAGGAAGACAAGGATACCGTTCGATTATATTAGGACTTGAAGAGATTAATTGGAAAAATAATTAACAAGCGCTATGCGTAACCGCGTTAGTGCGAGCAGGACGGCGGAAAGATAATTTAGGCTTTGAAATAAAATTTCACTCACGGTCACTCGAAACTCTTTTCTACTAAAGAACTAGCCCATTCAATAGCGTTTTCAATTCAAACCGCGGCTAAGCAAAAGTCACGAAGCTCAGTACATGATGAAAGGTTAGACACACGTGATGGAGCTTGGCTGGCGTCAATGATAAAATTTTTATCTTGCCAAGACCAGTAATTCAACTTACAGGTGCAGATGTGGCGGTGAATGGCCACCCCGGAGGAGGCTTTGTAAAATCAATTGAATTGAAATCCATTTTGAGATTCGTTATCACCCTTGTCCCGATCACGCGCTGTGTCCAACGGTCCTTCCACCCTCGATCATGCGAACTGTACTACTGCGCACTGCGCTGCGCAACTTTATGGTATCCCCTCTGGGTGCGTTCAAAACTATGGTTCAAAATCTGGCTGGCGGATTGAGGCAGAACCGGAGGCCTCCTCTGATTTCCTTTGTATGAAATGCATTGATCAAAATGTTAGCAAGGCATCAAAACCTGACTGCAAAGTAAAATCACGAAAATAAACAGTTTGGTTCAGCCCCAGCCGCAGGCATGACATCAACCAGCTCTGACCGTTTGCACTGCATTCGCCGCCAAACTTGCGACGCGCACGAAACACAGCCTAAAAGTGTTACTGTGCTTCACTTGCTTCCTTCAAAACGAAGAAGTATCTCTGCTTGCAAGTATTATTTATTGCCAAATTTGACTGATAAGGTGATGGAAACAATGGACATTCCCGAAGGTAATATTCTACGCGCTCCATTTGTTGATTTACCGCCACATTTGGTTATCCATCCCGAGGCCATACAAGCATGAGGTGGACACCTGTGGCACCTAATTTCGTGAAAATATTATGTATTTGGCTTTTGGGAGGCTGTTGGCAAGTTGACCGCCACTGTCAGCATCGACCATGCCTTACCTGGCCGTGCTCTATGCAGTTTCCCTTGTACGCGATGGAAAAATCCTCCTTTGGTTAAGGAAATCATGCCTTGGCAGTCCAAGGGCTTCTGTGGATTATTTTTGAAGTTCCCAAATTTAACCTTGTTTTTTAAACGGATTGCTTTCGGGAAGTCTAAGTGTCATCATATCTCATGGGGTCCGATTCAGAATGTGTTCAGTTGTCAGCAAATGAACTCGTTTTGAGGTTTTTAACACTTATCATGGCCAGCAACTTATATGTTTTGAGTCGGAATTTCTTAATTCATGATGTGTGATGACAATTTTTGTTTGTCTATTTTAGAGGAATACATTTTTATAAGTAAATTTCTGTATCAATAATTTCAGAGTTGTGCCCAAGGCTCTTGGAAATTACTTCTAGGCACCGTCTTGTTAACCAAGGGAGCATTTTACCATGTAATAGCAATGCGTTGGGAACCCATGTACTGAAACATGTGCCTCATAAAATATTCCATACAATTTAAGTTTACTATGTTTTCACAGATGACCCCGCAATTGAATTGTTGAAGAATGTGGTGCAGTCAGAAGTCCAAAAAATGCAGGAAAAAATTTTGGATGAAATGAAAGGGCCTTTTAAGGCAGGTGTCAAGGAGAAACTGAAGTCTTTGAAGAAAGAGGTTGAAGAATGTGTCAAATTGCTGAAGGTGGAAATGATGAATGAAGTTAAGGAGGAAATTGAGAAATCTATATCGAAAGCGCTGCTGTCCTTGAAAACTGAAAAAGAAAAAGAGAGGAAGCGTGAACCATCTGATGAAGACGTGAGTAATCTGAGGGTAACTTTTCTTTCCTCATACTCTGACCTGAACCTTTCATTTTTACTCTTATCAATTGCTTTTCCCTCAGGACGAAGAAGAAGATGATGAGGATGATGACCTATCTGACCTTGAGGTATGTGTATATTTTTATTAATGGTATTAAACTTTCTTTAAATTGTTCTTTAGTTTATTTGCTTACTTCTCTCTATCTCAGACCCGCCTATGGGGAAAATCATATGGGGCTAAATCCTCTAAGCCCAAGCAGAAAAAGGGAGATGCAACAGATCAGCATGAGGAGGATGAGGAAGAAGACGATGAGGTATTTCAAAACTTTTATGAACTTCAATAGAAGCGTTTACAGTAGCTCACTGAATTTTTCCTCTCTGTCCTTAGGCTCCTCCTCCCAAGAAAAGAGGACGCAAGAAGGGTTCTAAAAATAAAACTCTATCCAAACCCCAACTAGCTGCAGAGCTGGCCAAACTTGAAGGCCAACTTAAGAAAAAGAAATAGTTTTACAACAGGATTCCTTTTTTTACAATCTAAAACACTTTGCATTTTTCTGCCTTCAGGCATTTTAAATTTTCTTAAACTCTGTTTGACGTTGTTTCATATTTGTTTGTAGTTGATTCAAACATTTGGTTTACTTGTTACCAGATTTCATCATTATTGTTTTTACTATTATGCTGTACTTTGCAGTGGAAAGTAATTATGTTCCAGTTTATTGGTGTTGAAACAACTGTTCCTCACTAACTAACTCAATAAACTGTAGGCACTTGATATGTTTTGATTGTCAAATGCAGGATATTGAAGGGAATAAATTTACACAATTAATGATGGAATTAAAACTTTACTTTCCCCACACACAACAAGTACTCCTGCACATCAAAGACATTGGAAACAATCTTCATCTGCCCATAAAATTGTCCGTAGATGGGTTTAGGCAAGACAGAAACATGGATAGAGATGACCATGATCTCAGCTATAGACCAGAGAAAAGATGAATGACAACTAACAACAGTAAAGATTCAGGAATAATCTTGAGATTTATGAACTAATTAATCAGAAAATACAGCAGAGGGTATGATTCAAAGTACCAAAACTCATCAGAAAGTATACAAGTCCAAATGGTGAGTTAAAACTTAAACTGATACATTAACTAAATCAGCAGGCATTAACTTACTTGATACAAACAGCAGAAAAATGTGCAAGTAGTAAACTAGTTTGACAAAAATAACTTAGAGTTCAAAGTGCAAGAGTTTTTACTCACAGCAGCTGAAATGCTAAGACAAGATATCAGCAAATTCTAAGCTGAGAAATGAAACAAATGGAGATATATTGTCCTTGAATTAAAGACAACTCAAAAACAACACATGCAAAAAAAAACCATGCCAAACAGCTACTCTCAACACAACTAAATAAAACCAACATTTCAAAGCAGCTTGCTTAAGTGAAAAATTTTTCGCAAACAGATATTACATCAAAGATAATTCCAATCGACATTGGTAATATGAGCCAGGAACCACACGTACTGGGTGAGCAAACTTGAGTGATAAAAACACAATTGTGACACTACAAAGTCCAAACAGAGCCAGTCAATATAAAATGACACGATTGCCATGCCATGGACATAACATTCAAATAAATCAGGAGACACAGGTGTACATAAATAATCACAGAATATTGGAATACATTACACACATCATTCATTGTCCTAAATTAGTGACACAAGCTAATTGTGCCACTACAGACTGTAGAAAATAATCAACAAACTTCGTGGACCAAGTAATGAGGGGGCTCAAGGACTATTTGGAATAATTGACCAAAGACCAATGTACACAGCCGAAGGAAGTGTAACTGCAGAGAATTTACTCAGGCCACACAGAAACGACTACCTGAGCCCAGAAAAGAGCCAGAAAAAGGTTGACAGCTACCATATGCTCAATCTAATACATCTTCCTGTGCCGTACAGTCATGACCATTAGATGGAAGGGCAATGTTGCCAAGCTTACTTTAGATAAAGATACTACAGAATGCTAGATAAAAGTAATGTTACATGATCAATTTCAGTTAAACGATATAAACACATTAAAAAACAGACAGACAATAAAAATTATTTTCTTCACATGGGAAACCGAGAAATATTGCATTGCATAACAGACTCAAGAGAAACTATAAGCATTTGTTACCTGACAGTTTCTCCCAAAATAAATCCCAGATTAATACCAGTCTGATACAAAGTCACGGACAACTGTTGAAAAGAGATTCCCTATCCTCTTCTTTTGCACTGTCGATTCATCCACATTACAGCAAGAGGTATAATACCATGCAGCTCCTGCAATAAGAAAAAATCAACCAATAAGATGAACACGTTAAAAGATACGTTTGGTTGTTGAATGAATATGAGCAATGACAAAACTTACTCTCTTAATAAAACACACTGCTTCTCCCTGCATGAAATCCAAAGGACACCATGACCATAGGCTTCTCATTTCACCGCTGCAAAAATTACACAATGAAATGAAAAAAAATGACACATGAAGGTGCTACATAGCAGTTAATTGAAAGGAATGCAATAACTGCTGTCATTTAACAAGCGGAGACAAACAAGAGTGAGAGTAAGGGGAGGTCAAGCCACCTTAAGTAATATCTAACACAAGAATATTCATGACAACAGCTTGTTAGACTTAAATCTCTCGATGTAATATTACTTGTAATGGCAGCACGCACTTACCTGTCTTGAGGAGGTCAGCAGTTTATTGCATTTGGGAATGCTCCAAGTACTTCAAAGGATGAAGCAATTATCCGCATTCTCTAGTCCTCTCACTGGAGAGGATAACTGAAGAGACAGACAAGACTGTTGTTTATCTGTCAACAAGCTACACTCTAGTTTGAAGCTAGTGATGGTGACGGTAATTTCAGCAGATCTTTCCCCTCTAAAAATACTATCATCCAGGCTAAAAGAAACAAAGTGCACAAAACAATTCACAGATGTACTCAAGCCTCTAAATAACAGAACATAAACTAGTTGCCTCAAAAGAGGCAACAAAGAGTCAAGACTCCTGGCAGAGCAAAGAACAGAGTGAATGCAGCCAGGTCTCAATTATTATTGTTTGACAGCATAAAATACAAGACAAAAAAATATATATTTACTTTACACAAACAAAAACTATAACAAGTCACTTCATAGTCATGCACTTGAAAGAAAATTATTTTCTATAACTAGGGCACTGTACAGGGGGTAGATACTTCACTGCACACATTTAATGAGCAAAGCGAGCTCCAAATGGCACTCCCAGTCCTGCTAATTTGGCCTTATTTGAATAGTCCAGAGTGAAAATTAGCTATTTCGTAGTTTTAAATCAGCTGTTAAAAAGCAGAGGTAAATAATGGAAGGGGTGGAACTATTCCTTATTCAACTTAGCAACTCACCCAAGTGAGAATAGCAAATCATGTTTCTCTCCAGACCAGTTCCACCCAAGAGGCTCAACATAAAGCAATGTAGCTACTCACCCACGAGAGAATGGAAAATCGTGTTTCTTTCCATGCCCAGTTCCACCCAAGAGGGCCGTACAAAGAAAAGCAGATGTAATTTGGAATGCCTTCACCACTGTCACACTTTTCACTTCATAAACTAGAACTACAGACAATATCTGAGTGACATTGCAGTAGAAACGAACTATGGGTGTGCAAATATCAACAGCTTATCCCATGCTTTGTACTTGAGGTAGGAAATCCAGAAAGCCACTATTATGTTATATCGAGCACAGCCTTGAGTCTAGCCTCAATGTGTAGGACATAACCCTACAGGCCTCACACCAATCTTAAAAAATTCCATATTCTTTCAAAATTACAGAGTGACAGGTGGGAGAAAATAATATAACCCTGAATTCTTTAGGTAGTTCGCATAACCTCCACAAAGATGGAACTGAAACAAAACGAGCAGACGCGTCCAGGACGCGGTCTACAATAGCACGAGCGCTTTATAAATATCTGATTGTCGTCGCACATTCATCACAAAGATTTTTTTTTTTAAATTAACAAGTTCAATATCAAGTAGAAGACCACTGCAGAAGGCAGAAGTCAATTCGAAAGAAGCGACAGTATCGTCTGATTCGAAGTAAATAGTTCACGATCAGTTGCAAGAAATATTCTCATTTGCTACTGTGTACCTTTTCCATAGAGCATTACCGTAGAAATTATTACTTTGGATTAGGCATCTATTTTCTGCTCTGCTGGCCCGACAGACAATGTTGTTGTTTTCGGTCGTCGGTCGGTCCGCCATGATGGCAGTGATGGCAGGCGGTGGCTGTACCAACGTACGCCACTTTTCGAAAGAAAATAATTGAACACCACGCAATTCGGTCATGAAAGCCTCAGAGAGCTAACAAATAATTTTAACTCTATTATTTTTGTTCATAATTACAGGTCCTTTTTCAAAGTGCCACAATAAATAACGCGGCCACAGGTGAACTTCATCGGACAACAGTTGGCTAACAGCGCATCGTAACGGTTCGGCAAGTTCGGCTCCACCACACGTTTGAACTTGATATCGGACAACGGTCCTTCTTGAATCAGGAATCCAATTAACCGGATTATTTCTCAATTGTGCTGTTAAAGCAAAATGAAGGGACGCGTGAACAACAGACTTTACTTTCTGATTCAAATGCGCACAGAACTACTTCGCTTCGAGAAGAAATAGTGTTGAGGTAAGTCCCACGAACTCTTGAAACCTCTCGTTTCAAAGCAGACCGTATTTTGACTTTTCACCGGTGTTTATCCTATGTTTTGTATGTTTTCAGTTCCATCTCCTTCATTGAATCGTGCCATTAGATGATTGGCATCCGGGAAGGTTTCGCTGTGCAACTGTTGAGGTTAAGAAAGGCACCACGGCAGCTTCGTCTCTACTGTTGCCCTGTTCAAAGAAACATCATCCCTGCGCCCAGCTAAAAGCTAAGTAACCGCTTCATTCTTATCGCTCCTTTAATTCTGTCCGTGCCCTCCAACATCCCTCCTATTTCAGTGCCTTGGTGCTGCAGATTTCAGCGCTACCTCTCAGTGCTTGTTAACTTTTTGCCCGATATGTTGTTTTCACAAACTGGTTATTCCTTTGAACTTGCTTTTGTTACCTGGATGTCTGTCCTGCCTGTGACTTTGCCTTGTGAATATGTTACTGTACATTTTGCTTTGATACCTGTTCTGTCTCGGTCTTTGTGTTAATGAGCGTCAGTGTCTTTTGTCAGTCTGCTCTTTGGATCGTATTTGTCAATTTGACTGTTTCCGTGTGCTTGCGTGAATGTGATACGTCTGTGATTTCTTGTGGCTCTGCTGCCTAGGTGTTTCCTTGCCTCTCTCTTGATTTATGAAAAATGTTCACTCTATGCCCGTTCTGCTGACCCAACTGTTTGTGCCTCTCAAATGGTGTATTGTCTGTTACTTTTGTTTTACCTTGATTGGATTTTTGTTTGCCCTCCTTTATGCTCTGTTTGTATGATTGAATTGTTTTGCCATGCTAGTGTACTTGTGGCTCTGCTCTTGTCATCTGTGTGATTGTAAGTCAATTTTGCTTGGCTTGTTTCCTGTGTCTGTCTTTGCTCTCATATTGTGAATGTTCTGTCCTCAAATAGGCCTGCTGTTCAGCTTTTTTAAAATTGTTTGTTTGTTTGCCATCGGTGTGTTGTGCATTGTTGCATTGCTGTCTTGAAGTGTCTTGACTGACTCTCATTGCTTTGTCTTGAGTGACTATGTGGTTGTCGATCTTGTCTGGTCTCTATGGCATAGTTTGCAATTGGAGTCAGTGTTCCAGTCTACATCTTCGTTTGTGCCTCTCTAATGGTGTATTGTCTGTTACTTTTGTTTTACCTCAATTGGATTTTGGTTTGCCTTCCTTAATGCTCTGTTTGTATGATTGAATTGTCTTGCCTTACTAGTGTACTTGTTGCTATGCTCTTCTCATATGTGTCATCACTAAGCTGAAGTGTTATGAATCTTACATTAAATTCTACTACTTGTGTCAAAGGGGACATTGTCTGCTTTATGAAGTGTTTGATCTGTGTATTGACTTCATTCATAGTGTGCTATGTAATTTGTTACCTTGGTTTCCTTTTGAAATAAGTTGGTGTAGTGGTTAATTAATGAATGATGACATCACTTGTGAGAGACTTGGGTATCCTTGTTCATATTTTCCTTGTTTCAATGTGCTTTGATCTGAATCTGACTGACCTTGTGCATGAGTTATGTTGCTTCTTGTAGTATTTGTCTTCAATTCTCAAGTGAATAGTGTTCATGACTGAGTTTGCACTCCCTGTCTCTCCTATTAAGTGAAGTTTTGATTGTACTGTGTGTAGGCTTGTATCTGGAGCTTTACAGTTTTTCCTCCATGCTGTGGTTTGATTGTTAAATTTTATTTATTTTGCAAGTACCATCATTGCTTCTAGAGCTGGATCACTTTTGTGCTATGTCGTTCCCTGTCATAAAAAGCTTGAAATGTTTTAGATCATGACCCTGGCTTCCTCCTTGGACTATTCCATTCTCCAGCTTGCTGTTACTGAAGTTCACCAGACTTCCACTGTCTCGCACAAGGGCTTCAAGGCACACCCCCAATGTAGTGTAAGTTTTTCTTTTTTCCCACCTACCCTCTTGTCTCATGTGTTTTGTGCATTGCCCTTTTGTGATGAATTTTTTTAATTATCGTTATTTTATCTGCACTGTCCCCTTTGGCCTGTTTAATGAAACTTTTTTTATTTTATTGTTGTGAAAGTGTGTTTGTTGTTCTTTCTCTCTTGACGTCAGACCAGGGTTGACCAGGGTTGCCAGCGACACATTCTTCACTATTTCTGAGGTGACTACACGATTTATACTATTCGCATCAGACTCTTCATTCCTTATGCACTTTGAACTTAAAACTACTTTTATTTTGCCTGTATTTCTTCTGTAATTTTTAATTTCTGTGATATGAAACTGTCTTTCCTTGTTGGTTGATATGCTTGTATTGGCAATCAGTATGTTAGGTGCTAGTGTTAGTCTTTCTGTCATTATTGCTGTAATGAGCAATGTCACCCGATACCTCTTGCCTTATTTATAGATTTGTTCCTTTGATAGTATCTTATAACTTGCCTCCTGATCATGTTATCATTTGCCTATGCCTCCCATTCAGCTCTTCCTTTTGGTATAGCTACTTCTTACTCTTAAAATTTCCTATGTTTGTGGGTTCTCCAGTAATCTCCTGGTGGTCTTCGCCTCACTCACCGACTCTGCTTGATGTCAAACTGGAAGGTGTGATGGTGTCAGAATGGTGGAATCCTGAATCGAAGAAGCTGCAGTGCCCCATGGAATTATTTTCAATCTGCATTCCAATGTGAGTAACATCGCATATTTTTATTGCTCTTGATTTTAATATCTGCCCTTGCCTTCATTTGGTGTTTTCCTTTGTAGGTTTTACCTAAGTTGCATCCCATTTTCCCCCAAGATGGACCTTCAATCCAAGCCAAGCCTTCAAGTTTCCGCATCGTTCGATCTGGAGACTTAATTCAAGCGCTTTGCCTGCTTACGAAACCCCTGGACTGAGGGCATTTAGTATGGATCTGAATCAGCACAAGAGCCATTTTCAGATGAGCAGCTACATGAGAACAATGCACTGTGTTTGTTTCAACTTCGATTACCAACTGAATTTGATTAAAATCTGTTAAGGTAGTACTTTTCTGCTTCATTCATCATCCACCCTAAACAACTATCATTAACTCATCAACTATAATTAACTCACTATCATAAACACACTCATTTCTTACTGTGAGATAAATAACGACCACACTCCAGGCCTTAGGAACAACGGTACAAGAGCTTAAGAAAGCAAATTTTCCTTGTGACCATGAAGTTTTATCTTAATTAGAATCTTTACTCAACTCCTAAGATGATAGACAGAAATGAGGCCCAGCTCCTTGCCACACAGAAGTAGTGAAAACATAGCACACCAGTAATAGCAGAAACAGAAACAGTAAATAATGCTATGGCTCATTTAAAGGGGTTTTCAAACGTACAGACTTATTCGCTCTTTCAGGATGTTGAATAATGGCCCAAAAGAGTAGCTATTTCTGTTGCTCTTGCTAAGTTCTCATGTCATGTGGATCTTAATTAAAAAATGCAGCATAAAAATTAATTGCCGCCTAAAGTAACAGTAAGCAGGTCACCAAACTTACATTGCTTCTAATGTGACAAACTAGGGCATAAATGCTCACAGCTACATCAGTAAAATTGAGATATTTCTTTATTTGGGTTGACACCTCAAGAACAAAAAATTGAACAAGAAGACACAATAAAGGAACTTTAAAATTAATGATTTTTTAAGAAGGTGGGGAACAATGCAATTTAGAAGATTTACCCCTAAGAAAAGAAATGCGCAGTTATAATACTAGAAACGACACAGACATACAGGCTATATCAAGTTAAGGAAATTCACAGTTCACAATTCACAATTCACAGTTCACAGATAGGGTGAGGGGTGAGGCGGGGAGCTGCGAATTGTGAATTGTGAATACTCCCCGCCTCACTTCTCACCCTATCTGTGAACTGTGAATTGTGAATTGTGAACTGTGAATTTCCTTAACTTGATATAGCCACACATTGAGTTCTACACAACAGTAGTTGATAGAAATAACCCATTATGCATGGGATCTCAATTGTTTAATAGACTCCCTAAAGAAATTCAGGATATGAGAGACAAACCTAAAATCTTTAAAAATGTTCTCAAAAAGTTCCTCACACAAAAAGAGCCGTAAATTCAGGGTGACCTTTGAAAACTTTCTCTGAAACTGCTGGGGTGACTTTATATTTTCTATCTTATGCTCGTGGTGCTGTGCTTTGCACTTTGTTCTTGACTTGCGTAAAAAACTTATGTAAATCCTGTAAATTTTTACCGCAATAAATACAAATACATAAATTCTTCACCACCCCTACATACAGATCAAGTTACGACACCTAAAATATTGGTGAGACCAGTGTACACCGGAGAATCAATATGCTCACAGCCTCAGCAGTGGAATTGAAATATTAGTTTATACATGCTGACACTGCATGTGCTCCATCAAGGGTGTAATGCAATGTGTACGACAAAAACAAAATAAAAACTATACTTTAACAAGGCAGGGAGCAATACATACAGTGCTTACGTACAGAGGCATAGCAAAGGCACAGAGAAAATAGAAACATAAGTCATTTTGCTAAAGGAATTGGATCTCACTTCCCCACTAGTTAAGTTCAGTTCAATGATTCTTGCTTGAAGCCAGAAATATAATAGGAGTAATACATGAGGACTGAAGCAAGATGAATTGTCACTGTACTTTAACATGCACATCAAATACTAAATATATCCAAAAGTCAGATACAAAACTAACAAAGTTTGTTCTAAAAATGCTATCTTACAAACATTTCAAAATAATCCTGAGTCAGAATGTAGCCCTCCTGGGAAATAAACCAAATAAACCAATGCCTATTCCTGTGAAGTTGCTGCTGTTGCTCAAACTCTCAGTGCAAACTTTCACAAACAAATCTCCAAAATGGTAGCATTACCAGTTTGAAATTCAAGTTTCCCATGAATAGTCTTGTCATCTGATTAAAAAATACCAAGCAAGAAGCTTCCAACTAAGTAAGGACTACAGTTGCTAAATAAACGAACCATTGTTCAGTATAAACAATTTTATCTGAAATTGAGTGTCTTTACCAGGAAAAATTGTCAACTCCCCTTGAAAAATTAAAATAAAAGAGCTTATTACTAAATCTTTATCTGCCCCAAGTTCAACAGAGTCAGGAGGTCTTGGGCAGCAAGATAAGACAGAGAGACAAAAAATTTGACAATGTGACATGGGCACTCACCCAGCCAATGGAGAGAAACCATCTTTACGACTATCTCTGGCCACATCAAAACAATATGATACGCCTCGATACACTGATATAAACCAATAAATTTTATACTTTGCCCTGTTATATCTCAAGTAAATAGTTGTGATCACTGTAATCAAAAGCCACTAGCACTTGCATTCAAACAAAGGAACATGGTTTGTTTGAATATTTAGATATGGACTTCACGGAAACACATTATGCGGGGAAAATGTCACTGTGAAAGCAGTCCAAGCAAAGCTGTTGGAGGCGAAGAAGCCTGAAGCAGTCCCGAAGTGTTGCCATCTCTTTTTGAACATGATCCAGACTACACGATCCAGCTCCAGAATGGTTCGATAGTCTTTGAAGAACCCTGAGAGAAGAAAAAGTTACAAATAAAAATATTACCTAAAATCGAAAAAGAATAATATTATGGACACAATGAAACAAACCTTATGGCAAAGTTGTCAGGGTTATTGATGTGACGAGTTGGAGTAGACTTGGTGGAATCACAACACTCAAGCGAACAGATTCAGCACTCCCCTTGCAGCCACCTGCAATAAGAAACAGCATGAATCCATTCGATTGTTTATACTTGAAAACAGAAATTGTACGCTTCGAATGAATGTGAAGCAAATATAGCAGCTTCTGACTTGCCACATAATATCTTTATGAATACATATTGAATGATCATGCGTATGATATTGCATGCAGGGGAAAATAAAGAAAACCTAACTATTTCTACATTGCCAGAACAGTGAAAAATTCACCATGAACGAACCTAACCTAAGATGGATATTTGTTTCAATGAAGTATCAGACTATTAAGCTGAACGATTGAAGGGCAGAACGGTAGAACGGCAGAACTAGCAACACGAACTCAACAATGCGTAGTGGCAAAGTAGCTGCCGGCGACTCGTTCAAACTGCATTTTCGTTACCAATTATTAAAACCTTTCTTCCTTCACTTCGGCTGCTCGGCGTTGTTGTTGTTAGTTTTAGTTTTTGGTGTGCCGACCGAAGAGATTGCACAAGTGTCCGCCACATAAAGTAGGGCGCGCTGAGCGCGTTCCGGCCGCCGACGTAGTTCTACCAGCGGCCACCACACAAAGATAGAGCGCGCAGCGGACGCTACCTACGACGAGTGCGAAGGGTTGCCTACCTGTAGGGCGCTGGAGGCTTTCCCGCAGCTCTGGCGCCTGGGCACGCATTGGGGAGTAAGCTGGTGAACTGACGACGAATATCTCGGGATGGCGTGTCGTCCGTTCATGTAGTGCCGCCAGAGCTCAGTAAAAATGTCACCTGCAACAGAGTGGTTGTGAAAAGCATCGCAGAAATGTCACGATAGGGGGGCGCGAATACGAACTGAAACGGCATGAGTGGTTGTGGGGGAGAGGAGTAAATACGTTTCTCTTTGCTAGTTATGCGGTTTTCGAGCCCGCAACGTGGAGTCCGCGGTTCAAAGGCCGTCAGCAGAGAGAAACAGTAATTTCCTCCCCGGAATTCCCTGGGCCAACTACGCCTCAGCCCGCGCGCGAGTGCATTGAGCGTGTACGACGCAGACAGGGCCAACAGGTGCGTTTCTGTCAGATGGCATGCGCTCCAAAAAGTGTAGTCGAGTGCAGTCGAAAGCGAGAAAAGTGGCGAGAGTGTAAGCCGATAAGTTTGGTGACGCTTTCTGACACGATCGAGTCGGAATGGTTGCGTACCTCGTTGGCGCTACCGAGCGCGCAGCGAAGATTGCCTACCTCTCGGGCGTTTTCGGGCGCGCAGTCTGATTTCGTAGGGGAGGCAACGGAACGAACGTTGAACGCCGATACCTACGAGTTGCTGGTGCGGTCGCTGGACTGGCCACGCTCTGGGGATCAGACCAAGACTGCGACTGGCTCGAAATCCGAAGCCGCTCCAGAGACCTCCCTTCCGGCGCTCACACTGACAAGCTGGTGGCAAGTACCGGGCAGTTCGCGCGCCGTCCTCTGAAACAGTGTACAGGGTTCTGAAAGCATCGCAGTAAAACATCGAGTGCGAAGAAGCAGTGCGAAAAAGAAACAACGGTGCAAAGCCTCAGCGGGGCTGCATGCAGGCAGGGTAATAAACCCAATTTCTCTTTGCACGGGATTCGAGCCGCGGACTGCAGAGTAAGTTACGTCCATTCTGCAGTCCGCGGTTCAGAGACCGTCCTTAGAGAGTAGCGGTGTACCCCATTCCCAGGCTTCCCTCTCGGGCCCACAGCAGCAGTGCACCTAATGCACACGGTGCATTGAGGGTGCATGCCACATGCAGACCCGACGTAAGGTTGAACGTCCTGTGTTCAGCACCACGAAAGGTGAATAGCGCAAAAAGCATACACTCTCAGACCTTCACTGATTATTTTTTCTAAATTGTAGAAAATTTACTCTACAGCTTACTGATTTTAGAGCGTTACTATGATATAGTAAATATTTTCAATAACATATCGAATAAATTTTACATGAGATACAGATAAATTAGCGGTAACAAATTTGGTAATTATAGACAATCTTTTACTTACTTACAGAAAATTTACAATGTCAGTAGAAATATGATGACAAAATTGTTTATAATCAAAGAATTTATTTTCTGCAAATGTAGAAGATAAAGTTTGTGCTCATAAACAATTTGTCGATGACTACTTTGTGATCTTCAGTAAATATTTTCAGTGAAATTTTTCTCCGTTCAAACAAAGCTGATTAGAAGGTAATGCGCTTAGTCAAAATGATCCTACAAAACATTCTTAGCTTCAACAAGTCAAGAAAGGACTCAATGTAAGCGGCTTTTAAGAGATGGTTGAATTGTGACTTTTAGCGGAAACATCCAAAAAGTTATTCTGACTCTTTAAAATCTTTTCTGTTAATTCTTGTATATATTTTTTGTATGTAGAGAACATTTTGCCTACATTTATAGATCATTTTTACTAGAATGGAACAGTAATTTTTTTCTGCTTGATCATAACTGTAGTTGCAGAAAATATTATCAACAGACCACTTTTCTGTAAGGTTGCTGATTATTTTTTCTGTACTTACAATCAAAAGGACTACAATTGTAGAAAAAATAATTAAACTGTAGGTTTACTGAAAAAAATGTCCGTGGAGTGTCGGAGAGTGTTCAACTTAGAGATGAATATCAGGAGTGCCAGGTCACTGCATATAGTAAGACTTCTGTAACTTATCACTTAATTTCCGTTAAAATTTAAAAACAGAGTCATCTCAACTTATATTTCCTAAACAAAGTGCAATGTGGAAACAAGTCAAGTGGAACCATAGTCAGCAGAGAGTGTTGGTGTCTCTGGTGCATCTTTTGGACTTTGCTTATTTTTCCGTTTAAATTCTTAAGATGAAAGGGAGTCAAGTTGGGTTATATCTTTATTCAATGTAGATTTTCTCCTTAACTACTTGGAGTTGAGTCCAATAATTTGGCGCAATGATGCAAACCATTCTAAGACACAATTATAGAATTAAAACTCAATTTGAAGATAAATGGAATTATTCCCTTCTTCCGCTTCCTGGATGAATCATTGTGGCACTCTGATAGCGTCAGGATTAAACTTTGCATGAGCGGGGGAAAATCACTCACACCTATCTTAGACTGAATATCACATTTTGCGTACTCGAAATTAGCCCCACCTGGCGCGGTTTAGGGAGCCCCCGACAGTGCGGGAGATGGTGTTGGCTCTTCAGGGCCATGTGATGCTTGCTGGTTGCCTACTGTCAGGCGTGCAGGGAATTGGCCCCTCCTTAAACGTCCCAATTTTCCTCCAGCTCTTCCGCGTTCCCTTGCCCACAGTTCCCACGGTGGCTCTGCCGCGACAGGCATCGGCCCCGGCGGCCCTGAAGCTCGCCCTGCGGTACTTGGAGGAGCACGGCGCCATCGAGCTGCATCTGTGCGGCCGCCGGCACTGCAGCAGCCTGTTGCTGTGGGGGACGACTCGGGAGGGGGCGCTGCGCTACGACACGGGCACGCGGTGCAACCTGTATGGCAGGGTCTGCGACCAAGTCAAGGTGAGCGGTCGAGGGGCAGTGCACTATCAAAACCTGTGACTCGCACCCTTAAAAGCCTATACGAAGCATTTGCTTCATGGCTACAAAGAAAATCAAGCGGCGTTGTAGAATTGCATCGTATTATAGAAATGCTTCGTATTACGAAGGATTTCTTCGTAGATATTACAATGCCTTCATTCTCTTTGTATTACGAAGCAACCTTTTCGTAGAGTTTTTACGGTGCGACTATGCACGGAAAAAAATGTTCGTTATTTTACCATACATTGGTCTAGGAAAATTCCTAAACATGTATAGGATGTATACGTATATCCATGGATTACTCTCCAGTACGCCTCAAGAGCATTGTAATTAACTCCACGGAGTAAACCACAAAGTACATTTTATGCTGGAGAGTGTTTGTAATTACCCTATGGCCCTTACCTGGAGCACACTTGACAAGCATACTCTTCTGGATGGAGCGTGCTTTGTCGTTAATACACAGCGACTCCTTCCTAGAGCGTGCTTCTAAGCATTCTCCATCCTGGACCGTATGTGTACCGTAATAGCCGATATTTTCCAAATTTCACCTAATTTTTGGAATGTTTTTAAAAAATTAATATTTTCAGGCGTACCGGTAATAGACGGTTCACAGGTTTGGACAGTACATACCCCTTCGACGCTGGAGTGTTTGTCCGTCATGCATGCTCCTAGGGCAGCTTTGAAGCCTTCCCGGGACGAGGCGTGATTTGTGATTTACTCCCAGGTGGTGCTTGCCTGCAATCTCTACAGTTTCTAGAGTACCTTCCAGGTGGCCGACTGGGTTGGAAGGGAGGGGGAATGCGAAAAGCTTCCCCCCCCCCCCACACACAAGAAAAAACAACCAACGGTCGCCCCTGTGCCCATGCTTAAAACCTTACGAAGAATTTTGAGCATACATTATACAAAATAAATTACTTAATTGTAGAATTGCGTAATAATAATTGCGTAACAGTTCGTAATTTACTGAGTATTTTCTTTGTGAGCTTATGTTTGCTCAAAAACAAGCCGCTTTTCTTTGGAAGGCCTAAAATAGTTTGTAAGGTATTTCGCACGCCACTGTGGTCAATGCTGATGTGTGTCTGCTCTCTGCGCTCAGTACTACGGCATATGGGCCCGCGACTTCACCCCCGGCGAGGTGGAGCTGGTCGTCGAGCACCAGCGCGGCCAGCTCGCCGTGTGGCGGAGGGAGCGGCCGGACAGGCCGGCGGTGGTCCCCGTGGAGGCGGACTACGACACGCTGCGCGTCAGGCCGTGGTTCTGGAGCACCGACATGCCCGTGCAGTTCTCTCGGACGTTCCCGCGGCTCTCCAAGGACCTCTCACCATGAACAAAACCACCTTCTTCTGTCGCCCAACTTATGCATTGGAGACGAGAAACTATATGAGTATGCTGGTTCATTCAGAATTATTTCACAAAAAAAATGTACAAAATATTGTCTCAGTTGTTGAGTTAGTTTAAAAACCAAAAGGCAACCTTCTACATCCATTGTTTTGATGTCCTTCATCTCTCATGGTTGACATTGAACTTAACAGTCGCATGGCACAAAAGTTACCTCCGTACACAGACGGGAAAAAAATAAAATGAAAAAATTGCGATGTCATGCGGGACCACAATGTGCATTCAAACCGCTAACTGTGGACTTTCTCCCGAAAAGTTTCGAAAGCTTGATTTCAAATAGTTGAGCATCCATGAATAACCGAAACATGATGATTCGAAATTCATCCGTAGTTCCCAAACAGGCAATCTCGTGGGTCGTGGAGAAGTCAAAATAAAGATCACACAAGTATCGCAGCTCTAATTTTAATACGGAGCCCAAAAAGTTTCTAGATTACAAAGGAAACAAAAAACACTTGTGCTCATTGCAAACAAGCAACCAGCTTACATTCTTGCAGGCGATGACAACCTTGCAGTGGATTGTGTAGCAGTATCAGGGCAGTAAGAAAATTGCAATGCAGACCGTTGCTCTGCTGGCCACCGCTCTAAGCCACGCGGTCACACAAACTGCAAAGCATCGTGGGACGCAAGTTGCTCTCCACAAACATCTCCCACAGTGACGCCATCTGCGCCTTGCAGCTCGTGTTGTCGTGGCGGCAGGCCCCGTCGTAGGCGTCGTGCCGCAGCAGCACCATCCGATTCAGCTTCTTGAAGCCGCAGCCCCGCAGCTGCTGCGCCAGGTCTGGGCAGCCGTACGTGAGGCCGTACGGCTCCGTCGTGGCGGCCACCAACTGCAGCTCTTCGAGCGAGTCCGCGTGCGCACGCATCAAGACAAGCGCCACCACTAGCGGGTGCACGCCGCAGCGCAGCCAGCGTAGCGAGCCCTTCCTCGAGGGAGTCGCCAGGGAGGTCAGCATGAACAGTGGCGCACCGAACGGGCAGTGCAGCTCCAGGCGCTGAACCCACGCCAACTGGCCCCCCTGGCCGAGCAAGTGGGTCACCTGCTGTAGCTGCGGACCAGTAATGTTGGTGATGCTCAGGGCCCGCAGGCGCGGCATAGCGAGGGCCGCTTCCAGGTGCTGCTGGAGGGGGGACACCATCTGCAAGCCTTGCAGACCTGGCTGCCTGAGCCAGCCGTAATTGCCATAGGTGCCCTTAGCACACTCTTTCAGCACTGTTAAGGACACAGCGGGCAATGAATTGCACTGTAGGCCGACCACCTGGTTCACAAAACAAACAGTGTGAAAAAGTGCAACAATAACGCCAACGCGGCTGAAACCGACTCTTGCGACGGAAACAGGGACATTCAATGTGAAGTCAACCAGGCCTAACCAGGGCTCTGATCAGGTTCTCGTTTTCAGGGTTTGTTACCCCTATGGTCCCATGAAATAATCGGTACTTGGTTTGGGGTCCGGCCACCCAGGGGCTGGGCTATGGCCAATTTACCTTTTTTGCTAATTACTGGAACAACGCAACTTTAGAAAGCAATATCTCAGCAACCATTGGTCGTAGATCAAATCCGAGACCAGATTTGGAAAGAAGATGAAAAACTGAATCTTTGTTGTCTTTGAAGTTTTTATGTCCATAAAATTTGTATAACTTCATAACTTTAAAACACCTACGGGGCATTCCACGTCAAACCATCATGGTCCAAAACGTACTTGCTCAGATCCGGCTTCCAATTTTTTCTGTCATAGCCATAGCCTACCACCCAAGGACCACTCACATAAATTTTTTTAATAAAATATTCAGAACTTTGGCCGTGGCAATTTTTTGAAATTTCAAAAAAATTCAAAACCGTCAAGTCCTCTAAATGTGGACACGAACCCTAAAGTGGGATATTTTGACTATTTTCCCTATTTGAGGCCGTAAACGGCCAACGCGTGGATATTTTGCGAGGTAAAAAATGTTTTTGAGACGGTAGGACCCCTCCGAGACCATATCCGCAGAGAGTGTCTTGTTCCCGCTCATACCCCCTCCCCGAAATATCTTGAAAATTGGAATTTGATGCCGAAAAAAGGAGAAGTTTTTTCAGACGTCTAGCGCGGATTCGGGGCTTCGAGCCGTTGATGCTCGGACCATTCTAGACTTCAGACATGTTGTAGCGCGTTCTTTTATCTACAAGATGCACTTTAGAAAATTTGTTTCCGACGCTTCGTTTTACGGTGGGAAGCAATCTTCTAAGGGGCTGTAAAGTGGGACACATGAATTTTCTTTGTTTCTTTTAGGTTTTGACCGATTCAGAGGCGTTACATTCACCTCCAGCGTCCTACAAACGCCGCGTGGTCTATATTAGGTTGCCAGGTCAGTTTGGAGGCCCAGGCAGTTGGGCAAGTACGGTTCGGTACGCTTTAAGTCAGCACAAAATTTAGTTAATGTTTGAAAGCAAATGCTTCCTCCTGCTGGCTTAACCGACAGAGATATCGTTATCGACCATAAAACAAATCTTGCGTAAAATTATATTTTGAACGTAAATTTTTTCAGAAAAAAGTTGTCGGGCGAACGGTTTTTAATTTTCAAAATTTCAACATCTATTTTTTGCCGTGCATTTCGAAACTTATAAAATACGACCTAAGCAAAAAAATTCATGAAATGTTTTTGGTCGGAAATTGAATTTTAACGTCATTTTGTTTTATTGGTTTTCGCCGTATTTCAATTGGTTTAGGCGCTACGGCGGTTTCTGATTTAAATATATCTAAGGAAATCTAATTGATTGAAGAGGCTCATATCAGCTTAACCAGTCGAGATATCGAAAAAGACTTCAGAACCAATCTTGCTTCAAATTAAATTTAGAACATAATACATTTTATGAAATTTTTTGCTACTGCAGTTTTTGGGCGAAAAAGAATGAACGTGTCCCACTTTAGGGGACTTTGTCCCACTTTAGGAGACTTTGGCTCCTAAATTGAAACACGGTTCTTGCTGCTCCTACTTGAGCCCCATGGGCTGAAAATTGTTTTTGTTTTCGGTAAAAGACGTGTTTTGACATAAAGATTCTTAAATCCCCGGCGATTTTCGGTGTCATCGCTATTCTGTGAATAACAGGCGATTTTCCGTAAAAATCGTCCCACTTTAGGGGACTTGACGGAACTTTTTTTTAAGTTTTTTAAAAACTGTGTCTTTAGGCGCTCAAATGGATTGAAAACAGTAAATGGCAACATATTTAAGTGAGAAACAAGGTTGGGACCCTCAGTCTTCACCTAAAAGGGCGTTTTTGACTAAAAATAACGGTTTTTTGAATTCCCAAAATACGCCATCTTACTTTTCGACCATATTGGTATCCGAGGGCCCTAAGGGGGTACTCTAACTGCCAGTAAAATATTGGGGACGGCAATCCATAAACACGAGAGATATTGTCAAAAAACGCTAAAAGTTATCTTAGTGGATCGTCAAAAACTGACTATTTGACACCTATGTTGCTCCCGTGCATTAAAATGTTGTCCTAGTGTCTGTCTTAACTTTCTGAAACCATTTCGAGGTGAAGGTCAGCATTACGAGAGTTGAGGCCTACGATTTCTCGCTATGTAGTGCCTCAACTCTTGTTCAATGCTGACCTTCACCTCGGAATGGTTCCAGCAAGGTAAGACAGACACTATAGGACAACATTTTAATGCACAGGAGCAATATGGGTGTCAAATAGTCAATTTTTGACGATCCACAAAGATAACTTTTAGCGTTTTTTGACAATATCTCTCGTGTTTATGGATTGCCGTCCCCAATATTTTGCTGGCAGTTAGAGTACCCTAGGGCCCGTTGATACCATTATGGTCGAAAAGTAAGGTGGCGTATTTTGGGGATTCAAAAAGCCGTTATTTTTAGTCAAAAACGCCATTTTAGGCGAAGACTGAGGGTCCCAACCTTGTTTCTCACTTAATTATGTTGCCATTTACTGTTTTCAACCCATTTGAGAGCCAAAAGACACAATTTTTAAAAAACTTAAAAAAAGTTTTGAATTTTTTTTGAAATTTCAAAAAATTGCCACGGCCAAAGTTCTGAATAATTTAAAAAAAATTATATGAGTGGTCCTTAAGTGGTAGGCTATGACAGAAAAAATTGGGAGCCGGATCTGAGCAAGTGCGTTTTGGACCATGATGGTTTGACGTGGAATGCCCCCTACCCCACCTGTAGATATCACGACGGGGTGGCGGGGTGAAGTACTGGTCCGACCGCCGATCACCCAGAGCGCGCTGCCTGTCGCACTCTCCCAATCATTTATGGTCCAGCCGTTAATCGCAATCGCCGGGGCCAGGTGGGCCACCCCGTCGTCACAAGTGCGTTGCAGGTCTGGTTGTGGGCCTACCTCACAGGCGCTTGGGTCCCCTGGCCTTAGAAAAGCAACCCTGAAGCTTGATTTGAGCCGAAAACACCTAAGAGAGCGTCCAGTGTGGTATCGAGTGCGGCCGTCACGACAATTTGGTGAAATACGTGGTTGCAGGGGTTCACGAAACTAGCTCGTTCTCGGGAACGAAGCCGAACACATTTTTTGGTTACCATTTTCGTTTAGGGAAGGGTTTAAGCTATCTTTGAAGCCCAGATTGGTCAAAATCGGTTGAGGATCTAGGAAATGGCGCTAATTTTAAAACTTAACTAAAGTTTTAAAGTTATAAAAAAATTTTGGACATAAAAAGTTTAAAGACAAGAAAAGATTCAGTTTTTCATCTTCTTTCCAAATCTCGTCTCGGATTTGATTTGCGACCAATGGTTGCTGAGATATTGCTCTCTAAAGTTGCGTTGTTCCAGTATTTAGCAAAAAAGTAAATTGGCCATAGCCCAGCCCCTGGGGGGCTGGGGCTGTTACGGGGGAACTTCAAATCTCGCGCCGCCTCTGTCACCAAGCCCGCTCACGGCCATCCGGAGCGCGAGGCGCGCGGCGCGATGATGAGGTAGTAGCGACAGCGGTAGCGGCGCCCGGCGGGCCCTTCACGAGCCCGCGGAGCGGCCCTCCAGCGGGACAGGCACGGGTAGCTCGAGGCAGTCGTCTGAAGTCATTGAATTCGCTAAGGTGTGTGTGAGACTCCACCAGTCCGTGAACCGAATCATTTAGAATACATATCCAGTTTGACCTAGTGTAGTTATCAATCTCACTCGATTTCCTGAACCCGTACCAGACCATCGAAACAGGGCCGGACCGATTATTTCATGGGACCATAGGGGTAACAAACCCTGAAAACGAGAACCTGATCAGAGCCCATGGTGGCTAAGGCCTGGTTGACTTCACATGGAATGTCCTACCAGCATTACCTGATCACAACGGCTTTCTTTCACCGCTTCGGTCGCCTCCGCGCATGAACGTAAAGAGGCTGCATCTAAAACTTTCAGATCTGACTCAAGGTAGGGTACCTGCAACAGAGTAACTGCATGAACAATGAGCAGTTTGGAGCGTGAGATCCCAAAACGTGTGAGATAACCATTGCGGCTTTTCATGTGCACTCTGCCACGGCACGGGTGTAGCCCTGCGTGGCATCACTGAAATGCGGTTAGCGTCACGGCCTCCCCACTCACCATCACCATCGCAGCGGTCACCAGAAGACTGAGATGGTAACGCCCGCCGTCGTGTCCCATGGAATAGGGACCACAGATTTGACCAGTGCGGTCCCATTTAACAAACACTTCGAATGAGGAATCTACTTTGGTAACAGTGCCACGCCCAGGAGCCGTGCCCACGCCAGGACCCCGATCCCAGTGTACGCCACGCTCCACCCTGGAGCCGATCTCCATGCCTGCCGCCATCTGCTGGTTGGTCAGTTGACTAACTGCGGTGTTGGAGCGTTCCACCCAAAGTTGAGCTGCAGGTCAAAGCAGGGAATGAGACAGGACGGCACAGGGGAAGGCGGCCAAGGTGGCCACGTTTAAAACCTTACGAAGAAGTATTTTGAACATACATGTACAAACTGATTTACTTTGTTACGAAGAAATAATACGTAAATTGCTAAGTATTTATGCTCAGAATACAAGCTGCACTGAGAATCAAAACGCAATGAATCAAGCGTCAATGGGTGCAATGCTTTAGCATTACACATGAAGTGCAATGCCTTTCCATTCCCATGCGTTGGCTTAGGGCCTTTTGACGAAGCATTGCACGTAAGGTGCAATATGGTTGTGGCATTACACGTGTAGTGCGATATCGCAGTGCATTGCACCATACGTGCTGTATTCATAGCGTTTGGAAACTCACTCTGTACATTTCTAAGGCCTACAATGGTTTGTAAGGTTTTCACATAGTGCGATCTAGGGCGGGTAGTCCCTGTGCCTTAGTACTTCGGTTCAAACCAAAAACGAAGTGGATTTGACACCCGGCGGCAGACATCTGAGACTTACCGGCCTGAGGCACGTCTGGTTGTCGCTGACGCAGCTCCCCACCGCGCGCCAGCAGGCACAGCAGCAGCCGGGCCGCCGCGTGCTCCGCGGGCCGCACCTCGCCGGTCCACGCCGCGCCCTCGCACTTGACCGTCAGGCTGCACGTGGCGGCGGGGCGGGCCAAGTCCGCCAGCAGCTGGGCCGCGCTCCGGGGCCCTGGGAAACACGCCGGGCAAGAGATACACGTGGTCAGTTCCAAACGCAGCGCCACCTACACTCTCAAGATCCTACCGAGAGTTTTCTGCTTGGCAAGGGCGCCGGAAGAGGGGTGCGGGGGTGGGAAGCCCCCCCCCCCCTCCCAGACTGTCCCACGAAAAATTCGATGTTTGAAAATGCAACCTCTCACCCCGGACTTAAGTTCCTTATGTAAAAAAATATCATTCAGGGAACGTTAAGGGGGGACATCACTCCAAAATGATCAAAAATTGCAACTTTTTTTATAAGTTTAGACCATTCTTTTCTGCGTCGAATGGTGAAAACCGCATTCCGAAATTCAAAAAATTGCAGTGTAAGGGGAGACTATACTGAAAAAAATACGATTTCCAGAAATCCTAGGAGTCACGAAGTCAATTTGGTTATTGTGTAAGAGTGTGGAGAAAGAAAAGAAGTGGTGTTGTGAGGCTGAGGGGACTACCAATGGCAGTGGTACCAATGTGGTCGATGTGCCACCCGTCGAAATTTAAACTTGACAAAATAGAAATCAAAATGCTGGTAAATTCAAAAAATTCCAATGCTAATGTATTCCACAGTGTTCTGACAATGGAACATCTTTAAAGTCCATCATTATTAAAATGTTCTTGGCAGAAAGAAGGCAGTAAATTAATTTTCACGGGTTGGCAACTAGTTTCTCGGCGTCTGCGCCCTTCCGAAAATCGCGAAGCTGAAAGCACCAGCAGTCGCGCATTAAAACTGCCCATCCATTGTTGCTGACGTTGAATTGTTTGGCTTGTTTCAAAAGGCTATGGTTCTCTAGTCATGTTTTCTTCAATTCTGTGTAATAGTTCTCCCTTACAACGTATCAACACCACGACGGTTGGTTTGACCAACTTCATAAACTCGGGAGGGATGGTTTCGAAACGCGGGTGAGTCTTGTTCGAGTAACATGAGCACTGCAAGTCGCGAGGTGGAGCGAAGTGGTCCTAGTGCTAACTGAATCACAACAACAACAAAATTGTTTTATTGACAGAAAAAAAAGGAATACTGTATGCCAGAAAAAAAGAACTTTTGTTTTGCTAATTTTCTGTGAATATTTTTTTAGAAAGTCATCACACAAAAATTGAAAATTTGTTTTATATGAATTTTCATAAGCAGGAAACAAAGAAAAAACAAGAAAGAGAGCATAATTAATACAGGTTTCAAATGCTACAGTTGGTTAAACTGTTAACAGGTTGCAAACCTACTGCGCATGTCCAAAAACACTCCAATCAAGAAGTATTATTGGATAGTTCTACCCGAAAAACTGCGTTCGAACCGACACCAATTCTATTGTTGCATCTTGTCTACCTGCAGTCAAAGAAATTTTTCATTTCGAACGTGCTGATTTCAGCTTTTGGAGTAAGCTGTACAGACCCAAAAAGAAGCTCGGCTATTGGTCCGCCCCGGCTCGGCTCCCCCCACTCCCTTTTTTTTCCTTTGACGAGTCGAGTTTTGCCATGGAAACGGCGATTTTGACAGCAAATTTCTCAAAATTGGCCACCAACTTTTTAACCAGATTTCAGCATGAGAATCAGCGTTCAAAGTTCTACAAGTCTGCAAAGTCTCATTAAAATCGTATAGAAAATTTCCGAAATGCATAAAGGGCCGCACAAATTGAATCTCGGGCCGGCTGAATCCTGGGTATACTATAAGGCTACTTCGTGCCTAAAAATGGCTGTTTTCGGTCAAAAAATGTAAAATTGGGTTTTCACGAAAATACCTTGTTAAGACCTTTGTCTAGCCGGTACAGCTATTATTCCTTCTCACAAAATATATTAAGAATCCTTAAAAGCCGACGGAAGGAACGCAGCGTCGCGTAGACCCACGCAAAGTGTACGTTTACTTGTGTTTTTTCAAACTTTTAGTTTTAACGTTAAAAAAGTTCCTTGCGTCATAAATTTTTATCTACGTGGCTAAAATTTTTACCAGATGTTCCTTAAGCTGTTCCCCACAGGGTCTCTAAGCCGGATTTTTTAATTTTGGTCAGAATTTTTTATTATTACTAGCAAATGGTCAGTTTTCGGTCAATTTTAAGCATTTTTGACCAAGTTTTCATTATTAAAAAAAGCTCATTTGAAAAAAAAGATTTAGAGATCGAAAATGAAAAAAGCGGCTTAGGGAACCTGTAGAACAGGTCTTTAGGACAATAAAAACGTTAAGTCGAATTTTCTGACATCAAAAATACGACGCAAGGAAACTTTTTAGTTAACATATATTTTTTAACTTTACCTATGAATATCTCCTAAACCATTTGGCCGAAAATTTTCATACTTCGGCTGAAATAGTTTTGAGTAATATTCTATCAAAGGAAAACAAGAGAAAATTTCTGCACCGGTAATCCTGGAAACCCATTTTCAGTGTAGTCTCCCCTTAAGGAGGTTGTGGGCCGCAAACATGCATAAGGGAAAAGCCCAGTGGCGGATCCAGAGTCGGCCCAAGGGGGGGACAAAGTAGCACTTTTTGCCTACTTAGGGGCAAATCGGTGGTTTTGGCCCCTTCTACTGTGCAAAAGAATAGGGGAGGCCTCAGAAGTTGCTTTGTCCTCCTGTGATCGAATAAATGTTGTTGGCGCTTTGACAACGTTTATTGAACTATATTACAATTGAGGCTTCCGCAGTACCTCTGCAACTGTACTTGGTGCACCCAGCCGGGTGCACAGCTGGTGCAGTGATCATTACCATTTCTATTTATTACCGCAATAAGCGATCCAGCTAATGATAAATATCTTTTGGACTCGACTAAGCTTTTTAAATATCACCATGTCTGATCACGGCCCTTTTCAGCTCCAGAACGCATTTAAATAAGATTGCCATACACAAATATTCAGATGTTCTGAATTGTCTTAACAAGTTTCATTTTGTTTGTTGGTGAAACGGTGACAGGATTTACTTCGTCGTTGCCAATCATGTTTTAAACGTTTAAAAGTGATCGTAAAAATTATGAGTATGTCTGTCAAGACCTTGCACGGGGGTCATTTTCGGTCAACAATTCACTATATTAGGAAAGAAACTCACCATGATTTGAGCTGGATTCTAGTCTGAAAACACTTACGGTCAACAGGCCTTCATTAATTCATTAAAAGTGCGCGACGATCGGCAGTGCCGTTAACTGGAAGAATGCTGTAGAAAACATTTTGTTAAAATAGCGAAATATCTTGTGATTTTGGGTTATTATGTTTTTGCTTTTAATAAAGGCGGCTAAAATATGTTTGTTCAAATGTATTCACTTTCACTTGAACATGATTCCACAGCACAAGACCTTTAGATTAGCCACCTCAAGGTGTCTGAAAGTGCCTTAGGGTGGCCAGGGCACCCCTGTGTCACTAGGTGCCCCTGTCACTAGGTGCCCCACCCTCCCTTAGCACTTTTTGCCTACTTACAGGGGCAAATCGGTGCTTTTTGCCTACCTTTCAGGCGGCTATCTAGGGGTCAAGGGGGAGGGCAATTGTCCTTTTGCCCCCCGTCCCCCTGGATCCGCGCTTGGAAAAGCCCAGTTTCCCCAACTTTGATCGCGTTTTACTCGGAACATGAAATTGCAAACGGTTGCAGGCCTGTAGGGCGCAGTATTTGAGCTACAGCGGGGAGATTTAGCATGGAAGCTCCTACGGCATGCCACTATGGTGGGTAGCAAAATAATTTGCATTGGTCAATTTTTATTATTTTTTTAACGTTCAAAATTAAACAATTTTGACTTAAAAAATTAAACAATTTTTTTTGGTACTCTGCAAACTGAAGTGTGTACATAGTACACTCTTATTAGAGCATACTTCCAAGGACACTCTTATTTACAGCATACTTGCTAGGCACACACTAAAATAGAGTGTACATTGCATGTACACGCTAAATAAGAGTGTAAACTGGCCCATGCTTTTACATAGGACTTATCGAGTGTATTTTAGCGTGTACATGGAAGGTACACACTTATTTGGCGTGTACTTGCCAGGCACACTCTTTTTTAGCGTGTGCCTAGCAAGTATGCTGTAAATAAGAGTGTACTTGGAAGTATGCTCTAATAAGAGTGTACTATGTACACACTTCAGTTTGCAGAGTACGTAACAAATACAACTTAAAATGATTTTTAATGTGATTGAGGTACCCACCATAGCCAGACATCTCAGGAAGGCTGTCGCCAAATTTCGTTGTTCTAGGTCAAACCGTTTGGCGTCCAGCGCTGCAACAGTGCGAAATGGTCTAACCTAACATTCAAAAATGTTTTTTCAACGAAGGCGCTGTACTGCCCTGGCGGATAGACTTTGTGTTGTTTTATACTTTATCTGTTAAAATATGAACAATTTTTCTCTTTCCGTTTGGTTTTTATGACGTTTTTACAAAAGCACTGTTTTTTGAGTGATGTCCTCCCTTAATGAAAGCAGATGATACTCGTTTTGTTTTCTTTCGATGAAATTCGTTTGGTATTGTCGTGTGTGCTAGTTGTAGCAGTGTGCTTTCATGTCTGTTTTGTATTTAAAACTGTAAATAAGAGTTAGAACATATATGATTAAAAATTGCATTCTGTAGGATGTGTCAGTAGAAGTATTAAAAATATTTACAATACGGTAAATAAGGGATAACATAGAGCTCTTGTTTAAACAATTTAAAGATACTATCAGCTAACAGGTTATTCATATCTGCATAGCTGCAAAAGTGGTGCAAATGTAGTGTTTTTTGATATTTTGACATCACAGAACGATTAAGCGTGAAAAATTACGTAGGGGTGAAGACAAGTGAGCACGCCACACGGTGTTTCGGTTACATAAGCGCGAGCGAAATAGAACGCCCCCACGAATTTATACATTCCCTGTGCAAAACTTGAAGTGTGGGGCTTTTATTCCTTTCGTGGGATGTCAAGAATCATCTGATGATTGTTTTATATGAAATTTGTCGAAATAAAAGCTCTGCATGTAATAAAAGTACAAATATATGGTGCGGGTCGCTGGTGGCGCCACCTGTCAGTAGTCTCGGGAACTACATCGCCACCTTTTCGCGCGCTTTGCCGCGCACACGAAACGAACCGCCCAGCGAGCGTTGTTTTGAATCGTCGTTTGTGTTTTGGGATTTATTGTGTGGAATGATGGCGTCTCGACGGAAGAAGAGGGTGCAGGCTCACCTACCTTTGAGCTAAGGAAACAGTCGTTCACAGACCAGCTAGACTCTCAGTTTGATGTAGCTCATCATGAAGCTACAAGCCAGCACCGACAAGCCGTCGGGATGCCATCATTCCACACAATAAATCGGGGGCGTTCTATTTCGCTCTCGCTTATGTGGGTTGGTTCGCCGAGATGTGGGAATTTGAGGCACGGGATTTCCAAGATTTTAATGTGCGGCTTTTCGGATGAAATTTTGCAGGCTCATTCAAGATGGCTCTAGAATGGTCCCCAAGAAATATCAAAGCTTAATTCGTTCCAGTTTTGTTTCAAATGGCTTAAATGTTGAAAGCGTACTTTGGGTCGATGTTTGTTATACGCGCGTCGACGTTTGTTACACGCGCGTCGACGTTCGTTACATTCAAGTGGTTTGGGTGGAATTTCAAAGTGGACAAAACTGACATCTATTTATAGAAATCGATTCGTCTGATCAGGACAAACAAAAAATCCTAACATATGTAATAGGCTTGGATGCGAAATAAACAAGTATTTAAGCTTCAAAAGAGCAGTAACAGGCGTCGACGCCGGGGTCCTGGCTGATTACATCCGATTACATCATTACACTTTATAAAAACCATCTACACTCAGAGAAGGAAATTCTTGTAACAAGTAAAATTTTCTTGTTGCAATCTTTTTTTAGGATCACTTGCGAGCAAGAAAGTTTTTGGATCAGTTCGGATCTTGACTTTCTCTTGTCTGTATGTTAAAAATAGTTTCAGGCGAAGAAAATTTGGTATGAGGAGAGAATAGTTGACTCGGATCAATCGGCGTGATGCGATCAGTTTTGCTGTGACGTCAACAAAATTCTATGAGACAAATTTTTCTCCGTTCAATCCTGCAACCAGCATCAATGCCTGAGAAAATTCGGTTTTCTTGTGCCAAGAACACATTCTTGAAGCTATGGAGCATGCGCACTAGGTGGCGAATGGACCAATGGGGTGGCTGTTGTCCCCCACCACATAACTTCAGAGCAGCTACATTTCGTCATCAACACTCTCGAGCCCACCCTGACAGCTCTGCAACAGCCCAATGGCACAGTGGTAGAGTGTCTGCCTCACAGGATAGTAATCCGGGTTCGGTTCCCAGCCGATGCGTCACCTGTTTTCCCAGGCCAACCTGACCGTTCGCATGCCGGGGACTTTAGATGGATAGCAAAGGGGCGGGCTGTTGTTTTTGGTCGTTTTCAGCTTTACATGTTGAGCTCTGCGTAATAAGCGTGCTAACTTGTTTGAAAAAAAAAGAGACGAAAAAGAAAAAAAAACAGATGGGATTTGAACCGAAGTGCGTAGACTACGGGAGACGCCCCTTGACCACTGCGCTACCACAGCGCTGCGTCTGAGCACGGCGATAGATTCTAATGACGTATTCAATTGGAGTTGAAACAAAATGACCGCAGAGCCGGGATTTGAAGCTGGTCAACGGATCTGAGGCTGGGGTGGGACCTAAAGTTCAAACAAAAATATCGAAGTGGACGGGTTTTGAACCGCAGTCCACCGAAGTGCCAGACAGGACCGTTACCACTACACTACTGCCGTCTGTTAAACCGGGGCTTCATCAGCTGATCTCAGTTTCCGCGTTCGGTCCTCTCTTCAATTTTTCTGAGCGCTCGTGCAGGCGTCGAAGTGTATAGCGTTTATCGAGGCACACTGAACACAGCGACACATTGGCGCGGTGGCTTGCGAGCTGGCAATCTAGTTCAAAAGCGGGTGTTCGATGCTCGTCGCCTCCTTCACTTTTGAAGTCGAACATGAAATACAGGCCGAAAATTGAGAATAACACGTTCTCATAATCGATCTAAACCATGCTCGAAGTGAGAAAATTAGGATTGAATGGAGTAAATTATGATCAAAACATTTCATTAGAAAATCCGGGATTGCCACAAGAATTCCTTCCTCTGGGTGTATTTCGCAAGGAAATGCCAAATTTGCTTGTACGTAACAGACGCTGTATGGTGTAAATAGGTCAAATGAAGCGGCAAACATGACCTTGTCCCAGTATTTGAAAATGTTTATCCGAGGGAGGTCGAAATTACGCGTTGGCGATTACAGGTTTATGATAGCGAGTTACGGCAAAGCGACTGTTTTGAACCTACCATACTCCTGTAAAAGTATTTCCACCGTTGCAGTTTTGTTTAATATCAATTTCGAAGCCGAATAGGGTTGGCGCTTGGTTCGGTGCAGGCACAAAACACGCTTAGAGCCGCGAAATACAAATGCCGGTAGCAAGTGACGCAATTTGCGGACAAAACTTATCCTCCACTTTACGAACGAACGAATCGACCCGAGGTTTCGGGACTTAGGTTAAAATGTAGGTTAAAGTGTCCACTCTCGAAAACACAAAAAACTTTGGGTGGTTTAACGGCGCTATAGACGCTGTCTATGTGGGAAAAACAGGGTTTTCGACAAAGGTTGTCCAAATCAAACCAAACTTCGTTTTTGGGTTCTCCTTGACCCAAAGACATGTCAAAAAAATTTTGAAATTTTTTCGACAAAATTTGTCGAAGTAGGAAATTTTTTTTATTTTACTCAAAAGACGCGGCAATTGATTTTGAAAAAAAAATTTTTTTTTCAAAGGTCAACTAAGGAGGAACATTTTGAGTTGTGTCCCATGTCCTGGTCTTGCTTAGTTTAATTGATACCCACCATTTTACATTACGTGTTTTTCTCATTTTTACCTAAAAAATTAAAAAAATGCCCCTTTGCCAGTCAATTTGATTATAACTAGAGTCAAACTGAAGATATTTTATCTTTGTGAACCTCCTTCCATGCCTAACACACTATCTGGTTCCCCAAATAAACACAGTGTGTCCCAAAATACTATAACGGATCATTTAACATTACACTTTGGAATAACGAGCACCATGTCTATTGCTGGAGCAGTAGAGCAGCCCAACTATTTGTCACTGAAACAAGATTATTTTTTTTATCCACTTGTGAAGATTAAAGATTAAAACGATTCATCCTTCACAAGTGGATAAAAAATAATAATCTTGTTTCAGTGACAAATAGTTGGGCTGCTCTACTGCTCCAGCAATAGACACGGTGCTCGTTATTCCAAAGTGTAACGTTAAATGATCCGTTATAGTATTTTGGGACACACTGTGTTCATTTGGGGAACCAGATAGTGTGTTAGGCATGGAAGGAGGTTCACAAAGATAAAATATCTTCAGTTTGACTCTAGTTATAATCAAATTGACTGGCAAAGGGGCATTTTTTTAATTTTTTAGGTAAAAATGAGAAAAACACGTAACGTAAAATGGTGGGTATCAATTAAACTAAGCAAGACCAGGACATGGGACACAACTCAAAATGTTCCTCCTTAGTTGACCTTTGAAAAAAAAAATTTTTTTTCAAAATCAATTGCCGCGTCTTTTGAGTAAAATAAAAAAAATTTCCTACTTCGACAAATTTTGTCGAAAAAATTTCAAAATTTTTTTGACATGTCTTTGGGTCAAGGAGAACCCAAAAACGAAGTTTGGTTTGATTTGGACAACCTTTGTCGAAAACCCTGTTTTTCCCACATAGACAGCGTCTATAAGGAATTAGATTTCACATTGTGTTTCAATCGGGGATTCGGACACCGACAAAACGGCCATTTTTGTACCTTTCCGGCGGTATTTGTGGTACAAGCAGTCAAAAATTTTGTCTGAAAACATGTACATGCCTTTCTCTGAAGGTGTTTTGTTGTTACATAAGGGGTATTTGCTGATAGGAAGTCCGTGCAGGTGGTAATTTAGCTAAACATCTTTGATTTTAAAATTTCCACATTTTGACGAACCAACCCACGTAACCGAAACTGACCGTGTGGCGTGCTCACTTGTCTCCACCCCTACGTAATTTTTCACGCTCGATCGTTCTGTGATGTCAAAATATCAAAAAACACAACATTTGCACAGCTCTTGCAGCTTTTTAAGAAATTTTCGACTTATTTTTATCGTTTTGTGTGTCGATTTGAGGGTCTAGATGGGCTCAGGAGGGACGGGTGTCCTACAGAACGACGTCACGGAGTCACTAAAAGTCCAACTAAGGGGAGGGGGTGGGGCTGGGTGTGGTGTGGTGGTGAGGCATTTTTGAAAAATCGAGAAAAATGTCAAAAACCGTGTTTTTGCCGATGCGCGACCTCTAAATTCTGTTCGAAAGTTCTGAAAAAAATCATGGAGTCCTTTTTTTACACAAGGAACTTAAGTCCGGGGTGAGAGGTTGCATTTTCAAACATCGCATTTTTCGTGGGACAGTCTACCCCCCCCCCCCCCCCACCACACACACACGCACAAAAGCGCCACTTTGAGCTCGGAACAGAAAGAAGCATAGTCGCAAATTCTTAGATTTTTTGCTTTAACCTCATTCCGCACGCAGGCCCAACGCAGGCCTAGCGTACACCCACACAATAAACTCTTATGGACTCTCTTATGCATAGATATGCATGCACAGATACGTCCATAAGAAATATAAAAAAATACGCATCACCATGCGGATTTTGTGCATTTTCCTGCATAAAATGTACAAAGTGGTGCATAATATTATACATACCTTAAGAACGTATCTGAGCATGCATAACTACGCATAAAAAATGCATAATTATGCATTTAAAAAGTCCATAAGAATTTAGTGTGCAGCTCAGTTAAAAGTGGGGTGTGTGCTTGCCGAAGGAATCTGACAAGAGCGTGCTTACCGGCCTGTGCCGCGTCCTGCTTGGCCTTGTCCCAGACGGCCTCGTCCGCTCCCTGCGCGTCCTGGAGGCGCCCCTTCGCCGTGACCAGGGCGACCCTCTCCGCCTGCAGCTCGCCGCGCCAGCCCTCCAGCGACTCACACAGCTTGGCAAGCTCGTCCACGGCCGCCACGCCCCGCTGCAGCCCCTCCAGCAGCCGCTCGGCGTCTTCGGCGCGGGCCTTCTTCAGGCTGCACACGGGGTGCTGCTCCACGCACTCCTGAGGCGCGATCTGCTTGCAGCTCAGGCACCAAAAGCGCAGGGACGCCGTGTCGACGGGCCTGAAAAAAAGAAGGAAAAGTGGCGATGCAATCAGTAACTTCCCGCCCCGTACAGTAAAAAAAAATCGCCAACTTCATAACCCTGGCGTGGTGTTAACTAGGTCCAGGTCAAAATGTATGTTACTTTTGTCATCAGCACCCATCAGCAAAACAATGCTTAAGGGGAGGTTCTGGTGAAAATGCTATTTTCTCCTAAATAGGTCCCACTGTGAAAATTTGTTAAAAATTTGATGTCTTACCAAGTAATTATTAAAATTTTTCAGTGGGGAGGCACATTCTGTGCGCTGAACCCAGTCGCAGAGCCTTTTTCTCCTATTTAGGCTATAGCTTTAAAAATCTTCTTGGGCATACTATTTTGTCGTAAAAGGTTGGCCTTGACATTTTTTAGGGGTTCCCAAGAACCCCTATTGTCCGAGGTCCGTGGATTCTTCCCCCCCCCCCTCTCCGATTTTCAAATAAACAACTCTAAACTATTTCAACCATGAAAAAAACGAAAATTCCAATTTTTTTCGAAAATTCATCGTGGAAATTTTCCGTAAACGCGAAAAACATAAATTTGCAACAATCGAAAACGAGAACCGTTAATGATATGAAAAAATGGTTCAAATAAAAAATGTGCCACTCCTCAAAACTAAACCTCCTGGCTCATCAAAGTAACAAGAAATCGTATATGTTCTGAGCAAATGGTCAAAACATGAAAAAAAATCTCCATGGCAACGGCATGGTCCCATCGTACCACCCATCAAAATTTAAAGTCGCCCATTAAAAAAAATCTAAACGCCGTGAAATTTGAAAATGCTAATGCTAACACATTGCACGGTGTCTCAACGTTGGACCATCTTTAAAGTCTGTCACTACTAAAGAGTTCGTAGCAGAAACGACGCATCAAATTAATTTTCGTGGGTTGGCACCAATATGCTTCCCGTCTGCGCCCTTTCGAAAATCGCGAGGCTGAAAGAACGAACAGGCGCCCATTGAAACTGCCCCTCCATTGTTGCTGAGGTTGGATTGTTTGGCATGCTCTCAAAGGCTGCGGTTGTCTTGTCATGTTTTCCTCGATTTTCAACCAGTTATGGAAACGGGAACACGGTGCAATGCGATTAGCATTGGAATTTTTACTTCTTTAGTTTATTTTTAAAAGATGCCGGCATGCACAACTCAAAATGTAAATCACATTTTTATTCGCACGCTTTCTAACCAAGCATTTCACTGTAATTGACCAAAAATGTACAAAATAGACAAATTTTAGGGACTTTTCAGCTTAAGAAGCTTACAATTTATAATGTAATGGAAATTTTGAGCTATGCATGCCGGCATCTTTTGAAAATGAATTGAAGAAGTGAAAAATGTCAAGGTCAACCTTTTACGACAAAATAGTATGCGCAAGAAGATTTTTTAAGATACAGCCAAACTAGGCTCAAAAAGACTCTTCGACTGGGTTCAGAACCTAGCATGTGCCTTCAAAAGTCAAATTTTAGTCTCCTCAAAGAAAGATTTTATATTCCAAACAAATTGTGACCGTGGGATCCGTTTGGAAAATAGCAAGGTTTTCACCAGAACCTCCCCTTAACAACTCAATGTTGCGGATAATAAAAATTCAGTACGTGAAAGTAATATGTTTTGAAAAACAAAATCAAATGTCTTAAGGGGGGACATCACTCCAAAATGATCAAAAATTACAACTTTTTTTTTATTAGTTTATATTATAGACCATTCCTTTCTGCGTCGAATGGTGAAAACCGCATTCCGAAATTCAAAAAATTGCAGTTCTAGGAGATTGTGGGCCGCAAACACGCATAGGGTAAAAGCCCAGTTTCCCCAACTTAGATCGCGTTTTTCTCGGAACATGAAATTGCAAACGGTTGCAGGCCTCTAGGGCGCAGTTTTTGAGGGGTCAGTACTAGAGCTCCCCCCTCCTAGAGCTCCCCCCCATATTTTCCGCCTTTTCTTGAATTAATTTTATTTAAATGTGATAAAATGAATTAAATATGATAAAAGAAATTAAATCTAATTGAATGAATTAAATGTGATTAAATGAATTAAATATGATTGAATGAATTAAATGTGTTTAAATGAATTAAATATGATAAATGTGATTGCACTGCTGGTGCCGAGTGCAAGTTAGATGGATTGGAGTCTACACTAGCCGCGTGAGACCGTGGCGACGGATCTTCCTCTAACTTGCGACAGATCTCTCTGTAACTCGCCAGATCTATCGCAAGCTAGAGAAAGATCTGTCGCGAGTGAGAGTGAGATCCGTCGCGAGCCCTTTAGGTTTGGTTAGGATAGGTAAGATCACTTAAATTCAGCCCTGTCAATGCCGCCGCCGCCGCGCTGGAGCTCTCGTAGCATCTTCCTGCGTGGTAGAACGATGCTGGTCTCACGCGGCTAGTGTAGACTCCAATCCATCTAACTTGCACTCGGCACCAGCAGTGCAATCACATTTATCAGATTAAATTCATTTAATCACATTTAATTCATTTAATCATATTTAATTTCTTTTATCATATTTAATTCATTTTATCACATTTAAATAAAATTAATTCAAGAAAAGGCGGAAAATAGCTCTAGTACTTCCTGTTTTTGAGCTACAGCGGGGAGATTTAGCATGGAAGCTCCTACGACATGCCGCTATGGTGGGTAGCAAAATAATTTACATTGGTCAATTTTTATTATTTTTTTAACGTTTAAAATTGAACAATTTTGACCAAAAAAATTTAACAATTTTTTTTGGTATGTTACAAATACAACTTAAAATGATTTTTGAAATGTGATTGAGGTAGCCACCACAGCCAGACATCTCAGGAAGGCTGTCACCAAATTTCAATGTTCTAGGTCAAACCGTTTGGCGTCCAGCGCTGCAACAGTGCGAAATGGTCTAACCTTACACTCAAAAATGCATTTTCAACGAAAGCGCTGTACTGCCCTGGCGGATTGACTTTGTGTTGTTTTATACTTTATCTGTTAAAATATGAACAATTTTTCTCTTTCCGTTTCGTTTTTGTGACGTTTTTACAAAAGCACTGTTTTTGGAGTGATGTCCCCCCTTAAGTCATTGGCTGAGCGATAGCGAAGCCTGTTACTCCATTGGGGTTGAAAAGTTTTTCCTGTCTGTCTGTACGTCTGTCTGTCTGTCTGTCTGTGTGTCCGCACTACTCCTCCTGAACGGCTCGGCCGATCTCGGTGAGATTTTGCACACTTTTTGGGCATGTCCTTGGCTCGGCACACGCGAAATTTCACTATCCTAGCTCAACTGGTTCAGTTTTTATAGCCGAAAAACACCTAAAAAACGGCGAAAAATCGAGTTTTCTGCAGACAGATCACTTCTGCCTTGAAGAAGGGAGGTCTGGGGGGCTCAGCCCCGACAAGTTGAAAAGTTACAAGGGATCTAGAATGAGGGGGGGTCTGGGGGGGCCCCCCAGCATGCATGAAGTTACAAGTAGCCGTCGACGGACAAGTCATTGCCTGCCGAAGGCAGGCTAGCGCCGCAGGCCAAGGTAGGTACGCCAGGCGCGGTTTGGAGGAACAGGCAGCGAGACATCGCGAAGCCTGTTACGACAAGACGCGGTCTGGCGTAAACCTACCTTGTGCTATACTGACCACACTTTTTTAATTTGAAAATGAAAGTTTAAAGTACTCATTTGAATTCATTTGAGTCAGTTATAAAAATACGGTTCTAAGAAGCAAATTCCAAGATCTGCACTCTCAGCGGACCTTTCACTCATTAAGTACATACTCATTTAAGCGAGGACAATACTAAGTGATCCAGGAAGCGGAAGAAGGGGATAACTCAATTTTGGCCATTTTTCAGGAGAAACAAAAAACTGTTAGCAGGGAAAACTAAAACAAAACAAATGAATGTTGCAGATGTTAATAATTTCAAAAAGCATTAGTAAAATTTTGGAAAAAAAAATCAAAAGTGTAAGGTCACTCCGAAGAGGATTTCTGCGACTTATCACTTTCCGTTGAAATGGAAAGCGGAGTCAGCTCACCATATATTTCCTAAACAAAGAGGAATTTGGAGACAAGTCAAGTGGAACAATAGTCTGCATAAAGTGTATGTTACTCTGGTGTATTTTTTGGACTTAGCTCTTTTTTCCAAATTGAAATTTAAAATTAAGGGGTGGTTAAGTTGAGTTGATTCTTTTTACACTAGATCCATAAAAACACAAGTTGAGTTGTATCCTTTTGCCAATTTGTCAAACGGACTCATGTAGACTAAGGTTGAGTTATCTCCATTTTCCAATGAAATTTAGACTGTAAAAGGGGTTAAGTAGAGTTATACCCTTTTTCCATGTGGATTTTCTCCTAAACTGCTTGGAATTCAGTCAAATAATTTGGTGTAATGATGTAAACCATTCTAAGGCACAATAATAAAATTAAAACACAATTTGGGGATAAGTCAAGTTATTCCCTTCTTCCGCTTCCTGGATCAAGTATTTCCGAAGTATGACTAGTTTCCTTTGAAAAATAACATGTACTCAAAGTCAAAAGCGAGTCTGGGAAAGCAATTTACCGCAACAATTACATGCTCTAATCAAACAAAGTGAGTGGACTTACTTGAAAGCCATCAGGCTATAGTTGTCCATCAACTTGGAAGGTGAAGCGTCAAACGCCTGAAAAAAAAATGAACGATCAGCCATAAGGAGCGTTGTAACGTTAAGATAAAAATAACCACGAAGAATCACACGAAACCAAGTAAACTCTCATGCCACACTGTAAAAAATTCCGTGCTTAAGTACGGAAAATGTACAGACAAATATAGTACGGAAGTAGGGGAAAAAGTACGGAACGTCCGTACTTGATCCATGAAGCGGAAGAGGGCGATAACTCGATTTTCATCTTTTTTCAGGAGAAACAAAGAACTGTTTGCAGGGTGAAATTAATCCAATGAAATGAATGATGCAATTGCATTTTTGTCAAGAAAGCCTAAGAAATAACTGTGAAAATTTTCAAAAGTGTAGCATCACTCTGTAGACGGTTTCTGTTATTTTAATCTTTACGTTGGAATGGACTACAGAACCATATTTACTTAGTTCTCCCAAACAAGGTGCACTCTCAGCACGTTACTGACTTTCTCATTATTAATTACGTATTCGTATAAACAGCAATTAGGTACTTAGTATTTTCTAACTAAGTATGACTAATTTCCTTTGTAAAATTATGAACAAAACCAAATTCCCAGTACATTATTTAATATTTCTTAAGTAGTTCTTAAAAAAAAGGAAAAGTACATATTATGGTTGCACAGATTACTTGCATAAGTACTGACAAAATGAGCAAAAAGTCAATGTGATGAGAGTGTGGACTTTGGAGATGATCTGAGGTCTGCGCAGAGTCTCTATTCCTGTGGTACATTTTTGGAGTTACCTCTTTTTTCCAACCAGTGATGGGGAGCAGTTGTGTTAAGGGGGCACACCAGTGAAAATGCAGAGGTTTTGAAAAACGATCATTCTGAGAAAAGTAACCTATGTATTCGATTGATATTTTATTCGTGGATCAAAATTATATCAAAGAAAAGAAAAATCAGTATGGGAGGGTGGGGTGGCGATGGCAAGACGGAGCGCCAGTGCACTTCATTTTTCTGCGACCTTGCGTCACTCCTGCCACGATTCCGCCTCTCTGGATTGAGCCTCGAGCACGGGATTTGAAAATTTCTCAACAGGACACATGTGGCTATGGTCTGAACCACGGGCATGCAAAAAGAATGATTTTGAATTTGTTTTTTCAAAAGGCAAAAATAGAAACAAATTTTTTAACCAAATTTTTCGCGCTTTCATGGCTGCAGCTGACGTCCTATTTATGGGATGGCCATTTCCGAGGTTCAGACCATAGACGCAAGTTAAACGAACATTATGCCGCAAACCGCATTAAATTATCTCAATTTTTGCGCTTGTGAGAGTGGCACAAAGGTACAAAAAAGGTGTTTTGAGAAACAGACCTTTTAGTAGAAACATAGATTTGACGTGTTTTTTCGGATTATAAATGCGCCTTTTGACTTATTTAAGTTCGTTTTGCGCCAGAATGTCCCTCTTTTTAACTGCGTTTGGGTGGTTCAAGGGTTTTGTAATTTAACTTCAAGTGAAAAACCTGAACGTTGACAATTGGTCTAAAATATCCCAAAATAATTACCTTTTTAGCAACTTAAAAAATGTGCACAAGCCAAAGTAATTGGAATTTTGGGGTGGGGTTTGCGGCATTCGACTCGGGATGAATAGCAGAAAAATAAGGTGAAATAAAAAAGAAGGCGAAAATTTGACGATTTTCACTGGTGTGCCCCCTTAAGTTGATTCTTTTTAGATTCATAAAGAAACAAGTTGAGTTATCTCCTTTTGCCATTTTGCACTCTCAGACCTTCACTGATTATTTTTTCTAAATTGTAGAAAATTTACTCTACAGCTTACTGATTTTAGAGCGTTACTATGATATAGTAAATATTTTCAATAACATATCGAATAAATTTTACATGAGATACAGATAAATTAGCGGTAACAAATTTGGTAATTATAGACAATCTTTTACTTACTTACAGAAAATTTACAATGTCAGTAGAAATATGATGACAAAATTGTTTATAATCAAAGAATTTATTTTCTGCAAATGTAGAAGATAAAGTTTGTGCTCATAAACAATTTGTCGATGACTACTTTGTGATCTTCAGTAAATATTTTCAGTGAAATTTTTCTCCGTTCAAACAAAGCTGATTAGAAGGTAATGCGCTTAGTCAAAATGATCCTACAAAACATTCTTAGCTTCAACAAGTCAAGAAAGGACTCAATGTAAGCGGCTTTTAAGAGATGGTTGAATTGTGACTTTTAGCGGAAACATCCAAAAAGTTATTCTGACTCTTTAAAATCTTTTCTGTTAATTCTTGTATATATTTTTTGTATGTAGAGAACATTTTGCCTACATTTATAGATCATTTTTACTAGAATGGAACAGTAATTTTTTTCTGCTTGATCATAACTGTAGTTGCAGAAAATATTATCAACAGACCACTTTTCTGTAAGGTTGCTGATTATTTTTTCTGTACTTACAATCAAAAGGACTACAATTGTAGAAAAAATAATTAAACTGTAGGTTTACTGAAAAAAATGTCCGTGGAGTGTCGGAGAGTGTGAACAATGCAGTTACGTCGACTTCGATTGAGTTACCTCCACTTTCCGATAAAATTTAGACCGCAGAGGGGGTGATGGTGAGTAATATCCAGTTTTTATGTGGATTTTCTCCTTAACTGTTAGGAATTGGGTCAAACAATTTGGTGCAATAATGCCAACCATCCTGAGGCACACTCACAAGATAGAAACTCAATTTGGAGATAAGTCGAACTATTCCCTTCTTCCGCTTCCTGGATCACTTGTCCGAAGAACTAATGTAATCGGGTACCGAAAAATAGTACAGAAGTTCCGTAGTACGACAGATACGGACGGTCCAGGCAAATTGTTGACCAGACATTAGACATTCCAGACACATTCCGTACCTTTTCTGTACTTTTTTCTCGCAGTGTACATGAGTATCCGTCTACACAGTAAAAACTCTACGAAGAATCGCTTCGTAATACGAAGCAAATGAAGGCATTGTACAATCTACGAGGGAATGCTTCGCATTATGGAGCAAAATCCTTCGTAGGGTAACGTGCCCAGTGATGGCCAGGGTACCAGTGATGGCCACTTCACACTTTGCGCTGACTTTCCCACCAGGCGAGATTAGTTAAAGAATTGAGCTTTTGAGGTTTTGTACTGTCACATATTGACAACACAACGCCGAAAAAATTTCAGCTTTTTAGTGTTAGGGACGGCCGCACGGGCGCAGCGCGCTGAACACTGCGTTCTCGGCCGGTCGAACGTTGCTTTCCTTACCGGCCCAGATTAGCGCAGGCTTTAACGGCGTCGCTTGTCATTTGTGAATACGAGGTCCGTGCAAGAGAAACATCACGTCAGAAGAATCGAAAGAGGGCAAGTTAACCATAACATGCAAGTTTTTTTGAAATTTCGTTACATTTGAGGGAAAAGGGGTGGTGGCCAGTACTGGGCAGGCAAAACAGTGCACAGCCAGTGATGGCCACACTAGTGTTTTGAGGCAGACTTTGCAACGAGCGATGCGACGCCGTGCATGTCCGTCTAGTTTGTTGCCTGAAATATCTTGGTTTTGACCTGGCATCTCACTCCGCCTGCCTCATGGGGACCTGAATTCACGGTACCATGGAAACTGTTTAGACTCCGTACGTACAATAAGTTTTGTTTTTAAGTCAAAATTTTAAATATGCGATAGAAACAATTCGATTTCAGAAACGCGTTCACCTCAACAAGATGAACAAAAAATGTTAAGCATGTTTTAGGTTCAGGCTTGATTTTCAGAAGTTATCGGCCTTGAAACAGGAAAAAAGATGCATTTTGTACCTTTTTCCACTTTGGACACCGATAAACCTTTGAATTTGAAGTCTGTACCTATAACATGCTTAACATTACATGTTCACCTTCTCGAGATCAAATCATTTCGGAAACCAAATCTTTTCTATCGCAAACTTGAAATTTTAACTTTAATTCTATATTTATGGTATAAACACAAGTAGATTCCCAGGGTAGGTTCCCAGGGTTACACTGATTTCCGTTTCCTAAGACACAGTGACCCCTGTAGCTTCGAACAAGGTGCAAACCAGCTGAAATTGGGTTCAATAACTGTCAAAAACGAAAACAAAGCGCTCAAACCCTAGTGTGGCCATCACTGGGCCGGGACCCTGGCTATCACTGGGCAAAAGGTGGCCATTACTGGGCAAACTGTACTGATAGTTTGGTTAATTTTTTCTCAAAGAATAAATTTTATTTTGCTGGTTTCTACCCTTGGGAACCTTTACTCTATCCTTCTTTTATGTTTCTGGAAATTTTCATACCGGTATGACGTGCGGGACGCTTAGTAAAGGGGTTAAAGGCGCATCAGTGCGCTAAAAGTGGCCATCACTGGGCACCTTACCCTAATACGAAGCATTTCTTCATCATACAAAGCAATTGTAAAATGCCTTCCTTTTCTACGTAGTTATGAAGCAAATGCTTCGTAAGCTTATAAGAGTGTAGCGTCCTGCAGAAAACTACGCCAAACCAGGAAGTGTTGAGTTCTCCACAGTTGGTTGGACAGTGTGAGGCTATCAGTACACACCTTGTTGTCCAGAGGGCATTTTTTCACGTGGAGCCCTTGCAGGCACCTCAGGCAGAAAGAGTGGCCGCACGGCAGCACCTTCGGCCGGCGCTCCGTGGAGTCGAAGTTCTGCAGGCACACTTGGCACTCCATCTGGAAAAACAAACACTGTAAAAAAATGATCGTACTTTTGTACGGGAAAGGCACAGAAATATAGAGTAAGGAGGTACCGAAAAAAGTACACTGAAAGTAAAGTTTACACTACAGATCCAAAGGTCTATAGCCAAGTTTTGGTCAAACCTGAAAGTCTGGCGAAAATTTGGCCAGGCAAAAAAGTCTTACCACAAAATGGTCAGACACAAAAGTCTGACCACAAAATGGCGAGACTTTTGTGTCTCACCGCCACCTGAAGGTTGTAAACGCCGGACGGTTCCGGCCTGAAGGCCGTGGACAGACACAAAAGTCTCGCCATTTGGTGGTCACACTTCGTGGTTTAAGGGGGGACATCACTCCAAATTATCAAAAATTGCAACTTTTTTTTAATAGTTTATATTATAGACCATTCCTTTCTGCGTCAAATGGTAAAAACCGCATCCCGGAATTCAAAAAATTGCAGTTTTAGTAGGTTGTGCGCCGCAAACATGCATAGGGGAAAAGCCCAGTTTCCCCAACTTTGATCGCGTTTTTCTCGGAACATGAAATTGCAAACGGTTGCAGGCCTCTAGGGCGCAGTTTTTGAGCTACAACGGGGAGATTTAGCATGGAAGCTCCTACAATATGCCGCTATGGTGGGTAGCAAAATAATTTGCATTGGTCAATTTTTATTATTTTTTTAACGTTTAAAATTGAACAATTTTGTCCAAAAAAAATTAACAATAATTTTTGGTCAATAACAAACACAACTTAAAATGATTTTTTAAATGTGATTGAGGTACCCACCATAGCCAGACATCTCAGGAAGGCTGTCACCAAATTTCAATGTTCTAGGTCAAACCGTTTGGCGTCCAGCGCTGCAACAGTGCGAAATGGTCTAACCTAACGCTCAAAAATGTGTTTTCAGCGAAAGCGCTGTACTGCCCTGGCGGATTGACTTTGTGTTGTTTTATACTTTATCTGTTAAAATATGAACAATTTTTCTCTTTCCGTTTGGTTTTTATGACGTTTTTACAAAGGCACTGTTTTTGGAGTGATGTCCCCCCTTAAAAGACAAAATTTGAACCTCAGCGATCGTTTGTTCGTACTCATTCGCCCCGTCGCTCCGGTACACCCGAACATCCGGGAAAATCGAACTGCATTCCCCGGATTACTAGCTCGGCATGCTTCCACCTGCGCGCCACCTACCTTCTTCCCTCCAATCTCAATGCATGGGGGGAATGCCCTTGAAGCGTAGTTGTGCTGTTCAAGAAGGTGGTATAGTCTCCAAGCGCAGTTCTACGCTTGAATGAAGAGAAGAACTACGCTATTCATGTTCTAATATTACCAGTGTCCGTAACGTGATCCGGTCGTTGCGGCCGAGCCCCGAGACAGCTGACGCTGCAGCCCTCGAGCAACGCCAGCAACGTCTGGCCGAACGCCGCATTCCGGAGATGGGCCGTCACGTCACCACGGAGGCCGCCCCTCACCTGCGCCGAGGCAACGCCCAGCCCTGGCGTGCCACACGCCCGCAACCACCCCCGGCCTCATCTCACCGCCCAGCCACTCGCTGGAAAGGCGTGAATCGTTAATTCCTTTGAAAGGATACTAAAATGGTATATGGTATAGGACTCTTTGGCAAAATTTTGGTCTCCTTTCAAAGGCGTTAAAGATTAACGCCTTTCCAGGGGCGTATACCGTTTACGCCTTTTAAGAGCATAATTTAATGCTCTTGTTTCATCAATGTTGTACTCAACCCAATCTAAGGCTGGGGTTCTCAATCTTGGGGTCCCGACCCCAAAGGGGTCGCAAAATTGTTTTGTGGGGTCCCGGCAAGGTGGCTGCACTCTTACCCCGTTACTGACCCTTTTCTCATTAATTACGCATTCGTAGTATAAACGACAATAATAAGCAAATATGACTAATTTCCTTTGTAAAATTATGTACAAAACCAAATTATCAGTTCATTATTTAATATTTCCTGAGTAGTTCTTTATAACAGAAAAAGTACATCATGGTTGCACAAACTACTTGCATAAGTACGTACTGACAAAATGAGCAAAAAGTCAGTAACGTGCTGAGAGTGCGCGGCGTGTGTGGCTCCTGGGGTCGCGGCGGTTTCCCGGCAGGGCTACAGGCAGAGCACTGCCGGGAACATAGATTCGCGGAAACTGGAAAACCCAACAGCCTGTTTGTCCGGATGGTCCGGATGTTTTAAGGCCTGCATGCGCTGCGAGCAAGCGGGTAAATCCTTCTCAGAAGTGTAGGGAGGGGAGGGGGATTAGCTCTTTAGAGGCAAGACGCCACAGCATTGGGGTCGAGGGCCGAGATCACCAAGGCCCAGGAAAGGGATAATGATAATCTGTCTTTTCCACACGTTTAGTTGTAATATTCCAGAAGTAAATATTTTTCGTTATTTTTATAGCAAAAGTTTTCCTGGGATCGCGAAAATTTTTGTCTACTATTTTAGGGTTGCGAGCCGAAAAAGGTTGAGACCCGCTGATCTGCGGCATAACACGATTTACGCCCTAAAAGGGCGTGAAAGACTGTTCACGCCCTAAAGAACATGGTTTTTATGCCTTTGATCCCCCCCCCCTCAAAAGACTACGAAGCTTTTTGCTTCGTAGTTACGAAAGAAGTGCAGGCGTTGTAGAAGGGATCCGTATTACGACGGATTTTGCTTCTTACTAAGAGTCAAATAGAATATTTCAAGGAAGGACTAGACCGGAAGCCAGGGGCCGCAATCTCCGCCAGACACGCATTTTTAACAACGAACTTTTCGAGGCGTAACGGGCCCTATGTTCCACAAAGAAGCACGTGGTTCCGGTACTGACAGCAGCTTATGACTCCCGGTCCAGACCTCCTACGAAATTCGTACATTTTATATTGCCTTCGTTTATAAAATGTAACGAAGGGATGCCTCGTATTACCTTTTAAAATATGCCCGGGCCTTACTCGAAAGGAGCCGTCCATAAATTACGTTACATACGCGCCCTCCTCCAGTGCGGTGCCGTTGCAGTTATGTCCATAAATCCTATCCAGTAATAAACAGTTATAAACCACGGTGGTCGACAAAGCTGCAACGCAAGGTTAGAGGGGGCCCATCAGCGTGGTCGACAATACGGCAACGAAGGCTGTGGTCGACATAACTGCAACGGCACCCTCCAGTGCCACCATAAAACACGGCGTTACGCTAGCACAAGCGTAACGTTACTGAAAGATTCTCGTGAGAACGCGATTTTTCCCCACACTCTCAGCACGGTACTGACTTCTTCCTCATCAATAACGTATTCGTTAGTATAAACAGCAGTAATACTTAATATTTTCTACGTAAGTATGTCTAATTTCCTGTGTAAAATTATATACAAAACAAAATTCCAAGTACGTTATTGAATATTTCCTAAGGAGTTCTCCAAAAAAAGGAAAAGTACGTATTATGGTTGCATAAATTACTGGCATAAGTACTGACAAAATGAGCAAAAAGTCAGGAACGTGCTGAGAGTGCAGGTAACTGCTTATTATTCGGGTATGCCCCCATGTTCGATGAGTTGAGCGTAACGTTACGCTACCGCGAGTCCGATTTAAGGGAGGTTTGTTAACAAAAATGTTTGTTCCCTCTCCCAAACAATGTTGGAAACAGGTTCAAAAGCTTATGGTAGAGTCACGCTTCGGAAAACTCTTAATCAGATGCATTTGGGGAGGTGAGGTTAGGCCCGCGCCATGTCCTATTTTGATCTGCCTCTTTTTCTTTGGGCCGGCGGCGACTAGAACGCTCGATTCACTCTCAAACGAATAGGATGTCTCATACGAGTGCAGCAACGTCCACACTGTTCAGTTTAGGGAGGGCTGGAGCGCTATTCATGGTCCGTACATTACCTTGGCCTCCGAAGTGGGGACCACTGGGCGCTGCTGCAATCTGGACCAGGATGTGGCCGCAGTGAGGCTGTGAAGTGCTGCGCACGGCTGGTTGGCAGGCACGATGACGAAACTCTTGAGCGCCGATCGAAACTGAAAGTCTAGGAACGAATTCAGCGCGACTGCGAGCACGTTTAAATGAAGCCGCGGCCGGGGATGCAGTGAGACTGGCAGACTACTGGCCTTCAGCTCAGCTCAGGCCCTGAGCCTCAGGGTTGCCAGAAGCTCGGGGTTGCCAGACCCTGTGTAAGCCAGTGCGCCACCAGAGCGCGCTCCGAGCGCCACTGGGCGCCACGGAGGCCAAGTCGCCGCCGCCACAGATCGCCACGGGAGCGCTCAAGACGCCACTCTGGCGCCACAGGTCGCACTAGATCGCCACCGAGGCGCCACCGTCGCGACCCGTTTTGACGCGCACACTGTTAAAAATAATCGTAAATTTACGACATTTTGTAGAACAATTATGTCGTTTTAAAACGACATATTTTGTTACGACTCAAGTCGTAAATATACGACTTGAATCGTAAATGTACGACATATTTGTCGCTAATTTTGAGAGCGACACGTTTCGTTTTAAAACGAATTAAGTCGTAAATTTACGACTTAATCGTAAGTCTACGAACAATCGTAAATTATCTTTCGAATATGTCGTTCAGTTATGACTTCAGTCGTACATTAACGACTCTTGTCGTAAATGTGTGTTATGAATCGTAAATAAACGACACAAATCGTAAATAAGTGACCAAATTGTAACTTTTCACCAACTTTTCGGGGATTTCAGGTGTCGAAATATGTAATCGTGATTACGACATTGTCGTAGAGAAATGATTTTATAGTCGTTCAGTTACGACGAAGTAGTGTAAGAACGATTTCCGTCGCTATGAAAATTAGCGACTTTTTTGTCGCTAATTTACGACAGAATTTCTAACAGTGCATTCAAACGAACGTGACACAATGCTCAAACGAACGTGACACTTTGTCACGTTCGTTTCAACGTGATGTCACGTTCCTGGAATGAGAGTGACTGCAGGGCGATTCACGTCTGTGGCCACATTTGACGACTCGAGCGCCACCTCGTGGCGACTCAGCGCGACCGACCGCACACTGTTAAAAATAGTTGTTTTAAAACAACAACACAGTTACCAACCTCGACAACGCTGTTGTTTGTGAACAAGTTTGCTTGTTTTGAAACGACGAATTCGTTGCTAATTATTTTAATGACTTATGCTGTTTCAAAACAATATTTTGCTGCTTACAAACAACCTGGACAATCTAAGAAGTGGTTACTGCGGGGTAACCGGGACTCTACTAGGTCTCCGACCTAATCGTCAATAAAAATTGATGCAAATAAGGCTGTCTATCGGTTTTACAAACATCTTGTGGACGAACGACGCAACTCGTTAGTAAACAACAAAAGTCATTTGAAAACAACTTTGATCGCTAAGAAAATTAGCAACATATTTACTGCTAAATTACAACATAATTTTTAACAGTGCAGGCGGTGGCCAGCTGAGCCACTATGTCTACAATCGTCTACTAACCGTCTACAAATGACTGGTTATTATATTTTCACGCGTTCTTGCGTGGGGCCTGCCTACAGGCAGCCTACTTCACATGGGTCCGAAATGGCGCCGAGTTTCGGTGGCGACCCGAGTGGCGCTTTGGCTTCCCGAGTGGCGCTGGAGTGGCGACTTCGCGAAATCGGTGGAGATTTGGCTCGGCGCGCTCGCCGCCGCTCGGCCTCGGCCCTCGGCCGGCGGATCAGGGATTCGGGACTTTTTCGCGCTCCTCGGCCCTCGGCCGGCTGATCCTGCACTGTTAGAAATTCTGTCGTAAATTAGCGACAAAAAAGTCGCTAATTTTCATAGCGACGGAAATCGTTCTTACACTACTTCGTCGTAACTGAACGACTATAAAATCATTTCTCTACGACAATGTCGTAATCACGATTACATATTTCGACACCTGAAATCCCCGAAAAGTTGGTGAAAAGTTACAATTTGGTCACTTATTTACGATTTGTGTCGTTTATTTACGATTCATAACACACATTTACGACAAGAGTCGTTAATGTACGACTGAAGTCATAACTGAACGACATATTCGAAAGATAATTTACGATTGTTCGTAGACTTACGATTAAGTCGTAAATTTACGACTTAATTCGTTTTAAAACGAAACGTGTCGCTCTCAAAATTAGCGACAAATATGTCGTACATTTACGATTCAAGTCGTATATTTACGACTTGAGTCGTAACAAAATATGTCGTTTTAAAACGACATAATTGTTCTACAAAATGTCGTAAATTTACGATTATTTTTAACAGTGTGTGAACGAGCTGATTTTCGGCCAATTCACACCCAAACGAATGTGACACAATGCTCAAACGAACGTGACAGTCTGTCACGTTCGTTTCAACGTGATGTCACGTTCCTGGAATGAGAGTGGTGGAAGTCAAAGAACAAAAGTGAGAAGCGCAGACGCTGCCTTAGTGGAGGGGGCACGCATGCGCCCAAGCGGTTTAGGTTTTTACTTTCGTTCTTTGACTTCCGGTTCATGGATTCGCTAACATATCCTTTCGCCGACGCGCTCGAGTCGCTAGTAAACCTTCTACTTAAGCCTATGTGACGGGTTTCTTTACGTATTTTGCCGACGAGCCAGCGCATTCGGCGATGTTTCACATTTTGGCCAAGGTGTTCCATTTCTAGCAACATTAACATTCTTCATGGAACACCAAGGCCATATTGTAAAATATTGTCCACACAAATGCGCTGGCTCGTCGGCAAAGTACGTAAAAAAAGCTCGAAAGAAAGGCCTACACTCTCAGACCTTCACTGATTATTTTTTCTAAATTGTAGAAAATTTACTCTACAGCTTACTGATTTTAGAGCGTTACTATGATATAGTAAATATTTTCAATAACATATCGAATAAATTTTACATGAGATACAGATAAATTAGCGGTAACAAATTTGGTAATTATAGACAATCTTTTACTTACTTACAGAAAATTTACAATGTCAGTAGAAATATGATGACAAAATTGTTTATAATCAAAGAATTTATTTTCTGCAAATGTAGAAGATAAAGTTTGTGCTCATAAACAATTTGTCGATGACTACTTTGTGATCTTCAGTAAATATTTTCAGTGAAATTTTTCTCCGTTCAAACAAAGCTGATTAGAAGGTAATGCGCTTAGTCAAAATGATCCTACAAAACATTCTTAGCTTCAACAAGTCAAGAAAGGACTCAATGTAAGCGGCTTTTAAGAGATGGTTGAATTGTGACTTTTAGCGGAAACATCCAAAAAGTTATTCTGACTCTTTAAAATCTTTTCTGTTAATTCTTGTATATATTTTTTGTATGTAGAGAACATTTTGCCTACATTTATAGATCATTTTTACTAGAATGGAACAGTAATTTTTTTCTGCTTGATCATAACTGTAGTTGCAGAAAATATTATCAACAGACCACTTTTCTGTAAGGTTGCTGATTATTTTTTCTGTACTTACAATCAAAAGGACTACAATTGTAGAAAAAATAATTAAACTGTAGGTTTACTGAAAAAAATGTCCGTGGAGTGTCGGAGAGTGTATTACCTGAGGGAAAGAATCCCAGAAACTCGGGCCTGGGCTGGCGGGCCAGGATCCTACCTTCCAAGCCAGGCAGTAGGGTATTCGAATCCTGAAACGGACGAAGAAGAACAAAAGTAAGCCCTTTAAAAGCTTCTGCGCATGCGCAGACGTTTCCCCACACGGCGCGCATGCGCATGGAGGCTGTTTCAAGAGCTCACTGCCGTTTACTTTCTTTCGTTTCTTTCAGTATACCCTATTTGGAGAATACTGTAACTTTGATAATATTACACAGTGGAAACGGACTGGGGCGTTACTATGGGAAAGGCTTGCGCAACTAAGAAAACTTATTTGAGGGAATGATATATTTTGGACTGAGTACACTGTTAGAAATTCTGTCGTAAATTAGCGACAAAAAAGTCGCTAATTTTCATAGCGACGGAAATCGTTCTTACACTACTTCGTCGTAACTGAACGACTATAAAATCATTTCTCTACGACAATGTCGTAATCACGATTACATATTTCGACACCTGAAATCCCCGAAAAGTTGGTGAAAAGTTACAATTTGGTCACTTATTTACGATTTGTGTCGTTTATTTACGATTCATAACACACATTTACGACAAGAGTCGTTAATGTACGACTGAAGTCATAACTGAACGACATATTCGAAAGATAATTTACGATTGTTCGTAGACTTACGATTAAGTCGTAAATTTACAACTTAATTCGTTTTAAAACGAAACGTGTCGCTATCAAAATTAGCGACAAATATGTCGTACATTTACGATTCAAGTCGTATATTTACGACTTGAGTCGTAACAAACTATGTCGTTTTAAAACGACATAATTGTTCTACAAAATGTCGTAAATTTACGATTATTTTTAACAGTGTAGGTGGGTGCACTGTGTGGTAACAGAATCGTAAAATACGGCCAGTTACGCCGACCCGTGCCTGGCTGTCGTAACACCAACCTTCGCCTGCGGCCGGCCTGTGCCTGCCCGCTCCAGATAGGGATTACAGAAGGCGCCCTGATCCGCCCACCTCAAGCGTTTAGGCGTGTAAGACCTGACGCGTTCTTTAGATTTGAAGCACTGCGTAAAGGAATAAGGAAATGTTCCAATACAGCTGGTCAAACTAAGCAAGGGAATAGGCAGAGATATTCTTATCAACGGTTAATCATACTTCGTAAAAAACTCTTGGGCTTTTTGGGCAATGATCTTTTATGGGCACTTCTTGGTCCACGCCCTCTCTACACGGTGGTTCTGACCTAATGCGCGGGCCGAGGGAAGAGCGCCTGGCCAAATCTCCACTGGTCACCACTGATTCCGCGAAGTCGCCACTCGGGAGGCCGAAGTGCCACTGGGGTCGCCACCGCCACACTGTGAGAAAAAAGTACGGAAAAAGTACGGAACATGTCTGGTCAATAATTTGCCTGGACCGTCCGTACTTGCCAACTACGGAACGTTCCGTACTGTTTTTCCGAACCAATTTACATGGGTTCATATGGTGCAAGTACGGAACGTTCCGTTCTTTTTTCCGTACCTCCGTACTATATTTTTCTGCACTATTTCCGTACAAAAGTACGGGATTTTTAACAGTGCACTCGGGTTCGCCACTCGGCGCCACTTCGGCGCTTCTTCGGCCGCTCGGGCGCCACGTCTGGCAACGCTGGATCCAGACACTCGGCGGGTTTGGAGGCGAGAGGGGAAGGGAGGAGCTAGTGGGCCCACTAGGGGGAGCTCAGCGCGCCTCAAGGAATACCTCACGGAGCTCTCGACACGACACTGGGTGGACACTTGCTGACCCACTCCTCCGATGAAACGCAGCGCTACGCCGTCAGGCCCTGACCCATCCCTCTGCTTAACCGCTTAACTAAAGGTAGACGCTTAAAACCTTGCCAAGTATGTTGAGCATTCATAGTGGTACAATCTTATTTCCTTCTTTGCAATCTTATGTATGCTCAACATACTTTGTTATAACAAGTGTAATGTGACGCTCATAATAGTCTGTAAGGTTTTCAGAGTATACTTTCGGCGAGGGGTGAATCACAAGCGTACTCATGTGTACAAATTAGCCTGTACTCAGTGTACTCACATGTTTAAAAAGAGCAAAATTCGCTCAGTTTTTACACGATTTGGCGTTGTGTGTCATCCTAACCGCTAAAACAAGCCAAAAAAACGTTTAAAATGTGAAATTTGTGAGTGTTAAAAGGTGTATTCACCCGTACTCATGTACTCATGTGTACACCAGAACGCTGAGTGATTCACCCCTTGACTTTCGGAGAGCATCTGTTTCGTTTCTTCTGCAAACTCTCTTAGTCTCGTTATTGTGTTCAGCTCAATTTGGCGCTCGGTCTGACCGACCCGGATCACCCGCCGTCTTTCTTCAACTTAAAGGTACACCGTGGCTTATCGTAACAGGCTTCGCAATGCTGCTGCATTTCGACACACGTCTGGCGCATACCTACCGTGGCTTGCGACGCTGGCGTGCCTTCGGCAGGCCCCTTTGCGGCACATCGCCTCATTAGTCGACGTGATCGCAAGTCATAGCAGCATGTGGTGTTTACGTTGATGCTAGGGGGCTCCGCCCCCAGATCTTTCTTACACGTATGGAGTTACAGAGTTCGGTGGTCTAACTACATCAACTTGAGCTTGGCACCCTCGAGAAGCTTTGGGATAAAAATTCTGATACAATTATGCTCGAACGGTATTCCAACCTGGGTTCGGGGTTAGAATGGTTTTCATTTCCGTCATAAGCGCCCTCAAAAACACAGGTAGATATGAAAAAATTGCACTGAGAGAAGGGGTCGGTGCCTCACGATAAAACTGTGTTTTGTGGAACCCCCCAATGGCGACAGTTACACGAGTTCAATCCTTGCAACTGTTCAGCCGATGATCACAATAAGACTGCTAAATAGTGAGAGTGACTGAACCGCCAATAATAGTCAGCATGAAAGGACTCGATTAAACTGGCTTTAGTCATTGGCTTGATCGATGGTCAGTAGTCGCGACTAAAGCGTTTAGGTGTGGCACCGAAACACTGGCGATGCGACACTCAACACGGAAGTCGCGTTGCCATCGCCCAGCGCTCCGCCACATTCTCAACAGTGCGGTAGCTCAGTGGTCTCCGCGCCTGGAGGCTGGATAAGAAGCCGGGTTCGGGGGTTCAACTCCCCGTAGCGCAACCAGTTTCTCCTGGCCTAGTATCTTTGTATACTATTGTGCTGTCAGGAGATGGACTGTGGGACACTTGGGACCCCAGGAAAGGGAGCGAGCTATCATTTTCTCGGTGCGTCCGCACACATTCGTCAGTCCAAGAGGCCCATCAATGCCGGCCTCTCTCAGTCAGCCAGGTGGGCGAGTTGGTAGAGCGACAGACTCGTAACACGTAGGTCCGTGGTTCGAGTACTCGTTTGGAAGTCGTTTTTTCATCGGTTTACGTTTATGTGTCAGGACTAAACAGTCAACCGTCAGACCTTATCGCATTCAGTCACTGTAACAAGATTTGATTTAGTGGCAGTGGCTATAGTAGACGGACGACATGTTAGAAAAAGAGTACATCTCACAGCTAAAGTAGTGCGACTAAACGATTTAAATGTGGCCATCGAACGTTTAATTGAACCCCCAGCGACCAAACAGATTGGTTGTCACAGCTGTAAGTTTAGGTGTGGCCCCAAAACATTTCTCTCAGTGTGGTTAAAAGTTGAAAAGTAGGGAAAAGTTGTCTCTTTCTGCCGCTTTTAAGTGTTTTTTGATTGGTTTCATGGTTTGAGACAGAAAGCCGAAGTTTGGCATGCGTCGAATCCCAACCACACACAACTGCGCGCAATTCGCCTTCTGTATCGTCTTCTTGGAGCCTAGAGACCTAGGAGACAATGTGTGGTAGAGGCGGTGGGGGAACAAGATTTGGAGAGGGGGTATGGTGAGGTTAGGTATGAAAAGTCAGGTCTCATGAATGTTTAATTTTTACTGCTGATGTATAGTGTTTCTTTTTTATTGGGGGGAAGGTGACTTGATTCTTTTCACGATAGATTCATAAAAACACAAGTTGTGTTGTTTCCTTATTCCGCTAAATAGAGAGCGTAAGAAGGGTCAAGTAGAGATATTGTTCTTATTCCATGTGCATTCGTGACCATTAGGAATTGAGCCAAATAATTTGGTGTATTGATGTAAACCATTGTTTGGTACAATAATAGTTAAATGATATGGTAAAGTAAAAATGTGAAATTTGGTTTCTCAGAATAATTCTGGCAGCATAATTGTTTGCTGTTCCTATAAGATGAACTGAAATCTACATTTTGGACAGTAGTTCCGGAGCTGTTGAAGTTAACCTAAAAATTTAGTCGTCTGTCCCAAATTTTGCTCAAAAATGACGAATACCCATAGAATTTTCAGCCTCCAGCTCCTGGCAAATCGATACTAAATAACCTATGACAATGATAGCAGAGGCTTTTCGCAATATCTGTGTTAATTTTTTTAACTGGAGATATAAGTTGTTGAAAACATACCTAAAAATTGTGATTCTGGTCGACTTTCAACATATTGTGTACTCAATCTCTTCTGGTAAAAGATCTGATTGGCATATTGCAAAACTCTTATGTTATTTTTTTTTATATGTCCTCTAAGATTGATTTGCCAGGTGCTGAAGGCTGGAAACTTTTTTGGTATTCGTGTGGGAGACACGACTAAATTTGTTACGCAAACCTCCAAAATTTTGGGAGTCCTAACGCAGGGGTCCTAACTGTGGGTTTCTGTTCATATTAAAGTGAGCTAAGGGAGGGTGGGGCAGTTTGAAACAGGGGCAGTTTGAAACAAACACCAATATTAAAGCAATGAAGGCTGCCGAAGGAAATGTGAGTGTGCACAATCTTCTATTTTCATGATCTTACTGATTTGCGATCGACACGCTCGTCAACGGCGCACTTTGGTGCCCTTGAAAACAAGGTGAAACTTCGGTAACATTGAAATTGGTCGAAACCTAATTTTCTATGTCACGGGAGTTTCCGTCTGGGTTTCGCTAGTAAGCGATCATCCCCCGCGCTTTTAATTCATCTTTTAGTACCATATTAGGCAAGCGTAACGCACCCTCGGACACTGACGTAGCCCTCACCAAGTCCCGCGGGGAGCAGCACAACTGGAATGGTACCCTCTGGGGTAGTTTGAAACAGAAGTGGATGGGGCAGTTAGAAACACAGCAATATCACAAGCAAAAACGTTTTACACAAGGTAGGTTTACGCCAGACCGCGTCTTGTCGTAACAGGCTTCGCGATGTCTCGCTGCCTGTTCCTCCAATTCGCGCCTGGCGAACCTACCTTGGCCTGCGGCGCTAGCCTGCCTTCGGCAGGCCATGGCTTGCCCATCGTCGGTTACTTCTAATTTGTTGCATGCTGGGGGGCCCCGCCCCCAGACCCCCTTTTTATCAAGACAGGAGAGATCTACCTACAGAAAACTCGATTTTTCGGCATTTTTTAGGTGTTATTCGGCTATTAAAACTGAATTAGTTGAGCTAGGACAGTGAAATTTCGCGTGTGCCGAGCCAAGGACATACCCAAAAAGTGTGCAAAATCTCAGCCACATCGGCCGAGCCGTTCAGGAGGAGTAGTACTGACAGACAGACAGACACGCAGACAGACAGACAAAACTTTTCAACCCCACCTGAGGGCTTCGCTGTCGCTCAGCCAATGATGGAAAGCGAGCCTAATGATGGAAGTTCGTAATTCGAGATGGCATCCACACTGTCAGAAAAAAGTCCGTAAATTTACGGAGAAAGTTACTCTAATTTTGGGAATGGAGGCTCCGTAAATTTTCCATATTTTTACGGAGATTTTCCGTATTTTTACGGAGATGAACCGCATTTTTGCAGAAATAAACGCATTTTAACGGTTTACTTCCCTCCTTCCACCTTCGATGTTAATGCAAACAGTGTCCTTTGAGACGAAAGTGATATTCTCCAAAACTGTTCGAGGATCCACTTGACCACATGCCATTAGGATCGGATAAGTAAACGGAAACCCTAAGGCGAGGTCGCTTAAGGCCAGGGACAGGTGAAAAAATGATCTCAGAAACTGCTGGTCCAAAACTTCTTATTTTCTGTCAAAATCTTACTCTTGATGATAAACTATTTCACCCAAAATCCCATCCCATAATATCAAGCGGTTCCTGAGATACAGGCTTTTTTATAATTTTTTAAGTGTTTGTTAAAAAATTCCTGTGCGTTTCCCATTTTGGGTTATTGACCTGACCGACATATTTTTTTGTTCGTCTAAGTCCAAAGAACAAACGCAAGTGACAGATTTTAGTTTCCGGCACTGATAGCAAAATACCAACTTTTCAATTTTGACATTTTTCAAAAACCAAAGATTTTCCCTTTTTTTGTAAAAACCGATATCCAAAACCATACTTCTGGGTGGAATATACAAAAACTGTCACTTGCGTTTCCTCGCAATAACCTACTGAGTCAGTGGAAAAAATATCATTGACGACACTTCAAACTGTATGCGCACAGGACCATTCAAATGTTAAAAAAATGTCTTCGGAGAAAAGGGCGTTTAAAGTTTGGTGACAGATTTTAATGGATTTTCAGCCAAAAAAATCTCCTTGCGCATACTATTTTGTCGTAAAAGGTTGACCTGGATATTTTTCACTTCTTCGATCCATTTTTAAAAGATCCCAGCATGCACAACTGAAAATGTCCATTACATTATCATTGGCAAGCTTCTAAAGCATGCATTTCACTTAAATTGATCAACAATGTACAAAATAGACAAGTTTTAGTGACTTCTTAGATGAAAAAAGCATGTGATTACTAATATAATGGAAATTTTGAACTAGGCATGCTGGAATCTTTTTAAAATGAATCGAAGAAGTGCAAAATGTGAAGATAAGCCTTTTACGTCAAAATAGTATGCGCAAGAGGATTGTTCAAGATACGGCTAAATAAAGCCAAAACAGTCCAAAAAAGACAATTCGACTGGGTTCAAGACCTAGTATATGCCTTCAAAAATCAAATCTTAGTCTCTTTGAAGTATGATTTCATATTCCCAACAAATTATGACAGTGGGGTTCATTTTAAAAATGGCAAGATTTTCGCTAGAACCCCCCTCCCCCCTCCCCCCTTGATGGCAAAACGGACAATTTTACTAAAGTGTCGTAAATGCAGGAGTGTGCGAAAAGATGTATTTTAAGCACTTCCAGGTCCCGGATAGTCGAAGTCCCGACAGATCCTGAAAGAGGAAGGTCCAAAGGACCATTTTCCACCCAGAACTCATTTCATTCAATTTCACCAAACTTCTTCATTTTTTCACCTGTCCCTGGCCTTAAGGGAAGGCGTACTCTTGGAACACCTAATCAGTTGGTCACCCAACCCATCGATAACGTGAATAAGTCTGTTTTTTTTATAAGTAAGGCTTCTATTTCATTTATATACATAACTTCCATATTTTCACGGAGAAAATCCATAATTCAAAAAAACGGAGATCTCCGTTACAAAAAATGGACAGTCTCCGTTAAATTTCCGTATTTTTACGGAGTTTTCTGACAGTGGCATGGAGACGTTGTATGTTTGACCCGTGACTTGCATCAAAATGCAACATTTACAGACTATTGCATGTTGTAAACTTTGCGGGCAGAAAAAGGCCTTTATTTCAACTCCAAAACAGTAATGTGTGCTAACAACTTTTGTTCGTCTCTCTGAGACAAATCCATTGCCATACGCATTTTCAAAAAATTCGCATTTTGAAAAATATGCCTTTTTTTGGCTTTTAGATTATTATTAAAAATGTTGAAAGAGCTCATCAAAATGTCAGCACTTGCATGGCAACGTCTATTTGAGTCTGTTTGAAACGTCTATTTGAGTCTGTTTGAATCTATTGGAGTTGTGTACGCGGCTCTTCTTGGCCGTGTTGACTTCCATACAGCTGTTTCAAACTGCCCCATCTCTGTTTCAAACTGCCTCGGCCTGGGGCAGATTGTAACAGATGCAAGGGTTGGAGTTTCACCTTATTATTAACGTTGAACGAACTTGTGAGCGTCTGCGGGCGTTTTCTAGTCTAGATAACAAGGTAGGTTTACGAGACCGCGTCTTGTCGTAACAGGCTTCGCGATGTGTCGCTGCCTCTTCCTCCAATCCGCGCCTGGCGTACCTACCTTGGCCTGCGGCGCTAGCCTGCCTTCGGCAGGCATTGGCTTGTCCATCGTCGGTTACTTCTAACTTGATGCATGCTGGGCATTCTAGATCCCTTGTAACTTTTTTGGCTGAGCGATAGCGAAGCCTGTTACTCCAGTGGGGTTGAAACATTTTTCCTGTCTGTCTGTCTGTCTGCGTGTGTGTGTACACTACTCCTCCTGAACGGCTCGGCCGATCTGGCTGAGATTTTGCAGGCTTATTAGGTATGTTCTTGGCTCAGCACACGCGAAATTTCACCATCCTAGCTCAACTGGTTTGGTTTTTAAAGCCGAAAAACACTTAAAAAACGGCGAAAAATCGAGTTTTCTGTAGGCAAATCGCCTCTGTCTTGAAGAAAGGGGGGGTCTGGGGCCCCCCCAGCCAGGACAAGTGAAAAAGCTACAAGGGTCAAGATCGCGTTATCTGCCGATGAAGCAACTCCATCTAGAATGAAGGGGGTCCCCAGCATGCAGCAAGTTAGGAAAATCGACGATGGAGAAGCCATTGCCTGCCTAGCGCCGCAGGCCAAGGTGTACGCCAGGCGCGGATTGGAGAAACAGGCAGCGAGACATCGCGAAGCCTGTCACGACAAGACGCGGTCTGGCGTAAACCTACCTTGTAACTTGTCGGGGCTGGGGCCCCCTTTCTTCAAGACAAAGGTGATCTACCTGCAGAAAGCTCGATTTTTCGCCGTTTTTTAGGTGTTTTTCGGCTATAAAAACTGAACCAGTTGAGCTAGGATAGTGAAATTTCGCGTGTGCCGAGCCAAGAACATACCTAATAAGCCAGCAAAATCTCAGCCAGATCGGCCGAGCCGTTCAGGAGGAGTAGTGTACACACACACACACAGACACACACACAGACAGACAGACAGACAAAACTTTTCAACCGCATTGGAGTAACGGGCTTCGCTATCGCGCAGCCAATGAGTCAAACTACAAGGTAGGTTTACGCCAGACCGCGTCTTGTCATAATAGGCTTCGCGATGTCTCGCGGCCTGTTCCTCCAATCCGCGCCTGGCGTACCTACCTTGGCCTGCGGCGCTAGCATGCCTTCGGCAGGCATTGGCTTGTCCGTCGTCGGTTACTTCTTACGTGTTGCATGCTGGGGGGCTCCGCCCCCCAGACCCCCCTTAATTCTAGATAGAGTTGCTTCATCTACAGATAACACGATCTTGACCCTTGTCACTTATTTACTTGTCGGAGCTGGGGGGCTCCGCCCCCCAGACCCCCCTTTCTTCAAGACAGAGTTGATCTACCTGCAGAAAACTCGATTTTTCGCCGTTTTTTAGGTGTTTTTCGGCTATAAAAACTGAACCAGTTGAGCTAGGATGGTGAAATTTCGCGTGTGCCGAGCCAAGAACATACCTAATAAGCCTGCAAAATCTCAGCCAGATCGGCCGACCCGTTCAGGAGTAGTAGTGTACACACACACACACAGACACACACACAGACGGACAGACAGACAAAACTTTTCAACCGCACTGGAGTAACAGGCTTCGCTATCGCTCAGCCAATTAATCTAGTGCAAACACGCAGCGACTAACAGTACGATTATAACAACGAAATTCCAAAATCTGTTTCAAACTGCCCCACCCTCCCTTACTTAAGACCAAAACAAATGAACTGCTGGTACAATATCCTGGGGAAAGAATGATTTTCACTTTACAGTACCTTATAAACGATTTGGAGATAAGTTATTTCCTTCTTCCGCTTCTTGAGTCAATTGAAAGACAGCTCTTTTACCTTGCAGCCCTTCGGTGCAGATGGAGTGCTCGGTGTGCCTCGAGGCCTTCGACCGGGAAGTGCGCCGCCCCAAGGCGCTGCCCTGCGGACATTCGTTCTGCTTGCGCTGCCTGCAGAACCCGGACTTCGGCCACCACTGCCCGCAAGACCGCAGGGTGAGTCACGCCGAGGGCACACCACTATTTATTTTTTTGTGTGGAACTTAAGGGGAGGTTCTGGCGAAAATCTTGTCATTTTCAAAATGGACCCCACTGTCATAATTTGTTCGGAACATAAAATCTTTCATTGAGGAGACTAAAATTTGACTTTTGAAGGCACATGCCAGGCTCTGAACCCAGTCGAAGAGTCTTTTTGAGCCTATTTTGGCTGTATCGTAAAAAAATCTTCTTGCGCACACTATTTTGTCGTAAAAGGTTGACCTTGACATTTTTCACTTCTTCGATTCATTTTCAAAAGATGCCGGCATGCATAGCTCAAAATTTCCATTACATTATTAATTGTACGCTTTTTAAGCTGAAAAGTCCCTAAAATTTGTCTGTTTTGTACAGTTTTGGTCAATAATAGTGAAATGCTTGATTAGAAAGCTTGCGAATAAAAATGTAATTTACGTTTTAAGTTCTGCATGCCGGCATCTTTTATAAATGAATCGAAGAAGTGAAAAATGTCTAGGCCAACCTTTTACAACAAAATAGTATGCGCAAGAAGATTTTTAAAGTTATTGCCTAGATAGGAGAAAAAGGCTCTGCTATACTGGGTTCAGCGCACAGAATGTGCCTCCCCATTGAAAAATTTTAATACAGTGAGCCCTCGCTGTTTGTCCCGGAGTCGGGAGTTCCTGGGGACAAACAACGAGGGACGGTAGTCATTTCCCCGCCGGCTTAAGCCGCCGTAATCCCTACCTGAAGGGTCAGCGCCGGGCGGCGGCCGGCCGGCGGGGCCTGGCCGGGGCCAAGGTGGTGGGGATGACTCAGGGACAAACAACGAGGGACGAAACGGGACAAACAACGAGGGCTCACTGTAATTACTTGGTAAGAGATCAAATTTTTAACAAATTTTCATAGTGGGACCTATTTAGGAGAAAAAAGCATTTTCACCAGAACCGCCCCTTAAGCACAGAATTGAGCATGCGCATGAAGCGAATGAATTCGTGCGCATCAACGCACACGTTAGTGCTTTACACACTAATTAGTGCACTTAAAATTGCGTGCACAATTTTGTTCAAAGCTTATTCACAAGTAAACTACATAATAATTTCCTTTGAGGACGAAGGCTTTGTACACTGTCTCAAATTGTCATAACTTAACGACACATCTAGGGTACTGCTTGGTGTTGGAACGGATAGCTTAAGACTCTCAATCGAGCCCGGAACTCCTCCTTCGTTGTTAGGCTCTCCATTAGTAATGTCCGAAGGCGCTGGGTTATATCCGGCGAAACATCGGACTGATATAACTCAGGGGCCAGTGGGTACTGTCAAGTCTGCCCAACATTATACGAGTCATGTCGACACTAACCAGCCGCCGGACATTACCCGTAACATATAAACGCCCTGTTACATCTCACTTTTCAATTCTTGTCCTTTTTCTCATTGTAGGCCTTCAGGAACGAGCCAATTGTGAACCTGCCCGACAACTTCAACGTGCTCAGCATGCTCGGGGACGGGGCAGCAAGGTAAGGAACGCCTGTTTTCGTCTGACTCACTGCACACTAAATGATCCAGGCAGCGCAAGAAGGGGATAACTCCAGTTTGACCATTTTCCAAGCTAATCAAAATACTGTTAGCAGAGGAAAATAAAACCTAACAAATGAATGTTATAGATAACAAGGTAGGTTTACGCCAGACCGCGTCTTGTCGTAACAGGCTTCGCGATGTCTCGCTGCCTGCTCCTCCAACCAACGCCCGGCGTACCTACCTTGGCCTGCGGCGCTAGCCTGCCTGCGGCAGGCAATGGCTTGTCCGTTGTCGGTTATTTTTTAACTTGTCGTAGCTGGGGGGCTCCGCCCCCCAGACCCCTCTTTCTCCAAGACAGAAGTAGTCTATCTGCAGAAATCTCTATTTTTCGCCGTTTTTTAGGTGTTTTTCGCCTATAAAAACTGAACCAGTTGAGCTAGGATGGTGAAATTTCGCGTGTGCCGAGCCAAGGACATACCCAAGAAGTGTGCAAAATCTCACCGAGATCGGCCGAGCCGTTCAGGAGGAGTAGTGCGGACACACAGACACACAGACCGACAGACAGACAGACAAAACTTTTCAACCCCACTGGAGTAACAGGCTTCGCTATCGCTCAGCCAAAAAGAAGTTCAAGAAGCGCAAGTTAAATTTTGAGAAAGACCTAAATTGTCAGGTCACTCCGTAAACGTTTTCTGTGACTTATCACTTTCTGTTTTAAATGGAAAACAGGGTCATCGCAACTTATATTTCCATAAGAAAGTGAAATTTGGAGCACTGGTTGGACTTAGCTCTTTTTCCCACCGAAGTGTCTTATAATGAAGGTGGTTACGTTGACTTGATTCTCTTTACATTGAATCCATACAAGTTGAGTTTTCTGCCAGGGACAATATTTCCCATGAAGGTTGAGTTTTCATTTTCCGCCAAATTGAGAACGTTAAAGGAGTGAAGTGGAGTTTTGTATATTCATCATGTTGATTTTCTCCTTAACAGCTAGGAATTGAGTCAAATAATTTGGTGTAATGATGTTAACCATTCCACGTCTTGGATCAAATGTTAATTTATTGATGTTGTCCATAACTATGGCCCTGTTTGTGCATACGCAAGCTTTGTGCAATTTTATACCTAAGTTAGGGACAATACTTCCATATGGCGCTTACGTATTATGTACAAATTTGTACATAAGTTTCGTATGTACAGATGTGGCCAAAGTTACGGACCAACTGTCCATAACAATTTAGTGTGTAGTGTGCAAGACGAACTGTCGAGGCTCATAGAGTGTGTGACATCAATGGTGCTTTAAACTCTATCACTTCGCCGCAGGGATGAGGCAGTGTGGTGCGAGGCGTGCGACCGCCAGTTCAGCGGCGACTGCGCGGACGCCGGCCACAGGCCATGCAGCGTGCGCCGGAGACGCGCCCTGCAGGACCAGCGAGGACCCGACGTACAGCAAGGACTTCAGGACCTGCGCCGTGAGCTTCAAGAGTTGCGTCAACAGGTGAGAAAGAGGGATACGCCGCCGAAAGGTCCCCACTGCTTCTTTGCAAGTCGCGTTTGACGACGTCCACCCTTCATGTGTTTGTAGATAGTTTGTAGGAGGCATCGGAGTTTCTTCGTGCAGATGAACGTTTCGTATAAATTTCTTCGTGATTTTGTAATAAAATTGTGAAGTATGTGCAGTTTTTCGTATGAATGAACTGCGGATAATAAGTACAGATGAACTTTTTGCACAAATTAAAATTTGTACACTGATCGAAGTTTTGTTATAAGTTAGGGACACATTTATTGCTAATTTTTTTAGCGACAAGATTTGTGGAACAAGTAGCTTGTTAAACCATAGTAATACTGGAACTATAGGATAATTTCACAACGACAAACTTGTAACGACACATTAACACTCCACCTTCATAAACAAGTCGTTGACCAACAACAAATGTTTTTAGAGTTAGTCAACAACAAGTATTGTATGTCGACAAACATCTTGTAATGTCTTCAACAAGTATTGATTGAGTACTTTTGTCGCTAAATTTATTTTTCATGGTTCTACTTTTAACAATAGTAATTTCCCTGTGACAAACAAAATAGAAGATTATTCATCGTACACTTTCATTTTACAGATTATGGCCAAAGATGTTGTTTGCACACAAATTGTACCGTGAATGGTGATAACAAGAAATTTGTTCTTCTACGGCAAATTGTCGCTTACTAAATTCAACGACATTTGTTTCGCTTCAGTTTTCACTCATCTGTCTGTTTCTGTACAACCATTTTTAACAGTGCACGAAACGTTCCCCAAAAACTGCGATGTCTCCTTCAAACTTGTATATGACATATGGTGTGCCCCATTCGTTGATTAACGGTCAAATACGGCTCCGATCCACCCTGCAGGTCGAGGACCAGCAGCGCGGCGCCGCACCCCCACGCCTGCACCTGGACGTGCAGGAGATGAGCGTGGAGGAGGGAATGTTGAAGGAGAGAAATGACCTGCTATTGAGTGGCCGTTTGGACCAGGTGAGTTTTCACCGAGATTGAGAGGGAGAACGGTAGGAAATAAGTTGACTTACCTTCAAAGTGAGTTTTAATATTCCTACCGTGCCTTAGCGTGGTTTGTACATGAAATTACTACACCTCTTTTTTTACGTTCCAAATTTCATCGGAAACACACTAAATTCTTATGGACTTTTTTATGCATAGTTATGCATGCACAGATACGTCCATATGTTATGTATAAAATTATGCATCACTGTGTACATTTTATGCAGGAAGGTGCATAAAATGTGCACAATGATGCATAATTTTATTCATACCTTATGGACGTTTCTGCGCATGCATAACTATGCATAAATTATGCGTCATTATGCATTTAAAAAGTCCATAAGAATTTAGTGTGAATTGGAGACAACTCAGCGGAAGACGGGGTTGGAAAAGTTGACGTGAGGAGATAACTCAACTTGTATTTTTATGAATGAAACGTTGAAAGAGTCAACTTAAATCAAATCAAATCAAATCAATTTATTTGTACCAACTTGCAACAGTAATGTACAACGTCATGTATATATAACAGGAAAATAAATAGGTGTTGAAACACAAGTACAGAGAGAATAAATAGGTGTTGAAACACAAGTACAGAGAGAATAAATAGGGAAACACAAGTACAAAAAGGGAACATTCAGAGATCACTTGTTAGGTACAACTCCTTATCAATAAGGTAGTTTTTAAGGGATCTTTTGAACAACTGGGGATCGGGGATATTTTTAATTCTAGGGGGGAGTTTATTTAAAAAAATAGAACCTTCATTTAAGGCATCATGTTTGCCAAAGTCACCCTTATAAAATTTGGTATGGATATCGTTTTTCTTACGCGTATCGTGAGAATGAATGTCTGAATTTAGAAGAGTAGAATTAGATTTTTTGGCATATAGAACGCGTAAGAAGATGTATAGGGAAGGGAGTGTAAGAATTTTGAATTTTTTGAAGGTGGTTCTACATGAGGCATCGAATTGCAAGTTCGCGAGTATCCTTATAGCTCTTTTTTGGAGCTTGAAAATTTTAGTAAACCTGAAAGAAGCTGCACTCCCCCAGCTTAGAAGTCCGTAGCTCATATGTGCGAAAAAGGTAGCGTAATAGACATTAAGAAGTAAGTTCGGGGGGAGGCATTGGGATAACTGTCTAAGCAAGAAGATGCTAGATCTGAGTTTCTTGGTAAGTTCGTCCAGATAAACAGACCAATTTAAATTTTTATCCAAATAAAGGCCGAGGAACTTAACAAAATCATCTTCTTGAATATTGGAATTTTCGATTTGCAAAGATATTTTCGGACTATCCATTCTATTTTTAAGGGTGAAATGAAGGCAATTTGTCTTAGTGACATTACAGATTAAATTTAGTTTAGATAGGAATTTAATAACATCGCGAAGAATGGTGCTAGCGTAATTTTCAAGGGCATTGGTAGTATCAGCAGTAACAATAAGATTTGCATCATCTGCATAGAAGACTGGTCTACAGTTACCATTTGAATGTTGTAGGATATAATACTTCAGTTCATTAATGTAGATTAAGAATAATAATGGTCCTAGAATACTACCTTGTGGCACGCCAAAGAGGGTAGTCAGGAAGTTAGATAGGTAGGTATGAATAGTATCATGCCTGAGTTTTTTTAGGGATACGCATTGTTTGCGTTCACTTAGATAAGATTTCAACCAGGTATTAGGAATACCTCTTATGCCATAATGATCGAGAATTTGTACAAGTTTCAGGTGATCAACACAGTCAAATGCTTTAGACATATCTAGGAACAGACCAAGTACTTTCTGATTTGAGTTTAAAGCATCAGTAATTAGTTCAACAGCAAAGGCTGTGGCATGCGAAGTGGATAGCCCTTTTTGGAAGCCGAATTGTTCTTTAGCTATAATATTATTTTTCGAAGTAAAATTTGAGAGGCGGCTATAATAACATTTTTCGTATATTTTAGCAATATTTAGGGAGAGGGTAAGGGGACGGTAGTTGTCAGGTAATGACTTGTCACCCTTTTCCTTATATAGAGCAGTTACCTTACTATGCTTTAAACAATCTGGGAAAATACCTGATTGGAAAGATAGATTAATGGTATGAACAAGCGGTGTTACAAGATTTTCTCCTATTTTTTTGAGAACTGCATCTGAGATTTCATCCAACCCAGAGGATTTCTTATTACTTAGGTTACTAAAGATTTTATGCAGTTCAGATGGTGAAACAGGATCCAGATACATTGAGGTATTATTTCTCGGTGAAATAATTTCAAGTTCGTCTTGTACGCGCGGGAGGATTTTCGTGGGTATATTGATGAAGTATTCATTTAGAGAATTGACAACCTCTTCATATTTGGATATTGTTTTACCATTTACATTGAGCTCAATATAGTCATTACTTTTTGATTTAGTATTTTTATTACTATTTATCAGTTTCCAGGAGTCTCTAGATATATTTTGAGAGGTGGTAAGAAAATTTCCATTCTGTTCAAGGGTAGCTCTTTTTAGCACTGAGTGATATTCTTTTCTAAGATTATTGGCGGTTTGTAGGAGATCCGGGTTACCAGGGTTCATCCTGTAGCTTTCAAATGCCAATTCCATATTTTCTTTAGCTATTTTAACTGTGGGATTAGTACTTATGGAGATTTCTTTTCGTTTCTTACCATCTCTCATTACACTTTTTTTCTTAGAGCAGATCAGATTAAAGTAAAAATTCAAGGTATTAATGAATTTATCAGTAGCCGAATTTGTATCATCACTTGAGAGAATTTCCTCCCAATTTTCTCTACTTAGTTGATAATTTAGGAGTGAGATATTCTCTTCACTAAGATCTCTACTATATAGATAGGTACCCCGTAAACAAAACTACTATCAAAAGTAGTACTGTCGTACTACCATTTCGGAGCTCTGTACATCCCAAAATGTAGTACGGAAGGAGTACCTTATGAAACAAAAAAGGCATCCGAAAGAAGTACTGCCGTGCTACATTTCAGGACGTCTCTTTCGGGAGCACTTCGGGACGTCGGAAACGGTAGGTCTGTGAGAGGTCTTTCGGAGGTCCCCCACCACCCGTCGCAGCGCCCTGCGGCCATGTAGTTCCGAAGGTGACCGCTAGAGCGCGCACCTGTGTCGTAGTTCGATGGCCTGCCGCTAGGGTGCGCCACTGTTCCGGATATGAATGTGAATGCGTATAGGAATGTGAATATAACACAGATAAACTGTTAGGAAAAATGTATTTATTCACTGACCTTTTTAAATTAAAAATCAAACGATAGGACTTGTCACGAACAACAGAAAATATGGAGACAAAAATGGTGGACAGGACTCAAAAACAAAATATTTAAAAGAGGAATCTCAGTTGGACTGAAAAGAAAATACAGCAACCATAACTGTAACACCCCTTGATTAAAAAATAAGCCAAAATGACTGAAAGAAATTCAATTAGCACTGATTCCAAGGTGTCATGCTTACTTTGCTCTGTCGCAGGAAATTCACTTAATTTGACACTGAAGCACAGGAGTCAGTTCTTGTTCCACATGCAATTGCATAGTGGTGCAGGTTATCGTTCCAGAATCTTGGGCAACTCCAGTGGGTCAAGGTTTCCGCAAAGAGCCTATTTCTCAAGCATAAAATCAGTGACGAACAAAATAAACACTTTGACAATAAGAGTATCAAAGTAACAGAATATTGTAGGTTAACTTACACCGGCACTTTCTGATTTGGATTGAAACACGAAATAAGCCTGCACCAGGCTTTGAAGTATTCTTCTTATTGGTGCACCTGAGAACTGAACATCTTCGTGCGTGGTTTCTTTTCTTTGGAGAAATGAATTTACTATAGTTAACAGAAAAATAAATAGAAGTAAGGATCCGACGCCACAAGCACAGTGCGCGCCAAAGTGCGCCGACCAGCGTTGCCAGAAGCCGAACAGCGCTCGGTGGTACGGGGAGGGGGAAAAGGTGGTACTTCGGGGCTCTTCGGTGGTACGCGAGGGGTGGGGGAAAGGTGGTACATTGGAGCCGTATGGTGGTACGGAAAGGGGGGGGGGGCTAAAAATTAACGCTAGGCGTAAACATCGGGAGTTTAGAATTTGGCCAAATTGAGAATTCTGAAGAAGTCAGCGGCGGCTCCTCCGGCTGGTGTACAAGCAAGCAGGCCCGTTTTGTTGCCCGCGTGCCTCGGGCGGGGCCCAAAAGTGGCACTGCACTTTCAGTTTCCCGCGCCCGACCTGTCCGACCAGGGCCCCGTTCCTTGGAATAGGTCACGAACGCAGGCAAAGGATTACATGTTCGACTTCTGGGGGACGACAACCCGACCCAGGCGCCCGAAAAGTTCCAATTGCCTGCGTGCGGACCTAATCCGGTGTTTTCCCGGAAAAGGTGGTACGGAATCGCTCGGTGATGGTACGGTGGTACGGGGCTCGTAATAGTGGTACATGTACCACCAAGGTGGTACGTCTGGCAACACTGTCGCGCCATTTGAGAAATACAGTAGTAACCACACTGTCGGTTAATCAAGTATGTGTGTGAATTCTTCAACATAAAACATAGAGGAATAAACTCACTGCTGTGGAGCTCTATTTTTACTTTATTTCTACTGCAGAATCGACACAGAAATCCATGGACCAACAAAAAGTTACAAAGGAAAACAAGTAAATCAAAACTATCGGCAAGAAAATGCCAAAGTCCACGAACAAAACTCATTACACCAGAATGCTGTCACATGCATGACGCAAATATCCAGCAGAGATCGAATCCGCCTCTCACACCCTAGACTTCTTGGATCCCTCGAGAAAGAAAATGCACCAGTGTTAGGGTTGCACCAACCAGAACCCTAGATGAAGCCGCTTCTGATTGGCCAATGCGAACCTACTTGCGGTGCATTAGCCAATTTGAGGGATTGATGCTATTCAGCGAAATGATAAATTCTACTTTCCGAGAGACCGAAACGACAGCGCCACTCCACTGCATCAATACTAAATACTTATGGACTTTTTAATGCATAGTTATGCATGCATGCATGCATGCATGCATGCACAGATACGTCCATAAGGTCCCCTATGTATAATATTACGCATCACTGTGTACATTTTATGGAGGAAGATGCATAAAATGTACTCAGTGATGCAAAATATTATACGTACCTTATGGACGTATCTGCGCATGCATAAATATGAATATAAAATGCATGCATTTAAAAAGTCCATAAAACTTAGTGTGTCGGCAGTGGTTCCACGCGTTGACGCACAAGGTACTGCACTGCAAGTCTACTCGTCGACGCACAAGCTGCACTGCACACCCACGCCGGGCCCAAAGCGCGCCCTGAAGGCCTCCAGCTGCAGCCGACAGTTCCGCAGGTCGTGGTGCCAGGGGTTGCGGCGGAGCGTGAGCCTCCTGAGGCCGTTGGCGCCGCACTGGTGCAGACTCGCGGACAGGTTGTTGATGAAGCAGTGGCCCGGCCGCGTGGCGCAGTACACCTGCAGCTCGCTCAGAGTGGCGCGGTTGGCGCGAACCAGCGAGAGCGTGGTGGGGTCGCTGGAGATGGCCACGTCAATGTACTGGAGACCGCAGTGCTCCGGCATGGCCGTGAACTCCAGCTCATCCTCGCTGTACCCCATCAGATGCAGCCTCCGCAGGTTAGGCATCCACTGGATGGACTGGAGGTGGCCCCCGGTGAATTCGTTCATCGTGAGTTCCTCGAGCTGCAGCGGCAGAGTGGGGACTTCCTCTCCAGCCGTGTCTCCGATGTCCAAGTCCAGCTTGCGCAGGGAGGACATGTCTCGGATGACGCGAAGGTGCTTCAGGGTCGCTGCGCGCACCGACAGCTCCACCAAGTGCGGGCGCACTTTGCGAAGCACGGCTTCGCTCCACTCTGCGAAGGGATGGCAGCTGAGGCCCATCAGATTGCGGACCTGCGAAACGAAACGCATAAGAGGGGAAAATGAGAGTAGGAAATCTATGGCAGAGATTCCATCTCGTATGTGAATTTCGCGCTCTGACAAAAATAATATGGTAAATCCAGATCGCAGATAAATTTTAACGGAGAACGTTATTTAGCGACAAAGAAAGCGGCGGCTTCGCAGCCTACGAAGGGAATCGTTAGAAATACAAATAATTTGATTCGAAATACGAAGGATATATTCTTAAAAGCCTCATGCGAAAGATTTGTCCCTAATAATAAACACAAAATTGTTAGAATACAAACAATTGGGAGCTGAGGAATGCATGGCAAGTTTTTTGAGTTACCTCTTTATCCAACCAGAGTTCTAAAAAATTGAAGAGTTAAGGACACCCAAACTGGACAGCCGATGATCTAGAAGGCGGTGGCTACAATGGTGCGTGAAATTTGTGTTATGTGCGAAGAACCGATTCACGATGGCTCCCAACCGTCTATAAACTGTACAAAGTGTAACCGGTGGGCCCATACTAAATATTCTTGTGCAAATGTGAAAGTTTCCTCCAAAACTCCTATCAGTGACTTCACCTGCGACAAGTGTTCCCCCGAAGAGGTTATAGGGGACCCTTCCCTTGACTCGTCCACAGAAACCTTCCCTGGACTCAACAGCACAATGATCGAAGAAGGAAGTGACCTTAGGAAACTAGTGACTGATCTTATCTCCCAAAATAAGAAGCTAGAAGAAAGAATCAAATCTCTTGAAAAGGAGATGGCTGAGATCAAACAGCAACTTCTAACCAAACCTGGTCGGAAAACACATGCCCCAGACAGCCCTCCAGCAAATGAAAACATCAAGAAGACAGAATCTCCTCCAATCAGCCCTAAATTTGCCAGGAATGTAATCCAAATAGCAGATGGCAACCTACTAGAAGTGCTTGATGACCCAAATTGTAATGCCTCCATCGCTCACTGCATTGCAGCAGACATGCGCATGGGAGCGGGCATTGCCAAGTCAATCAAAATGAAATATAAGACTGACACCTCAAATACAAACAAACATTCAGTCGGTGAAGTAGTTGAACAAAAGATTGGAGAGAACTACATACTTCACGTCATTACGAAGCCCATCTCAAGTGAACTACCAAAATGGCAAGACTACAAAAATGCTATTAAGAAACTAAGTGACACCTGTGAAAAACTAGAAATCAAGCACCTATACGTTCCCAAGCTAGGAAGCGGACTCGATGCTTTCCCCTGGGACAAGTGCCTACAACTACTTAAACAGATGTTTACAAACTCTGCCACTAAAGTCACTGTCCTAACAAACGACCCCTCGGCCGAAAGTAATTATATCAGGACCTCGGACACAAACAAAGTCCGAGCACCAAGGAAAAACCACTCCCAAACTGATATAATAGGTGACAGCCATACTCAAGACTTTGGGCCAATTCTGAACAGCCTTGCAGCAGAAGACCAAAACTTCTACGCGATGTCTATACCAGGGGCAAACACCCAGAAGCTCACCCATAACCTTAACAGGCTCACCTCACATCTACAACCTGAGGACAATTTAGTCTTCATGGCTGGCTCAAATGATGTGAAAGAAGATAAGGATGAAGAAACCACAGTCGCATCGCTGACCGAGGCATGGGCTGATGTAGCCTCTCAATGTCAACATACAAATGTTATTATCTGCACAATCCCCTTCCGCTTCGACAAACCCCATCTTAATGACAAGATTAAAGCCATAAACGCCTCACTAATCAGATTCTACAAAGAAGAATCCTCTAGGCTTGAATTCCCACATAGGCTCAAAATCATTGAGCTGAACAACTTTCTAAAGCCTGATGACTACAATTTCTCCAAGTTCCATCTCTCACCCAAAGGAAAAACTAGGATATGTAATGCAATCAAAAATGCTGTGGACTTTCCTAATTTTCTAGCGTAAACGACAATATGAAGCCTACTGCAATCAACAAGACTGGTACCAACTTGTCTCTCATGCACCTGAATGTACGCTCATGTATAAATAAGAAAAATCAAATTACTGAACTTGTTAAGGAACAATCCCCGGATATCTTAGTGCTCTCTGAAACATTTCTATATGATTATGAGGCTATTACTGTAAGATATGCCCACTTAAACTATAAATCATCCTTCTCTAGAAGCTCCACCTCAAGTAGAGGAGGGGGCATTCTTGTTATGGTAAATGAAAATAGGCAGGATCTTAACTATGAAAAAATTGATGTAACTAAATTCTGTAAAGAAAATATCCTAGAGGCCTCATGTATTAAAATTAAGGTACTATATAAATTTAAAAAATGTGTATATGTTATAGGTCTATAGACCCCCTAAAACTGAAAATTTCGACGAATTTATTGAACTTCTCTTTGAGATGCTGCTGTCTGTGAATAACAATGAAGATATTATTATTATAACTGGTGATTTTAACGTCGATTTCTCTCAATATAGTAAACAATCCAAACTAAAAAGGGATATAAATGATATACTATCCTGCCATAATATAAAGTTTGTTATCACTGATGCTACTAGGGTAACTGATAAAACTAGTACTTGTATAGATAATATAGGAATCACAAGCAACTCCTGTACTTATAGCGCAAATACCCTAAAATGTTCTATTTCGGACCATTATGCAGTTACTATTAAATGTCTCCTAAATCATGAAAAACCAAAATGTACCCCGTAAACAAAACTAGTACATGTCTGGAATCCGACGTCTTTCGGACGTCCCGAAGAAGTCGGTTTTGGGAGCTCTTCGGGACCTCCCTAAACGTACTACAAATGAAGCTCTCTCGTACGTCGCGCGGGGAGCTAGTGTGTGGTGCCAGAGTTCGCCGCCAGAGCGCGCCCTGGTCGCTCGTCCCAAAGTAGTCGGTTCTTGGAGCACTTCGGGACGTCCGAAACGGTAGGTCTATGTGAGGTCTTTGGGAGGTCCCCCACCACACCCGTCGCAGCGTCCTGCGGCCATGTAGTTCCGAGTGTGTCCGCTAGAGCGCGCCTCGGGCCCACGCGATGCTCACCTGTTGTGCAGATGACAGTCGGCGCCAGTGTTGCCAGACGTACCACCTTGGTGGTACATGTACCACTATTACGAGCCCCGTACCACCGTACCATCACCGAGCGATTCCGTACCACCTTTTCCGGGAAAACACCGGATTAGGTCCGCACGCAGGCAATTGGAACTTTTCGGGCGCCTGGGTCGGGTTGTCGTCCCCCAGAAGTCGAACATGTAATCCTTTGCCTGCGTTCGTGACCTATTCTAAGGAACGGGGCCCTGGTCGGACAGGTCCGTTTGTCCGGGAGGGGGGAGGGGGGTTCTAGCGAAAATCTTGCCATTTTTAAAATGAACCCCACTGTCATAATTTGTTGGGAATATGAAATCATACTTCAAAGAGACTAAGATTTGATTTTTGAAGGCATATGCTAGGTCTTGAACCCAGTCGAATTGTCTTTTTTGGACTGTTTTGGCTTTATTTAGCCGTATCTTGAACAATCCTCTTGCGCATACTATTTTGACGTAAAAGGCTTATCTTCACATTTTGCACTTCTTCGATTCATTTTAAAAAGATTCCAGCATGCCTAGTTCAAAATTTCCATTATATTAGTAATCACATGCTTTTTTCATCTAAGAAGTCACTAAAACTTGTCTATTTTGTACATTGTTGATCAATTTAAGTGAAATGCATGCTTTAGAAGCTTGCCAATGATAATGTAATGGACATTTTCAGTTGTGCATGCTGGGATCTTTTAAAAATGAATCGAAGAAGTGAAAAATATCCAGGTCAACCTTTTACGACAAAATAGTATGCGCAAGGAGATTTTTTTGGCTGAAAATCCATTAAAATCTGTCACCAAACTTTAAACGCCCTTTTCTCCGAAGACATTTTTTTAACATTTGAATGGTCCTGTGCGCATACAGTTTGAAGTGTCGTCAATGATATTTTTTCCACTGACTCAGTAGGTTATTGCGAGGAAACGCAAGTGACAGTTTTTGTATATTCCACCCAGAAGTATGGTTTTGGATATCGGTTTTTACAAAAAAAGGGAAAATCTTTGGTTTTTGAAAAATGTCAAAATTGAAAAGTTGGTATTTTGCTATCAGTGCCGGAAACTAAAATCTGTCACTTGCGTTCGTTCTTTGGACTTAGACGAACAAAAAAATATGTCGGTCAGGTCAATAACACAAAATGGGAAACGCACAGGAATTTTTTAACAAACACTTAAAAAATTATAAAAAAGCCTGTATCTCAGGAACCGCTTGATATTATGGGATGGGATTTTGGGTGAAATAGTTTATCATCAAGAGTAAGATTTTGACAGAAAATAAGAAGTTTTGGACCAGCAGTTTCTGAGATCATTTTTTCACCTGTCCCTGGCCTTAATAAGTTACAAGGGTCAAGATCGTGTTATCTGTAGATGAAGCAACTCTTTCTAGAACAAGGTAGGTTTACGCCAGACCGTGTCTTGTCGTAACAGGCTTCGCGATGTCTCGCTGCCTGTTCCTCCAATCCACGCCTGGCGTACCTACCTTGGCCTGCGGCGCTAGCCTGCCTGCGGCAGGCAATGGCTTGTCCATTGTTGGTTGTTTTTTAACTCGTTGAATGCTGGGGGACCCCCCTTTATTGGCTGAGCGATAGCGAAGCCTGTTACTCCAGTGGGGTTGAAAAGTTTTTCCTGTCTGTCTGTCTGTCTGTCTGTCCGTCTGTCTGTCTGTGTGTCCGCACTACTCCTCCTGAACGGCTCGGCCGATCTCGGTGAGATTTTGCACACTTCTTGGGTATGTCCTTGGCTCGGCACACGCGAAATTTCACCATCCTAGCTCAACTGGTTCAGTTTTTATAGGCGAAAAACACCTAAAAAACGGCGAAAAATAGAGATTTCTGCAGATAGACCACTTCTGTCTTGGAGAAAGGGGGGTCTGGGGGGCGGAGCCCCCCAGCCTCGACAAGTTAAAAAGTGACAAGGGTCAAGATCGTGTTATCTGTAGATAAAACAACTCTATTTACAATGTAGGGGGGTCTGGGGGGCGGGGGGGCGGAGCCCCCCAGCATTCAACAAGTTAAAAAATAACCGACAACGGACAAGCCATTGCCTGCCGCAGGCAGGCTAGCGCCGCAGGCCAAGGTAGGTACTTACGCCAGACGCGGATTGGAGAAACAGGCAGCGAGACATCGCGAAGCCTGTTACGACAAGACGCGGTCTGGCGTAAACCTACCTTGTATCAAATGCGAGGTGATTGCAAGTCCTCATTTAGGCCTCACTTTCAAATCAGTGACGACTGTCATTTTAATGTTACTTCTGTTCATGGCACTGCAAGAAAAAAACGAAACAAAAGTACACAAATTTCTGGCAAAATTTTATTAGGAATTTATTGTAAGGGAGTATGGGGCGATTTGTAACAGGGGCGATTCGTAACAAATGCGTTTATTAATTTAAGTGGAGGGAGCAGAGGAAAATCTGAGTATGGCCCCTCTTTCGCTTCAAGTACAGGGTCTTTGAACAATCGAAGCGGATGTGATCGGTGCTCAGGTATAGTTTTGAAGGGCTTCTGAAATATAGAGTACACCGAAATTTCGACAAACAGGCAAATCTTTTATTTTGAGTTCTAGGAAGTTTCTGTCTGAGGCTCCCCAGGTATGAATCACCATCGAAGTACCGTTGGGGCCTTGAAGCGTGACCCCTTTACAATGTAACCACGTGGCATAAGTTGCTTTTACATTGTCCAGTGATAGTTAGGGACGGATTTCTTGCGTAACAGGCATTTGGGGTGATTCGTAACAGACCCGTATAAAAACAAGAATTTAAGTAGTTTTTGCTGTTAAATGCTTTAATTATTTCTCGAATCATCTGCTGCCGAATTCCAATACATTTACACAGCTCAAAATGCATTTTAAAGCGAGTTATTCTATTCTTTTCTCCAAAATTGAAAAAAGTGAGGTTAGGGTTGACATAGCCGGTCAGTAAATGCTGAGGCGGTCAACGGCAGCTTGTAATGTAGATTTTTAGACGTCTGCGGGACACCCGAAGAACAACTGGTGGAGGAGATAACATTCCCGACGATGTTTCTTTTAATGTGTAGGATGTTATGAAAAGCCCCATGACTGTTACAAATCACCCCATGCTGGGGCTATTCGTAACAGCATGCAAGGGTTTGGAAAACTTCTTAGATTTCAAAGATTACGGACTCCAGATTGATCCAATGGAGATGCACAGTCTAGATGAAGGGCCAGACTGCTCAACTGGCACAAGTTTGACACCGATATGCAGAATGTTCATAATTTTGTATAGAGAATTCCGAAGTCTGTTACAAATCGCCCCATACTCCCTTACTTTCAAAGTACAACCAACGTTGGAAATAGTACAATGACGAGTGCTATGCAGTCCAGGCCTCGTTGTGGTTCGTACAATTCTCGATGTACTTCCTACAATCCCAGTTGTACTTCTACTGTACAGGTTTTGAAGTACTTTTGTTGTACTATTGTACTATTCACACTTTTTCTGGCAGTGTGCCTCTTTAGGCTGGTCCTTCAAACTGGAGCATGGCACACTCCATCTGAAGCGTGCCTGCATGCAGATTTTAACGAACGGTGTCCTTGAACACGAAGACGGTTCCGTAGCGTGTGCTGGGCGTACACGCTGTTCCTAGTCGTGGGCCATTCCCGGTCAGTCACACTGCTCGTTGAAGTGAGGATGCAGGTAGTGCGGAATGCGCGAAGCTCACAAATCAGTTCGCAGGCGTGCACGGTTTCAACTCCACACAAACTTTTCTTCCAGTTCCCTTGGTGTGCTGTTCGACGGTACCATTTGTGCATCATTCAAGATGTCCAGAGCCTCCTCATAAAACTGAAAAAGAAAACAAAATTGATGATGCACGGCACTGCTAGCTACGATTGCGAACCCTTTGAAAGGGTTGCATAGTTATGCACGTTGCACTGTAAAAAATTTTTGCGAATCCTCAGGTCCTTGGGGTACGTTTTTTGTTCCGAAGGGTCTGATTTTTCACTTCTGCGACCCGGGGGTCAAACAAATTTTGACCCATGGGTCAGATCGTGATGGCCACGGACCCATTGTGGATCTTTCTCGCACCCATGTCGCATTAAAGTGAAACCCACTGGATGCAACATTTTGTCGCCCGTGGACACGGTATTGACAAACCCTTCAAGTCGCTGTTTTCTTCGGCCCATGACGCACATTTTTCAAACCCATGTGAACTATAACTCGGCCCCTAGGCTCGTACAATTCGCGTGCACGGGGTAGATAATTCACAGACCCCCTCCGCGCGGCTGTTCTCTGGCCCATCTCGGAGTTTTACAGACCCATGGGTCACAATCTGTCCGGAGCGGCGGAAAGAAAAGGCGGCGGGGTGGGGGAAGACTGCCGTCCTTCGGGTCGGCCGTCGGCCGGGCTCGCCTTGCCGCGCCTTGCAGTGGACGCGCCTGCCTGCCTCGCCTGCACTGGTTGCGTTGCATTGCGTTCACTGAGATTCCCAATGCTATGAGTATAGCACGTTTGGTGCAATGCAGCTGAGATATCGCACCATACGTGCAATGCGATAGCCATATTGCACCTTACGTGCAATGCGTCCCGAAAAGGCCCTTTGCTAATGCAACTTCATGTGCAATGCTTTTGCACTGCACCAATTGACGCTGTACTCATGGCGTTTGGATTCTCAGTGTTGCATTGCGTTGCTGCCAGGAGGGGGTTCGTGACGTTTCGTGACGCGTTTTGGCCGCTTCTTAACCCTCCCGTCCCCCTCCCCCATCCGGCAAGACCTTGTGACGTATTTTCCGAAACACTCGACACAAACAAAAATGCGTCGTGTATGTAAAGGGCCGTACGTAATATGACAAATTTCAAGTTTAAATTTTTCGCAGTTTAGGAAAGAAGCCAGTCCCTATGTATACACGCACAGAGTGCCTTATCATGCAGTTTCTTTAGCACAGCTTGTGCATGGAATAAGGCAACGATTTCGAGAAAGTTTCAAAGGGAAGGAAAGGAGTGGTCGTCTGCGTTAGGATGTGTTTACGAACGGTCCCTGCACCTGACTGATTTCAAGAGCCTCTTTCGTAGCTCTGCCTCTCTCGCACTCAGCGGGCGTTCCCTACAGGTGCAAGAGAGACAGAGCGAGCTCGAACTGTCGGAAACTGTCTGGTGGCTGATTCCGAGCCGGAGGTCACTTTCTCTGTCTTGCACTCGCGGAGCGTCCGTGGGTGCAAGAGAGTCGGAACGATGGGACCCCGCCTCGGATAGCCTGCTGTCCTAGGTGCACGGGCCAGCAGGCCGGCATGTCAACGTGTCATCTCCCCCCCCTCCCCCCTCCTCCTCCTCCTTTGCCTTCTCGCCACCGCTGCGCTCGGCTCCCGGTCATTCGGGGAAACGGTGCCTCCGCCGAGGACGCGAAAACCGGCTAATTGCGAAGCAATTGTCCCTCCCTCAAAGACAACACCGACTCTGCCGGTTGCCGCGGGCGAGTGCGCCACAACGCCACAACGCGCACCACGATTTGAAGTCTCTTCTACTTCGGATCACTTTATTTTTTGGGCGTCTAACAGAACGCCCGACTTGGTAGATGGTAGGGCGGTATCGTCCAGGACGGACCATGTTCGAATCCTGGTACGTAACGGCTGCCATCTGAAAACTAAATCCCTTTTTGCATTGGCAATTGGAAGACTGCCATGAAGAAGCGTCAAGATTGACTTGTGAATGCCTTGTTTACCGAACCAGGGCGTGCCATCTCTCGGGGAGCCTGACATCGAATTATCCGTGCGTCCAAAGTTTTCGGCGACAGAAAATGCCGGTATACGATTTAATGACCAGGTAAGTTACAAATTTATTCGTCATGACCACAACCAAAATAGGCGTGCATGAAGAGGATGGCTGCGGTGGGCTGCGGTGCGCCTCGCACCGCTGGGCCGTGGTGGGACGCGGTGGTGTGTCGTGCGCCGCCTTGCGCCGCTGGGCCGTGGTGGGTCGCGGTGGGTCGCGGTGGGTCGCGGTGGTGTGTCGTGCGCCTCGCGCCACTGGGCCGTGGTGGACCGTGGTGGGTCGCGGTTGGTCGCGGTGGTGTGTCGTGCGCCTCGCGCCGCTGGGCCGTGGTGGGTCGCGGTGGGTCGCAGTGCGCCTCGCCCCTCTGGGCCGTGGTGGGCCGCGGCGGTGTGTCGTGCGCCTCGCGCCGCTGCGCCGTGGTGGGCCGTGGTGGGTCGCGGTGGGTCGCGGTGGTGTGTCGTGCGCCTCGCGCCGCTGGGCCGTGGTGGGCCGTGGTGGGTCGCGGTTGGTCGCGGTGGTGTGTCATGCGCCTCGCGCCGCTGGGCCGTGGTGGGTCGCGGTGGGTCGCAGTGCGCCTCGCCCCTCTGGGCCGTGGTGGGCCGCGGCGGTGTGTCGTGCGCCTCGCGCCGCTGCGCCGTGGTGGGCCGTGGTGGGTCGCGGTGGGTCGCGGTGGGTCGCGGTGGTGTGTCGTGCGCCTCGCGCCGCTGGGCCGTGGTGGGCCGTGGTGGGTCGCGGTGGGTCGCAGTGCGCCTCGCCCCTCTGGCCGTGGTGGGCCGCGGCGGTGTGTCGTGCGCCTCGCGCCTCTGAACCGTGGTGGGTCGCGGTGGGGTGCGGGTTGCGGCCGCGGGCCGCGTAATCATATTTACAGTGGCTCACGGTGCGAATCGCGATGGTTCAGAATTTCAGCTTTCCTCATGGCAAAATGCAACGCTGTATTGGCTCCAGCGTGGATACAGCCTTGCAGTGTAGCGTCTTTTCATTCTCTCCTTCTCCTTCTCGCCGCGCCGCAGCAAGAGTGAGAGAGAGAGAAAACATGTGGTGACAGGCTGACGCACAACACGCCGGAGGAGTCGGCGGAGCTGGCGGGGCTGGCGGAGCTGGCGGACCTGCCGTTGTTTCGTTGCGAGCCGAGGCCTAGCCGGCGGCCGGAGGCGGAGGGCAAGTGCAATAAAGTGTCCTTCGGGCAAGTTCGGGCCTGCACCGAGGCATTCGGGTGACCTGCCCGCTCGAAAGTAGCAGAACTTCGGAAGCTTCGGGTGCTACTACACCGCGTGGGGCCCGGCACGGCTCCGGCACGGCGTGGCCCGGCAGCCAGTGTTGCTGTGACTTATCCGAAGTGAAGTGGTCTTACAAGCAAGGAGCCAGAGCGAGCGTTGCCAACGCGAGGATTACAGTGTTTTGGGATTTCTACTCATAGGTATGTAATGTGTGCAGAAACCGTGTGTAAAAGGGGATTCACTCAGAGCAAGCAAGGTGGGCGGAATCATAGAGTCCTTGCCTAGGCACGCGCCCAGGTACAGCGAGGCGTCGACAAAAGGGGCGCACCCAGCGGGCGGTCAGGTGCGCAATCATTCACGGTTCCCAGGGGTGCTCAGGGTGCCTGTGCTTTCTTTGATTGTGATTTCATTTATATTATCGTGCCCGACTCATTGTAGCGGTGTTAGTGAGAGGGTGCGAGGTGGGACCGAAGCCGCGCGCTTCCTCTCCCGCGCTCTGCCGAGTTCCGGAGGGCCGCGCAAATCTTTGGTACTTCAAGGTAGTGAACTGCTTTCTTTAGTAGTGATTTCATTTATCATGTGCCTGACGCAGCTTGGGTGCAAGTAAAAGGTCGTGGTACCGAGGCGACTGGGGCCTCGCGGCAGTTCCTTTCCCGCGCAATGGCGGGCGCAGCAGAGTGATTCTGAGAGTTCTCTCTCCCTCTCTCTCTCTCTCTCTCTCTCTCTCTCTCTCTCTCTCTCTCTCTCTCTCTCTCTCTCTCTCCCCTCTCTCCCTCTCTCTCCTCTCTCTCGATTCAGAAATCGGTTTTTCGTGATGTCCCTCTCGCACCCTTACGAAGAGCACCGTGAGTGCGAGAGAGATAGAGCGACGATACGCTCGGCAGGCGTGTTTGAGAGAGAGAGAGAGAGAGAGAGAGGGGGGGGGGGAGTGTCTGTGTCCGCAGGCGTCCAGGCCAAGCGTTTTTTCCCGCGCAGTGCGAACGATTCTAGGATCGTTTTCGGCGCTCTATCTCTCTCGCACTCCTGGGGCACCCCGCAGCTGATAGAGAGAGACCGAGCAACGGATACGACTGCCGGAATCAGCCTGTATTCGGCAGGAAACAACGCACTATGGGAAGCTTTCTCGTGCTCAGTTGTAATCATGTCTGAGTTTTAGCAGCGCTGTTGGGCGTTTTGGTTTTTCATTGGGTATTGCGAACGATGTCGCTGCGGCTAGGCCCAGGTGCAGGCAGAGAGAAACGGGGGGCAAGGAGAGGGGAGGGGGCAGCGATGCAGGTCGAGACATGTCCATTCCCAGACGTGGTAGCGAGATCTGTTTACGGGAATTTCCAGAGCTCCTGCGCATTGCAGTACTCGGGAGAGGAGGACCGAGGGTCACAGGGCCCGTCCCCAAATACTATAGCTCGGAGCAGCCGGCTGATTCGCCGCTGTCTCTCTTGCTCCCTTACAGGACGCCCCATGAGGGCGAGAGAGACAGCGCGCTTAGAGCAGTGCTCGGAACCAGCCTGCAGGGCAGGGTATGGCGACGGCGCAGGCGGCCCGGGCTGCGGGGCGGGGAGGGAGGAGGACAGGTGGAGGAGGAGAGGGGAGGGGAAGAGGAGGGCACCTGCAGACCGATTCCGAGAGTTGTTTCCGTCGCTCTGCCTATCTCGCACCCACGGGGCCAGCCCGCACAGGTGCGAGAGAGACAGCGGCGAAAACGACTGTCGGAATCAGTCGGCTGGTGGGCTGCACGGTGGTGGCCGCGTGCCGCGTTGCGCCGGGGTGGCGGTGGCACCCGCGGCCCACACTGGGTCAGAAGACAGGCGCCGGCGGCCAAAATCCCGGACGCGTTTTGAGCTCCACAGTTGCTTAAAAGAAGCTCGAAAAGAACGTGTGACCCCACCAATGGACTGTTTAGCGACTCTGGAGCTCAAAACGCGTCTAGAGTTTTGGCCGCCGGTGCCGGTCTTCTGGCCCACTGTGCGGCCCATGTTGTACCGCGGAGGGAGTCGAAGGCCCCGCGGTCGCGGCCACGATGGATCGCGGACGGTGGGCCGAGAGGGTGTTCGAATCGCAGCATTTTCGGCAGAACAGTGCGCGTGCTGTACCTTGCCCCCCCCCCCCACCCCCCGCCCTCCTCTTTCACCAGACTGCGGCTCTTGCTACAGCTTCTAGCAGTGGAGTGATTCACAGGTTCGAAATTTGATCCCACGACAGGTGTGCCAAGGGGTCGCGGCGGGTCGCGGCGGGTCGCGGCGGGTCGCGGTGGTGTGTCGTGCGCCTCGCGCCGCTGGGCCGTGGTGGGTCGCGGTGGGTCGCGGTGGGTCGCGGTGGTGTGTCGTGCGCCTCGCGCCGCTGGGCCGTGGTGGACCGTGGTGGGTCGCGGTGGGTCGCGGTGGTGTGTCGTGCGCCTCGCGCCGCTGGGCCGTGGTGGACCGTGGTGGGTCGCGGTGGTTCGCAATGCGCCTTGGGACTTTGGGACCGCTGCGCGTCCGGATTCGCACCCAATTAGCGTAGACGGATCGCACCCAAATTTGGCACACCTGTCGTGGGATCGAAATTCGAACCTGTGAATCACTCCACTGCTAGAAGCTGTAGAAAGAGCCGCAGTCTGGTGAAAGAGGAGGGGGGGGAGGTACAACACGCGCACTGTTCTGCCGAAAATGCTGCGATTCGAACACCCTCTCGGCCCACCGTCCGCGATCCATCGTGGCCGCGACCGCGGGGCCTTCGACTCCCTCCGCGGTTCAACATGGGCCGGGTGCCACCGCCACCCCGGCGCAACGCGGCACGTGGCCACCACCGTGCAGCCCACCAGCCGACTGATTCCGACAGTCGTTTTCGCCGCTGTCTCTCTCGCACCTGTGCGGGCTGGCCCCGTGGGTGCGAGATAGGCAGAGCGACGGAAACAACTCTCGGAATCGGTCTGCAGGTGCCCTCCTCTTCCCCTCCCCTCGTCTTAGATCGCGCTCAAACCTTCGTTTGCGACCAAATCCTAACCAATCGTGGGATCAAACTTGTGAAATACCATAACCAGCAGCGGATCAACCATTGTTTTCTTAACTACTGTTTTGTAATGAATGCCCCTAACTTAATGAGTTTTCTTTTCTTTTCTCAGGTGATTTGATTACTATGCTCCTGTGCCATGCTCCTACACTGCAAAGTGTGTGGCAGTCAGTGTTCTTCTGTCTCGAAATTCATTTTTCATAGCAAGTTACATGTTTCAAGTGCCAGGCCTTTTTATTATTGTGGTGCGCCGAATTGCCCTTATAAAGGCCGTTCCCCAAATTGCCTTTTTATTCATTTAAGCAGATTTCATTCACAACGTTCCACTGTTCAAAAACAGGCTAACGGCGATGCACATGCACAATTCCTTTGCCCTGGATGTCCAGAAAAGTTTCTGTCTTTAAAATCTCTTGTTAAGCACCAAAAGTTCGACCATTTAAAGCATGGAGACGAAATTCAATGTCCCCATGGCACTTGCCGGAACCGTTTTCGTGTTTTGTCCTCCTTTACATCTCATTTGTCTAGAGTTCACCCCCCTAAAAATAGCACCTCAGATGTGGCTTCCAATGTATCAAGCCCATCCACCTTTTTGTATAATAATGAGACTCCGATAATGGAGCCACAACCCACTCAGAGTGAAGGTTCTCCAGAAATAGACAGTGGCATAGAGGACGAATGGGAGGACGTGGGAGAGGGGGGAGGGGAGGGGGACAAATGTGTCGAAAATGTGGCAAAGAGTATCTGCATGCTCTACCTCACCCTTTCATCGAAGTATCATGTACCAAGCTCAACGCAACAGGTCATTGTTGATTCCTATGAAATTTTTATAACGGAGATGCTTCAGTCCTTAAAGAAATCACTTTGCGAATCACTTAAGCCCAGTGTTGATAACTTCAAGAAGGTTGAAGAAATTATAGATAATGTTTTTCAGGACGAGCCCCTTTCTAAACTCCATGGCCCCGAGGGGACGCTGAGAAGTACTTACAGTAGGCGCCAAATGTTTGTTGAAACATTTGGCGCAATAGTTCCTTCTGAGCGGTACCTGGGGCGAAAAAAGGACGGCAAACAAGCTTACTACCAGTACATTTCTATTAAGCAGACCTTAGAGGAGTTTTTTAAAGATCAGACTGTGCTGGAACAGTACAGACAAACCCAAAATCTCTCTTTTGAGGAGAGGGGGATCATTGCTGACTTTAGAGATGGGAACAATTTCAAAAACCACCCTCTCTTTTCTGTTGATAAAACTGCCATTCAGCTAATTTTGTTTCAAGATGCTTTTGAAGTGGTGAACGCTCTTGGCTCTGCCGCTCTTAAGCACAACATGCTTGGAATCTACTACACTGTGGCCAATCTATTTCCGTGGAACCGTTCCAAAGTTGATCCAATACAATTGGTGCAGCTCACTAAAAAAGCTGATATGAAGTATTTTTCAAAAAAAGTTATATTTCGGTCCCTGCTGAGTGAGCTGAAATCCCTTGAGACTGAGGGTATAGTTGTTGGAGGACAACATGTCAAAGTGGCGCTTCTTCACGTCCTTGGTGACAACGAAGGCAGTCATTTTTTGGGAGGTTTCACAGGGGGGTTCAGTAATGGGAAATTTGTGTGCCGGTACTGTGAGGTGCCACGGGACAAGTTTGTAAGGGGAAAGCACGCGGCACCTGCGCGGACCGTTGATTCGTATGAAAGATGTGCACAGCAGGTTTCAAAAAGTGGTAAAAAAACGGCTTCGTGCAAGGGAATAAAGGAGCGCAGCATTTTTGCAGAGCTGAAATACTGGCATCCTATTGGGGGTCTCCCTCCGTGCATAGACCATGATATTTTTGAGGGTATTGCACGATATGACATTCATCTAGTTCTGGAGGACTTCACTTCAAGGGGTCTCATTAATCTTGATAAAGTTAATGAGACAATTGCGACCTTTCCATTTGTTAATGCTGACAAGAATGATAGGCCATGTTGCATTATTCTAACCAAGAGAACACATCTGAAAGGAAAGGCGGCTCAAATAAGAAATTTAGTAAAGTTTCTGCCCTTTCTGATTGGCCCTCACTTACGCCGAAAGTCTGAAAAAGGCTGCCGTCTTCTACTTTTGTTATGTGAAGCCGCGCAGTTAATAACGGCGCCTTGCATCACAAAAGAAAGTGTAACCTACCTTAAATCAGTGATAAATGAGTATCTGGCCCTTAGAAAAAGTTTGTTTCCAAATGTGCCATTGCGTCCAAAACACCACTATTGTTTTCATTACCCTGAACTTATACGGCATTTTGGGCCTCTATCTAAAGTTAGTACGCTCCGCATGGAGGCAAAACATAAGTTCTTGAAGCAGTGTGTGAGGTGTGCTAAAACGGTCAGAAACGTTACCAAAACCGCCGCTGTGAGCCATGAGTACTTGCAAGCGGCTCTTAGGTGTAATCTCCTGTTTTCGGCGGAGCTTACAGTAGAGAAACTGAATGAGTTTAGATTTGAAGAGTACAGTTCCGACATCGTCGCGCCCCTACAGGAGACATTCAATGAAATTGCACTTAATTCACTTATGGTTTCTGACACAGTGATTTCAGGGGGATTCAGTACTCAAAGGGCATGTGTATTGTGCAAAGCCGAGAGATGTGTGGGCTTCAAGTTTGCAAAATAGAAGCAATTTTCATTAATGAATCTGGAGCTCTCATTGTAGGGCAAGCTTTTGACGCACTTCTGAACCCTGATCTGCAACTTTTTGAACTCTTTGAGACCCCATACTTTACTAAAGTTTTTGTTCACAATTTAACATATCCCATTCCTAGCAACATTTACTTGTATGCTGGAAAGGAACACATTTCAACTATAAATATGTAATTTCACCATCTCTGTCCTATGCAGTGATGGATTTGGTTAAGGAGTTCGTGATGGGAGCACTGGCGGCCTACCAAGTGGAGTGGGAGGCACTGGAGAAGGTATTTGAGGAAGTGGGAGTGACCTCAAAAGACGATTTGGCACACATCGACTGGAAGGCAGACTTTGGGGACTTTTCTGCTGTCCTCAGTAAAGTGCAATTCCGTGTGCTTGGCAAGGCCGTGACTGAGACGGCAACATCGCCATCACCTAACACACGTAAGTCATGGTTTTAATCTTAATTTTTTTTGTAGTGTGGCTCGCGGTGGCCCCCGGTCGGCCGTATGCTTAAGAATCGCAGGCCACAATGGGGGGCCATGTTGGGCAAGCGGTGGGTCGCGGTGGGCCGCGCAGTGGGCTGCGCACAGTGGGCCAGAAGACCGGTGGAGGCGGGCAAAACCCTAGACGCGTTCTGAGCTCCAGAGTCGCAATATCGAACCGAACTTGTGACCCACCAATGGATTGCTGTCCGAACGAGGAATCCATAGGTGGGGTCACACGTTCGGTTCGAGTCTCGGATAGCGACTCTGGAGCTCAAAACGCGTCAATAGTTTCGGCCGCCTCCAGCGGCCTTCTGGCCCACTGTGCTGCGGTGCGACGCACTGGTCTTCGTAGCCGAGCGATTAAGAAGATCGGTTTCGCTCTGTCTCTCGCGCACCCTTATGGAGAGCCCTATCAGTGCGAGTGAGACAGAGCGACTAAACGAATCTTCTGAATCCCTCAGCGGGGCCACGCAGCACGCAGGGCCGCGCAGGGCCGCGAAAATCCACGAAGGGCCGCGCAGGGCCGCGGAGGGCCGCGGAGGGCCGCGGAGGGCCGCGGAGGGCCGCGGAGGGCCGCGGAGGGCCGCGGAGGGCCGCGAAGGGCCGCGCAGGGCCGCGGAGGGCCGCGCAGTGCCGCGCAGGGCCGCGGAGGGCCGCGGAGGGCCGCGGAGGGCCGCGGAGGGCCGCGGAGGGCCGCGGAGGGCCGCGGAGGGCCGCGGAGGGCCGTGGAGGGCCGCGGAGGGCCGCGAAGGGCCGCGCAGGGCCGCGGAGGGCCGCGGAGGGCCGCGGAGGGCCGCGAAGGGCCGCGCAGGGCCGCGGAGGGCCGCTGTGGACCAATTAGGGGGGCCGGGGCCACTTTGGGCAATCGGGGGGTTGCGGTAGGCAAGCGGATCGCCGCGGAGCAGACGTCAGTGTGTCGAACGCGCATGCGTTGGTTTTGACTATGCACGGCGTACCTCGCTTACGGCACTACTTGCTGTCATCAAGGGTTCTTGTGTTAAAACCTGCGATTAACTGTTTTGTTTCTGTTTGCAGCGCAGCCCCAGGCTCCTCCGCCTACAAGGCAGCCACTAACCCCGGTGTCAACAAACTTCAATATTCCTTACGACAAGTTTAATGAAGTCCACATGACAATGCTGCGAAGCGGGCGACTCATATCAGCGCACGCCCGAAAACTAATTCTGCATCAACTAGGAGAGAAACTCGTTCAGACAAACCCGTACGTATTAAACGGTGTGCTTTAATCGCCAGGAGGGTAGGCAACCCAACCAACATCTGATACATGTAGGCTGGGTTGCCTACTTGTCACTTGCCAGGCGCGCGAGAAGGACCTCAACCCTTTTTTTTTCGCTTTCAGTAATATTTCGAAGGAGCTCTTGGCAAATATTGCCCGTCAGATGGTGCGCGAACTCCCAGGACTGGCCGATGAGGGCGGCGATGGCTCCCGCCACCACACTCTGTACCAGAAACTGGACAACGTGGTGCAGGGCCTGCTGCGGCAGAAGCGCGTGGATTCCGGGGTGACCCGGGCGACCACGGGCCGACCGTCGCAGCGCCCCATCACCGCTAAGATGCAGTACGGCACGAAGCACTTTCGGCCTCTGTCTTACGGTGATGGGGAAAGTGCCGCTACGCAGGAGGAAAAACGCACCTGGTTGTCGACGCACTTCAACACCGTCAAGGCAGGGGACCGCGACGACGACCAGGTGCAGCTCCTCATGGCGCAGACCTACCCGTCCCAACGTATGCAGATCGTCCGGGCGGTCCAGGAAGAGACGGAAGAGGCCGTCACCAAAGACTGGCCGTTCTTGTCCACGGTAAGTAAAGTGTGGCCGGTATCGCTCTATTAATTTGTTTTGTCACGGAGTTCTGATTACACTTTTTTTCCTTTTCCAGGCTCCAATGCTGAAACTCCACTTCCGACTTTTGACGGAAGTGGATGTGGATGCCCGTGCAGAGAAGAACGTGAAGAAGCTAAATGCAGCATTGACAGCATATTTCCATGCCGAGTTCGGCAAAAAGCGGCCTCATAAGGACGCCATTGGCCGCTGTCTGGCGTTCTGTAAGAACAAGGCAGAAGATATCCAATTTGTGTGCTTGCTATTTTTGGCTGGCGTCGTAATGAGGGATGACCTCAATTCCCTCTGCGTTTTTCTACCGGTATGTACGAATTTGTGAAAGAGTGACACTTACGCTGCCACTAAATACGCCTAACTTACGTTTTTCCTTTCAGTTAACACTGAAAGATAAGCCTCCAAAGGAAGTGGCTCGGGAGGCGAGCCAAACCATTTACGGCGAACTGGAGGACGTGGAAACGCAGGGCGACGACGCTGCTGATGATCCCCTGATCAAGAGCAGAGCGATTCGCCTCGTGGTCGTAGGTAAGGCCCTCCTCCCCTCCCCGTTGCATTCACTTGGTGTAATGCCTCGTACTAATTTTAACAAAATATGTCTCTTGTTCCAAAGGCCATGACATCTACAACGCTGTGGAGGCCTACCCATTAATAGACGGCAGGTGCCTCGGAGAGCAGGGCATGTCGGTATTCGACGGCCTGTTGAGCACCTTCACCCTTTTCTATATTTTTGGAAGGGACTACCCATTCAAATGTAAAGGAATGCTTGATTTCATCCAACGGTAAGTAATAATGGAAGTAACACTGTACGCACACTGTGATCTTTTTAGGGTGAGGTGAGAGTGAAAATATAAAACTCATGTAGCTAAGACACAGGAACAAGATGTCTCGTTGCTGGTAATAATTCGGATGCAGGGGTGCGAGAGAGACAGAGAAACGTAGAAGCGTGTTCGGATGTCGTTGGCCTGTCTCTCTCGCGCACCTGCAAAACGTCCCATGAGTGCGAGAGAGACCGCCTGATGTTAACTCATATCGTCTCTGTCGCACGCCTGCGGGACGCACGGTGGGCCAGACACTGGCGCAGGTGGCCAAATCTCCAGACGCGTATTGAGCTCCAGAGTCGCCTACATAGGCATCGAACCGAACGTGTGACCCCACCAATGGATTGCTCTCCGAACGAGGAATCCATTGGTGGGGTCACACGTTCGGATCGAGTCCCATCTAGCGACTCTGGAGGTCAAAACGCGTCTTGAGTTTTGGCAGCCTCCACCGGTCTTCTGACCCACTGTAGGGCGCGCCCTATGAGAGCGAGAGAGACAGAGTGATGTGAACTTATGTGAACTCGTCTCGTCTCTCGCTCTCATGGGGCGTACTGCACGTGCAAGTGAGACAGGCCGACGAGACGAGCGATCACTCTGCGACTCGTCGGCCTGTCTCACTCGCACGCCTGCCGGCCGCACAGTGGCCGCCCCGAGTGCGAGAGAGACAGAGCAACGTCAACTCGCGTTCGGATTTGCTCTGGATTCCTTTCTGTATTTCGTCGCTCTGTCGCCCTCACACGCCTGCGAGGTGCCACACCAGTGCGCTTTCCTATTTTCCTCGCACCTCACCTTTACATTTTGAAGTTTGCATGGTGCAGACAAAATAGCAACAGTTATTGCAGGTGCATTGTGTTCTCTTTATTAATGGACATGGTTATTTATTTTTCGTATTTCTTTGTTTCAGGAAAGTCTTCGAATTTGAAGGAGCCGGGTCTAAGGTAGAGAGAAGTGGTTCGCGGAAGAACCCTCCCCCTGTTAGCAACAATTATTTGACATTCGTTGATAGGGTGAGACAATATTGTGAACCATTGAATGTGGAGTTTTAGAGTTTGTGCATATTGTATTTTAACTGTTAAATGTAACATTGTAAATTTTTATTATAATTGTACCAGTACCTGTAAATGTATTAGGTGTGTTTGTTTGATAAATTTGTACGATTTGTAAGCAAACCTGAAAGTAAATGTGAACACTGCAATTTCGATGTAATTTTGTATCGCTCCCTCTCCTTCCAAACAAAAACGCTCATTGGGAAGCCAATTTATGTACCCAACTACTCATTTTCTTACGATACTGAGGGTACTGTATAAAAACGGCCCCTCCGCGTTAAAGACATACCCTGCCTCTTACTTCCGTAGCACCCCTAGGGATGCATTAAAATACGACCCCTCCGCATTAAATACGAGCCCGGTCACTTATGTCCGTACGACCCTGTGGGTAGCATAAAACACACCAACAGCACTAGCAAAAATTGTGCCTGTGACTGTTAAATGTATGATCCAGAGGGCTGTGAAAAAACTGGCGGTGCCGGTGTAAAGACAGACCCCGCGCGTACAATGCGCGCTCGCCGTCCGGCCGTCCGCTGGCCCGCGCTCGGCTTATACCTGCCCATAGAGTAGGCGACTTCCCCCACCCCCGCCTGCTCCTTCTCCGGCGCGGCCGCAGCGTTTTCGGGACCCATGGGTCTGAATCTTCCCGGCGCGCGGGCGAAGAAGTGCCACCCAATGGGTCTCACTTTGGCCGACCCGTGCTTGGAAAGTAAGCTGCCAGACCCATGGGTCCGAGAATTGTTCGTCTTCTTTTTTACAGTGTGGATCCGAGCGCACAACAACGTTAGAAGACTTTAAGCTCGGAGTCAAGCGGCTATGCATAAAGATTGGAAAGAGAGGAGTAAGAACTACGCTTGAATACATGCGTAACAGTAAGGGAAGGTGGGGTACAGTGGGACACCGGGTACATTGGGACACCTTCAATATTTCCAACTTCCGGTTATGTCAGGTTCTCCGGAAAATTGACCATAATAGAGCGTTATTTGGTTTACTGTTTTCACTACTTGGGGACAGAACTGGGCGCTTTCTGAATGAGAAACGTGGGTTTGAAGTTTGATTCCACGAAAAACGATGAAAAAGTAGCACGATTTTTGAATTTTGTTTTCTTTTTAGCGTCTGAAATGCACGTCGGATGATTGTACCGAGGTTAGGAATGTGATCCCTGGTGCAATGGGCGTCAAAAAGGGTCAACGCGCGCAGCTTGGTCTTGAGGTCAAGGGCCACAGACCGAGTTGACGTTTTAAAATGGCTCAGTTCACATTGGGACAGGGTGAGGCTACTGGGCCATGTGGATAGCAAAACTACATAAATCGTACATATATTGTCTTGTCTCGTCCAAACAAATAAAATTTTTCTTATGCATGTGGTCTCTAAAGTCATTACTTCAGGGTTTTCTCGAGTAGAGAGGTCGAAAAAACATGAAAAATAGTACTATTGCATTGAAAGCAGCGTATCATCCGAACGCTTGAAACCAGAGATCCGAGTCTGCGCTCATTGTATTCAGCATAACTTTTTCTACAACCTCGCGGTCAAAAAAATAAATGCACGACTTAAATCCAAATTTTTTTCATTGCTGTCCCAATGTGCCCCGGATCTGTCCCACTCCCAATGTGCCCCGGTACTGTCCACATTGGGACAAGTGCAGACTCTACGGAAAATATCTCTCCTGCCTAAAAACGTGTCGAAATAAGTTTGAATGCTTCATGATATGATAGGCTAGATGTCAATGCACAATTTAGGCCTGCCCCGACCATTATAGCTCGAAAGCCCTCTGACGTAGAGCGCCAAGAAAAAATCCGTCCCAATGAGCCCCACCTTCCCTTACGCGTCCTAGTGCAAATTTGTATGCTTTTTCGAAAGAATTTGTGGGTAAATGATCGCAGGTTTAGAATTGTGTGAGAGCTACTTACAAAATACAAAATGTACAAATACATTTAGTGTGTATCAACGAAGCTATCAGAAGCTCCAAAGTAGGCAACAAACCTGGATTTTCTGTCTGGCTTCACTTCGTTTCTCGGCGATATCAGGTTTTTCTTGAAACCACGCCTCGTTTACATCACCTAATAAATCTTTAGTCAGTTGCATTGTTATGTTATCCATGACTCGTTCCACAGCAATACGTAGGCCACTTTGGTTACTGTGTTGTGAATTCTCTCACAGACCAACTTAAAATAAGAGGTCAACGTGCAGCCTGGAACAGGAAAAGCAGAGACCGTGAATTGTGCAATCGGCACGTGCCTCTATACTCTCAGAAACCTCGCGAAAAATGTGCTCGCAATAAAAACTATTTGGTTGTATTACGAACTAGTAGTTCGGAATTTTACGAGAAATGTATTTGCAGAGGTTCTACTGGTTGTTCGCAACTTGCGAACAAGTGATTTGCAAGGCGGGTGCGTTCTTAGCATTACGAAACATGTCAGATCCTTCGCAAGCTTACAAATACATCAGCTCGCAAGTTTTTCGCAACAAAAAATTGTGTTTCCCAAAATTATTTTGCGGGCAGTACGTAACATCTGACCATCGGACATTATTTAACTTTCACTTTGGATCTCAATCTCAAATCTCAAGCATGGCGTGCAGTTGGAGTAGGGACCCTCTCTGTGAGAGATGGGTCAGGCTGGCGGCCTTCAGCCAATCATAATCGGTAGTAAATGGGCCCGACGCCGACCAGATCTGTCATGTGCGAGACTAGGGGTCCCCCCCAACTCAGGTATCCGCAGACGAATTGTTTATGGCCCCCAGCCGGAGTGCTAGCCTCTTGAAGGGGAGCTTCTTGCCCATTTACACCCGAGGACCTGTGACGTCAGCTCTGTCCCATCTCTCACAGAGAGGGTCCCTAAGTCGGAGGCAGCAGTTACAACTTCTACGAATTTTTCGAAGCCACTGCAAAAAACGCGCTTTGCGTGATACAGACCGCAGTTTTCATCCGATTTGGACGAGATGTGTCACAGACAATCTTGAGACCCGTGATTCTGGTGTGAACTAGGATAATTGCAATCAAATTTTTTTACTATATTTTTTTTGGAAAGAACCGCAGACTAGAAATATGCTGTTCTCTGAACGTGTCACTTTGCCGTTGATTGAGGTACTTGAGTTTTGAGGTAAAGTTACTCCCAAAATGTTTCCCTAGTTCGCACCAGAATGACATGTATTCTGATAGTCCGCACCAAATTTGAACCCTTTGTTTGGCCCAAATTGCAGAAACGACCTGTGTATTTTTAGCAGTGGTTTGGAGAAATTCGGCGAACTCGCAATCGCTGCCTGAGACGCCTATCAAAATTTGTGATTTATCTTGAGTTACAGTATGAAAATATCCCATGATCAGTTTTGACGTCCCGTAAGTCAACCGTCCGCAAAAAAATCGCGAAAACACAGCATTTTATGGCCTTGTGTACCCTGAGAATGAAGGAGTCACCACCATCCGCCCTTTTATTGGGCGACGCACGCATCGTCGCCTAAATTTGGGTGACGAGCCAGCGGTGACCAAATTTTGGGCAGTCATAAAATTGTCGCCCAAATTTGGGTAACGCCGTCGACGACGCCGTGAGGTCCCCGGTGACGTACTTCCAGCGACCGCGGAAGTGGGGTGCAGGGGGGGCGGTTGGCCCTTTTACAATTGTGGCGTCGCAAATTTCTGTATAGTGTCCAAATTTTAACCAAAACACGCTAATATTTTTGTAAATTCGCTGGCTTTTAGCTCGCTTCGCTCGCATTTCTTGGTACTTTCCACTATCTGATGACTTTTAACTGTACCGTAAGCCGGGGTAATATGAGACAATTTCGGGGTAATATGAGACAGAGTTTGGTTTGCGTAAGATTCACCCTGAGCTCGCTATTCGGCCACAAAGAGAGCCACTGCTCTAAAAAATTAATTACTCTTTGTTGGCTGAGCGATAGCGAAGCCCTTGTTGGCTGAGCGATAGCGAAGCCCCAGAGCCGTACATTGGGAGAGAAGCGAAAGGCTTGACTGGCGCTTCTCATACTTGGCGGAAGTGCCGGTCGGCCCATAGCAAACATGGCGGCCGACTGCGGTCTTCTGCTAGTCTTCTGCCTGGAGTGTCTTGTGTCTTGGTTGTGATTGTTCGATTTACGTTTAGGGTCCAAGCAAAAAACATCAGAGATAGAAATTCATGTTTCTCCAAAAATATTTTTACTCAAATTGTAATTTTTTTGTTTTTTTCTTCTTTGCATTTGAGAGAGTGTAGAAGTTGGAAATTAAACTTGCTTTAAATACTTGAGTAAGAAGTCTCAATTTATGGGTAAAAGTTTCTTTCTATTGCATAATTTCATACCCCAAAGGAGGGGCCTCACTTCCTTTTAGTTTTTGAGTTATAGAGGTTTACGTCAACATTCAGTCGTTTCTCCCAAATTCACCTCACAACAAAGAAAAAGGTTCCCAGCCTTAGATATAAGCAAATTGATCTCTTTCAATACAGCAAAAAGACCCTGGCTTTTTTGAAATATCTCTCTTGTTTCTAGATAAAAAAAAAAGTAAGGTCCCTTGTAAAGTAATAAAAGTGATTATTAATTTTTTTAAAATACTTGTAGTCTTAATTTATGGGTGATAAAGTTCTTTTCTATTTCATAAACTCAAACCCCAAAGGACGGGCCCAAATTCTATTTAGTTTCTGAGCTATGGATGTTTACGCTAACTTTTAGTCGTTTGTCCCAAATTCTCCTCACGACAAAGTAAAACTTTCAACCAAAAATTCAAATAGGCCTAGTTACTGGGCTAAAATTTCCAAATGTGGCTACACTATCTTTTTATGTTTGAAGGTTTTTTAAAATAGCCAGAATCTGAAGACTGGGCACCTTTTCCTTTGTCGTGAGGAAAGTTTGGGAGAAACGGCTAAAAGTTTACGTGAACCTCCATAACTCGGAAAATAATGGAACATGGAGTTTCCAACTTGAGGAATAGATTCATCATACAGTGATTGAATTTTAACCACAAAATGAACTTTCTGTTGCAAATATTTCTACGCCATCAAAATTTTACTGTACAATCTCCTCAAGAGAATTGAAAATAGTAATAATTACACTGCGAAATTGAGATTAACTTGGAATTATGTTAGCTGCCCAAAGCACATACATAATCTTCCTGCTTAGGTCAGCAGAGCAGCAGCCGCCTGTTGAATCGCAGCCCTCTTTGACCATAAGTACTGACGGCGTCAGTGCCACTCACCTAACCTATTGCCGGTCACCATATAGCCAAAACAGTTAAAATAACCGAAGGGCACTAAACTACACTGCCAAACGACCAAGGTCCGACTCTTTCGTCACACGACCTTCACTCACAACCCATCTAACCACTGCGATAGCATTGCGACCACAGCGCCGCTTAGCCACATTCAAACATCGCGATTTTGGCGCGCTTCCGGCCAAAGCAAACATGGCCGAAACGCCGCAGCCAATGGGAGGCACGAACAGGCCTTTCGCTTCTCTCCCAATGTACGGCTCTGCGAAGCCCTTGCCGTGTTTGGGCGCACCAAAAACTGACTGGTCGTGCGTCTGTCTGTCTGTAACTCACTAACGCTTCTCAGCAACTACTGATCGAATAGTATCCAAACTTCACACCTGATGTCTCATAAACATCCTTCAGGGGGAGTTTATCTCAGATCAGCAATAATCATCGTTTGAAATATTCAAAACACCGTTTTGAACTAGGTTATTAGCGTTGTTAGGTTGGTAGCACCGTGTGGCCGCCCAATTTCTCATACCGGCAGCCGCGCTTGCAAGCCGTCTGCAAGACGGGACGGCACTTTTGCAAATAAACAAACTGAAGAGCAAAGGGGCTCCGAAATAGGTTCTGAGTTACTTTTTTAATATTCAAGAATGATTGAAACCCTTCCGGAATGTCGACAGAGGAAAATACGAAAACTGAAAGTAAGAATGGTTTGCGTGTTTCGTTCCCCTCTTCCCCCTCCCCCGTCACGGGGGAATCTTCCTTCAGGTCAGTGCACTGTGAGTGTAGTTGTGGATTGTAAATAGAATGTTTTCTTTGCCTTTTACTTTGTATGCATCTACTGATTTTGTTTCCTCTGATAACATCTTCATTTTTAAATAACATAGTCAATCAAATCAGGTAAATGCATGAATAACTTCTGTTGAAATTAGAAGACATGTTAATTGTCTTGGTTTGACTCGGGAAATGTCATTCTATTGCAATGATGCAAGTAACATAAATATTCTAGTCCTAACATCTTTTGATTAAAAGAATCAATATATGGATGTGTATATTTAATGCTAACAGATTTTGAATTGATATTGGGTTTAAAGAGACGATTCAGGTTTTGAGCGGTGAGTGACTTGGCAATCGGATTTAATGTGAAGATTCCTTTCACTTCACCAAAGTTTGTGTCTGGTAAATGGAACTTAGTATTGGTAATGATTTAAAAGTTGGCTCTCTGAACCTTAGCCCAATACCCAATGTTAATACTATACTGTCATCTTTTACTCCAAAGATAAAATATCACAAGACATGAATAAGATGAATTATGTTGGCGTATTGAGCAACAAGTGGCCTCAGCATTGAACTTCATGAGACGATTAACTGAATTTGACAAAACCTGATCCCCGTCAAATGCTTCAGATCAGACTGCCCAAAAGTGAGTCACTTAATATAAACTATAATTACATATTCCAGTCTAAATTGTTTAATTCACTGGTTGAAAATGAAAGAATGACAAAAGGCTTCTCAAATATAACTAATAAATTTGTGAGTTCATTGGTTCGAAGAAAAATATAAATCGAATAGTAACTCAAGCAGACAAGTAGCCAATTAAGCGATTCAATGCTGGCAATAAAATGTTACTCGACTGAAGGAATCGCAGTGGTTAGGCATCACGGTATTGGTGACGACAAAGGGTGATCCATGAACGCAGACCCATACTTTACCCATTATAGATTAATTTGATGTCTATATTTCTCAATTGAAACTCATATTGATTCTTGCAGTTTTTGGAGTGCTGATCATGAAAATCACTTCCATTTCTGCTCCAGACTTACATTTTCATCTCAAATTAGGTCATTTTGGACCAAAATTCTTAGGTCGAGTTTAATATTGATTGATTCCTGCAGTCTTTGGTGAGCTGAACTCAAAAATAACTCCCAAATTTTTCCCAGACTCACGCTTGACCCAATTTTGACCAAATTTGGCCCAAAATTTTTTAATTGAGTTTGATGTTGATCCCAGTAGTTTATTGTGGGCTGATAACGAAAATCACTTCCATTTTGACTCCAGACTTATATTTTCATCCCAAATAAGGTCATTTTGGATCCAAATTTTCAAGTCGAGTTCAATATTGTTTCCTACAGTTTTTGGTGTCCTGAACTCAAAAATGACTTCCGAAATTTTCTCAGACTCACGCATTACCGAATTTTGACCAATTCTGGACCAAAATTTTTGAATCGAGTTTGACGTTTATCCCAACAGTTTTTTGTGTGCTGATAACGAAAATCACTTCCATTTATACACCAGACCTACATTTCACTATATATGAGCCCATAAGTTGCATATTTCGTCAACTTTAGCCAAGTCTGAAGTGCACAAACTAATTCTCATCGCTCAGCCACACTACGCGCCCACACTAAACGGCGCGTACCCCTAGTTGGTAACATTTTTCGCCGTGAAGTTTGACAGGGGCAAGTCTTCAAATGCCACGAGCATTATAATTCTAACGATAAAAATCATGCGTCTCATATTACCCCGAAATTGTCTCATATTACCCCGGCCTACGGTACTTCCGCCGACTTCCGCGGTTCCTGCGTACTTCCGGGGCCACCACGATGATCCAATGTGGCGTTGAGGCCTCCGGTCATCGTGGTGGCCCCGGAAGGACGTCTATCGGGGACCTCACGGCATCGTCGACGGCGTTACCCAAATTTGGGTGACCAAACACCTGTTACCAAATTTCGGGAGATGAATTTTTCGTCACCCAAAATTGGGCAACGGAGTTGCATTACGTACCCATTTAAAGGGCGATGGTGGTGACCCATTCATTCTCAATGATAGCACTGCAAATGCAACGGCGAAACTAAAGTACATTTTTGGCGATACAATTGAGTATCGCCAATAAACGGCCTTACGGAAAAGTACTGCCTTCAGAACGGCGATACAAAAAAGTATCGCCAAAATTTGGCAATACTTTTGGATATTCCCAAAACCACGGCATTAAACCAAGGTCTTCTCCCCTTGATTTGTTCGACGGTTATTGCCAAATCGTGGCAGTACTCCAAAGTATCGCCAAATTTTGACGATACTTTTGTGCATCGCCGTTTTGAAGGCAATACTTTTCCGTAAGGCCGTTAATTGGCGATACTCAAATGTATCGCCAAAAAAGGTACTAAAAGTATTGCCTTTGGATTTACAGTGAGTGTACATACTAACACACTAAATGTTTCTGTACTTTTATTGTCCATAACTAAGGCCGTGTTTGAACATACGGAACACATTTGTACATAAATTAGGGCTAAATTTCGAAATTGTGCTTAGGTATTAAAAAAATTGTAGCTAATTTAAGTAAAAATTTGCACATAACGTCCGTGTGCATAAAAACAACAAAAGCTATGGACCTTAAGTCCATAAGTATTTAGTGTGTTTACTTTTGTCATAATTTTCGTTCGCGTTTTACCAAGAACAGCAGCATGATTCAAGGAACGTCGTTCAGGTTTCTTTGAGGGTGAGCCACTGAACGGCATTTTACTTGCTGGGGCGTCAATGTTCAGGGATTCCGTCATCTTTGCTACACTGTCCGTCCCAAGAAGGCTGTAGGTGACCTTCTTTTCAATATCAAGTGAGCAGTTTACCTGAAAACCATTGGACATCAATCTCACGCGCATTGCTGCTTGGAATTGCTCAGGAGTTGTATATCCTTCGCTTCCGAAGCTTCATACTAGCCAGAAGAAGGCCCACAGACTTGATGCAGAGCATGTGTTTGCTGGTGGATCGGCCCACATAGCTCAGCACAATGAGAAGAAGATCCCCCTCAGAGATGCTCATCAGATGCAATCTTTGTTGTATAAAAAATTCTGCTATGGCCATGGCACGTTTCTGCCATGAAAATCGGTATTCTTGCAAAAACTGCGGACAGTTTTTTGCGATGACCATTGCAAAATTCTGCGACACAGCAGCTCATCACACCTTCACTACCACTGTCTGAGACAGTCCCACAGGCGTGGGACATTATTTTGTCTCACGCTTGAAAGTTTGCAACAGCTGTTTGCAAGCTTTGGACAGGGGTTGTCTCAAACCGCGTCTCACTTTTGCAACTTGCAAGTGTGGCATGAAGGTGGTTCACATTTGTAAGTATGAGACTGTCGCACTTTTGGATTTGTTGTGTTTTCGCAATGATAGTCACAGGAAAGTGCGTTGAAAACAGTGTTCCCGCGATACCTTAAGACAGCACGCATGATGGTGTATGCACTATCGAAACCTGAGACCCGACTATTAAGCCTCAAAATCAACGCTACCGTAAACTGGGGTGACTTCGACACTTTTCGATTTTCTAAACGCGACTATTTTGGCGCAGGGTTCTTTTCAGCGAAACTTCGTGTATCAAAAGTACAGTCCCGTCGAGTACAACGAGCTCGAGTGCAGAAAACAGCTCCACAACAATCATTTACAAAAAAAACTAGCAAAAAACATAATTTTGTTGAAGTCACCCCAGGCCCCGCCGACCGGGATGTGACTTCGACACGCTAACTCATGCAATTCAAATTCGCCGCCATGACGGCAGTGGCCGAGTGTTAAGAGGTTATGAGGCCCTTTCAATAATATGTATTTTGTTTCAAATAAGCTCGCTCAGAACTTGTTTCCATACTCTAGTCTATCCGGGAAATTGTCGGTCTGTACAGGAAGTTGTTTTATATGTTTGTCTAAGTAAAAGTTTCAGGCAGTCGCCGGGCTCTTCTTTTGCAGGGCATGATTAAAATTCTATTTTATGTTAAAATTCAGGCCAAAGAAAGAAATTAAGCGTACTGGACGGTACTGGACGCTTCAAGTTTTCACTTATGGGACATGTTTTCGGTTAATTATAACCGTGAAGTTTGCAATCTCGTTCACAAACTCTTTCCCGGCGAATTGTCGAAGTCACCCCGAAGTTACCCCAGTTTGCGGTATTTGGCTAAAAACAGCCCATAACAACCGAATATGGGGTAAATTTAGAATTTCGGCTACTACGCCACTATTACGCATGCCATACGCGGGTGCCACCGAGTGACCCGACTTAAACGTGGCTGCATGGCCCCACGGCACCTCACCATTTTCTTGGCTTCCGCAGCGTGTTGTGAAATAAGCTTGAGTACTATGCTGCTCATCCTTTTTGACAGCACAGGAAACTGATCGTGCAATGCCTCATCCAATATCTTATCACAAACAAGCTTTATTTCCGCAGCTATAGAATCGATGCATTCCAAAGCTGGCGCTCGAAGGTCTTCCAGGCAAGGCTTGAACAAATGGGCGAAAGCTACTGTCGAAATGCTCGACGGCTCGTCTTTTCTCACATGGTCCAAGACATTCAATACTTGGTCAAGGGTGTAATGATCACAGGCATTGAATTTCTCAAACGTTTCTGCCAATGTGCACAATATACTGTAAATTTTTGATGCCCCAGTCACCCTGTAACAGGAAACAAAATCATTCGAGGGCGTCAATGAAACTGCTGGCTTCGTATTTATTGATGCGACTGGTCCACAACTATGGCTATAGGCGCAGTCTAGGAATATGCCAACAGCTGTGTGAGCAGCTCAGCACATCAAGCTCACTCCGACAGATGTGCACTTAACCCAAGGAGAACACAAATCTCATCATGAGCTCAAAATGACCTCACTTGAGGCTCATTTCCAAAAAATCACCGTGACCTCAAAATGGTCAGGTGCGGTGACGTCACGCGTGAGTCATTTTCAGCTCATCTGACCCCAAAATGACCCAAATGTGACGACCGCAAGTGACTTCATTTTAGAGTCAATCCAGACTCATTTATGATCTCGAAATGACCTCTTAGAGTGCAGGCTTGCGCTTTTCTAGTTTTGCTTCGAGATAAAAAAAAAAACAGGATTGGATACATGAAAAATTTAACAACTTATGACATGACTTATGACAACAATTTTATTTAAACATTTGAAGCGTTTAGAGGAGAAGGAACTTAAACATATTTATCACAGGCTTCATGAGACGGTGTCCAAACATTTGAAGCGTTTAGAGGAAAAGGAACTTAAACATATTTATCACAGGCTTCATGAGACGGTGTCCAGGTGGCACTTCCAAAGTAGCAACATAAATAATATCATGAGGGAGAAAAACATAAACAAAAGGACACTGCTGCAGCAGAACAAATGATAAACAATTAGAAAACAAACAAAGTAAAAATAGTCAAACTAAAAACTTCACAGCTTCACACCTAATGTCATATTATTAGCTACTCAGTACTTCTTTTTAAAAAACATTTACATTGCTGTGGGAAAATTCAAACTTCTTGACAGGAGAAACGCAGCTATATGAATGATGCATGAATGCCTTGCTCGCCCATGACATTGAAAAAAAAACAGCACCCTAATTGGAGCGAAGTACAGCAGCCAAAAGAGTGAGTAAACTATATATCTTATGATGATCAACAATCATTAATCAAGCTTCTCAGAGTCAGAGTCACTGTCAGGCTTTCTTTGGCTGCTGGTTTCAAGCCACCTCTGCACTTTGTTCTTGCAATCCACCAGCCTGCTTTTGGGAAAAACTTTCAAAATAACACCTGAAAGCAAACAAAGCGCAGACTTTTAGGGAGAGCAAGACCAACAAAGAAAAAAAAAGTCACTTGTAAAAACATTTTCCTTTAAGAGTTCATGTGCCATGCTCAAACACTTACGTGATATTACATTCATTAGCTTAGAAGTGCTGAATTTTTCCTTGTCACATCTCCCAGCCCAACTGAGGGCTCTGGACAAATTATTTGATATAAGCATTTTCAATAAAGCTGCAGTAGCATCTCTCTCAGAAGCAGAATCCATGACACAAAGTTTCAAATGGGTGACCTGCAAATTTATACATTAATTAAAATTTAAATAAGAGTGTGGATTGTAAAAAAAAATTAAAAAGAATAAATGGTACTGACCAAGGTATCAGCATTGACTGGTTTTGTTAAAAAAACTTCGAACTCTGAGAAGGCCTTGACACTTTTGAGAGGAGTGGGGGGCAGATTGGGAGGCCTCTCCACAAATTCCTCCTCAGGGGCAAGCAAGGAAAAGAGCCTGGCCTGGTTCAGCAAGACCATATCTACTTTGCTAGAGAGTTCGGATATTAGACTGCTTCTGACTCGTTCCTCCACAGACTTGGTTGAATGCATTTTAAGTGGAGGGTTGCCTACTAGAAAAAGAAGTAATTTTAACAATGCTGCTGGCAACAAAAGGCAACAAATGATAAAGGGTTAAAGTCTTACTGGAAGAGATGTCATCGCCAGTACCTGCAGCTCCTTTAGACTCAGAGTCTGAAAAGTAAGAAAAAATAAGTAAGCAGTGCCAACATGTCTCTAAATTAATGCTTGGAAAACTGTGCAATACCTTTGACAGAGCCTCCATCATTAGCATCACCAACATTTTCATCTGTGGACAGTTTTGATGGGGAGCGGCTACCACTTTGTTGAGAAGCAGTATCTGCAATTAACGCACACAAAAAATCATAATAATATTTTTTCTAAAAAAAAAGATAGGAAAGAAATTTATTGTTGCATGAGTGACAAAGTTATCCTGATATGAGTTCAACTATTTTTCACTGACCTTTATTTTGTATAGATTCATTTAATGCATCAAAAAATGAACTTCTTAGTTCCTCAGTGATGGAACCATCTCCCAAAGTCTCCGGAACTGATTCATGACAAGGCGATAAGGAACTAGCTCCAGGACCTGAAGTCTGAGTAAAATCAGCTGTAGAATGTAAAAGTTGGAAAGTTAAAATTGTTTGTTAAAAACTTATCTTTGATAAAACATTTAAGTATTATTTCAACTAACCTCGTTTATTTGAGTTAGTGTTGCCAATTATTTGAGTAAGGCTAGCAGTCCTTACAACTGTACGAGTACCTAGACGGCTTGTCATTCCCATTCCTACATCGGAGTTAGATTGTTGCTTACTAGTAGTTGGAGTATTTTCTGTGGAAAAAAAAGTGTTTGAAATGAGAATACTGTAGTTTTAATAATCAAACGTTACATTTACCAGGGAATTAGTCTTACCTTTGGCAGATACTTTGAGCAGAGTTTTACCAGGTTGTCTTTGTGAGGAATGTGGCTTCTCCTTTAATTTTAGAAGATCCTGAATTTTTGCTTGTAGGTTTGCCTCACTTGTGCTTACAGACTGATCCTCTTCTTCATCATCTGTATACACAACGTGCTTCCTCTTCTTCTTATGCTTATGCTTCTTTTTCACTTGGACTTCTTCATCACTGCTGCTGTTGTCATACCTAGTATTCCTTTTCCGTTTTCTTTTCACTCCCTCTAAATCACTTGGCTCTGTTACTACTGTATCTGTTTCATCGTTCTGTTTGTTGGCAGCCTCTCTAGCTTTCTTATATTTGTCTGAAATAATATGAATCCATTAGTAGCAATACAACTAGTAAGAGAAGGAAAAAAATATTAAGGCCACAACAAATATACTTTACCAAAAGAGTGACGGACTTTACAAGGGTATGAAGGCCAGCTAGTGTCCGGCTTCTGTAGGGTCATAACCATTTTACTCCTGGGGTCGGAGTGCCCTTTCTTAGGGGGATCCGGCCAGTAGGCCCTTGTTCCATGTTCAAAAACCCATGAGTTTGGTACTGCCTCACTGCAGAGTTCCTCAGTGCGATCCTCATTGAGGAAAGTAACTGTCGTGAACTGTTAACAAAGGAAAAGAAATTCAAAATTAAGAGAACAGCCAAAGTAAAAATCTAGATAGAGTAAGCAAGATCCAATGCAACTTTTTAAATCTAAATTTGAAAAATAAATCTTGCTTTAAGGTATTAATGATTTTAAATTGAACTGACCATGGAAATAAATAATCAGCTTTAATTCACACTTGAGTGCACTAATGGAATAGTGACATACAAATCACGTCCTATTGGAAGGAGCACTCTCTTTCGAAGAAACATTGATGAATCAATTTCTGTTTTTGATGCATCTAAATTGCCCACTTTGAAAATGCCAAGAGTTGAAGATCTCAGAGGAAAGGTGTAAATGTCATCAAGGAGCAAAAATTTGTGGGCAATGAAGGAGACTCTTCCAGTAGGAGTGTGAACAATATTTGACAGAACAAAAATATCACCATCAGAAGATTCAAAGCAACAGTCAGCTTCATTCACAGCAAGCACAATTTGACGAAATTTGATTTTTGTATAATAAGTTCCTTCATATTCATCTTGATAGTCATTTCGTACATGCAGCAATGCAACATCAACATCATCTTCTGGAATGGGCTCGATCAAATGCCCATCTCGTTCCTTGTCTCTATTGTGAAGTTGTTGAAGAGCTTTGTCACCAGACCGAAGTAGCTCCTTGATGACGCCAAGGTATGACTCATAAGGAAAGGCAGCAAAAGAATCGATTTCACCACATAAAAGGCACTCTTGAGACATGTGAATGAGGGAGTGAATGTTATAAACTACAAACTCTGGGCCAAAATACCTCTGACTATGAGTAACAAACTGGCGCAATATTAAGTCTGCAACAGCATTCATAGTCTGTGCCAAAGGGGGACTACTTAGAATATAGATGCCAGACTGAAGCAAAACATAGCTTTTCCATATCTCATCATCAGAGCCATAAAAGATGGCAAGCCCATCATACAATAGAATTCTTCTCAGCTCAGTACATTTGAACCGAGCAAGGCTTTTAAATATTCTTGGTCGTCGTTTAAAGTCTGAAGGTACATGGACTGCTAGCCTTTTAATTTTGGCATCAAGAGCCAAAACCTCAGCTTTCCGTAGTTTCCCTCTCCTCTTTTTTTGCACACCAACAATGCGCTGAAGCCACCTTTTAAATGCGCCAGCATAAATCAAATGCATCCCATCCAAACGGAATGACGAAACCATGCTGGTTGGAATTTGCTCCAAAGGCGAGTGACCACTGTGGTGTTGAGGATTTGACCGATTCTGAAATGACTCATCTGACCTGAGGGGGGCATCCATATCAAGAAACACCATACGTCTCATCAAATATATTCCTTCTACTTCACACTTTTCACAACCAAAGTATCCATTATGGGCAATTATGCATTTTACAAGAGAGCGTGCAGGTGCATCTAGAATATAATGGCGTATTCTAAATGGAACGTTCTGATCAAACAAAGGTACTCCATTTTGAATAAATCTAGAAACCTCATCAACATATTGATGCAAAAAACCAGCCAAGTTATCTTGTTTCAGTTTTTCTTTTCCACAGTAGGCTGCAATAATGAATGGCTCATTTTCATTCATTAATTTACCCAAAATGGGCCAAATATGAATGTCGGACTTGGGAAAGGGCTCAAGCCCATCAATGTTGATGTCAAGTACAATTTCATTATATTTGACAAGGTATTCTCTAGTGACCCTTTGGTCTAAATTAACTAAAATACCTTTGTACCAAAATTGACCTGAACCCAAGTTTGCCAATTCTGCCCTTCTTGGTGTACCCAGAAGGGATTTGTGGCTGAGGGGAAGAAAGGGATGGAAGGGCTGAAGAATTTTAAGCAGCCCATCAACCTTTCTGAAACTGACGCCTCTTTGAGCCCATTTTTTTAAACTGCCCAGCAACTCTTCATTGTTTGGTGCATTAATGGGGGCATTATTGGGAGGAATTATTTCAAAAATATTATCACGAGCACCCCCTTCATTTTCTCTAATTTCAAGATTGTCATCACCGTATTCGTTTTCTCCTATTTCATCTCCTTCGTTAACATCAGAGTTTTCATTTCCTTCGTTATCATCAGGGTTTTCGTTTTGTTCATTGTCGTCACCATTTCCATTTTCACTGCCTCCACAATTTTCATCACGACCATCAACACTGTCATCTTCATCATCCCCTTCGTTTCCTTCATTTTCACTTTCATTTTCTAAATGTAAACCCTCGATATGAAGCCTCCTTTGAACATCAGCCTCTGCCTGTCTGCGCTTTCTCCTGACATCCTATGACATTCACAAGTATTTAATTACAAGCACTGTCAAATGCAAACAACATTCTTCGCAACCTGATGAAGAACTCAAGTGATTCCTAATGTAAAACACTACTTTCATAATGTCAGTCCATCGCAGGCTAAAGAGGCTCTTACAAACGATTTGTTTCAAGTGCAAAAGAATGTTCTTCACAAGCTTACTAAGAAAACTGATATGAGTACAAGATTTGACACCGTCGCCGGGAATCATAACCTCACGAAGTGTTATGGAACAGTGACTGAAACGTTCTTGACGACGGTGTCATCAATTTCAGCAACGCACACCTTCAAAGGGAGATTTTAATTTATTGATTGATATCATGTACTTACTGGTTTAGAGGCCATCTTCCCGCACTTCCGAATTGCGACGCAATTTCACTAAGATGCCGACTGACAGGGTTAAACTTGTTTTTGACACGCAGTTAGTAAGTTGACGCACTCACGACAAATACGGTGGACACCAGAAAAAGATATTTTAGTCAAAACTAAAATTTAAAAAAATATGATATCTTAAAAATAATTTGAATTTATAATATTTAATAAGTTTTAGAGGTACATTGATGGACAAAAATATCATAAGGAAATTAGAGTAGTCTTGACAGGTCCCCGCGAAAATTCAAACATTAGTCTGCTTCAAATCCTCCTCCGCTCGCAGGTCGAAAGTAAGACGTTTTGGGTTAATGAAAAGCACTTACCTGCGCTGTGACATGGTTGAGCAGTGTAAATAACGCTAATTGAAGCATTGTTTTCGCTTCAAATTGGTTTCTCCTGATAAAAGTCATTTTATGCTCAAATTGAGGTCAAACACATTTGGAAATCACATTGAAGTCACCGATCGATCGTGACCTTTTTGGAGTCAAAGTGAGGTCATAATGAGATCTTAATGAGGTTTTGTTCTCCTTGGGAATCCAGTGAAATTTGTAGTACACAGGTAAATCAAAGGCGTGAAAATTAATTCCTAACCCAACAACAGGGCATTATAAATTCACGGCCTTCAGAATCGGTTGAAAGAAGAGATGTGACTTAGGATATTACTATGTTGGAAAAATTGTCCCAAATTAACGACCCAAATTAGTGACCGTCCACGCCCTTCCCTCACTCCAAAGCAAGCGTGCACTTACCCATTTGTGGATGCTCCTCCAACAAGGCTCCTTAGTGACAAGATATCTTGGAACTGTCTTACGAACGCTGGGATAGTTCCCTCCAAGTACACCTTCTGTTCAGAATGGTTTAATTCATTGCCGTACTCTAGAATCAAGTCACTGTACTTTTTGAGTTCTTTTTTTATCACATACTACAAGAAAAAAAAACCATTAACAACTCGATCCATAAGGAGCGATTGGTTAAGTCAGCATTCAAGTTTTAAGCAGCTTTCGCTCACTTTAACATCTGGGAGGTTTTCCTTAATGTGACCCAGTAACATACAGTGCAGCTTATTTGATAAGAAAACAACTCCGTTCGTGGAAGACAGATCAGGGAAGTTTGTGTCCCACCACGCTCTTTCAATTTCACGTGATGCTGCTATTGTCTGTAATGAGGAAAAACACTACCACATCAACATATGCATAGATACGGAGAAATCGATTCTGAGATCAATCGCGAATCATAATGATGACTTATTTTTAACCTTGGCTAAGTTATAAGATTAGGGATATTATGAGTTAACTGGTTCGAAAATTATTGCAGATTTTAAGGGCTGCTTCTAAAGGTTCAGTCTGAAGTAAAACGAATTGCGAGATAAATGCTTAAGGCCGAATTAGCGATTTGTTAACTTTCTATCGATTCAGTACACTCAAGGGCAAATCGGTTCCCGGCACGACAGATGCGGCTTACCGTGTTTTCCCTCATGTCTGTTGGTGATCTATTTTTGACGCCTACAATGCCCCGGCGCACGTGAACTACATTACCTTTCAACATGTCTGGTAAATCTGAAACTGAGGAAAAAATTTTCAGGAGAGATATCTCTCTGTGCTTCGAAATAATTCAGTAGAAGTTTTTTTTCCTTGTTTCGTCCTGATGTTTGTCATGACTTTCAAGTTTTGACATAACTTGATTCGAAACAAGAATGCATCCTTGTGCAATGACGAACACAGCAATGACTTTACCTGGGTCCATCAAATCAACCTTTGTTAGCACTGCCAATGTTCGAGATCCGTCTGGGTCAACTATTTTAGCGAGTGCAAGGCTTTCACTATTAACCATATCGTCGTTGGCAATCGATATAGCTAAAATTATACACAGTTCATCTTTTATATACTTCATGACGAGATCTTTGATATTCTCGGCTATATTGTCCGGCTGTCCCGGCTTGGCGTTCTGGAAAATAGAATGCAAAGTACACTGCCATTCTCACTTCTTAGAAATGAATGCATGCGCGATCATTTTAGCTTCATTTTTAAAATCAATGTTACACTCTTAGTAAATTACGTCTGTGGTGTCACACCCACCTTCACTAGCCCAGGAAGATCAATCAACGACATGTTAGTTACATCAGGGGAGTTAAATGTCAGAAATATTTCTGTGTGGGAAACTGTATTTTCCAGGCTAGTCAGGTCCTGTGTCTTCCTCTGAATTTCCCTTTCTATTTCTTCTGGGGTGAACCTTCTGCCCGGATGATGCACGAACTCTCCCCACGGAGCTGTCAACAACAAATACATGGACATGCTGCCAATGAAGCTTGTTTTTCATGAGCAATGGCACTAGATTGACGTCAAGCAACGTTTCTTGTCCTTTCAAGTGTCGACCACACAGTGTCCGACTATGAATCATGGTCCGACGCCTGCACGTGTAGTGTAGGGCACTGCTTCTCCTTCTCCTACGGTACGGTTTCCTGTTCCAGAGCTGTGGCCCCACACTTCAAGCCGTTGGACATGCTGTGGTCGACACTTGCAGGCGTAGGACAAACTTGTCTCCGCTTAAAAATGTCGACTTGTCTTACACTTACTTAGGTTTGCATCGTAACTCACCTTGAGTGGGATCGGGTGATTCCGTGCGTAGAGGGCGTTTTCGTGTCCACACCCTCCCCAGAGCGAACTTATTCGAGTGCAGTCCATTTATACACTTAAGAATCTTGTTTGGCACTAGAATAGCTTGTTCCCTTTGTATACGGACTTTCAAAGCTAACATGTGACGCGGGAGAGGGGCCAAAAGGGTCGATTTTGTAAGTTCCGTCATGTCCATTCGCACCTTACACCAACTTTGCGGCTCTATAACCCTGCGTTCCATTCAAATCTTCGAATTCCACACACACCCATCAAATCTTTAACTAAGAGTGACTATCTTGCTTGAATTTGAAGATCGTATATTGATTGGAACTGTACTTTCAGAACGCGTACTAAATGTCCACCGTACTCCGACTTTTACCTTAGCGGTTTCAAAGTGAGCACCAAAAAAACTACTAGGAGTGCTTCCTGCTCAAAACCACCGCCGTATTCAGAATCAGCACGGTCTGTTTACCATAAGAACGAATTTCGGTGGCGAAAAAGTGAGGGGGGTGAGTGTGCGAGTGGAAGTTGTGTGTGAAATCGGTGGGTTGTAACAATTGGTGTAATTTCCGTACGCCCCTCTCGCTCCTCGTCTATTGGGTTTTGAAAGACATCCTACACTTGAAAAGATGTGTCTTGACGTCGAACTAGTGTGCCAAACTTATGGCATATTTCTGTGGCGATATGCAGTTGCAGTGAGCCAGAAACACCTGTTTGTAATTTCCGTCAAGCGTAATTTCCGTCATATTTTCAGTTAATTTCGTCATATTTTATAGGGGGAGAAAACGAAAGTCAACTTTTAGCTCGCCCACGCTCAGAGTGTCTTCCTGGGGTTCAATTGATGCCATCTAGGCCAAATTCCGGCCGAACAAGCAAGATTGATTACTTGACTTTCTTAGGTGGCTAAAACGGCCCCTACGCACGGAATCACCCGATCGCATTTTTTCAGATGCAGCACCAAGGGGCAACGGGTGACCATGTCTCCCCCTCGGGGTAAGATGGCGTGACCTACCAGGGACTCCAGTACTGAGCTTTTTCCTGCACTCTGTGACACAAAAGTGATAATAAACGAGGAACAGTAACATCGAAAGCTGATGCTATTCAACCCCATGTACGTCACCGTGCCTTTGGGGGAGGGGGAGTGACAATCACTGGTAATCAATCGTGTGTACGCTTTGGACCTGAGTGGTGGAGGTGGACCCTTCGCTTTAACCTACCTGACTCCCCAGAACCGCAAGCCGGGGTAGAGTTATCAAGTTCTTTCCTATTTTCGCCAATGCCTGTTGAATTTTGAACACTTGCTGGATCGGGTCCGCCATTTCTGCTGTAATAGAAAAATACCGTCAATCTCGGATGGGTATTCCTTGCCCACCAAGTGACATTCGATCTCACACCGCATATGATTTTGAGCGACGGAACCAGACAAAACTTGGGAAAGTCTTTCCTGGGAGGATCGCGACACTTTTATCAGCTGATTCTATAATATCGAATACAAGGGGTACGATGGTCTGCCGTGGAATCACCTGCCAAATCAGTGATTTTAAAAACTGCAAAACGGGCCAAGGCCAAAGTGCAGGTATGAAAAAATGGGATTCAAAATTAAAAGCACCAGACGCTGGTCCCGGTCACAAAACGGTCACAACTAACTCACCAGTGACAGGGTGCACAGCAGCTTTGAGGAACAAATTCGGACCACAAAGATCCCCGGGCCGGTCCCCGCGTCGACTGTCGGCAAAAGCGTCGGCGGCCTGTACTTGAAGGGCGTGATTTGCCGGCCTGCCGTTTTCCTTCCCGCCTCTTCCGGTGATCCCGCCTGGTGCGTGGCGATAGCGAATAATCTCCGAGGAAAGAAATGTATCGCCGCATTGCAGTCGCAGTGCACATTGCGAAGCGCGAAGCAGAGGTCATAACCCTGGCCTGAATTGGCTTTAAACTGCAATGTGGTATTTCAGAAGAGGCCTGGACCGGAAGCCAAGAGCTGACACATGTTCAGGAAACAGACAAGATAACGTGCTTCTCCGAATGCCCTAACGAGTCAACGTATCATAAAAATTACATGAATAACCAAATTGTACAAAAGTTGGACCGTTACGCCTTGGAGTTAGATGAGTTTCAGGCTAGGATCGCGGCTTCTGGCTGTTGGTCCAGACCTTTCCAGAAACATCCTATTGCCAATGACTATCGTGCTGGCCTGCCGCTTGCTCCCTGACACTGAATTGCCGATCAGCATTGCAAGAATCGATCGTCGATTAATATCACGCAGATCGTGTCGACCAAAATAGGAAGGCAGGAGTAAATCCTGTGCCTTTCTGAGTGTTGGTGCGACCAAAGTTTGACATCAGGTGCGTGTGACTTCAAGGGAATCATAGTGGGCGAGGAAAGCTTTTCCCTCGCAATTCTTCAGCCAGGGCGGGTATTGCTTCTAACTTCCGATTTTAGTCATTTTACTTCCGGTCCTCTTCCACCTCCACCTTAATCCGCCCGTCCCGGCCACAACCCGCCGTCTTTGACCTAACCTCCAATTGAAACTGTCTCGGAAACTGTTTCCGGTGCTTCTTGTATTCCTCGTTCTTCATTTGGATCACGGCGTTTCTATATCGTGACTCGGATGTTCAGGGGGAAAGTGTCTGCAGCATTTCTCTTGACACCTCACTCTACCTACGTTGCAGCTTAACGTTAGCGTCTTGGCATAGCATCAAGGTAGATAGAAGACTCATATGGCAGAAGCCTGTGTGAAGGAAGGAGGGAAACTAAAAGTATCGGAAACACGTCTCAGTTCCTCAGCACCTAATACTATTTTCACTGCTAAGACCGGTAGTTGATACTTCGATCATGATTTCCAAGCTGACCGTAGCTCCTGTCGAAAGGATTGGGTATCCGCTGTGGCCCGGAAGAAGAATATCTAAACCGGATGTCAGGAATGACAATTCATACTTGCGTCATTGACGTGAAGTTTAGAAACGAATGTGTCAAAATGTCACTTCCTTTCAACATTATGTCACATTTGTTCGAATATGCTTATTTCAGGCTGACTTACATCCGAATGTTAATCAGCCATTGAGTAGCAGTCCAGTTTCTGCCCGGGCAGAAACGGGGTAGGTATAGGTAGCAAGCCCGGTTAAAGTGAGGCATATTGTCAAATTTTCTCTGTCGCAAAGTATTTGAAATCGACGATACCGGTATTGCATTTGGAGGAGATGCGCTTCGGAAAACTGCAAAACTAATCCCCTCACATAGGTCTGCGAGGTTAGGTATGTTGACAGTTCCGGTTTTGTTCTTCTTCTTGTTCCTCGATCGGTGACGACTTGAATGCCCTATTAGCGTCTTCACACTCTTACTGTGAAGTGAAAATACTATCTCCCAAACTATTGCCCCTATAGACTTTCTGTTTTTGGTGGGTACACCTTTTACTATAAATGTACTCTATTCAGACAACCTTGTCTTAAAATGTTTTGATGGCATTCTTCTGAGGAAATTTCCCCTTGAAATTGTCATCAAGTTGCATTCAAAGTTTTCTCAGCGTATTTGCTGCAGGCAATTTTTAAGCCCTGACAAGGTCCAAAATTTGAACTTTAAACGCCGATATGAAACGAACCACTCGTTGCCAAAACTTGAAATGGCTCACTGTGTTTGTCTCGTCAAGCTCTTTGAGCTCACCAAGGTTCATGTCGCCAATTATTTCCAGCTCGAAGGTCGGAATGACTGTACTAGTTACGCATTATGCACTGTATACAATGAATACAGATGTATACAATTGTACAGATGTACAGATGTATACACACTCTCATTCCAGGAACGTGACATCACGTTGAAACGAACGTGACAAAGTGTCACGTTCGTTTGCGTGTCACGTTCGTTTGAATGTGAACGAGCTGATTTTCGGCCAATTCACACCCAAACGAATGTGACACAATGCTCAAACGAACGTGACAGTTTGTCACGTTCGTTTCAACGTGATGTCACGTTCCTGGAATGAGAGTGCAAAATGCCCCTGTGAATGTTAAATTTTGTTACAACTGGTTTGTTCTTTTCAGTCCGTGAACTTCACTACGATGTCTCCAAGCCCTCTCAGCCACAGTAAGTAAAACTGCACTACAATTCGGTGATCACATGAATTGGGGAGGTATTGTTACAGTGCTCGGAATCAGAAGTAAGAGTATATGTCCAACAGAAGTCTGGTTAACCTGATCCATGTTCAGCAGAAGTTTGGAAAATACGGTCTGTCTTTTAATTGCAAGATACATAGAGAAATCTTCGTAATACGAAGGAAAACTTCCATCGTGTAATGCTTGAGCCGTTTTCTTCGTATTACACTACAAAGCCAGCTGTTAGTTTGTTTGCAACAAATTTGGCAAGGTGTTTTGAGTGCCAAGCTTTGACCTGTTGCGAGGAGTATTTGCGGGCCAAGCTGGCCAGCTTTGTCATTCCAAACGGCTTGCCAATTTTAGTGGCAAGCAACCGCAAGGCTTTCCAGTGTATGGGCTATTTCTTCTTAAGTAATACAAAGGAAAATCCTAAGTACATCTGAGTGTAAAAAGTAGAACAGTTGTCTTGAACTTCTTTTCTGGACCATGTCCTCACAGTAAAAAGTCTACGAAGAACCACTTCGTAATACGAAGAAAATGAAGGCATTGTAAAATCTACGAAGCAATGCTTCGTATTATGAAGAAAAAACCTTCGTAATATGAAGCATTTCTTCATAATACGAAGCAATTCTACAATGCCTTCACTTTCTTCGTAGTCATGAAGCAAATGCTTCGTATACTGGTAGCCAACGAATGTGACGTCATATTCGTTGGAGTGTTAATTTTGTCACGTTCGTTTGAATGTTAATCCACGTTGAAACGAATGTGACACCCTACTTAAACGGCCGAGTCACGTTGAATCAATCGAATGTGCCATAATATTCTAAAGAACGTTATAAAATTAACACTCCAACGAATATGACGTCACATTCGTTGGCTACTAGTGTAGGCTTTTAAGAGTGCTTACGAGTGTGGCTTCCCAGACGCTGCGACCGGGCCGTGCGCCGTGTGCGGCGAGGCTGGCCGTCCGTGCGCGCGCTGCCGCGTGCACTACTACTGCGGCAAGGAGCACCAGAAGAAGCACTGGCGGCGACACAAGCCCAGCTGCGGCTGCATCGAGCTGCGCGACGGCTACGTCGTGGCGACCAGGGACATCCCCGCAGGCACGCTCATCATGCGGGAGCGGCCCACGCTCACCTTCCCCGCCTCGACGCTCAACTACTACCGGAACCACCTGGAAGCGGTACGTGTGCACGCGCGCAAAACCTTACGAAGTAGTTTGAGCACGCTCTACAAACTGAAGTGTGTACTCAGTGTGCGTCTACAGATGCAAGTACACCTCTGCAGATGCATACTCATCTGAGTACTCGTCTACAGATGCATACTTGGCTGAGTACACATCTACAAATGCATACCTTACTCATCCAAGTATGCATATGCAGATGTGTACTCAGCTGAGTGTGCATCTGTAGACGTGTACTCAGCTAAGTATGCATCTGTAGGTGTGTGCTTGCAAGTAAGTATGCGTCTAGAGACGCATTACACACCTCAGTTTGTAGAGCATGTATGGTATTCTATGTAGTTTGTAATACGAAGAAAAAGTTTGTAAATTTCTTAGTATTTTCTTTGTAAGCTCATATCTTAACGCTCAAAATAATCAGTACGCGGTAAAAGCGCTACCTGGTTTTCCCAGGAAGCCCATGGTAAAGACATATATGCGATTTCCAGGGAGTTCCTGGGAAAACCAGGAACCGTCTTCACCGTGTAACAACAAACTACGTTTCTTTGTAAGGCCTAAAATAATTTGAAAGGTTTTCTGAGTGCACTCTCATTCCAGGAACGTGACATCACGTTGAAACAATTCTGACGAAATGTCCCGTGGTGCCACACTCGTTTGAATGAAAATCAGCCATAAATTAGCTTATTCACATTCAAACTAACGTGACACTTTTCTCAAAGGAACGTGACATTTTTTAACTGTATCTAAAGTCCGTACCTCAAAGACTCTAACCGATCCCTCCGTCTTGTTGGTGCAGGTGTTGTGTGTGGGATGCTGCGCCGATTTGGGCCAGGACCCGCCCCGGCAGTGCCGCCGCTGCGGCCTGCCGGTGTGTGACGAGGCCTGCAGCCGGGGCAGCGCCCATCAGGTGGAGTGCCAGGTGTTCCAGCGTGCCAAGTACCAAGTGGAAAAATGTAAGTCAAATCGCATCTGCGTTTACGAGCTTCACGCCGCTCAAGGGAATGAAAAGGGGGTCAAGGAAAATGTGAAAAGTTGCCCTGGGCAGGGATTCACTGCACTGATAAAAATTTTGTCGCCACTTTGCAAGACATTTTTCGCTCATTTTTTTAGCGACAAGATTTGTTGTGGAACAAATAGCTTCTTAAACCATGGTCGTACTGGAACTAAAGGATAATTTCACAACAACTAACTTGTAATAACACATTAACAGTCCACCTTCAAAAACAAGTCGTTGACCAACAACAAATGTTGTAAGTCCACGACAAGTATTGTGAGTCAAAAAAGATTTTGTAATGTCTGCGACAAGTATTCATTGAGTACTTTTGTCACTAAATTTATTTACTTTTAATCAACTTGAGGTATCTACTTTTAATCTACTTTTAATTTTCGTATGACTTAAAAGAACAGAATAGATGACTATTCATAATATACTTTAAATAAGCAGATAATGACCAAAGATGTTGTTTCCACACAAATTGTATCGTTTAGTGTGATAAAAAGAATTTTGTTCTCCAACGACAAATTGTCGCTTACTAGATTCAACGACATTTGTTTTGCTTTGGTTTATGATAAAATTCTATGTTTTGGAATGACTAAATTCACTCATCTGATTGTTACTGTACAACCATTTTTTAACAGTGTGTGGTTCCACACACCCAAAACCTTACGAAGTAGCATACATAATACAAACTAATTCACTTTGTAATACGAAGAAGTAGTGCGTAAATTACGAACTATTTTCTTTGGAAGCCTCCAAATACTATTTTATTACAAGATGCTTTTCTTTGTGAGGCCTAAAATAATTCGTAAGTTTAATGCATAGCACGCACAGTGCAATACATTAAGACATCGCACCACTCGTGCTCGTGCAATTCCATACACTGCGTGATAAAACTACAGGAAATGTTTCGAGCATGCCTGGTCAATAATTGTTTTGGCACATTGATATTTGAAGTGACCAAATAGGTTTTTCTGATGTTGCTCGAAGGCGTTACGGGCTGCCGTTTTCTAGGGTCAACACCTGATCTCCCTCACTCATGCAACTCAACTGCCTCAGACCTAAGTCGTCCTTGGTCACTCAATGTTTACCTTTTCTCTGCTGTCAAAGTCCTTGTGAATCCACACTAACCTATGTCAAATTGAAACGAAAAGTTGCGTAATTTGCGTCAACTTTGTTCATTTTCATTACATTTTCGTCATTAAAATTTTCATTACATTCACTCATAACACTGTAATGAAAATTTGTATGATATTTATGCAATGAAAACTTTAAATTCATTGTAATGATTATAGCTTCACTACCATGCAATGAAAACGCAATTAAATTTCTAAACAGTGTATTTCTATGCCTTCAGTAGGCTAGGTAGCACCTTTTCCAGTGTGTATTTTACTTCCCATTCTGTCACCAGCCGAGTTCCTTGGTGAGAATAGTGGCGCCGTCTTTGGTGCCATTGTGGCAACTCTGCGAATCGCCGTTGCATTTCCGAACAACCCGCTACTTCAGCATTTGGACCGGGAGTTGAATTTCGACGAGCAGGGGCTCAAGGTAGGTATAATAATACAGAGAACTGGGTTCACTGCAAATGCAAAGGCGATACTTAAGTTCATTTTTTGGTGATACAATTGAGTATCGCCAACAAACGGCATTGCGGAAAAGTATTGCCCAAGGGCGACACACAGAAGTATCCCCAAAATTTGGCGATACTTTTGGGTATCGCCAAAACCGCGGCATTAAACTAAGGACTTGTCCCCTTGATTTGTCCAACGTTTAATGCCAAATCGTGGCAATACTCCGAAGTATCGCCAAATTTTGGCGATACTTTTGTGTATTGCCGTTTTGAAGGCAATACTTTTCCGTAAGGCCGTTTATTGGCGATACTCAATTGTATCGCCAAGAAAGGTACCAAAAGTATTGCCTTTGGGTTTGCAGTGTTCAAACCATACCAATCGTCAATGGGCAACTTCGACTACTGTCAGTCGGTCTACCTGCGAACAACCCTACGAACTTTTTCCTTCGAAGAAATAGTTACAAAGAAAGTCACAAGGTACAAAGAAGGAAGTTCGTAACTTTGAAAAGCAATGGTTTGTAACGTTGCAAATCAATTTCTTCGCCATTTGCAAAGTGATACTTCACAATGCAACGATAACAGTTTGCAGAGAGTTCGCAATACAATACCGGACAATACTTTGCACGGATTTTTTTGAATGCACGCTTGAAACCTTACGAAATATTTTGAGCACAACTAAGGCACTATAGTTTGTTGTACAAAGGAATAGTTCATGAAGGACAAAGTATTTTCTTTGTAAGCTTGTTCAAAATACTTCGGTGTGACTAGATTATCTTCTTTCCTTCTTAAGCTCTAAATTAGTTGGTGAGGTTTCCAGAGTGCGCAAGGCTGTTGAATTCTTCTGAGATGCTTGGTCTGCGCAGGCGTCGCCCCACGCGGAGGAGTGGGTGTCGGCCATGCAGATCGTGATGGCTGCCGTGGTGCGCTACGTGCGGCGCGTCGTGGGAGTCACGTGGATTTCGGAGCGCGACCTGAGCCGCGCCGCGCGCATCGCCGCCATGCACGCGGAGGACATCACGGGCGCCAGCCCGGAGCGGTGGGACAACGTGGCCAAGCAGGTCAGTCACGGCATCATTCTTAGAAGCCTTACCTCGTGTGTGTGAGCAAAATCAACTAAGACGGACCACACGGACCCTCTCCGATTAAGAACTAACCAAAGGGGAGTCTAAAGCCAAAATATTAGGTTCGGCAAAAGTTTATTGCCCGAGATACGGCTAACTTTAGTTTAACTTTTGGAGAAAAAACACGAATTTGGGCATATTGACCTTATTTCACACTCTTCACAATAGAGGGCTAAAATCTGATCTGGGTCATTCCATATAAGATTTACACGGATCTGGGCGACCATTGATGATTTCGACCAAATTTGGCACGAAGGTAGCCCTAGGGGTCAGGAACATGCCCATAAATTTTTAGGTCGATATCTCAAGTGGTTTGGTCAGAATCGGCATTTTAATTTTTTACTCTTAAAAAATTTGTAATTTCTTCAAAATGGCTCTAAAAGGCCATTTTTTGTCGGATTTTCATGCGGTAAAGCTATTCCGACGTAAAATGCGACGAGGAATCCGAATCTGCCCTCAGATTTGGTCTAGCGTGATTACCAGTGGAGTAAATTGCGAAAAACATGAAAATGAAGCCTTATTTCACGAGCCTGTCTACCCTAGTAGAAAATCCAAATCTGCACTTCCGAACAGGCTAAATTGTAGTTCATTTCATGGGCTTTCCATATCTGTATTCAAAAATAGTGGGTGTGGCCCTCCCTTAGGAGCTGTAGGCCGCAATAAACAACTCTGCACTCAAATTTTGACTAAATAAAATGCACATTTTTGAGCTTTGAAGCTCAGGGGTTTGAGCTACACTCGTGCCGCTTATACCATTCAAAAGGGAATTTTGAGACGAATCCAACGGTACCAATATGAGCCCGATCGGGTAAGTGGATCCCAAACTGCGCCCAAATGCCGCTAAAATTCAAAATTTGCACTAGATGTTTTTCCAATTAAGAAAGTAAGTAAACGGCAGCATTTTAACTTGTCAAATGTGTACTCATTTACTCAAAATTTCATAAGCTTTCGATTGGTATATAGAAAAAGTTGGGTTTCGTGCTCTAAACACAAGATTTCTCAATTTTACTGAAGCTATGCACGCGAATCGGCTCAGACGCCCCGTGCAGGTAGGCAGCCCATCCGGCGCGCAGGCTTTCCGTCTGTTTGGGGTTGTTTGGCTGTACCCGCCCCATCCCTCGCTGGACCCCGCCCCACTCGCCCCTCTCCGGACCCCACCCCGCCCAACCCCCTCACCCCACCCCGCCCAACCCCCTCACCCCACCCCCACCCCGCCACCGCACTCCGCACCTTCAACTCACTTCGGCGTTTAGGCTTCCGCGTCCATCTCCCAGCCGGCAGTCTCTTGGAGTGTCTAGCTTTGTTGTTGCTTGTCGATATTGTTTTCAACAACATATAAAAATTTCAACGAGCGTACCTCGTCTGGAGACCAGCAGCAGGCAGTACCGTCATGGATCGAGGTATGTGTCTGTTTACACCTCTACTCCTAGGTTATGGTGTCTTTGTTGTTGTTTTGCCTCAGTGATTTTCTTTGCTTATTTAGGCTCTTTCCATCACATCGAATTTTAATAAGCTCTCTTTGGTCTTAAGGGGGGACCCTGGTGAAAAAATAGCCAAAATTCCAAAAATAGTATTTTTAAAGTTTATAGATAAAAATGTGTATAGAAGGTTTCAGTTTCAACAGGTTGAACACCTTTAAGCTAAGTGGGTAGTTTCTTTATCATTTGGAAGGAAATAACATTGAGATCAGTTGTCGTTGGCTTCTACGCTCAACTTCACAGCTTTGCTCAGTCGACAAAAAATTTTGTCGTAGAAAGACTTTCTGCGTTCCTGGTTGACACCTACATGAGTCGTCTTGCATGAACTCTATTCATTGATGACTTGTCGACAAATTTTAGTGACGGAATCTTGATATCAGCCCTACTGTTTTTTAAACACACCTAAAAGCTTGAAAAAGGAGATTCTGTCACTAAAATTTGTCGACAAGTCATCAATGAATAGAGTTCATGCAAGACGACTCATGTAGGTGTCAACCAGGAACGCAGAAAGTCTTTCTACGACAAAATTTTTTGTCGACTGAGCAAAGCTGTGAAGTTGAGCGTAGAAGCCAACGACAACTGATCTCAATGTTATTTCCTTCCAAATGATAAAGAAACTACCCACTTAGCTTAAAGGTGTTCAACCTGTTGAAACTGAAACCTTCTATACACATTTTTATCTATAAACTTTAAAAATACTATTTTTGGAATTTTGGCTATTTTTTCACCAGGGTCCCCCCTTAAGACCAAAGAGAGCTTATTAAAATTCGATGTGATGGAAAGAGCCTAAATAAGCAAAGAAAATCACTGAGGCAAAACAACAACAAAGACACCATAACCTAGGAGTAGAGGTGTAAACAGACACATACCTCGATCCATGACGGTACTGCCTGCTGCTGGTCTCCAGACGAGGTACGCTTGTTGAAATTTTTATATGTTGTTGAAAACAATATCGACAAGCAACAACAAAGCTAGACACTCCAAGAGACTGCCGGCTGGGAGATGGACGCGGAAGCCTAAACGCCGAAGTGAGTTGAAGGTGCGGAGTGCGGTGGCGGGGTGGGGGTGGGGTGAGGGGGTTGGGCGGGGTGGGGTGAGGGGGTTGGGCGGGGTGGGGTCCGGAGAGGGGCGAGTGGGGCGGGGTCCAGCGAGGGATGGGGCGGGTACAGCCAAACAACCCCAAACAGACGGAAAGCCTGCGCGCCGGATGGGCTGCCTACCTGCACGGGGCGTCTGAGCCGATTCGCGTGCATAGCTTCAGTAAAATTGAGAAATCTTGTGTTTAGAGCACGAAACCCAACTTTTTCTATATACCAATCGAAAGCTTATGAAATTTTGAGTAAATGAGTACACATTTGACAAGTTAAAATGCTGCCGTTTACTTACTTTCTTAATTGGAAAAACATCTAGTGCAAATTTTGAATTTTAGCGGCATTTGGGCGCAGTTTGGGATCCACTTACCCGATCGGGCTCATATTGGTACCGTTGGATTCGTCTCAAAATTCCCTTTTGAATGGTATAAGCGGCACGAGTGTAGCTCAAACCCCTGAGCTTCAAAGCTCAAAAATGTGCATTTTATTTAGTCAAAATTTGAGTGCAGAGTTGTTTATTGCGGCCTACAGCTCCTAAGGGAGGGCCACACCCACTATTTTTGAATACAGATATGGAAAGCCCATGAAATGAACTACAATTTAGCCTGTTCGGAAGTGCAGATTTGGATTTTCTACTAGGGTAGACAGGCTCGTGAAATAAGGCTTCATTTTCATGTTTTTCGCAATTTACTCCACTGGTAATCACGCTAGACCAAATCTGAGGGCAGATTCGGATTCCTCGTCGCATTTTACGTCGGAATAGCTTTACCGCATGAAAATCCGACAAAAAATGGCCTTTTAGAGCCATTTTGAAGAAATTACAAATTTTTTAAGAGTAAAAAATTAAAATGCCGATTCTGACCAAACCACTTGAGATATCGACCTAAAAATTTATGGGCATGTTCCTGACCCCTAGGGCTACCTTCGTGCCAAATTTGGTCGAAATCGTCAATGGTCGCCCAGATCCGTGTAAATCTTATATGGAATGACCCATCTTTTCCTCTAAAACTGGTCAAGGAACAAGAATATGACCTCAGATTTGACCTCCGACGAATATCTTCAGAGTAAACCCCCCAAAACACCCTAAAAACCACCTAAAATACAGTCTTTTCTTAGGGTTTTTGGTAAATATATTGGGACGAAAATATTTGATGATCTTATCTTGTAGAAAATGACGCACTATATCGAATGAGACCACGCGCATATTTTTGATCTCAAACCGTTTTGGCGGTTCTATCTGCATCATTCATTTCACTAGCTTAAAATTGCCCTGCAAACAGTTTTTGTTTCTCCTAAAAAATAATGAAAATTGGGCTATCCCCTTCTTCCGCCTCATGGATCTCTTGAAACGCAGTGTGTCAACGAGTTCTGTGTACTTTTTCTCAACCCTGGTTCCCTGTTCTAGGCCCACTGGGGTGCACTCTTTGTTGGCATGCAGCTGAGGAAGCACAGCTGCCTCCCCAACTCTAACGACATCTCGTTGAACTCTGAGTCGAAGGAGTATGGTGTGGTGACAGCAAGGGACATTGCTGCGGGTGAATTCATCACCAACATGCTGCAGGTAAGGACTTTTGCTTGTCCTTGTCAAGGTGCAATGGTGAAACTCAAGTGTTTCTTTGTAATACGAAGCAATTCTACAATGCCATAATTTTCTTTGCACTGTGAAAATTTGTCATCACTTTATGATGACAAAAACGCGGATGACATTTTCGTCAATTTCGAATTATGACAATCTCATCACAAATTGATGACATTTTCATCAAAGCTCCTATACTTATTGCATGGGCGTGACAACAATGTCATCAATTTTTTTGATGACATTGTTGTAAGGAAAATTAGCCTTGAAATTGTCATCAAGTGATGACTCAAATTTTCACAGTGTGTAGTTACAACATAGATAAATTCCTACAAAGAATTGCTTTTTGTAATACAAAGAAAACGGAGGCTTCGCAGCTTACGAAGGAAATCGTTTGTAATTTAAAGGATATTGTTTGTAATTCATAGAAAAAATCCTTCGTAGGCTGCGAAGAAGTTCCTCAAAGGCTACAAAGGGTTTTTTTTCTTTGTATTACAAACCAAATCCTTACGAACTATTTTCTTCGTAAGCTGCGAAACCTCCGTTTTCTTTGTGTGTTACAACGAGCAGTTCTTTGCAGGGTTCTAAGTGTGAAAGCAAATGCTTCGTACACGCTTTTTTGAGTGTATGATTCTCTGTTCAGTGAATGTGTCTCGTTCCTTCTTAGGGCTGCCAGTGGGTCGATGACACTGCGACCCGCCGCGACTGTCTTCTGGTGCACTGGGGTTTCGTCTGCAACTGCGAACGCTGTAGTGACCCCACCGAGCTCGGGATGTACGTTGGATCACCCTGCTGTCCCGACTGTGCAGGTACGCGATACTTGGTGTGCAAAGTCCCGTTTTACTACCGTTCCTCGGCGAGGTATAATCCATGTCGAAGCGCCTTCGAGGGCTCCCGATGCGTGCCGATTGCGAATCAAACAGACGCGTATCGCCTAGTTTTCAGCAAACGATACATTTGACAAATGCTGTGTACACAACCGACAAGTCCGAATATGACGTCAATTTTATCCTAGGCTACCTGGTGTATTATTTCTTAAAGTTTCAGAAGTTGCGTAAAATTACCGACTCATAAAAACGGGATCAAATTTGGATTTTTCCAAATCAGGACTAAACAGGACTTTCAAGAGTCCTTTTTCACTCCCTTCATGAATTAGGACTTATATTTTAGTGCTGGTTACAAAGTATCTTTGTCAATTACCATCATAAATTCTCGAAAGTTTCTTCAGCAACAATTGTCCCAGGGGTCTCTTCCTGAAGTACCGAATAAATGTTAAAAGTGTTTACTTTTTTTTTACTTTTGTAAATTTACACGTAATCAACAGAATCTTGCGAATCACTTTATTGTGTATCAGACCCATCGTGTAACGCACAACCACATGCCTCAAGGTAAAAACGGTACCTAGCTTTGCCAGGAAGCCCATGGTAATGACATAAGCGATTTCCAGAGGGTTCCTGGGACAACCAGGTACCGTTTTTACCGTGCTCGGTGTCCTGACTCGCCGCTCACCTCGCATCGTCGCTCCTTGTCAGGACAAGAGAAGCTGTGCTACTTGGTGCCGGTCAACGACGCACGCAGCCTCTGGAGGTGTGAGGGTTGTGACATCGAGAAGACATCAGCTCAGGTCGAGTCCCTGACGAAGGAGGCGGAGGACCGTCTGCATGAGATTGGTGAGTCCAGAGGGTGCCACCGGGTGCACACTGCAAATCCAAGTGTGGGACAGCCTCGCACTATTTTGCGTGAGACACCTTTATGTCTTACGCCCGGGTCCTACACTTTTTACTTGTTTTCCCTGGAACTGGAAATCACCAATGTCTTAACTGAAGGCAGGGAGCCTTCATCTCTCTCACTCCTGGAACGTGACACCGTTGAAACGAATGTGAAAAGAATATCACGTGCCTTTGAGCATTGCGTCACATCCATCAAAATTTGAATGAGCCACTTACTCTATGGCTGATTCACATCCAAACGAATGCGACACAATGATTTAAGGAACGTGACAGTCTGTCACATTCGTCACAACGTGATCTCCAGTTCCTGGAATGAGAGTGTAGTAAGAACACGGCTGATTTCGAGGAAGTCCTTCGGAAAATCGAGAAGTGCACTCTAAATGTTCAGGTGGAATTTTGAACGTGGTGATGCATGATTTTGAACCTGCGTAACAATAAGCCAAAATTTCGTGCAAATTTGCATTTAATTTACACAATATTATGCAAATTTCACGTATGCACAAAATCGCACAAGTTACACGTACACCTAAGCATTTGGTGCGTGTTTCTGCCGTTCTTTACAAGCCAATGGAAGAAAATAACTCTCTCATTGTGTCTGCGTCGCCACGGGCCCTCACTCTTTCCACTTTCCCATTGCAGCATTTATGCACTGTGGCGAAAAGCTACGGAAAATTCTGTAAACAGCTTGTGGTAATTCTCCGTAGCCTCCTTGTCAATATTCTCCGTAGGCTCTTACAGTATTTTCCGTAGGACCGCACCCGTAGGACCTTAGAGCGATCTCCGTAGGACCGTACAGTCTTTCAGGTCCTACGGAGAATACTGTGCGGTCCAACGGAGAATACTGTACGGCCCTACGGAGATTGTAAGAGCCTAAGGAGAATGTTGATAAGAGGGCTACGGAGAATCCTGGCAAAAAAATTGACAGAATTTTCCGTACCTATTTGCCACAGTGTGCAGGTCACTGATCGTTAACACGTTGTGATTGCCAGGTCGTCGGCAGTACAATGCTTTTCTGGAGTTCATCGAGCAGCAAACGTACCCTCGCGGCCCGCTGCACCCAACCCACAGACTGGTGTTACGGGCGAGGGCCTACGTCAGGGACGAACTGTATGAAGTGAGGGCCGACGAGAAGGCAACGAACGGTGAGTAGGCGCACTGAGAAAACCTTACGAACTATTTTGAGTCTTACAAAGAAAAGCAGTTTGATAAAACAAAGTATTTTGAGCATACATATGTTTCCTAGATAATACCTCATGCTTTACGAACTATTTTTTCGTAAAGTAAATTAGTTTGTACTATGTATGCTCAAAATACTTCGTCAGGTTTTAAGCGTGCAACCAGCTCTTCCTTGGACAGCCATGGCGCCAGACGCTTTCGCTCGTCGCCGAGTAAAGAACAAAAGTAATCCAAAAGCCAGGAACCAGTAGGGACGTACCTACTTACTTGTGTTCACACTGTAAATGTCCATGGACAACAAATGTCTTACGGTGAAAGGCTGCCGAAAGGAAACTTAGACACTTTTGTAATGGAATGACCTGGTATGCTTCATCGCTAAAACTTAGCCAATCTGTTTGGCTTTGATTTCTCTTTCTTTTTTTTCCAGTGGAGCTGGACCGCTGGGAGGTGGTGGTGCGCGACCAGCTGCGCGCCGTGGACAGGCTGGTGCCCGGCCCCAGCGAGGTGCGCGTCATGTTGCTGTTGGAGCTACGCCGCCTCGCGCTTCGTCGTCTTCGGGTGGCCGAGCGAAAAACCATGATGCTCTGTCTTGCATGCACGTCTGCCATGCGGGTAGGTGCCACTGCTTTTTAACTACACTGATAAAAATTTTGTTGTAACTTAGCGACACATTTATCGCTTACTTTTTTAGCAACAAGATTTGTTGTGGAACGAATAGCTTGTTAAACCGTAGTCGTATTGGAACTAAGGGATAATTTCACAAAGACTAACTTGTAATAACGCACCAACAATAATACATCAACGACAAGTATTTAAAGTCCAAAAGAAATTTTGTAATGTCAGCGACAATATTCATAGAGTACTTTTGTCGCTTAATTTATTTTGCATGGTTTTTTAAAAAAATAGATGATTATTCATAATATGCTTTTACTGAGTAGATAATTGCAAAAGATGTTGTTTCCTCACAAATTGTATCGTAAAGAGTGATAACAAGAATTTTCTTCTTCAACGATAAAATGTCGCTTACTAGACTCAATGACATTTGTTTCGCTTTGGTTCATGATGAAATTCTATGTTTTGGAACGACTAAATTTTCACTCATCTGATTGTTTCTGTACAACCATTTTTTAACAGTGTAGAGTACACAAAGCCAACACGGCCCAGAAGAACTGAAGCGGAAGTCAGGTTTTTCGCGCACTCTGAAAACCTTAGAAACTATTTTAGGCCGTACACAGAGGCTTCATTGATATTCTAAGTGTAATAATGAACTATTTTAAAAAGCAACAATATTTTTATTGCAATAGTAGCGCCATGAAAAAGTTATGGTATTATAAGTGCAACAACTATTGCATTGCATTATCGCTTTATTAGCGTAGTTATCATTTTATCACATCAAAACGGTGATAATCTGGGCCCAGACCGGCCAAAACCATAAAGACTTATCACATTTTTAATGCGATAATTTTTTATTGCTGCCACAGATGCGATAATTTGAGGGAATCACATAAGCCTTTTTAGCGCAGCAAATTGTATGAAAATTATCACATTAGAAATACCAGTGTTGTTAAAGTATTTTGAGCACGCATAAGCTTTCAAAGAAAATATTTCGCAATTTACAAACTATTTCTTATACAACAATTTTTACAGTTTGTACATTAAGAATGATCAAAATACTTTGTACGGTTCTTAGAGTGCGCGGCACACAGGGTGTCATGGCATTGACGTTGAATCTGTGTCTAAACTCTTTTCTTTGAGGCGTTAATCACGTTGCCTTGACTACACCGTCATTCAGGGGTCTTGTGAAACTAATCGCGTTTTGGCGCTTGCTTTAATTTTCGTAGCGCCTTTAGGCGCCTCCTGACGAGGCCTCAAAGTTTCGACGCATTTTTATCCGCAAGCATTGAAATGGGAGGGGACGAATGCATGGGCTCTTGTGTGCGTCAAGAACACGTAGCGACTGTTCGCTCCACCTAAGGCGCAAGGCTACGTCTTAGTTCGACCAGTGAACCTTCGTAAGTTATATTATTTATGACTGACCTCCCCCCTTCTCTGTTGTCGCAGGAAACCATGTTGCAGATAAGCAAGTATAGAGAAGCAGTGCTCCAAGTCAACAAAGAGATTCTTTCTCACTGCTTCGGCCGAGACGAAGATGGAGCGAGGAGGAGCTTGATTCAAGATCCTTTCGGCGGCAGATGATTCGATGAAGACTTCCTCGGTCTTTTGGCATTGAACTGACAATACTACAATCCTGCCTGAATTTCGTGAAGTTCATCAAACTTCAAAGATAACTGTTAATTTTACTTTTTTACTCTGATCATGGGTTGACCGCTTTGTATCATTCATGTCTGCAAAGCAATTGCAAATAATATTTTTTGTATGGATGCTCTTCTATGTTTTTACACTCTCCCTAATCTTACATTATCTTTAATTTGAGGAGGCAGAAGCGTCTGCGTCGTAGAAACTCTGGAGTGTACTGAACATGGTTGACGCTAACTAGAAGCTGCAAGATAGACGCGACGCTATGCTTTTGCTTGGTAAGCACGTAGCAAATTCAAACGTAGCCAGCTACTCTTCTGACGTGAGTAAGCAAATTTTGCTCCTCGATGGGTAGTCGCTTTTAGCACTACAACTTTGCACTTTTGCGCCAGTAGGAACTAATGAGCCTCAAACTTTGAAGTTAGTCCATACAAAAGAAAGAAAGAACTTCAGCAACAGCAGACCAAATGCTTCTTTTCCAGGGCGACCTATCCCAGGACGAAGTTACCAACTTGACTGTCTAGTGGAATGGGACAAGAAATAACAACACCGTCTGCTTCTTTTGATTCGTGTTGTCTCGTTCTTTTTTTAATCAACAGAACACGATAGTCTAACAAGGCTCACAAACAAGCATAAAAACAAAACACACAAATCTTTCTAAAACATGGTTACATACAAATTAAGTCCCATGGTGTCAACACGCTAAGACGAAACGATCGCGCTCCACGCCGCCTGCACTCGGAGTCGCTGGAGTTTTTCACTAATTGTAGGTCTTGAGCACCAACCGCGGCCGGCTTGTCTTGAGGCGGCCCACGACCGCCCGGACGTGGCTGACGTCATGCTGCCAGTGCCGCCATGTCCCGCAGGGGATGGTCAGCGACGCCAGCCTCGGGACCGCGTCCTCGGGCCACCAGAACAGCGCGGCGGGCAGCAGCGGCTCGAACGTTGGGCCCAGCCGGAGGTCCGTCACCGCGACCAGCCTCTGCAGCAGCTGCACCGGCCCAGGTAAAAATCAAGGGGTTAACCACTCCGGTAATCGTGTGCGTACTTCGTCCGGTAATCTTTGGTAATCACACACCAAAACTGGCTAGTTTCGCCGTTCTTATCGGATTTTGGGGGGTTTTCTTACGGAATTAGGTTAAAATGCTTTTAGCTGGCCAAAATTATGGAGCTTTTTGAGTATTTTTGTAGCTTATCACTGGTAATCAGTTATCCTGTGTACACTCTCAAACGAATACACGATTATTAGTCTTTAAATCATTAGGGCGATTTAAGTGTACAGTCAAAACTTTGTAATACCAGGTATAGTAATCGTTGCAAGGGTTTACCGTACACTGGGATCACTCTCATTCCAGGAACGTGACATCACGTTAAAACGAATGTGACAAAATGTCACGTTCCTTTGAGCATTATTTCACATTCGTTTCAGTGGGATGTCACGTTCCTGCAATGAGAGTGATCGCTTCAACACCTTGGGGGCGATTTCGACAGGCACTAGAATGCAACTCTTTAACTTCATAACAATACTTGATCCAGGAAAAGGAGGAAAGGAATAACTCCGTTTCGGGCATTTTTTCAGGAGAAACAGGCAGGGAAAACTAAAACTAAACAAATAAATGTTTTAGACGACGGGTTCAATAAGCGCAAGTTAACTTTTGAGATAAACGAAGTGGAATTTGAAGACAAGTCAAGTGGAACTATGGTCAGCATAAATTGTCTATCAATCCCGGGTCATTATTGGACTTGGCTCTTTTTTTAAGGCAAGTTGTTCAAATGAAGGTGGGTTAAGCTGAACTGATTCTTTTACTAAAAGATTCATAAAGACACAAGTTGAGTTATCTACTATCGACAATATTTCCTACGGAGTCATGTCGACTTTGTCTGAGTTGTTTAATTTTCCACTAAATTAAGAGCGTAAAAGGGGTCAAGTTTAGTTATGACCGAGTTTTCACGGTATGAAACCGCACAAGCATACATTGATTCATATTCTAGCTTCCTCTGGCCTGCTGCTAACATCGGCGACCCGTGGCGCTACCTCACGGACATAATGCGAACTACTGATATGGCGGGAGATTTTGAACTTGGAACATATCAAACGAGGTTTGGGAAGTGAATTTTGATCCGTATGACCTAAATTTCAATGAAGATGCTTCCCATGATTAAATATTGTGGCCTAAAGTTGATCCCAGGCACATGATTGTTTACTTTTTGGTGTTCCCAAGAGCTCGGGTTGGGGTGGTCCGACTAAAGCTTTCTCGACATCTTTTATTTTAGACCTAATGTTTTTTCTTGGATTATTGATTGACTATTTTTGTGTTTTGTGATCACTGATCATGTTAACCTAATGTTTCATTAGAACTTCAATGTTACTTCTTCTTGAACAATTGAGTGAAAACTTATTTATGCAGCTCCTTTTTTCTTTGACTTTTTGTACGCAAAAGAAGTGAAAAATTAATGTTCCTCACCTTTGTTTAAAATTTGTATTAATTAAATCTTAATATATACTAACCAATCGTTCACTTGCTTGCCCTTATTATCACAGTTAAGAGAGAATTATGGCTGTATTGTCGATTTCTTTATAAACTGTGATAAGGGCGAGCAAGTGAATGATTGGTTACTATATATTAAGATTTAATTAATACAAATTTTAAACAAAGGTGAGGAACATTAATTTTTCACTTCTTTTGCGTCCAAAAAGTCAAAGAAAAAAGGAGCTGCATAAATAAGTTTTCACTCAATTGTTCAAGAAGAAGTAACATTGAAGTTCTAATGAAACATTAGGTTAACATGATCAGTGATCACAAAACACAAAAAAAATCAATCAATAATTCAAGAAAAAACATTAGGTCTAAAATGAAAGATGTCGAGAAAGCTTTAGTCGGACCACCCCAACCCGAGCTCTTGGGAACACCAAAAAGTAAACAATCATGTGCCTGGGATCAACTTTAGGCCACAATATTTAATCATGGGAAGCATCTTCATTGAAATTTAGGTCATACGGATCAAAATTCACTTCCTAAACCTTGTTTGATATGTACCAAGTTCAAAATCTCCCGCCATATCAGTAGTTCGCATTATGTCCGTGCCGCAGCGCTGTATGTTGTCCCCTGAATGTAGGCAATTTCAAGGAGCCGAGGAACCAAGAATTGATAGAAATCTTTACCAAATTTTTATAAAGTAATGTAAATCTTTATGAAATCTTGCATGCATATTTATTTAACTTAATTGGCTGAGCCAAACTTTATCTTTATCTTTATCTTATACGTTAACTGGGCGAAGCCCTCCATTCAGCCCACAGCCCAGAGCCCAGTGGAGATGCCGGGACTTGGCGGGACCCAGCCGGTTGTCAAGTTTACTTTCGATCTTTAGGCGTGTTAAAACCACGAAAGTAGCATAAAATGTATATGCATGGAAAGGGGAAAGTTCAAAGATTACATTGACGCTAATTTTGACGAAAATAAACTCTTTATGTGAAAATGAGAAGACGACGGGCGTGAAATGGCGAAGGCGAGAGAAGGCGAAAACGATCGTCGGGCCGTCGTTTACTCGCATCTTTGAGCATGTTAGAACGCCGAAAGTGGCACAAATTGTATATTTATGGAAAGAGGAAGGTTCAAAGATTACATTGACGCTAATTTTGACGAAAATAAACTCTTTATGTGAAAATGAGGAGACGACGGAGCGTGAAATGGCGAAGGCGAGAGAAGGCGAAAACGATCGTCGGGCCGTCGTTTACTCGCATCTTTGAGCATGTTAGAACGCCGAAAGTGGCACAAATTGTATATTTATGGAAAGAGGAAGGTTCAAAGATTACATTGACGCTAATTTCCGTGAAATTGAACTCTTTACGTGAAAATGAGAAGACGACGGGCGTGAAATGGCGAAGGCGAGAGCGCACTAGCTGAACTGTGAATAGCATGATCCTGCCAATAGTGAAGCGCAGAGTCGTTCGAGCAGAAAGCAGAATTCAAGAAAATAATAACATTCTTTCAGATAACTTGACACTTTAGCTGTACTTATGATTGTTCGTTCACCATAATTGTAACGTGGAATCGAAGGAAATGAGTACATGAAACCTGCATTCTATTGACACATCTCACCGTTCATAATCTTAATCTTAATAATGGAATAATATTTTACCAAATTTGATTGGTTATGCATTCAAAGTAGTTTCTGTAAAACGATTGAAATTTATTATCATACATATTATCAAACATCTAACACTGGCACATGTATCACAGTGTCTTGTGTTTTTCTTGTAGACTAATATTCATTTCACAAAAGTTTATGATGCCAAGCGATAGATCAAACGAAATTAAAGACCTTATTCTGCGGTCATTCAAAAATATAAAAAGAGACAAGGAGAATCTTCAGGGGAATATATGGCCCTTGCAACTTTCTCTTGTCGGTGGATGTAAATTGTGAGCGCTTAAAGGCGTTCTGTGGGCAAAGGCGTTCTGTTGGGGTAGGCGTTCTGCCTGCCTAGGGGGATGTTATGTGTTAGGTGGCCTTTGCCACTTGTTCTTAAAATTACACATAAACTGTTGGTGCGCAGTTGTGTGGGTTGCACAAAGGCAACTAGAAAAAGAACAAACAGCTACAATCTATCTGATAGAGAACTTGATACCTTTGCAACCAATGACGTTCCTTAGCTTTTATTTGTAATGTGAAACTGACGGAAACATTGTCATTACATCTGTATTTTATTGACTTATATGCAATCAAAGAAGTTCCTGTTAAGGTTATTGTAAAGTGAAAAAAGTGACTATTTAATATTTTTTATTTACTTGTGTCAAATGTCTTAATTTATGGATAAAAGTTCCTTTCTATTGCATAAACTCATACACTAAGAGCAGGGCCCCACTTCATTTTAGTTTCCGAGTTATGGATGTTTACGGTAACTTTCAGTCGTTTCTCTCAAATTCTCCTCACGACAAAGGATTAGCTACCCAGTCCCCAGATTCAAGCAATTGTATTCTTCTTTGCCTAGGGAAAAGATAGCGTTGCCCTTTTTTCAATATGTCACTTAGTTTTCTTCAAAATTCCAAGACCAAAATAAGACAAAATCTCTCAAATTTGAAGAAAGATAAAAATGGGCCTGGTGAAATAGCTTTTACAGCCTCTTCCAGACTGATATTTTCAAATTTGCCCAAGCCATCTTTTTCCAGTGCAATAATAGATATACTTGTCCGAATCTGAAGACTGGGTAGCAAATCATTTGTCATGAGGAGAATTTGGGAGAAACGACTAAAAGTTAACGTAAACATCCATAACTCAGAAACTAATAGGAGTTGGGGCTCCCAACTTCAGAAATAAATTCACCTAGTAGTGGTTGAATTTTGACCACAAAATGAACTTTCTGTGACAAATACTTTTAGGACATTCTAGTTTCACTTGACAGCCTCCTTAATCTAGAGATGTTAGGTGGCCTTTGCAGTACAAGGTCATAAATTAAATAAATGTACAGAGCTAAAATCCTAGCGGCACGGGGTATCGCCGCACGCTTCACGAGGCACGATGGGTTGCCTACCCACTGGGCTGATTCCTGTTCCAGCCGAGCCCACCTAGCGTCAAAGACATCAATGATCGTCACAGACCCACTTTCCGGAACACAATAGAATTTTTTTCAACCTGGATACGGTGCGACGTCATAGTAAAAATGACAGCACTGTTAAATTAATCCAGAAACATCCTCAATAAATTAAACAAATGCTTAAAAATTGTCACTTTCTTAGCGACATAGAGGAAAATTTGAAAAATAAATTACAAATATGTAAACGTAGGAGCCCTTAGGCTCAGCCTGAAGCGGTAGCTTTTCCTAGTTTACCTGGATCCAGTGCGCGTGGTTCTCGTAGTGGCAGTGCTCCAGCTCCAGGAGCCGCACTTGCCCCAGGAAGGTCGCGCGCACCAACAGTTTGGCGACGCCGCAGCCGCTCACGACGACTCGCACCTCCCGCGGGAGTCCCTGCAGGCTCAGCAGCCGGCCCAAGCTGTCCAGGCTGTCATCACTGTGCCTGCCGAAGTGAGATGAACACACTAAATGTGTGGCACTCGTACATAACAGCATATCTACCATGAGTTTCCCTATGAAGATACGTTGTTCTGTCAGATGGTCACTCAAATGTAACGCGCAATTTTGTCCGAGACGTCACACCACATGTCACATTTGTTTTGAGGTGAGTTCACCAGCTGATTTCGTGTCTGTCACAACCGAAAAGTAATGCACCGTGGTGCAGTGTGTCACATTTGTTCGACTTTAAAGTTTTACCGGTAAAACGGTCGTTTGACACGACCAAATAGGCAACGCAGCTTCCACGTGCAAACGAATGAGATGTCGCATTCGGTGGCTACGAGTGTACAGCGAGGATTGCAAGAAAGTACAACCAGAATTGTAAAATGTACAACCAGAATTGTGAAAAGTACAACCAGACATGGACTGGATATGCCTTCAGTTATATTTTCCAAGCATTGGAGTAACCTTGTTTTTAAGTTTTTTAATCTGGCGTAGTTTTACGGAAACAGATTCGTCTCCTGAGCAGAAACAAAAATGCCTTCACATGTCATGAGTATAGTTGCAAATGAAAAAAAAAAACCTCTGCTGAGAGCTTTGCTTCAGCTCAGGGCCAGGTCAAGCTTGGGTGTGCGCGGCCGCGGTCCTGGTGGCGTTGGCCGGGAGGCGCCGGGCTCTGTTTCGGCCTAGCTGTGGGCGCGGTTTTGTTTCACTTGCGATCTGATGCCCGTGATTGCGCACAGAACGCATCATGCAGGCTGAATCTTCCCTACCGTCACATTTTTGTGTTTCTTGGTATCAAAATTGCCGTCTAATCATGAGCTATTGGCCTGTCACACTCTGAAAACAATTGGTGTGGTTGCGTACAAAATGCAGCGCGAAGACTGAAGTCTTCCATATTGACGGGCGTAAAAATTGGGGACTCGCTGAGCGCCGTTTATGACGGCTCGAACAGAGGCCGCGGCGGCGCGGCCGAGGGGGAGGGGGAGGGGGTCGTCGGGCCTGTCGCGCCGCGCGGCGCTGTGCGCGGGAGGGGCCGGAGGGGTCACGCGGGCCGCGGTCCATAGGAGGGCATTTATGGTGCACGCTGCACCAAAAGGAACTGTCGACCTCCTCAGCTTTCTTGTTACCCTGGTAGGCCTGAAGTCGAAAAACGGCCACGGCGACGGCGACGGCTACGCTCGGGGCCCCCCTATATATATATATTCCGTTTTAGTATGTTTCTGAGCAGTGTACATTGCCTCAGCCCGGGCCTCCCCAGCCCCAGCCTCCACAGTTCCCAAACCTAGGCCTCTGACCAAACTGTACACACAGCCTCGCACATTTTGCGAGTAATAGCTCAAGCTTTGATACGCTTGACCTAAAAAGTGTCATAGGGTAAGGTGCCCAGTGATGGCCACTTTTAGCGCACTGATGCGCCTTTAACCCCTTTACTAAGCGTCCCGCACGTCGTACCGGTATGAAAATTTCCAGAAACATAAAAGAAGGATAGAGTAAAGGTTCCCAAGGGTAGAAACCAGCAAAATAAAATTTATTCTTTGAGAAAAAATTAACCAAACTATCAGTACAGTTTGCCCAGTAATGGCCACCTTTTGCCCAGTGATAGCCAGGGTCCCGGCCCAGTGATGGCCACACTAGGGTTTGAGCGCTTTGTTTTCGTTTTTGACAGTTATTGAACCCAATTTCAGCTGGTTTGCACCTTGTTCGAAGCTACAGGGGTCACTGTGTCTTAGGAAACGGAAATCAGTGTAACCCTGGGAACCTACCCTGGGAATCTACTTGTGTTTATACCATAAATATAGAATTAAAGTTAAAATTTCAAGTTTGCGATAGAAAAGATTTGGTTTCCGAAATGATTTGATCTCGAGAAGGTGAACATGTAATGTTAAGCATGTTATAGGTACAGACTTCAAATTCAAAGGTTTATCGGTGTCCAAAGTGGAAAAAGGTACAAAATGCATCTTTTTTCCTGTTTCAAGGCCGATAACTTCTGAAAATCAAGCCTCAACCTAAAACATGCTTAACATTTTTTGTTCATCTTGTTGAGGTGAACGCGTTTCTGAAATCGAATTGTTTCTATCGCATATTTAAAATTTTGACTTAAAAACAAAACTTATTGTACGTACGGAGTCTAAACAGTTTCCATGGTACCGTGAATTCAGGTCCCCATGAGGCAGGCGGAGTGAGATGCCAGGTCAAAACCAAGATATTTCAGGCAACAAACTAGACGGACATGCACGGCGTCGCATCGCTCGTTGCAAAGTCTGCCTCAAAACACTAGTGTGGCCATCACTGGCTGTGCACTGTTTTGCCTGCCCAGTACTGGCCACCACCCCTTTTCCCTCAAATGTAACGAAATTTCAAAAAAACTTGCATGTTATGGTTAACTTGCCCTCTTTCGATTCTTCTGACGTGATGTTTCTCTTGCACGGACCTCGTATTCACAAATGACAAGCGACGCCGTTAAAGCCTGCGCTAATCTGGGCCGGTAAGGAAAGCAACGTTCGACCGGCCGAGAACGCAGTGTTCAGCGCGCTGCGCCCGTGCGGCCGTCCCTAACACTAAAAAGCTGAAATTTTTTCGGCGTTGTGTTGTCAATATGTGACAGTACAAAACCTCAAAAGCTCAATTCTTTAACTAATCTCGCCTGGTGGGAAAGTCAGCGCAAAGTGTGAAGTGGCCATCACTGGTACCCTGGCCATCACTGGGCACGTTACCCTAACTTATCCAAACCTAATAACATGTGCTGACAATTTTCGTACTCTACAAATCAAAGAGTGTGCATGGTACGCTCTAACTGGAGCATGCCTGCAAGCACGCTCTAACTAGCGCATGCCAGCCAAGCATGCACTAACTAGTGCATACATGCCATGTACACGCTAACTGAAGCATACATTTACTGCATAAGGGATAGGGAGTTTTCTGCACCAGGAAGCGTGTACATGGCGTGTATGCACTAGTTGGTGCATGCTTGGCAGGCATGCGCTGGCTAGAGCGTGCTTGCAGGCATGCTCCAGTTAGAGCATACTATGTACACTCTTTGATTTGTAGAGTATCCCATGCTGATACGGATCCATTTCTGTACAGCAATCTTAATTTGGACATCTGTGAAAATGCTCTCGATCCTCTTAATGCTAGTGCAGAAAATGTACGCTTTTTCCTGACGTACCCACCCTCGTGCAAACACGGTAAGAACGTCCAAGTTCTCACACTGACGAAGAAATCCCCAGTCCCTGGTAGTGGGGATGTGCAGCTCCCTGAGGTTTCTTGGCAGATCACTCAACACTGGACTAATGTCTCCGTCGGCACGCAGACTCTGAAAAGACCGAAAGCCGCAACATAGACCTCAACAACACTGACAGATCCGGGGTAGAGGGGAAGAGTAAGAAAGTCGATTGTCGCTTGAAGTGACAATCGGCTACCCTTTTAAGTGTAAGGGTTTAGAAGCAATAAGGGAAAAACATTCTCCATCGTTTCATGATGGCAGGCGGACAAGAACTCTCATTCCAGGAATGTGCCATCTCGTTGAAACGAATGTGACAAAATGACACGTTCCTCTGAGCATTGTGTCACATTCGTTTGAATGTGGACCCGCCACAAATTATCTTGTTCACATACAAACGAATGTGAAACAATGCTTAAAGGAACGTGAGATTTTATCACATTCGTTTCAACGTGTTGTCACGTTCCTGGAACGAGAGTGAGAGGATTCCAACATATCTGGAACTCAGAGAAACAGACTGACCTGCAGAGTGTTCCGCGCAAGGAGGCTGCGCGTGGAGCTCAAGCCCGCACCGCAGCAGAAGCAGTTGACAATGTGCAGCTCTCGCAATGCTGTCAGCCCCGTCAGCTCGCCACTGACGCAGTCGTCATGGGAGTGGTTGTTCCAGTACTGGGACCTTTGGGAGCGCCCGCAGTTGAACGAGAACTTCAGCTTGGCCACTGGCAGCATGCTAACCCAGCCCAAGATCTGCCTCATTTTTTTCTGGAAATAAAGGACCAGGGATGTAGGTTGTGCATACTCACGCTCCATTGATGCGGGAGGCGCAAAGAGGGAGTAACTTGACGCACTCCCTTGACTGACCAAAAAAGGAAACTGCATCCTCATCCCATGTAGACGAATTATTAGTAACCATTGGCTGCGTGAAAAATATTTCGTTTTCAGACTCTTATTAAGTTGTTAAGTAAAAAGCTATTTAACCAACCGCACTACGGACGAAATCATCGGTGTGCGAAATTGACCGAATCAAAAAAAGATTTCGGAAACCGATTTCTCTCATCGAGACGAACAAACATGTATTCATGTTGAGTGGGTTTGGATCGAAATAAAGGAGCTATGGCCAGGCTTCCCAATTTCAATTTCCCTGTCCTGTCTGTGTCCCGATTTCAAGGCCAAAAACTCAGCATGTACGCGCAGTACTTTTCTGCACAGTGGCAACCTGGTGGTGAGCGAAGCGAGCTTCAACCCACGCCATTGTAAATTTATTGCAGAGTGTTTCCATATCAAAGGAGCACACCTCGAAAAGGGCTTTTATTTATTTGGGATCAAATTTTGCTAAAATGAACTTCAAGACAATTATTTTCGAGCTAAGTGGAAGTGAATGGTCCACCTAGAACCCGCTGCAAAACTATCCATTTTGAAAGTGTGCTTCTTTGATACGGAATTAATGTGCGAGTCCGGCCACTTTGGTACTTCCCTGACCATTTTCGAATGTCCCCTGACTTTGCCAAGGCTTCTACACTACAAACCTAACTGTCTACTAAGTACACACTTACAAATGCATGCTTGCAAGTACACACTTACAAACGCATGCTTGACGCCATATAACTCCATGCATCAAGCATGCGTTTGTAAGTGTGTACTTGCAAGTATGCGTTTGTAAGTGTGTACTTGCAAGCATGCATTTGTAAGTGTGTACTTGGCCAAGCATGCGGTTGTAAGTGTGTGCTTGCAAGCATGCAATTGTAAGTGTGTACTTAGTAGACAGTTAGGTTTGCAGTGTACTCTCCTTTCGTTTTCGCCTGACTTCCTTGACCGATGCACTCAACAATTTGCAGAGAATACGTTGATTTACTTGATTTGTTTGCTTGAAAACGCTTTTACAAGCATATCACCCCATTAGTGTTCGCCTGTTTTCCAACTACTTTTACTGCTCTTTCCCATGGAAGGAGCAAAATTTATGGTAAAAATCATAGCAACCGACCGAAACGACGCGTTGAGCCGCGTAGGTGTGGTTTGCTTCGTCGGAGACGTAGATGTCTAGCTTGAGCTCTACAAGACACAACCCCTGCAGCATCCTGCGCAATGCAGCCATGGCTCCGTGGTTCAGGGAAGACCCTCGTTTTGACAGCAACTGCACAGACAGCTCCAGCGATTGAACCTGCATAAAATGCACAGAAGGAAAACACGGTCAATGCGTTGTAAGGACTTAAAACAAAAGCATCAATTTCCCGAAAACATGAAGGGCACTCATCTAAGTCACGGTTTCAATAAGATTAGGCAAATAACTTCTTTGTTTGAACGAAAAGATTTCAAGCTCACTAGTGAAACTGGAATGTAGTTGTACGCTTCGTTCAAGCACACAACTACGCTTGAGACTTCCGCATGTATGGATGGGTGGGACGCGCGGAACGGAAAACTACGCTTAGTCTAGCGTACACTGGTAAAGCTAATGCGTAGTGTTACGCCTTTCATGAAGCGTACTTTCTGTACGCCCTTCTTGAAGCATACAAGAGCCCATGCGTTCCTTCCCTACTATCTAAATGCATGGGGAGAATTATCTTGAAGCGTAGTTGTACGCTTAAATGAAGCGTAGAACAACGCTTTAATTTCACCAGTGTAGCCACACCTTCTTCGCTTCAAGAAAAGCGTCGAAGTACGCTCCGAATCTACCAGAGAGGGCGCAGCCTGTTATGGCCTTAAACCAGTTCTACCGTCACATCACTATTCGTGCATATTTACTCTCACTTATCTAAAAGAACATAGTAAAACGGCTCACGAATGTGTAACGTCAATACGTCAATACGTTATGAGACAAAAACTCAGTAGTAGTCTCAGAGTGCACAACCTCAGAGAATTACTGACTTTTTTTCTCATTAATTACGTAATCGTATAAGCAACAATTATACTTAGTATTTTTAAGTAAGTATGAATAATTTCCTTTGTGAAATTATGAACGAAAACAAATTGCCAGTACATTATTTAATATTTGCTAAGTAGTTCTTCAAAAATGATAAAGTACATGTGGTTGCACAAATTCCCAGCACAAGTACTGACAAAATGGGCAAAAAGTCCGTAACGTGCTGAGAGTGCATCTAGGCTCGTGCTTTACCTGGCAGGTTCCCCGGGCCAAAGCTCGGGCGGCAGGCAACCCGGCCAGGGAGCCCGGCTGCACTATGAGGGACAGCCTTCGCAGCGCCGGGACGAGGCGGACTATCGCGCAGAGCAGCCCGGTGTTGATCCAGTCCGGCGGCATGCCCTGGTACGCGTAGTTCCGGGCGATGAGGTGGCGGCCCTGCCACACAGGCCTCGCCAAGATGACCCGGCTCCAGCGCCGGCACACCAGGCGCAGCGCTAGCAGGTCACTCGCCGGAACGCGGGACAGGATGCAGTGCAGCATTTCATCCTGGAGCGTGTCCATGACGCGTGTCCACTGCTGGAACAAGCCTGGAGAGAGAGATTTGATTTATTTCGTTTAAGGTACAGTACAACGGGACTAGGAGTCCCACGAGCGCATGTACCGCTCTCAGATATTGTTACAGGGGGAAAAAATAAATCAAAATATGAGAGAGAGAGAGAGAGAGAGAGAGAGAGAGAGAGAGAGAGAGAGAGAGAGAGAGAGAGGCAGAGCGCAAACTCAATTACTAAACAGTTTTTGTGGATAAGCTATGCACAAAACTGTAATTACCTGCGTTTCAAAATCCACGAATTTGAGCGCAACTGCGCACAAACTGTGCGTTGTTGCGCATGACATTCGTGCATTTTAAGGGGGGACCCTGGTGAAACTTTGAAGTAGGCTTCAAAATAATCCCAGAAAGTTGGAACTTTGCTTAATTATCAGGTTCATTATCGTGAGTTCCCAAAACAAAATTCAATCCAAAATGTTGAACGGTCTCTGAGAAAAGTGGCTTTTTAGTGTTTTTTAGAGCGTTGGGGAAAAATCTTCCTGCGTCTTTCATTGGGACGGAAAGTCTTGAAAATTTTTTTGGGTTATCCTAAAGATGTATTGAAGAGATTTTAGTGACAGAATTTTCAAATTCAACTTCTGTCCTGAGATATGAGTTTTCAAATTGTAACATTGAAAAAAAGTGACTTGTTTTTCCCTTTTTTTTCAAACTTTTAGGTGTTTGTAAAAAAAAGTAGGGCTAATATCAAGATTCCATCACTAAAATTTGTCGACAAGTCATCAATGAATAGAGTCCATGCAATACGACTCATGTAGGTGTCAACCAGGAACGCAGGAAGTCTTTCTACGACAAAATTTTTTGTCGACTGAGCAAAGCTGTGAAGTTGAGCGTAGAAGCCAACGACAACTGATCTCAATGTTATTTCTGTCCAAATGATAAAGAAACTATCCACTTAGCTTAAAAGTGTTCAACCTGTTGAATCTGAAAGGGAGGCCACTCGTGAAAGAATAGCCAAGATTGCAAATTTCCACAGTATGGATAACAATGTGCATGATATCTAAGAAGAAATTACTACCAACGTATTATTGTTGGTGTATGGAAAAGTACCTGGTTACTGTCACACGGTAAGAACGGCTCCTGGTTTTCCCAGGACGCCTATGGTAGGAACATAGGCAATTTCCAGGCAGTTCCTGGGAAAACCAGGAACCGTTTTTACCGTGCAGTCAGAGGACGGAATGTAAACAGTACAGCTGACACAGTAAAGTACCTCAGGGCGTTGTGTTTAGGCTTTAGTCTTGCCAGTGTAACGAGTGAGGATCAACAGCGCCTGAGCAACAGACACCGGAGTCGGGCGGGTATTCTGCCGGCCGCGCGCCCATGAAACATCGTGTGGGGTGGGATAGGTAGCGCCTAGCAGTGCAACGCGCTGCCACTCCACGGACACCCGACAGGTGTCGTCGGAGATAGCCGAAGACTGGCCTGGGCATTTTGACCCATCGGGTGCCGCCCGCTGTCTGTGGGTTGACGTCTGCTACGCCACAGACGCAGCATCAGCGCTACGCCACGCCACTGCCTGCCGGGAGCCGGGCGATTTTACCCATCGGGTTCGGCTGGGCTGAGACGGGCAGCCGACTCGGGCCGGGCGGGCATGGGCGCGCGTTCGGCAGAATACCCGCCCGACTCCGGTCTCTGCTGAGCAAGTGCACTGATGTTACTTACTTCCTCAGGCTCGCGTTTGGGACTCACAAAGCGACAGCGACTCAACACGGCACCCTCGGACAGCGCGTCTTGCCCCTGCCAGCCTGGAGACGACCGGCCGACTACCTCCCCCTCCCCGGCAGCGGTGGCGGCGGCGAGCGCTTCCCCCCGGCTTCCCCCTCCACTTCACGGTCGAGCCGCTGCACCACCGCAACCGCCACGCACTGCTCCGTCCGTGCTATTCTCCTCCTCCCGTGAGTTTAGTAGGCCTTTCTGCCTGTTTCTTATGGGCAGCCCTACTCCTCTCTCGGCGGTTCCACTATACGCAGCCCGGTCAGCCGGTACGTCCCTGCCGCAGTGGTCAGCAATCACGTGAACACCGCCAGGGTCGGACGCTGCACAGCGCAAGTTCAGCAGTGATCGCATCCGCCTCCTCACCGTGAACTCTCAGAGTGCCGCTGCACCTCGCCCGCTTCCTTCACGCTGCCAAGGAGAAGAACACCTTTGAAACGTAAGTTGGGGGAACAGGGGGAGAGGTATCGATTCCGTGCTCCTAGAGCAGGGATGATACCCAAAATCACACAAGGCCAGGGTCGTTACGACAGCAGTTTGCTTTCAAGTTCAAAACTTCATCCTGTAGCGGCTAGGACCAAGGAAGGGAAAAGCTTCTCCTTGGTGCACCAAACGTACCAGAGACTTGTTCACAAGTGTTTCAAATCTATATTCCGCTTCGTTGAGTTTTGTTAAGGTAGGTCCCAAAAACATCCAAACTCAGGGAAGCGCCTTTTGGGCTTCGACCATGTGGGAATAAAAACTCCGCTACGCCTCGGTTCTTGCTGCTACAGGTTTTGAAGATTGAGTCATAAGTGCAAACTGTTGTGGTAACGGCCCTGGTGTTGTTTCGTTTCGGGTATCACCACTGGTCTGCGCACGAAATTCAAGAAGAGCAAAACCGGAAATGGCATCGACAAGCGCATAATCTCCCATACCGGTGCATTTTCTTCAGAGTTTCCCGGTGCGTTCAAGTGCATTGACGATTCTTAACGTCAAGAAGGCAAGAAGTATCACGAAACCGGAAACGGTACGAGCAGCTTCACCTTTGCTTACTCTCTTTCCGCCCGGCCTCCGTACTGTGACGAATCCCTTGACCGGAAGTCGAAGAACGGAAGTGAGACCCGAAATAGCTTAGCGCATGCTCGGTTGGGCTGTCTGCGCATGCGCTGCGCTGTTGTGGTTCTTGGGCTCTCCTATTTCCGGTCCAGGAATTCGTCACAAAAGCCTATGCGGACTCTTCCAAGCAATTTTTCAGAAAAGAATCACATCCATCCAACCAGTCCCCATTTCTGGTTTTGCCTTTCTTCAAGTGACGTAGGTCAGTCGGCGAAGTCTCAATAGGGTTTTCTATAGAATCTTGCATCGGAAGAAGAACAAAAGTAAGCCCTCCAAACAGCTTCTACGCATGTGCAGACGTTCCCCCAACACCCGGTGCGCATGCCTGGAGGTTCCCTTCGTTACCCTTTGTCCTTCGTCTTCCGTTTCAAGATTAATTGAAGTACCCTACTAGCATTCATATCAAACTGTGAAGGCAGGCAATTTAGTGTAGGCCAGGAGTACCCTCTAAAGGAATCTACAAGGTCCATTCACCTTTTATTGAGATCTTTTTGTCATCAACTCATTTTAGCATCGGAAAGTTTATTGATTGACCTGAACATCGAAGACCGCACTTTGCTTCGTCATATTCGTAAGGTGCTTGTAGTGCGATGCATTCCAGTGATGCACTACATCCCATAATGGTTGCCAAGTACTCACACAGCTCTCAATATGTACTCAGCTCACTCTTTTAGTACGAAACTGTGTACTCCGTACACTGCGAAGCTGTTTTGTCAACGATAGTCTGAGAAAGCGAAGACTTTCAGGTAGTGTACGCCGACTCAGGTTGATACCGGAAGTACAAAGAGCAAAAGCTTAAGTCACAGCCCACCCGGGGTGGTGTACCTTACCGACCTACCCGAGCACATGATATCTCGGTCCGGGAGGCTTTAGGCCGAGCGAAACGAGTACGAAGATGCATTTTGTAACTCCACGGACTGACAAATAGTCAAACCGGGTTTTCATCCACCCCTTGTGGCCTGATCTCGCCACTTCCGGTCCGTGTGCTTGGTTGAATAGGCTCTTCCGCTGCTTGGAAAAGTGCTTGCACGCACTGGTAAATCTAAAGCGTAACTCTGTGCTTGGGTCTAGCATAAAGTTACGCTGGAAGACGTTACGCTTGACGTTGACGTGAGGCACAGAATAGTAATTCCCCCATGCATTAAGATAGAGGGAATTTTGGTGGATAGGCCATTTACGCTCGAAAACGGAGTGAATATTACGTTTTAGTTTTGCAATTGCGCGTTCGAGGCATTCAGTTGGATTTAGGACTCCGTACACTGAGAAAACCTTACAAACTATTTTGGGCCTTACAAAGAAAATTAGTTTGTATAACAAAGTATTTTGAGCATACGTAAGCTTACAAAGAAAATACTTCGTAATTTACGAACTATTTCTTCGTATAACAAAGTATTTTAGTTTGTTATATGTATGCTCAAAATACTTCGTAAGGTTTTAAGAGTGTAAATTGCATTTGGATTTTGCATGCTGTCAGACTTTCCCACCTTCAAAATTTATGTTGGAGGGACCATTGTGAATACTTTTCATGTAAGAACTTCACCGTGCTTACTTTCAATTCAAAATCATGCTTCGTTGTACAAACTTTTGCGTGTGCCCTTTCAAAGGCATTACTTTCCCAAACTCTTAGTGGGCGTGGAATACTGTTATGCAATGGAGGGCAGACACTTTCAGCCTCCTAGTGACATTGTTGTCAGTTGATTCTCTCTCTTGTAGACGTCAAATGTACTATTTTCTCCTTACCTTTACACGAATTTGTTCGGAGAATTTAGTCCTTTTAACTTTACTTTTCTTATGGTCTGTAGCTTTTGATAACTTGAGCTAATGACTATTTATTCTAACGGTCAAAGATGCGATAAGCGAAAGAGAAACAAGTACACATTTGACGCCTGCTCAAAATACTTCAGAATCAATAGTGGATAAGTCTGTCTGAGGATGAAAGTTTTCATGCCATCATCCATCAGTCTGGGGTTCAATGTGTTCACCCTTTTGCTTTCTCTCAGCAGGATGTCGAAGCAAGATGGCGGATTGGAAGGCTATGAGGAGAAGAGGCCATCATCGCCTCCACCGAGTTACGAGGATACGCAGCTGCACCAGTTCCCACCTCAGCACGGGGATGGGGTCCCCAAGCCGCAGCACCCTGGCGGTCAGTCTCCCGCCCCGATCACCAACATCACAGTGAACGGTAAGGTTTAGTCCCAAACAAGTAACTATACTAGAGAAACAAAGGCATTAAAACTTTGCCTGTACTTTGTGCATGTTTTTTTCAATTTTTTTTCGATTTTTCTGTTTGGACCTCGATAAAAAAGACTTGCATGAATGCTAGAGACAAACGGCGGTGACCATGTTGAGGATCAAACTTCTTACAAAACTTTCCAAAAAAAAAAGTTTTGTTTTTGCATTTCTAAAAGGCATTTACTTGAAGCACGTAAAAAGGTCTGAAAAATTATGCCTGGTGTCACGGCGCGCACGATTTCAGCCAAAGTTTTCAACTTTTTTTCAATCGGTGAAGTGCTGTACAAAAATGCACAAATTTGCCCACAAAATGAAGCACGGGGGTTATTATCGGACGAAAAACGCTGGTAGAAAAAGGCTATTTTTCACAAATTTTCCATTGAATGAAGTTTTCTTGTCCATATCTAAATATCTAGCAGTACTTTTCGTCCGCTATTAACCCCCGTGGTTCATTTTGGGGCAATATTATGCTGTTTTTTATGCACTTCGCCGATTGAAAAAAAATTGAAACCTTTGGCTGATTGAAATCGTGCGCGCAGTGACACCATGTATGGTTTTGCAGACCTTTTTTTACGTCCCTCATGCCTCCCATAATACTTCAAATGTTTTTTTTTAAATAGTTGCTAAAAGTTTGATCTTAACATGGTTACCGCCGTTTGTCTCTAACAAACTTGCAATTCTTTTTTCATTGAGGTGCAAACAGAAAAATCGAAAAAAAATTGAAAGAGCGTGCACGAAGTGCTACTGCCCCCTAAAGGGGGCTGATACATGTTAAAAGCACTTTGTAAAAACAATTCTTTTATATGTAGACGGATCAAGATTTTACAATTTCTGTGTTAAAACCCTTTTAGGTAATTGAGTAAGCCTAATTTTGGCTTATAGTAAAGTGACTTTGGACAGTTTTTGGAAATTTAGTCGAAACGCTTAAAATTTTGGTTCTCGTGAGATTTGTTTGCATACTTCAGGGAGACTCATCCCTAATCATGTCATGGAATTGACTAGAATGGGCTCTTTATCTGCAATAGTTTTTTTTAAAAAAATAACAATTTTTTTAACAAAGTTTTGAACAAACTATGCATCACTGCGAGTTCATGATTTCTTGCGAACAAAGACCGAAAGTTATGCAACGAATGTGAAATTTTCCATGGTCGTTTGATCAAGACACCACTGGCGAAACAGAGGCATTGAAATTACGACCTTGAAGGTGGTAAATGATATACGCCCCTGGAGCGGCGTGAGTCGTTTGCGGCTTTTGGAAGGTCGTTAACATTTTGCTTTCAAGTTCTATTCCACTCACGCCCTTCCCAATGGCATAGAACGATTTACGCCTTTCAAGGTCGTAAAAGAGTGTTTATGCCCTTGAGGACAAAACTTTTATGCCTTTGTGTTACCAGTGACTTAAAGCTTTGAAAACGCATCCAGTTGAGAGTAGTATTTTGAGAGTTTGGTGCGGTCAAGGTTTCTCGCCCGATTTTGAAGACATTCTCTGGCTTCTGGGTGTTGCGTTTTATGCTAATGTGATTTCCATTGTTGTTCGCAGCCCCTGCACCAGCAGCGCAGCCCATCATCGTGAACAACGTTGTCGGTGTCGGTGGCGCCGTCGTGTGCGCCAAGTGCGGATCCAACATCGTCATCGTGAAGGAGGAGTCCACGTGCATGACCCACTGCTGCTGCCTGCTGTGTTGCTTCACGTAAGGCTCCAACATCGTAATGCCCATCCATGAAGTACTACACACAGAACTGTTCTGTAGATTTTCGTGCACAGTAGCTTTCAGAGCATTCGTTTTTGGAGTGCACGCATTCGTGCTTATCTTCGAATCACTTGTACTGGGGCGTGACATTTGGACTTTCGCGAAGCGCACAGTTTGGGTACGCCCTTTGTCCATCCCTTTCGTCCTTTGTTAATGCATGGGGGCGAGCGTGGTTGTACGCCTGAAGGTCATAGCCGAGCGTAGTTTAAGGGGGCTTGTGCATGTTAAAAGCATTTGGTAAAAGCATTGATTTTTGTGTAGAAGGATCACGATTTTATGATTTCTGTATTAAAACCCTTTTAGATAATGGAGTAAGCTTTATTTTGACCTAAAGTTAGCAACTTTAGACACTTTTTGGAAATTAAGTAGAAACGTTCAAAATTTTGGTCATTGGAAGATTTTGTGTACATACTTGATCAGATTTGTGGGGGAAAGTCAGGGAGATGCTCCTCGTAGTGTCATAGAATGGGCTGAAATGGGCATTTTATCTGCAATATTTTTTTTTTTAAATCTTTTTATTTCTCTTGGAATCTATCGGAGATTAAAAGCCTAGTCAATTCTATGACACTACTAGGGATGAAACTCCCTGATTTTCCCCCTTAGATGTGGCAAGTATGCGAACAAAATTCTACGAGAGCCAAAATGGTTAACGTTTCCACTTTATTTTCAAATATTGTCCAAAGTCACTTTATTTTATGTCAAAATGAAGCTTACTCGATTATCTGACAGGGTTTTCGTATTAAAATCTTAAAATCTTGATCTTTATATATCAAAAAAGTGGTCTTAAAAAGTGCTTCTAACACGTATGGGCCCCTTAAATGAAGCGATCTACTCTCTAGTTTTCCCATGATATTTGCATTATGCTAAACCTTGAGCGTTGTTGCTCAAGAATTCTTACATTTCATACCAGGAATGTGCATAAAAACTACACAGGAATTTAGTGTGTAGTGTAGGAAAGAATGCAGGTCGAATCTGGCACCAACGCTCTGACACTGTTTTCGACCGGCCTAATCGGTTTGAATTTCACCTCCAGGATTCCCTAAGGGATTTTCCCTCTTTCCAAGGCCTTCCTTACAATGTCTCAATTTTTCTGTGACCAGGATTCCGTTTTGCTTCTTCCTGCCTTACTGCTGCAACTGGTGCAAGAAGCCGGTGCAGCGATGCGGCGGCTGCAGGTCCAAGATTGCTTGACGCGGCCCCAGCAGCGTCACCATTACGATGAGCCACGAATTAAACTTACATAATCGTATGCAAGGCTCTGACTTGGATTTTTACACGGAGTTTTATGTTACGGAATGTCTTTTCTGTCGGCTGCTTATCATGCCTGCCCAGCGGCAGAGCTTTTTGTTCTTGTTTTATGTTGCTTTTAAGTGCCAGCCTTTTGAATACTGCGCCTGTGTTTGAAATATCAATCTGTTTGTATTTTTTAAACTGAATAAATTTTTTTGTCCATTTCTGGAATTTGGTGAAATATCTCATGATGCTCTCATGTGAACCTCAGCATCTTGAACAAAGCAACAAAAGATTTGCAGGGCTGTCATCTCAGCCTTCGATTGAGAGAAATTTAGTAGGTTAGGAAAGTGATTTATCTTACATATCTCAAATGAAATGCCTGGTTTTCATGTTCATAGCCGGGTGAACAGCCACACTGATTCATACTAAATGACCTTTATGTCGCTTGAAATTAAACTTATTGAAACTGAAGAAGCTAGAATTTTTTTTTTACTCTTGAAGGTTTGCAATGCCTCACCTAATCACGCTTCCTGCAACAATTCGTAGCATTGAAATTTTATGAGATCCGCCGCGAGTGGCCGAAGATCTGAAAGTCGAAGTAGAAAGGTCCGTCGGGAGCCCCGAACTTTGGTCAAGATAGGTTGGTTGGGCCGTTTGGTCAACGTGAGTCGCGAACAGCTCGTCACATTGGAAACTTTGTAAGTTTGACCCATCCTAAGAAAACCATCCCTATTCGCGCGGGCGCTAGAGACCATCCTTACTGGCCAGAGCGCTAGCAAACTATCCTAACTCGCTCAGGTGCTCATGGGTGGCGTATAAACCTGATAGGTTATGTTTAGGTGTTAGGATAGTTTTCTAGTGCCTCGGCGAGCTCTGTTATCCAAGTTGCGATACTTTCAAAACAAAGACGTGTGATGATAGCTAAAATGCGATTGCTTCAGATGCAATGACTTGTATCACAAAATTCTGCAATAGCCATGATCATCGCCCCTTTCTACAATAAAAAGCAGAATTATTGAAAAAAAAAACTGATAGTGACAACACAAAATCTGCAATTATTACAGTTTGTTTGCAATTATCATCGCGAAAAAAGTGCGATGAAATTTGTGTTGCGTTGAAAGTGCAGTATGTATCGCAAGTAGAATAACAGTGGTCTCCTGGCGCCCGAGCGAATCACAGTGGGCGAGATGACCGGTGGAGCCGGCCGAAATCCTAGACGCGTTTTGAGCTCCAGAGTCACCAAATGGGACTCGAACCGTTCGTCTGGCCCCACCCTACCACCGGATTGCGCTCTAAACCAGGAACACTGCAAATCGGGTGAAAAGACTTTGCGCCAAGTTTCGGCAAAGTCTCGCCAAGTTGTGATCCCGTAAGTCTCGCCAAAGTTTGGTCAGACAAAAAGAAGTCTCGTCACAAAATGGTCAGACACAAATGTCTCACCACTAAATAGCGAGACTTTTGTGTCTGGCCACGGCCATGCTGGAACCGTCCGGCGCATTACGGCCTCTAGGCAGCGGTCGGACACAAAAGCCTCCACTCTCATTCCAGGAACGTGACATCACGTTGAAACGAACGAGACAAAATGTCACGTTCGCTGGAGCATTGTGTCACGTACCGTTGAATGTGAACAATTGTTTTGGCCAATTCACACCCAAACGAATGTGACACAATGCTCAAACGAACATGACATTTTGTCACGTTCGTTTCAACGTGATGTCACGTTCCTGGAATGAGAGTGTCGCCATTTTGTGGTGAGACATCTGTTTGTGACCATTTTGAGGTAAGACTTTTTGGTCTGACCAAATTTTGGCGAGACTTTCAGGTCTAATCACAACTTGGCGAGACTTTGTGTCTCGCCTCTGGAGTGCACGGCAAAACCAACGTCCGGGTTTCCCAGGCGCACCCTGGAAAAAAAGGGCATTTTTCCAGGGTGCGCCTGGGAAACCCGGACGTTGGTTTTGCCGTGTGGCGAGAAGTCTGACCTTTGGATTTGTATTGAATTCATTTGAGGGGTCTCGGTTCGGTTCCAGCCCTGTTAAGCGACTGTGGACTGCAAAACACGTCAAGCGGTATCGCCGTGGGGTATGAGATACGTTCAACAGCAGTTGCGAATGTTCAAAATGCACCGACTTCGGACTTTATTGACTGGTTTCCTTAACAGCAAATTTCGAATTTGATAGAGTTGGTGATGCAGGTCACAGCACGGTCAATGTCCTTCTTGCCGATGTAGCCGATGTTGCGCAACTCGGACTGGAAGTAGGCGGGGGCCTTGTTCAAGTCGCAGGTGGTGTCTCTCTTCATCCTGCTGGTCACGTCACGGGCCCAGCGCCAGTAGCCATCATACTGCTGGACTGGGAGGCCCTTGCTGCAGATTTCGAGCTGGGTCTCGAGGTTGTCGAGCTGCCTGGAGCTGCAGGCGGACATGGCGTCGGGCTGCGGAGGAAGTCGTACGTGAGTTGAACGCCCAAAAAATGACTGCATGTTTGCACTTTCGCCTTGGGTGGCCGCGGCCACCTGGGCCGAGCCTGCCGGGGCACTCCACGGAGGCCATGCGCACTGCTCTAGCTCTTCCAGGAGCGTGCCATCTCGTTAAAACGAACGTGACGAAATGTCGCGCCCTTTCGGGCATTGCACTGCTAATCCAAGCGTAGACCAAGTCCACGCTAGGAAGCGTGGACCACGGATGGTCTACACTTGGAAGTGTGATAGGCCTATGAGGAGTCCACGCTTCCTAACGTGGACCACGGCTTGGTCCACGTTTTCTAGCGTGGACCATTCGTGGTCCACGTTTCCTAGCGTGGACCATTCGTGGTGGTCCACACTTGGATTAGCAGTGTGCGTCACGCTCGTTTGAGAGTGAATAACCTAATTGAAGGCTGATTGGCATTCCAACGAGTGGGACTCAATGCTCTGAGCACTCTTGATACCTTTGTGAACCGATGTGTTTGTACTCTTGAAAAAAGAAAAAATCTAACGTGTTTGCAATGCAAAGATCGCATCCACATTGCACACCACAAGTTCGCAACTTGTAAAAAAGTGACTTGCTTTTATTAAGAACTTTTGCAAACGTATTGTTCGCAACATTACGAACCACCATTTCGTATTACAACTAAGCCAAACACTTTGCCAGCTGAAATTCAAGTAGTTTGTAATGCGAACAAATTCTTCGCAAGGTTCTAAAGGAGTGTAGAATTTTGTCACGTTCGTTTCAAAGTGATGTAAAAGTGCCGCCTCGTCGCGAGTTTGATGAGTTCGGCCAGTTCGGGTGAAAAACCAAAGCGGACTTACAATGAGGCAGGCGGCCACGGCCAGCACGACGACGATGGCGATCTTGGACATGGTGGAGGAGGTTGCTTGCTGGTGCTGCGAGCTTGGAACACTGATGAGGATTGCGACGCGTGCCTTTTTAAAGGCCCACTAGGCGACCCTCTAGATAATGCCGTGGCCACAAGAGCAGGCTGGTCCGTTCCATGCCGCAGTTTCGCAATCGATAAGGCTGTTGAGATTATTCTGAGAATAGTTGCCGACGAGGTGCGCAAAATAAATGATTCATTAATCAATCTGCGCAATTTTTTATGCATCGCACTTTACCGTTGTAAAAAGGGACTATATATTGTCAGTGTATTGGGACAATATCACACAAAAGATGTTGAATCCGTATGTGGAAAAGTGGTTGGCATAAAAAAGCTAATTTAACACTGCAAATACGTGCTCCACGGAAACGTGTCACTATCTAGCCAGTGGGCTCAGATCGTCTTAAAATGATCCACACAGACCACCGTGAATGAAAAACTCAATTCGATGCCCCAGCTGAAAAAAGTTGAGAATACTGATCTTGACGAAGGAATAAGCGAATCCTGGGCGTGGAAGCGCGTGGAAGTCACCAGAAGACGGCAATCGACCGACAACTTTTGAGAAAATTTACGAAAGTGGGCCAAATTGATACATCTGGTTTTTGAAATTCTCCTGACGCTTTCAGACTAGATCCGTAAGGCCTTACATCTAGGTGAGGATAGGTCAGGTTGACCATCTTGTAAAAGGGTCTAGGACAATTCGTTCCCGAAAATTGGTCCCCGGACTATTCGTACCCCCCATTTCGTCCCCGGGACAATAGGTTCCCCACACTGTTCGTCCCCAAATATGACTGGTCCCTAGACAATTTGCCCCTAAATAGTGTTTTTCAGAATTTCATTTTTTTACTTCAAAACTTAAAGAAAGAAAAGGTGCAGCCAAAGACTTTTATATATTCTCCGTCACGTTGTGGCCGACGGCGCGCAGGTAGCACAGGATGTCGTCTGCCTCGTGGTAAGTGTCGTAGCGATCTACAACACTAACACTCCTATACACTAGTAGCCAAGGAACGTGACGGCACGTTCGTATTCACGTGATAACGGCGATGTTAGTTTAGGCGTGACAAACGGCGAAAATTTACAGACGAACGAATACGGCACCGCTTTGTCACATTACTCCGGGTGTGAAATCAGCTGGAGAACTGTCAAATTAAAACGAATGTGACACCCACGTAGTACTGTGACATTCGTTGTAATCGTAATGTGACATGCTCAATTTTTCATGTTCTTTTGAATGTGACACGCCATGATAGTTGGATTATGGGGTGTCACGTTCGATTGAATGTGACAATTCGGGCATGTCACATTGCAACGAACGTGTGTCACATTCGTTTGGATGTGACACGACACAAATCAAGAGGTACCATGCGTCACATTCGTGGTAATGTCTTGGTCCGGCATGGGGACCGTCCCGGCTGGGACCATTCTAAAACCGGGGACACGTTTGGGGACCAATTTGAAAGGGGGACCAATTTTACCGGGGGCGAAGCGTTTGCGGACCCAAAAGTCCTTGGAACGAATTTTCGGGGACGAATTGTCCGGATCCCTTGTAAAATACCCGTTAAATTTTTTTAAGATTTGATGTTTTGGGTATTTACATTCACATTTTGTTACTTAAAATACTTCTTTACGCGTATGGAAGCAATCGCACCAGTCAGTTTTGGGCCATTTTCAGTGTATTGCCCCCTTAAAACAGCCAAATTAAAAAAAAACTTAACTTTAGCGTGCCCCTGCAACTTCCACTCGTGTAAATTTAGAAAGAATGTCAGAAACATGTCTAGAATCCTGATAAAAATTCACCCGCCTCTGAAAGATAAGATTCTGAAAACTTTTCTGATATTGCTGGCTTGAGTTCTACAGAATGTCAGAATAAAGGTTTAGCTTTCAGAGGTGCCCAAATTTTGATCAGGATTTTAGACAGGTTTCTGACATTCTGACAAAATTTACACGAGTGAGATGCCTAAAACGGAACATCTGTTTATTCGACACCAGTTTCGGGCCATTTTTTTCCGTTTTGGACCAAACTAGTGCACCCTATAAATTCATTAACTTTCATTTTTCATTTTAACCCATGGTATGTGTTGACAGTTTTTGTTTGTCTTCTGGACACGAATCTAATCTCGAAGGTAATGTCGTTTATGGAAAACTTTCACTCAACTTAGAGAAGTTCGAACCCAACCAAGCCGAAAATCGAACCCTTATCTTGTCCAAATATCGTACGATTTACTGCTGAGTCCGATTTTTTTTTTTCGAACCGAAATGGGTTTGGCCCGGCCTTTGAGCCAAATCGAACCCTGTTATAAGTGTGTACCCTGACACCCTTCCGGTGTCAGGAAGAAATGACCGGTACAAAATGTCCTTTGCTGAATTGTCCAATAATTTTTGGGCCTATGAGTGAATGGCCTCTATAAAATGTCCCGGCTGGCTTTGTCCCGCGACTTATCTGTCCTGCTAATTAAATGGCAACACTACTACTTTGTGAGTATTGTTGGCTGCTTCCCAGCCGTTGACTCGGCACCCAGCTGTTGTTGGCGGCGCAGTGGGGCAAACGAGCCCCCTCAACAGGTAAACCAGTCGTCCAGTCCTGGTGATGCACGCGAGTTGCGCGTAGTGAGAGGTAAAGACGGGGCATTACAATAATGTTACTCAGGCCATTCGTCTTGGCGTCGGTCCTGTGCAAGATCCTGAAGTGTTGGCACGTCCTCCCGAGAGACAGTCCATCCGGCGGGTAGTGAACCTGCACCAGAATCGCGGAAGGCCGCGCAACCCCAACGTACTCGAAGACATCGTGCTGGATGCTCTCTACACAATCGCCAAGAGAGGCACACGCTTCCTTTTGTACGACACACACCGTAAATCAAGCTAATTTTTGTCCCTTACTTCAAAAATAAATTTGATTTTTAGGCACGAAGTAGCCTTATAGTATACCCAGGATTCAGCCGGCCCGAGATTCAATTTGTGTGGCCCTTTATGCATTTCGGAAATTTTCTATACGATTTTAATGAGACTTTGCAGACTTGTAGAACTTTGAACGCTGATTCTCATGCTGAAATCTGGTTAAAAAGTTGGTGGCCAATTTTGAGAAATTTGCTGTCAAAATCGCCGTTTCCATGGCAAAACTCGACTCGTCAAAGGAAAAAAAAGGGAGTGGGGGGAGCCGAGCCGGGGCGGACCAATAGCCGAGCTTCTTTTTGGGTCTGTACAGCTTACTCCAAAAGCTGAAATCAGCACGTTCGAAATGAAAAATTTCTTTGACTGCAGGTAGACAAGATGCAACAATAGAATTGGTGTCGGTTCGAACGCAGTTTTTCGGGTAGAACTATCCAATAATACTTCTTGATTGGAGTGTTTTTGGACATGCGCAGTAGGTTTGCAACCTGTTAACAGTTTAACCACCTGTAGCATTTGAAACCTGTATTAATTATGCTCTGTTTCTTGTTTTTTCTTTGTTTCCTGCTTATGAAAATTCATATAAAACAAACTTTCAATTTTTGTGTAATGACTTTCTAAAAAAGTATTCACAGAAAATTAGCAAAACAAAAGTTCTTTTTTTCTGGCATACAGTTTCTCAAATATTCCTTTTTTTTCTGTCAATAAAACAATTTTGTTGTTGTTGTGATTCAGTTAGCACTAGGACCACTTCGCTCCACCTCGCGACTTGCTGTGCTCATGTTCCTCGAACAAGACTCACCCGCGTTTCGAAACCATCCCTCCCGAGTTTATGAAGTTTGTCAAACCAACCGTCGTGGTGTTGATACGTTGTAAGGGAGAACTATTACACAGAATTGAAGAAAACATGACCAGAGAACCATAGCCTTTTGAAACAAGCCAAACAATTCAACGTCAGCAACAATGGATGGGCAGTTTTAATGCGCGACTGCTGGCGCTTTCAGCTTCGCGATTTTCGCAAGGGCGCAGACGCCGAGAAACTAGTTGCCAACCCGTGAAAATTAATTTACTGCCTTCTTTCTGCCAAGAACATTTTAATAATGATGGACTTTAAAGATGTTCCATTGTCAGAACACTGAGGAATACATTAGCATTGGAATTTTTTTGAATTTACCAGCAGTTTGATTTTTATTTTGTCAAGTTTAAATTTCGACGGGTGGCACATCGACCACATTGGTACCACTGCCATTGGTAGTCCCCTGAGCCACAACTTCACAACACCACTTCTTTTCTTTCTCCACACTCTTACACAATAATCAAATTGACTTCGTGACTCCTAGGATTTCTTGAAATCGTATTTTTTTTTTTTTCGTTTTTAAAGAAGACGCTGATCGTGTCTGCACTGAAGAGGGGCTTCGTGTGCTGTTCGCCAGCGACACCGTCTTCGCGGTCGGCACCTTTAAGACGGTGCCGAACCAGTTCGCCCAGCTCTACACGATCCACGGCATCGTCGTGGACACCGCGGGGAGAAAGAACGTCTTTCCTTTGGTGTTTTGTCTCTGCGTCCGGAAGACAGAAGGGGCGTATAGGCTGATTTGGCATTGGCAGGCGCTGACGGACGAGGCGACACGTCTGCACCTTCGCTTCCACATGGGGCTCATGATTGCTGACTTTGAAATAGCGGCCATGAATGTGAACCGGGACTTTTCCCCCAACATCTTCCGCAAGGGTTGCCTTTTCCACTTCAACCAGTCCCTCTGGCGAAAGGTTGTCGACGATGGCCTCCGTTCTCTCTACATCAATGCCGAGAACGAGGATCACACAGTGCGACGTGACGTTCAACGTCTCATGGCGGTTCCCTTCGTGCCAATGGATGATGTAGAGGAGGTTTTTGACATGATCGTGGAGGAGGCGGACGATAGGGTCTTGAACGTGGCGACTCATCTCGATAACAACTACATCAGGGGCAATCGCACTCTTCGTCGCGCAATTCCACCTTTGTTCCCGTATGGAACGTGCACGAGCAGGCCGTTGACAATTCGCACAGGACAAACAACGTTGTCGAGGCCTATCACTCCAAGTTCCAGAAGATAATGGTGATCCACCATGCGAATGTCTGGAAATTTTTGGATGAACTTCGTTCAGAGGAACACGACTTCCATCAGATTCTTGCCCAACATCAGGCAGCCTGTGAACAAGAAGTATGAGCTGTCCCCGCGCAGGCTCCATCGTCTTGCAGAAACCTATGAGGAATTCAAAGAGGGGGGGGAATTGTCACATTCTTGGAGGCTGTATCGTACAACCTCAAAATTCAGCCTGATTGAGTGATCCAACATGAGTGAATCAAAACCGCCAGACTCAGTCTAATCAAATATGACAAGTAAAACTGATGAACAACAAAGTACACAAAGTGAAAGTACTTTTTTATTTACATGGGCTAATATTGAAGAGGCCTTTAAAAATATCGGACATTATTTTGAAGGACTTGGAATGTATTGGACCCTATTATGGAGGCCTAAGAAATAAGTGGACATTTCCATTTGAAGGCCTATTTGTAAAAGGACATTTTGGCACGGGCCATTCCTTCGTTGCCCCGTCAGAGACTAATGGGAGGATTCAATATGCGCCGCGCCTACCTGCGCCGCGCGGAAATCGAGAGCGGTAACCCGGGGGCCGGCGACCAAATGAGCACAACGGCGGAAGGAGAAAATATACTTAGGGATGTGAGAGCCAGTAATATTACCGGTAAAGAATGGTAAATTACGGTAAAATACGGTATTTTACGCAGACCCCGGTAAAAGTGGTATTTTTTGGTAATTTTGAAATTATTGTTAATTTTGAAATTAGTAGTCTGCAAATTAGGTCAAAACGGAAAATGTAAGGATATCATGGTTTGGGCTGACTTTAGGCAGCCACTGCGTCAATTCTAAGGCGCGTAATCGTTCTCCCCCAACGGCGACTTAATGTCAAAGTACCTCTACAGTACTTCTCACCTCTTCTATCTTCGAATCGCATCTCAGTTTCTTCCAGAAGTCATGACGCAAAGTACACCACTTCACAGGACACTCCACCGAGGATCGGTTTAGCTTTGCATGCACTTCAGAGATCGGTGATGGCGGTTACACATCGCCATGAGTGACCATGACCATGCTAATGCAGCGATAGCGCAGCGCGGGCACACACTCTAAATGTCTTACAATGAAATTTCACCTATGTTATTCGTATGTTACAGTAAATTCGGCGCAAGCATAATACGAAGCAATATTCCTTCGCAATACGAATCTTTTAAGATTTTTCATTGTAAGATACAAAGAAAAACCTTCGTAATACGAAGAAAAACCGCCTTCGTATTATGCTTGCGCCATTTCCTTCGTATTATGGGAAATTCCTTCGTAAGACATTTAGAGTGCAATCCCAGACGCATCACGGCACTGAACGTGGACATGCATATGGATATCGAGGAAGAATGTGAAACAGTGAAACGAGATGGAGTTGTTTCCGGTTTACGCGTGCAACTATGTGCAGAACAGCGTAGCCAGACCGAGCCGAACCATTTATTAAAACTCCTCTGGAAGATTAACACTGGCCTCCAAAATTTTGCCTCCACCTTTTCAGGTTCTAATAACTCCTTCCATAATTGACTGATCAAATCTTGCACAGAGGACCGTTTGAAAGTTCCCTCTAAGGCGTGGCTGAAAGTCGCATCAAAACGGATGATAATGAGAGATAAAATTCACAGTTAAAAACGACGTATTACTCTACAAATCCAAAAGCGTACATTGTATGCTCTAGCTAGCGCATGCCTGCCAAGCATGCACTAGTAATTGCATGCTTGGCAGGCATGGCATGGCAGGCATTAATAACCTTTTGAAAGGATATGAAAACTCATAAAGGTTTGTGAAGTTTAAGAATATTTCTTACATTTACCAAAACAGTTCTGACAAGTAATGAAAATATTGGTAACTTTCAGAAACTTTATTAAAATTGAAAAACAGGTTTGAGATTGTTTGTCAAATGCAGTCATTTGTTTCTTAAAATTCAAAAATTACTATGACTTTTCATATTTGATTCTCATCCTGCCAGTTAAAATTGTGATCATTGGACGCTTCACTACCAGTGTACGTAAAGAACAAATTTGGATGATCTTTGTCATGTGAAGTCGTGTTTGGAGGCCCTAGGATGAGCGCTTCCGCTGCCTAGCGGAGTCTCCGCCGAGAGGCTTGGAGTCATCCACATCCTTGAGCCCGCCTCGTAGAGCTCACTCGAATCAAGCAGATGTCACAACTGTCCTGGGCCAAAGTCCTCACCGGAGCCAACCACGTCATGCACCAGAACAACGGCCGAGCCTTCTGCCTTATTCAACGAGTGTGGTTCACATCCACGTACGTTCTGTCCAAATTGTGGTACGTCGCACAGGTTCTGCCCATACCCGAGAGCGTCGCCGCGAAGGTCGTCACCGCCGTGGGCAGGTTCATCTGGACGGACCGACTGTACCGGGTGCCATTCCCCATCATGTGTGCCCCGCGGCAGGAGGGAGGGCTTCGGTTGCTGCACCCGCTGTGGAAGGCCCGCTCCCTATTCATCGGCAGGTGGATGGCGGCGGTCCTACTTGACACCGACAGCTACACGTCCGCCTTCCTGCAGGTCATGGTGGAGAAGTGGCCGCCCAACAACACCGCAGCACTGATGGACATCCCGGACGCCCTCATGCACTACGCCGCCTACCACCGCAATCGGCCGGGCTGCAACTTGTTCTTCGACAGCAACTTCACCGCCTGGGACCTACACCGGGGCCTCTACACACAGTTCATGGCGGACCACCCCGCCCCCAAGCCCCGCGTCGAAGAGAACCCCTCGCGGCCAGTGGAGTGGCCCGCGGCCTGGCGGCACATCTCGCGGTCCTGGCACCAGGTCGGCGTGGTACATCGTGGCACACGACATCCTCCCCACCGCCGACAAGCTGCAGCGGCACGGGCTCGCCACGACGGCGACGTGCGCCACCTGCGGCACCGCCTGGCCGAGTGCACCGGAGTCAAGACAATCAGGGAGTGGATCGACAAGAAGGTGGTCAGAACAAGCGCCGACCAACTGATGCGCCCGGACCGAGAGCGGACGCCAAAACAGCTGGACAATACCATCCACTGGGTGATGGGCAAGGCCGTGCGCTTCATTGTGGAAGCACCCCTGGCGGAGCACAACGAGAACAACTTCGAGGCCTTCTTGGAGGAGGCCCGGCAGGCCCTGGGCACCGCAGGAAGCCTGGTAGAGACATGGCGATTTCCACGGAGTTCCTGGGAAAACCAGAAACCGGTTTTTAAGGCACATATATATATGTTAATGCGCTTGGTAGGAAATGCGCACAAACAAATACTCAATGCGGGTCTGAGAGTGTAAGGAGCATGACCAAAAATGTAATTTTGGCGGCGGTTGCAAGTTGCAACACGTACTCGGAAACTTACGCGGTTGAGTGCGAAAGCATCTTCTTATCTCTGAGCGAAACGCAACGCTCCGGCCCATCTCTCGTGGAGATAATCAGAGATAACAGAGGACCATCTCCAATGTTGCCTTAAAACAGGGTGACAGCTAACTCCTGGGCACTAGTCCAGCCACAGACCACCGACTCCACCGTCAGCCATGGCTCACAAGTACACATTCGCCGTGTTAGCCATCAGCGCCTGCTTCCTCGTAAGTTGCTCCAATGACAAATTTTGATAGTGGACCTACCTGTCACGTATCCAGGAAGAGATTCGGGATGGCAGAGGCAGCACAAGTTGATCTGTCAGCCAAAAGAGCAACTCCATTACGATGGTTTCTGATCGTGACTTTTGCTTATCTGACATTTCATTAATTTCGCAGATGGCCACTGTCTCGGCGAGCGCGATTGAAAAGAAGGTAAGGAAAGAAACAAATCCAGTGGCTGCCTCTGGACAACCAAAGTTCCATGCACAGTTAAAAGCCACCGCTTTTCCAGGATAGCTTTCCAACGATCTTCTGTTTGTTCGCAGGTGGCAGCCCAAGCTACCTGCAGCAGGAGTTCGTTGAACGCCCTGGAGGACCAGATCAAGATCTGCACCCGGAACGTGCCCGCCCAGCAGTTCGCCGAGCCTAGTTGGCAGTGTGCCCGCACCGTCACCGGCTGGCTGCAGGAGGACGACGAGTGCGACTTGAGCGTCGTGCCCGACTACCTGGAAGACTGCTTGTACAGCTTCGGCTTCATCGGCAAGCGCTCCATCCAGCCGGCCGTGGCCTGCATCAAGAACGCCATCGACTCTGAAATCTGCTGCTAACGGCCGCACTGCCTGCCTGATTTTATTTATTCATTTTTAAAATGTTTAATTAATAAACGTTTTTGAGAGCGGTTATGTATTTTGTACAACTGAAGACCGACCACCTTTTGACCCTAGTTAGTAGATAAGTATGGCGAGCGGCAGCAAAAGTCAATGGAGAACCACGTCTCCTTTGAAGAAAACAGAATACACTCTCAGACTCGTTAAAAACTCCACCAATGTCAACAAGACGGCTTGGAAATACAGAGAGGGGTAACGAAAAGAATAAAGGAGGTGTAGGGGGTATCTACCTCAAGGTGGAGAATAGAATCGAAAGTGATCCTGAAAGGGTAGCTGAATTGTGTAACAAATATTATATTGATATTCCATCCTCCATTATTAATAGCAAAGGAAAACCTGTAAAGAAACTCGAATTTCCTCAAACAAGAATTTCGTTCCATGTTTCTGGAGGCCGTCACGGCCACCAGTCTCCTTAAAAAAAACCCTCTCGTGGTCTGGACGGAATCTCTAATGTAATGATAAAGCATGTGTCCGACCTGATAGCCGTTTAGCACATCGCTCCTATGAATCAGGCACTTTTCCTGCCGCTCTGAAAAAAGGCATTGTTAAGCCACTGTTCAAGAAAGGATCTAAAGGAAAAATCGAGAAGTAACTCTAAATTCCAGTATTGCTAAAATCTACGAAAAATGGTCCTGTAACAGATTGTTTAATTGCAAAAGAACAACACGGTTTCCAAAAAGGAAAGTCCATCATCGGAGCAGTGGCCAATGCGCTAGAAGTAATTGTTAAGGCATTGGAAAGTAAAAAGAAAATTGGGAAAAGAGGATTGTAATAATATAGGTATTATTCTTGTATCATTGGGCTGTGTATCAGACGAGTCAGTGACAATGTTTACTGTGACGTGTTCACTTATAAATATAGTAGAACTGACAATGTGGGCTCACGGCATTTAAAATCTTTGTTTCAGAAGGGGAAAGGTTGCCAAATCCACCCAAAGGAATTGACAAATGTCGCCCTCTCGTGTTTCATAAATTCTGTGCTGCAATGCCTGATGTCACTGGAGTCATCTAAAGTCAGACTTTGCCAGGGATATTTGCTCGATCTGGTCATTTGCAGCCGATGACAAGGGCATTAGAAAATCTCTTCGTTGATGTGTGGGCGTTTGTGATACAAATGAGTTCCTTTCTGTCGAGTTCTTGGTGAGTTCATTTTATCTTTAAAGTGCCTGTGACTCAAACGTGCTTTGAGTGAAATTTATTTCACAATGTGTTCTTCAGTCCCAATAAGAGAGTTATAAGCCTTGGGTTCAAGATGATGCAGCAGGTTTTTTTCAGTTCCTGCAGGAAGCATGCTTCAAAAAATACATGAATAAACATTGGTAAATTAATAAACGTTGTCAAATTGACCTTTATATCGAGTAATCTGTGATATCATCACTCGGCTATGTTTGCAGATGCCTCAACGGAAGCCTCCTATGTCACCAAACACTCCGTCAGCCAAGATCATCGGCTGCCACCACATAGAAAAAATACCTCTCGATCTAAGGGACCCTATCCTGAGGCCAGAAGATGTACCAGGTGCTCAAATCAATCCCAAGAAGGTCCATAAAGATGATCTCATAAGATTGCTTCATATACTTGGTATTCCCATTCAAAAGGACAATAAGCCACAACTTCGTAAAAAGTGTCCTTCCACCCGGGTAAAGGTTAAGGGCATAGTATTTAGCAAGTTCTTCCGAAACATTCTATGTACTTTAAAATTTGAAAAGCTAGAAAAATAACTTCTCCTTTCAAAAAGGAGTCATATGTAACGGGTGATGTGGGAAATAGGGTGGGCCGTGAAACACGATTTTTCGATATCGCAACCGTAATAGCGCGCCAAAGTTACTTCATGGCAATACAAACTCAACGCAATCTGGGCCAGGTCTGAAACTTAAAGCTTGACCCTCGCGCATCGACGTTGAAAATTCAAAAATTCGACTTTTACGGGTTTTTCTAAAAACAGCCATAGAATCTGAACCAGATGTCCAAATGATGTTTCCGAGACGGAAATGGAAACGTCTGATCATGCTTTATCAGTTTAAGACCATGGGGACCCTCTCCGAGCAGCAGGGGACCAATGGGAGAAGATTACAAAATTACAATTTTTCTTTGATTTTCACAAAATGCAAAAATTGCCCTCAGGGCTTGATACGGCCATCCTGACGTCACCGTACCCGAACCATACCCCGAATCATCTTCTCTAACGGCCCCTTTCCCCATTTAAGCACACGGGGTACCCCGGGATCCGTTCACACGTTAGGATTTGGACGCCAAAAACACATGTTTTACTGAAAATGCAAATTATCGGTAGTCAGGGCACTGTAGGGCACCCGTCTCGTCCGTATGAACTGTAGTGACTCAAAATCGATTACTGGATGGTGTCTTTGCGTCGCAGGAACCCACCAGTATATAGACAATCGGACGAAGAGACCTTTAGAACGCTATTTACACTGTAAATCTCGTTAATCTGGAGTAAAAACGTATCTTAGGCCGTAAATGGCTCGTCTGGATTAACGACAGAAGGTCGCTGCACGTTTATAGAGGTTTCTCTTATCCATCGTATAGATTCTCATTTCCTTTCTCACTGTTATGTCCGCTTGCAACGGCCCAGGGGACATACTTACGCTTGGTGCGCAAGTAGAGCCGAGCCCCCCGTAGACATGCCGCTGTTTCGTTTGGCTTCGTAGGTAGTTTCTCAATACTGTTAAAATTTGTGCGTAGGACTGCCTGCGACAGCCGCAGGGACATGTTACGCCAGTTGACCAATTTTGGAAGTGATGTCTTCTCACAGGTTAACATTTTCTTTCGTAGTGGCGTACTGTACCTTCGCGTTTTGCTCCATTCTCCTGCGTATGCGTACTGTATCAAGGTGCCAACTTATACATGCGCTGTAGGAAAAATCCACGGGAAAAAATACAGGCACAGTCTGGTAGAACATTAGCCTGGTACCACCGTACCTCAACCAGTACGGGTTTTAGGGTACGGAGTACGGTTTTTCATGACATGGGCTCTCATGGGAAGCACGGTTTTTTGGTGCAGCTGTTATGTACATAGTGTGGTACGGTCTAGCCGTACCTTTTTCCTTGAAATGTACGGCCTTTTTAACAGTGTTTCGCAGCCCCACCTGTGGTTGCTTGGTTGGGTAAGGGTGGTGGTGAATCTCGACGTGCTACCACCTTCGCATGGTGAGGGCTGAGTCGTCTCGGATTTTCCGAGCGAGCCAAGAGCAGTACAGTGGAAACCTAATGTTTGGAAAACGGATTTAACCGAACCTTCAATGGAAATAGCGTTCTAAAGGTCTCTCCATCCGATTGTCAATATATTGGTAGGTGCCTGTGACGCAAAGACACCATCTAGTAATCGATTTTGAGTCACTACAGTTCATACGGACGAGACGAGTGCCCTACAGTGCCCTGAGTACGATAGTTTGCATTTTCAGTAAAACATGTGTTTTTGGCGTCCAAATCCTAACGTGGGAACGGATCCCAGGGTACCCCGTGTGCTTAAACCGGGAAAGGGGCCCTTAGAGAAAATGATTCGGGGTATGGTTCGGGTACGGTGACGTCAGGATGGCCGTATCAAACCCTGAAGGCAATTTTTGCATTTTGGAAGAAACGGTAAAAAATTATAATTTTGTACTTTTCTCCCATCGGCCCCCTAAGGGAAGGTGGGGACCCATGTATCACTTTTTTTTGTTTTGAGTGTCAAAATTTTGGTTTTGGGCATAAACTAAATGTTTTGGGTCAGAAGCGTGAGTTAATCTTCCTTCTACAAGGGCCAACTGAATTTGTTCATGTATCTCATCTGGTTTTGCAAAGAAGCGCAATCTACTAAATTCGTGTATTTGATACATGGGACCCCATACCTGGGGTCCCATGTATCACCCATGGGGACCCATGTATCACAGCTATTTTCTTCAAAAATAACTTTTAAAAAAGGACAAATTATGCGACATTTCCTTGCAGCATTAATTTCTACAATATGTTTATAAGTTTGACCGAGTTTGACCATTCCTAAGGTAAGTTGAGGTCGAAGAGAGAAGGTGAAGATTCATGTATCACAAGTGGGGACCCATGTATCACAGATGGGGACCCATGTATCACTCAATTTTTGGTATTTGTTTAATGGCAAAATGTAACTAAACTGTAACACCTGTCGCCTGTCACTCTATTATAAAATTGCAATGATTACAGCACAGGCATTAAAACAGGAAAATTTCCGTGATTAATTGCCCTCCAACATGAAATTTGAGTGATACATGGGACCCCAAAAATTGTGATACATCGGTCCCCACTTGTCGGAGCACTGGACATTGCGGTGTACTGCCAGAACCTATGCTCGGATGTTGCTGTTCGGCACTGCTAATTGTTGTCAAAGCCCTTCCGCACACTCCCACATCAAAAAATTGCGACCATGTTCCACAGCAGGAAGCTGATGAAAGATGTTTGAAGAAATTTCTTTTTTACTTTCCCTCAGTTTTGGGGACCAAAATTTTCACTTAGTCACGCCGCCATGCTTGTTGGAGATGCAAGGTCACATCCTTCTATAAAATGAAGCTCTCTAGATGGTGTTTCGATTCCGCACCACGTGACTCGCCTCGCGGGCGAAACTGAAATTAAATACGCCGTGATACATGGGACCCCGTGATACATGGGTCCCCACCTTCCCTTACTGCTCGTAGAGGGTCCCGGTGGTCTTAAACTGATAAAGCATGATCAGACGTTTCCATTTCCGTCTCGGAAACGTCATTTGGACATCTGGTTCAGTTTCTATGGCTGTTTTTAGAAAAACCCGTAAAAGTCGAATTTTCGAATTTTCAACGTCGATGCGCGAGGGTCAAGCTTTAAGTTACAGACCTGGCCCAGATCGCGTTGAGTTTGTATTGCCATGAAGTAACTTTGGCGCGCTATTACGGTTGCGATATCGAAAAATCATGTTTCACGGCCCACCCTAGTGGGAAATACCCATTGAAGCCTAGTTTTCATTGAAAACTCTTTCCTACCTTAAGGAGTTTAGTTTTGTCTTGTAATGTGT